TCTTCTCACACTCGTGTCACTTTACGCACCGCGCACCGGGCGCTCCGGCTGTCGTGCGTCCTAGTACCTCACTCCTTTCAGCACCAGCTCTTTTTAAGGACCGGGGAGAGCTCCGCCTCTGCCTGCGCACCCCGCCTCCAGAGCCCTCCTACTGGAACAAAGTCACGGGTCCATTAACAGCCGAGCCAATCAGAGAGGAGGGGAAATGTGCCTGTAAGTGAGTCAGACCAATCGGCTGCGCGCAGGGCGGCTGGCGGCGATAAGCGGCTGTTACCGTGGCGTGGTTTTTGTTGTCAGAGAGCTGAGGAATTCTCGACATGATCAGCGGAGTGTGTGTTCAAGTTCAAGGGAACCGCGAGGAGTGATAACAGGCTGCATATCTTAAGACGAGCATATGAGAGGAGCTTAAGCTTCTATTGTGCTTTGAGGTGTTATAAACATTTCGACTATCTCCAAAATAAATCCCAAAGCGCTCTTATCGCCTCCCCACCCTCCCCCAGTAGGGGAGAGTGGGGTAGGATGAGACATTTTTCATATTTGGGATCACTACATCAAGTTAATCCCAGTTTTGTCTCTAACTCGTGTTTCTGCAGATATTTCAGGATGTTGTTCATCCCTGTAAACCAACAGAATGAGTGTAAACAGAACTGTCTTGATAATAGAGCAGGACAAAAAAAGTGGTCTCCTATGGTCAACTTACCCCGTGTAAGGGGGTAACTTATGACAGACTAAATTCACTTTGCAGAGTGCCAAAAATATAAATAGACCATTGCCGTAACATTATCATCATAATACAAACAAGATAAACAAGAAACAAGATAGCTTGACCATGAAGACCATTACCATAACATTATTATCATAATACAAACAAGATAAACAGGAAACAAGATAGCTTGACCATGAAGCCGTCAAGCTTCAAACCATGAAGCTGAAGCCGTCTTAAGATGTGGACGTCTAAAGACAAAGCAAATGTGTCAAGCAAAGATGTCTTCAGACACTCCATGTCTTCAAGACACAAAAACATGTCAGGATGAATCCTATTTTCTGCTCTGGGATGTCTTAAGACATGGTGACGTCTTCAAACTTTTGTCTTAAGACGTCTTGAGACACTTTGATGGCTGAGTATGTTAACAATGTTTTTGTAAATAAATGTCTAACCCCTTCATCCATGTGCTTCTAACCTTCACAGACATGAATTGATGCTCCATCCATTTTCTACTGCTTATCCCAGCATCTTCAAGAGACACCCTGGACACGTCGCCAGTTCATCGCAGGGCTGACATATAGAGACGAACAACCATCCACACTCACATTCACACCTACAGGCAATTTGAAAGTAGCCATTTAACCTAACCCCACTTCTGCATGTTTTGGGGATGTGGGAGAAAACAGGAGTAAACCCACACAGACACAGAACATGCAAACTCCACACAGAAACACCCTGACCAGGATTCAAACCCAGGACCTTCTAGCTGTGAGGACAGTGCTAACCACTACACCACTGTGCCACCAAGAATTGATGCTCATCGCTTAAATATTTGGTCACATGATCAATTTATTTTACCATTTCCAAGCAAACTTACCCTTTGGCTCAACTTACCCCACTCTCCCTGACTCAAACAGCCTCCATCCTGCAGCTCCCACGTGTTTTTATTTCCATATGATGAAGTCTGACGCTGAATCATCTGCTCTCATGTCTGTCCGGGTCTCTCCTCTGTGCGCCTATAGAGGGAGGGGCTGCTGGCAGGTGTTCATGCAAAACAAAGGAGTCTGCAGGGAGATTAATAAACACTCTTTATTATGTTACTCTGCATTGATATTGTGTCTCCCAACAAAATACGAGTGGAATGAAATGCAAATCAAATATCAGCTGTGTGTGTGCAGCTCACTTTTGCATGAATAATATATCGCACACTTGCCGGATAAACATGAGTGCACTTTTGGGAAGCTTCACATCCACATGATCTCTTGTCTTCATGTTCACACCAGATCTCGTCTTTTTTTTTGACATATGGTCATTCAAAGAGAAATATAAATAAAAACACAAACACAAAACGCAAAACATGGTGTCTCACAGAGAAGAAAATAAAATTGTCTTTGTAGCCTCCATCAAAGTTGTCCATTTTTTAAGTAATGTGAACAGATTTATATTTGTTCCATTTTTCCCTCTTTCAGGTTTTTGTTTCTTGTTGGAGTCGTAGAGCGTTTGTTAGTTTCTCCATTTCATATCGTTCTTCCACCGTGTCCGGACAGTTTTCCTAAACGGGGTGGATTCTCCTTACACCAATTCCTCCTGATGGTCTTCTCTGATGCTGCAAGAAGTATTTCAGTCAAGTATCCGTCTTTAGTTTGTATGTTTTGACCAGGTACATCTATTTTCCACGTTGCACCAATGTCTAGATTTGGTCCTTGTCAGACCACACAAAAGTGGACGTCACTTCAACGTCTAAAACAGGTCCAATAATGACGTCTAAATCTCAGATCCATTTTGCGTGTTGTGCCGACGTCTAGATTTGGTCTTCAGATGACGTCCAAATTCTAAACGTCAGAGCGACGTCTAAAAAAGGTCCAATTTGGACGTCACACTGACGTCTAGATGTGGTTTTTGACGGATCGACCCAAGACTTGATCTGCACGTCTCTTTGACGTCCGATGTTTGGTGGGTCACCTCAAAGGTCATGTGGAGCTCGTAACCCAATATTTTTCTTATTTCTTCCCAGTACCGTATTTTTCGCACTATAAGGCGCTCTTAAATCCTTTTGGCTTGTCAGAGCGCTGCAGCTACCGTAGCCTTGCGGAGTTATTGAATGGGTTAAATAAAGTTTGACTTACCTGACTACTTTGCGCCTTATAATCCGGTGCGCCTTAAAAAACATGGCGGTTATTTTCTTGCAGCACCAAAAGATCAGGGTATGATCAACATCCTCCTTCATGTCTCCTGAGCTTCCCTCCATTTCTGATCCATCTCTTCATTCTCCTCCCCCCTCTACAGTATCTGAAGAGCTCCTCTGAGGATATCTCTCTTTCCCCAGATGGTTGGAGATTGCCGCTCTCCGGTTGCTGACACAGAACGGTCCCTGTTTCTTTGTTTCCACTGGTGACAGGCAGAGCGGATGGGAGCTCTTTCCAGTAGGTGAGATATGATTGTGTTGGTTTACACACTCCTCTGCACACACAAACAACCTCAAAGGTTTGAAGACACCAGACACCACCCTTCATGCAGCCGTGGTTGTGCGTCCCCTCTATGCCCACCTCCTTGTTAGGGTGCGAGTGCACGCACCTGATTGATCACCTTTTGTTTTATGTACAGTGGAGCAGCAAGAGTTGTGTGATTTGTTTATGATGTCAAACAGCCTCACTCTCGATGTGCGTGTGAGAGAGACAGGGAGAGAAAAATACATACAGGATGGATTTTTTTTTTCCTGCCCTCTGGCCCACATGCACACACACCAGCGCGCACACACACACACACTCAAAGTGTCATGAGACTGTCAGCAATGGCTTTGGCTACAACTCCTCCAGGCATGTGGTCCTGCCACCTATAATCTACAATGAGCAGAAATGAGTTTCCTTTGTAGACGCTGCCTTTCCTGGACACACACACACACACACACACACACATATAAGCTAATCATACATGCAGCTGGTGTAATAATAAGGCAGGGTGCAGACAGTGCTGGAATAACTACTGAGACAGGGTGATATTTCACAACCTCAATAATTGGATACGTCTCTATTCCCTAATTACGATCTAAATCACATACGCTGCAGCTCCATACATACAGTATACAGATAAAACAGAAATGACACACGCTCACACACACACACACACATATTGTGTCTGTAAATTTATGCATGAGCAAATTCAAGCGTGAGTCTCACTGACACACACTCACATGCAAACAAAACAACAAAAAACATGTTCGTACATGTACATGTAAGTTTCCGCCGTCTCGTAAAAGCTGATGTTTTATACAACGCCATAATGTGTAACGTGCTGCGGTTCTACATCAGCTACTTATCATACTTTTATGCAGTGTGAAGCAGCTTTTGTCGTATATAAAGTACATGCATTATGAAAGAAGTGTCTTTTGAGAAGTAGCAGCACTACATCAGGGCACGGTGGGTGTTAGCATGCATGGAAATAAACACTGAAGAGAGTTTTCTCGCCGTGTGAGAGCTCTGAGGTCAGTGCACGGGAAAGAAGAGGAGCTTCACACCACGGCGACATTGTGTTGGTTGTATTTCAGCGTTTTGGTCTAAACCACTGAATCATTTTAAGAGTTTTTTTCTCGGTGGCAGAAAACACAATGTAAGCTTCTTTTGTGATACTCTATTGATCTCTGGGAGGAAAATAATCCTTTTGCTTGCGCCTTTGCAGGGAGGTCAGAGAGCAGGGTTATCTACAGAGCAGTGTCAGGTTAGAAAATATGAGCACCATTATCAGCAGCATAGCAGCCAGCTGTGGAGAACAAACCCGAGTCAAGAGGCGGACGAGATGGGAGTGTCTGATATGTGGTCCGGCTAAAGTTGACATCTCATAGACTGTATATACTACGGACGACTTGGTCCCGCCTTCCGCCAGTTAACGGGTTTGAAGACGAAAAACTCTTCGTAATTCCGCGTTTTTTCCTTCACTTCCAGAAACCAACATTACGCAGTAGCGTTGTACACATTTGGTGGGAGAGTCGCTGTGATGATGCTCGGCTCAAACAGCATAACCCACCGATGCGATATTTTTTTCCGTTGCATGGTAGGGGAAGGTCCCGCCTCCTTCACCTCTGATTGGCTAGAAGTGCTCGGCTCCGATTGGTTATTTCTTATGGCTGTAAAACGTCATCGTCTGTCGGGTTAAGGTTATGGTAAGGAGATTCAGGAGTGCGATAATGTTCTGTTCGATGTACAGAGCCGAACGCCCGTGCTCAGCTTGAGTGTGTGATGATGTTTCCAGCTTTTCTAGCCAATCAGAGGCGAAGGAGGCGGGACCTTACTATCCTATATAAAAAATATGGCCCCCCTAGTTAGCTACGCAATCTTTGTACGCCTATAGGCTGTATCAAGTGTCAATCATAGGGAACATGCTCACTTAGCAATAGACAGCTATTAGACATCCAATTTTTTTATTTAGATCTAATTTCAATCGTCTAGATTCTGTATATTTTTAGACGGAATTTAGACGTTGCACTTTAACCCGTTATTCAATAACTATTTATTTCAAAAAGCAACTGTGAGCTGCATAACTGATCACCAAGTACTGAACCAGAATAATTATGATAGCTGTTGAGCAAAATACAGTGTAGTATAGATAAAGATTCAGACTTGGTCTAAATTTAGAGGTCTAAAAAACGTTCATTTTTAGACCTGTGGTAGCAGGTTTTAGACCAGTCGTTAAGGCTACAATTGGAAGATTTCTATTCTGACAAAATAAAGACAAATAATACTGAACAAATACAACAACAAAAACATGATGTAGTTAGTAACAGAGGTGCATTCTTTTCTCCTGACTTTTATAGTATCACTAGTTTTACATCAAGATGTCATTCCCGTTCTTTGGACAACAATCTGATGTTTTCAGGCATCACAGAGTCGACCGTGTTACAGTTTGGTTTGATTCTGGAGTCTACAATTGATTTCAGACAATTTCAGTGAAAAACATCTCAAGACCGAAAAAAAAACCCAACAAAAAGGAACAAAATCCCTTTTCATGTCTGGAAAAAAACAGCTGGTTTAGCGCTGACATTTATCCTGCCGCTGACAATATGGGGGTCACACCATGAGTCTATTTCTGGTACCCGGTCAGTTTTTTTCATGTTTCCTTCAGAGGAGAGAGTAAATATCTTCCTCATCCTCTTCATCCGCAGGCTGCCGACATCGTCTGAAAGGACAGAGGGATGTGGAGTCACATCTTGGCAAAAACAACAGACAATTGGTTAGGGTGACCGTATTCTGATCCCCAAAAAGAGGACACGACCCCGGGGTGGAGTCATGGAGTCACACGTAGTACATTTTGAGAGTTTTTTAAGTTGGGTTGAGTGTTTTCTACACAATAATAACTCAGTTATTCCACACGACACAAACTCAAAACTTACCTACCGAAAAGAGGACGTATGATAACCCTACAAGTGGTGCTAGTTTGATAATGAGAGTGAATCTGACAGACAGAGATGTGGATTGATGTTTATACTCTCTGATTTGATTGGGTCGTGGTTCAACATTCTTCATTAGATCAGATTATTACATTTCTACTAGAGCCTGATCACTAAATCCCTATCATAGCCATATAAGCAGGGATACCTGACATTCCACCTACACTTTCTTACCTTTGTCATCATCTGTCAGATTTTTGGCTCCAAACACTTGGTGCTCACCTTCTTTTTCTGAATAAACTGGTTGTGCATTTTGCCGAGGATTTTCCAGCCTCTGTTTTTCTTTTGCAGGTTGGTGATGCAGTCTTTAATTTAGATCTTATTGCTCAATTAAAATGAACACGGTTTACTAAATCTGCGACCCGTTTCTCTTCATGGGATTTGGTTTTAGCTGTTGCAGTATTCGCCCTCGTCAGCCACTGTAGCTCCCTCCCTTAAGAGCGCCGCACTCTCTGTTCCAACTTTCATAACTTTAGTGAAAAAACTAATCCAGGACAAAATCTTCTACAAGAGAAGCTCATTTGTTGGAATGTCTGCATGGCGTATAAAACAGCAGTACACTCGGGAATACTTTTCAGGATTATAATACTTAGTGTAGGAAGGAAGTATAAGGTGAGGAGTCGAAACAGGAACAGGCAGCAGACCTAACAAGCCCTGCGTCTTTGACGGCTGCAGCTGTGAAACAATCACTCTACAATTACCCCCCTGTCTATGTGTCACGGTGCATAATGACATTTATTCTGCACGCCATTTTTCTAGACCGGTTGCACTTGTGTGCAGGGTTAAAATGATTGCTGCAATTACATTTCCCTTATGGAAGTGAGTAACATATGGCCGACACGCCGAATCAGTGACAGAACAACAGACTTTAGTTTCCAAGGTTTCACTTTTAATGAGATTTAAAAAAAAAAAAGAAAAGGTTGTTCCTGCATCTCAGTCTTAACACATCTGAAAAAAAAACAAGATTTCCTGTAAACAAGTGTCAGAAAACAAAGTGAAAACACAATTAAATCCTCCAACATGTCTTCTGTATGTGACAGTGAACGCAGAGAGCAAACACCATTATCATCTTCAGCACCACCACCTCCACCATCATCAGCATCATCTCATCTATAATCACAGTGAGAATCCCTTTGGGGTGTTATTTCCATGGTTGAGCATAGTCGTTAACACAGTGTGAAAGGGGAGCAATGAAGCTCAGTGTCTGGTTGGTTAAATCGCATAATAAGCTATTATAGCAGAAAAATCAGTGCTGGCACAATACCAATTACTGAAAATAATGTTTTTTTTTGTCTTTTCAAACGGTCGTTTAACCGCCGTATTGTGCTGACAGTGATGCTTTTTCTTCTGTTCCATATTCACACTTGGCTAATTACCTTCTGAAGGAAAATTAGATTTAGTTCAGTGGTGGGAATCTACCTGAAACGTCTACGCAGCTGAGTAACCGAGTATAAACCTCACTGACACTAAGATTACCCGCAGCCATCTGTAGCGGGCTAACCCCCAATTTCCACCGCATCCAGAACAGCTACGAAAAGGTCGTATCCGCCAATTGTAGCTGATCGTAACATTTCAAGTTAACGTGTCCATTTCCACCGACTTCTTTCCGTTCCTCTGCGGATCCCCGGACTCCTCAGCTGATCACAAGAGTTCTATTTTTTCTGGACGTGCTGGAAAGGAAGTCGGGCACAGACACAAAATAAAACATCCTGCTTCTTTTCAAAATAAAACACTCCGTGTTTCAGGAGGATCGTATTTCACACCATGCAAACGGGCGGAGACGAACAAGTGAAAGGTTTTTAGACGTCATTTCACCCCGATGACACCATGGATGAGGAGATGCTGATTCTAGAAGTCTAGAAGTAGATTTCCTCCTCTGGAAGGATACAATCTACTGCTTTTATATCTATCTATCTGTCTTTATAGAGACAACTTGTTACCGCACGTGAATCTGCAGGTTCTTGTGAGTTCTCGCGATTCCCGCTGTCCGTAATCCGCCACGAAATTCACCTCACAAATGGATCCGGTACTAATTGGCGGAAGGTGAAAACCTCGCAGTTCCAGATGCGGTGAAAATTGGGGGTTAGCGGCAGAAATACATCAAATGTAACCTATATATGTGATATTATATTCAATATATGACTTATTTTGTAAGTTTAACCACAAACACAAATAATCAACCTGTTTTTAACCACACTGATATCAATGACTGGCAGCAGGTAGATGTTAAAGTTGGTGGCTGGTGTTCCTGTACAAAGTAAAAAAAAAACAGTTCAACTCTTATGACACAGAAAAGCATCACTGGCCACTTAAAAGGGGGCGGGGACTCTGGATTAAAGCAAAAGTTCCATTGAACAGGTTTAGTTACCTTCACGGTGTGCGGGTACAAAACTGCTGTCAGTGGACACAGGCCCTCGATGTGCTTCAGGACGCCTCAGCAGGGTGAAAGGAGCTCTGTCAGATTAAATAAGGAAAATCAAACAATGCCATGCAGATTAAGATTTAGATGGATTAGATTGAACATCATATTATTTTAAAGTAGTTAATTCATATTGTGGGAAAGAGGAAACAGTTGGAGAGGAGACATCTAATTCAAAACTTCAGCATAATAAAGTCTGGATATTAAAAAGTTCTGGAAATGAGAGTTTTAAAATTTCATGGTAAGTTGATAGAAATGATACAAATTATTATTATATTTTAATCTAAAAATGCAGAAAGAGTAATACTTGAGACGCTCTGGCCCACTCTCCATTTCAGCAGGTGGTGAAACGCACTGACTCCCCGTTCGCCAACTGCCAAGAAATTTTAAATAAGGAGGAGAGGAAGAAATCAAATCCAGACTGGGCTTGAAAAAGACCGCTGTTTCTCTCTGAGTTTATGTTTCAGGTTTTAGTAAGAGATATATTGTGTAGACAGCAGCTTGTCGTTGTCCGACAGTGTATAAATACATAGATTCAACAGTGTTTGTCTGAGATGGAAATGCTAACATGCCCGTCAAACCACTTGACCTCAAATAATCCAAAATAAATCAGCGAATGTCAACAAAACAAATGTTGAAAAGTTTTCTGACGCTTATAAAACAGACAAAAAATCAAGCTGTGACTGTCAAGAAGTTTGGGGTTCGTCATTTATCACACGGATGAAAATAAAACTGCACATGTCTGGAAACGTTTGACAAAAGTCTAATCTTTAAAGTTGAAATCGTCACCAGACACCGATAAATGATTATATTTGCAGTCTTAAAGTCAAGCTGTCAGAGCAACATGCTGAAGTTTATTCTTGTCTCGTTTCTCCTTTTCAGACAGAACTTTAATTTATGAGATAATGAACCCAAATCAGAGCACAAATAACCCGATTATTGGCAGAAATCCTGGAGCTAATCAATCAGGCTGGACTGGTACTCCATGTGGAAGATATCTGCCATCCAATCAGAGCTCATCTGTTTCCACGAGAGAGGAGAGAGAAACGTTTAGATTTGGTTCATCGAGTATTGTGCAGGACTTTTAAAAGTGCAGAAATAATGAAGTTGAAGTTGCTTCGTATATTTACAGTATTACTTTGAAACAGAGATGTTTACTTATGTTCAAAGTGTGAGTTTTCATAGGCTCAAAGACTCTGGTTCGAGTCCAAGCTGTCACATATGGCAACAAGCTGTCCCAAGACGCTCTGTGATTCAACAGGGGGAAGCAGTCGGGATAGTTTGGTCACGAAACGCTCTCTCTGCCAATGTGAAGAATTGGATTGGCACAAGTGCGTCTGAGGAGCAGCAGATCCAAATGTCCCTCCTCGTGTTTCTCTCTCCTATTGTGACACAAAAACATCATCCATGTGCCGTTTGTCTCCGCACAATGTCGGTCTAAAAATACGCCACTGTTGTTTTGTATCGAGACTAAAACGGCGTTTTAAACGCGTTTTCTTTGTCTTATCTGGTCGATATGTGAAACTCTGATAGGCAGGACTTCACTGTGAATTTACCTTCATACAAATATAATTTTCCTGAATCTTCTGTATTCATCTGACCTTGTGTGAGTGTGTGTGTGAATGTGCAGACAGGTTTTGGTGTGTGTGTGTGTGTGTGCGGCTGTTTCATACATTTCGTTCCAACTCCATCTGTCTCCGGCTGAAAGGCAGGTCTTCCGTCAGGTCTTATCAGCTCTCCTCAGACTGTGGGCTGTGACTCATTCAGGGGCCGTAGTCTGACACATCTGAAGCCCATCGATGTGGCTGTGAATGTTAACTCCTGCAGACTCCCGTCCCCGCCATCTTCAACTTCATGCTCTTAAGAGACTTTTACCTTTCACAGAAATGTGCGCGCGCAGGAAAGGGCAGACCTCCTGAATCCCGCTTTCTGTGTGTGAGACTGAGCGGTGAACAAAATCATGAAAACTCAAAACAGGCTGAGGTGAACTGGACTATTGCATGAATACGGATTATTAATTGAAATATAACATGAAATACTATTTTTTTCTCTTTCTACAAAGTCTGTTTCCTTTTTTTGCAGGAAAATAAACAAACAGACGCTCCAAAAAGACCTGTTTATATGAATTTAGTCGTACTTTATCATTTCCTTTAAGTAATAATCACCATATTAATCATTTTACAGACGCGGTAGTTCTTCTGCCTTAGCGTCGATCATAAATGTTCTTCCTTGAGCTGCGGCACCCCGCTGTAGTCTGTAATGGACTGGCCTGAGGTCTGGCTACAAACAAGCGTCTGCTGGAAGAGAGTCGGTGAGTTTAGTGTTTAGGCAAAGTTAAAAAGTTGTTTGGTGGCTAGCAGGGCTGGACCGATACAGATTTTTTGGGGCCGATGCCGATTATTAGGGGGGAAAAAATCTGATTACCGCTTAATCGGCCGATTTTTAAAATTTTTTATGAAGTTTTAAAAATGTTGTTAATTTAAGTAAAATATCTAGATATTCACTTATTTGTTAACAAATATTAACAAATGGCTGCTTAGAATTAAAGTGCTTTGACGGGCACTGATTAACCAAGACGAACAGAAATAGTGTTGAATTTTCTGTCACTGTTCCTCTTCCTCTATGCTAAACAAAACTACTAAAACTAAACTTCTGCACATGAATCTGATTATTAAAAAAGCCTTCAAGGTTTTGGCTTCACTTTTAGTACCAGCTGTTAGGTCCATCTTTTATATATTTAATAAAACGTATCCAGAACATGACTGTAACCCTTTTCTGAGCTGTTTTGACAGGATGTATTGTTGCTGTATTGACCGGGCGTGCTCACCTTCCAGTTCGTCTTCATCCCTCCTCCCTCCTCCTCCTCCTCCTCTCTCCTTCATCGCTCTCTGGTGGGTACACTCCATTGGTATGCAGGCTGATGTTGGCTGCTGTTTGCTGGGGAAGGATAAAGCAGTAATCAGTGCCAATGAAGCAGCTCTTGTCCCAGAGCACAAATGTGCCAACATCAGCAACACCAACAGACTTTGTGTGTCAGTGTGCGTGCGTTAGTGTGTGTGTGTGTGTGTGCGTCTTTGGAAGTGCTGGTGTGGAGGAAGTGGAGCAGTACCAAGGAGGTCACACAGAGGTCATTTTCTTTGACACAGATGTTAAATTACTGTTTTTTTTTCTTCTTCTGCACAGAGCCAGCTGTGCAATATGATCACATTCATCACAGCGAAATGACCGGCTCTGCTGTTGTGGGTTTTTTCAGGGTCCAGTCTGAGTCTGAGCCACAGCGAGGGAGAAGAATACGCTTTAACAGACACAGACACTATTTTATACGAGAAATTAAAGCTCCTGTAAGGAGTTTTTACTTGGTTTTGACACTGATTGAAATGGTACGGATGCTTCAAGAGGACATGCAAAGTAAATAAGACCATCAGGGAGAAGTAGGGCTGGGTGATATGGCCTCAAATTTATTTCATGATATATTCATGAATATTTATTTGACACCAAATATATTGACATGGGCAAAATGACGTTGGTTATAATCATAATTTTGGTATCTGTAAATTTTCAGTTTATCGCCCAGCCCTACTTGTTTTTACTTAAAACTTGGAATTGCACTTGAAAGACTTTTAAGACAAACCAGCTCCACACAATGAAATAGATTGACACTGAAGATACCGATATGGGCAAAATGACGTTGACTTTTGTCGTAAATTTCGGTATCTGTAAATTTTCGGTTTATTGCCCAGCCCTACAGAGAAGATAGACACTTTCATTCGCAGGGTCACAGCACACAGCTAATCTTCTGGATGAGTAATACCATAGACAGGATGAGTTATTTCAACACAACACTACTTGCACATAAACAGAATAGTATCAGCAGGGAAATAAGACAAAACACTTTGTGCACGTCAAACTGACGCACACCGAGAGTTCCTCAAAGGAGCTGAAATATTTGATCTGAATGTCGGACCCAGAGGCTCCGTTTTCAGTTCTGACTCTGCCGCTTTGACAAATGTTCTGGGACGACTTCTGCTGATTTATTTCTCACTTTTGTTTGCTTATCATCGAAAAAAAGGCAAAATAAAAGTGAGTCACAGAACAAAAACCGAATCAGGAACAATATCCTCCCCGTGTAAGACGCCACCCTCAGTCATCTAATCCCATCTTTTTGTCGACAGTTCATCTAGTGCGACGGTGTCTACGAGCGCTGTACCTCAACGCTTCAGTGGATGACTGAGATTGTTGCCTCCAGCTGGCAGCTCAGACGCATCAGTGTGTGTAAACAAACCTCACCCAGACAAAAAAAAAGGTTAAAATAATTAGTGTTGTGAGATCAGCCGCCTTAACAGTGATTATCCTCCTCTGCTGTTTGAACCAGAGCGCATTCATCCCCCTGATCTCCGAGCACATTAGCACACATTAACTTTGTTTGTCTTCCAATTTGTGTTTCCCCTGTCAATAAAGTTGTTTGATTTCAATGTTGACTGTGTTGAATCTGTCATTGATAAATCAAACCTTTTGTTTCTCTGTTTACGTTCATGATCCAGCCTCTTGTCTGTGTCTTTTCACGGTGAGAGTTCATGTGCGGATCTTTGCAGAGCGCTGAAAGAGGGTCAGTCCGGTTCAATGACGACTTCAAAGAACATTTTCAGCTGATTCGTCATCTAATTGCTGTTCATTCAAGTTACATTCAGAGCTCCAGTTGAATACATGTACCTGCAGCAGTGAAACCAACCAGAGTATGAAAGTACCTGATATATGATTAACTCTAGAAAGGACATTTTTGAGGTTATTACATTAAGTTAAAGTTCCTGTAAGGACAAAAACCTCCACTGCTGCTCTTCATACAGCCCACTGTGTGTTCCTGCTCTGCCCTCCGTCACACAGCTGGACACTAACAAAGAACTTTAGGGGCACAACGAAAATTGATGAAATAATGTGTGTCTTATTGGTTGGCACTAGAGCATGACACAGGAGTGGATTTTCACTCCTGTTCCATCCCACTACCAGAGCAAAAATCCTGTCCCGTCCCAATCCCGGATTGGAGTAAAAAAATTTATCCTGTCCTGTCCCACTCCCGTAGAATGACTCCCACTCGCATCCTGCTCCCACTCAAAATGACTCCGACTCCTGTCCCGCTTCTGTTTGAATAAAACCAAACATGTTGAAAAAACGATGCATTTTTTATTTAAAAAAAATAAAAAGGTAAAAGTGGCAGCCGAGTCAGTAGTATAAATATATCGTCGCTATCCAATAAAAAACACGTATCTCCAAATTTTTTTTTTTCAGGAACATTGAAAAACTATTTTATTCATAAACTACCTTACAGGATAAACCCAAAATACTGTAATTAGACACAATTAGGACTCAAAATAAAAATCTATATTTACACAGTCATCAGTGACCTGTTTGATATTTTAAACGGACCAACGTGCTTTGCGTTGAAAGTGACAGTAGACATACATGTTTTTTTTTAATAATGCGCTTCAATGACGTTTGGTAATTTATGAGCTGTGAGTTTCCCGTTTATGTCCCACTATGTTGATAAACTATGGATAGCAGGCTATAAAAGATTTTCACATTGCACATTGGTTGTCAACCTTTTTGAGTCGCGACTCCCGATTTAACATGAACTAGTGTCCGTGACCGAGTGTGAGAGAGAAAAGAGCAACAGCTTTGCCTCTGAGGATGAACTTCGGCTCAAGAAATCTAACGTTCAGGTAAACAGCACTGTCATGGTTAGAAAAAAGTTTGAGGTTTAGTGTAGCATTACTCTGGACTATAATGAGTCAGTCACAGTGTAAAGACATGACAATACCAGGGCAAGAGATACAAGCTTTGTTGACACTTCCGACACCCAATGGAGATGCTTGTTGAAAAGTTGATTTTATAAAAAGTCTTTCCATCGGTCATTTGGAGACACAAAGCTACGGGTTATTAGGGAAGATGACGGACCATGCATGAATTGAAAAAAGTCCAGATCGCTTAAAGTGGAGATATGTGTTTCTCATTAGACAGTTACGATACAACATAAAGACAGGGCTTAATTATAGTGTTTTATTTTTATACTGTTTCAACATTATATTGTTTATTTTGTCTCAAACTGGACAGTTTTATTCCTCCTCTCTGTGTTTCCTAAACTCCCTCAACAATCGTACAATCTGGCCCGCTGAGAGCAGAATGGAAATCACAGCGACAGAAATAAACACAGAATAAGGACAAATTTGTGGCGTTGCACGATTATTTTATATCATCATTTCAAGACTGGAAGTGTTGCTGTGTAAATTTCACCAATTCGATCTCATACTGCAGAAACATCATCTAACAGTAAGATAAATGTCCTCACAGCATCACTCACGGTGTTTACTTCATAAAAAAATCACCTGTGCTACTTCATTTAAAATGTGGATGGTAATGAATGTCAATGTACAAACAGCTCCAGAGGGTCAAAGGTCTGAGTCAGCGAGTCTTTCCAAGGTAAAGGAGGAATTAGCATGCAGGAATTTAAATTACAAATGGGGTTTTGATTGTCAAAAGATGGATGATACCGAGGAGCTGCTGGAACTTTGTGAGGGCGTGCAGCCAAGACCACAGTGACGTGGTGTTTTTTTTTTTAGTGGATGCACAAACAGACTGTATGTGTTCCCACCTCCTCAAGGATGTTTCTCTATTGACTTTCCCCTGACAGTAAGGATAGGCTCAGTGGGAGTGTGTCAGTTATTATCAGGCGCCACGGAGCAATTTTGATGTCACGATTTCTGTACTTTGCACTTCCCACCAGCACAGACCTTACCTGAGGGGCACAGCATATGGGTTCTATAATAAACTTGTAGCTTTTGCTCTATCTGATATCTCAAATCAGGTCCTGATAAGAAACAGCTTGTAGATGAAAAGTCAGATTATTACTCAGGCTGTTTATTAGAGTCTTGTAGATATACTGCGTTTAAACCAGGTTGTGCAGTTCGATAACCGACTTCTTTTACCCGTCCTAATGTCTCAGTCTTTCGTTAATACCACTGCTTTATGTTGCTTTTCATGCAAGTTTCCAACAATGCCACAGCTCTCCTTGGGTTTGCAAAAGCGTTATCTCCTCCTAGGCTAATTTAATTTAAGACGCTGTGTATTTACTCGTGTTGAGTAAATACTGTACCTCCCGCACAAGGACACTGAATCCCCTTGGGAGAATCTTTTGTGGCAGCTGTGCTGAAGGCCGCTCTCATCAGGAAATGCAGAGTGCACAGCTTTCGCAGGAAAGTAAAAGCGGCGGTGATAAGATTGGTTATGACTGATGCCAGCCGCTACCAAACTAACTGATAATGTATTCCCCCAGAACTCAGACTCTCATGAGCCGTGCTGGAGTCCTATCGTCTGGACTAAAACTACAAAGTTTGCTCACATCAAAGCTAAGCTCCTTTTCTTTCTGTTTATGTTATTTGGTTTTACGCTGGAGCGGCTGTGTTGCAACAACAGCTCTGACCTTGGAGGTCTGGCTTCTAAAAGGTTTCATGTATGCAGAGCCGGAGAGCTGAACAGATCCACGACTGTGACAGATCCACACCCCTCTGAACCACCAATTACAGTTATCTACAATTACCTGCATTTTATATCTGTAAAACAACTTAAAACCTTTTAAATCTCAGTTGCACGAATGTAAATACATCCAATATTGCACTACAGCATAATTTATCTGTCATATTCTAATATCTATAGTCTGTTTACAGCCTTCATATTTATAACCATATGTATAATCTGTTCATAGCCTGTACATGCTTATAGTAATAGCATATTCATAACAACGTCATATACCCCTGATATGCTCATGTATCTCCTTCATACCGTGTACATTTGTAGATATATTTCTGACTTCCTTTTAAGGATTTTAGATTTATTTTAAATTTTTTACTTATCATGTTTTTATGTATTGTCTGTCTAATATTTCTGGTTTATTCTCCCAAAATATCAACTTATATTATCCCAGTATCACAGAGATCAGCCTCGCTTTTATACTCTTCATTCCTTGGCGATGATTTTGACCCCTGAATGAGATCGTATGTGATACTATTGTGATATTTTATGTGTTTTTCTCGTATATTTTCATGCACAATCTCATGCACATTATTAGTCATCCCACTTCTGTTTCCTTCGCCACAATGCTAGTAGCCTACGGGTCAAATTGTACATTTCCGACTTTGGATAAAGCTAATGTTAGCATTAGCTTGACCGAGATTCAATGTACATTTCTGACTATCATGGTAAATGGACAGGGAAAATGTCATAGATGGAGCCTACAGACAAAGACAACAGTTTTATTAATTACTAAAAAATCATGTGATTCATGTTTGATACTCGAATGACGTCGCTCAATCTGAGCCGATAACTTTCGAGAAAGAAACAGGGGTGGATCTGTCACGGTTGTGGATCTCCGGCTCTGCAGACACCACCTACTCGTTTCATGAGTTCTAGTATGTTCCCCCCCTTCTGGACTAAGCTCGACTTAGAGTGTGTGTGTGTGTGTGTGTGTGTGTGTGTGTGTGTGTGTGTGTGTGTGTGTGTGTGTGTAACCAGCATGTGACTGCCTGCTGTGTGGCCCCGTCTCTTGTCTGACATGCCAGCCTAATCTGCTATCAAACAGCCTCACAGACCTTTGCCTCTTACAATGGCTGCCTAGCCCTGATTAGTGTGTGTGTTTGCGTGTGTGTGTGTGTGAGTGTGTGTGTGTGCGTGAAGGTAAAAGGAGGAACAAGGAGGACAATAAGGCGTGATGAAGGGGGTTCAAATAAGGGGCAAGGTGGGACATTCCTTTTTATGGATTGCAGAGCCCAGAGACTGTACAAACTCACACACACACACTTACACACACACATATGAACACACACACACACACACACACACACACTCACAGCTTTACATGATTGCACACAGAGTCTCACAAAGATTAAAGGCAGAGTTGTGTCGCAGAGTTACCTATATTTCACGCGGTAAAGTGGCGATGGTTATAATGCAATCTCTTCCCAAGAGCCCCCTAGTGGCCCCATAATACGTCAGGAGACACCCGCTAATAAAAGAGCTATTTCACAGCCACACAGGCAGTAAATTCACGTGCCATGAGCCGAACTTGCGTCGGCTCTTGTGGGCTCAATCTCCATCAGGACTTTCGTTTACAGTTGTTGCGCTCATGTCCATATTTGCAATTTCATGCATCCAAGCACTATTTCATTTCCTCTCAATGCGAAACTTTGGCACGGAGAGCTTCCAGCATCATCTGCTCTTTGGGGTCTCGACTGTGTATGAACTTAAAACTTAAATTGAAGTTGAAAAAAAAAAAAAGAGCATGCTGGAAGAAAAGGGATGAAGTCGCAGAGCGTAAGCTAAATGGCAGCAGCTACTTATTTCTTCACCTTCTGAGGCGTGTTTGCCAGGTGACTATTAATGTTCAATCAGTGATCGATCAGAGCCATTCAACGTCGGTGTCACACTGGAGTTCATCCTTCACCAACCGTGTTATTTTGTTGTCAGGAATATGCTTTGAATATTCTTTAATTAGCGGCCCACACACACTTTGTTTTTAAGTATGCTTTTATGAGGTCTGTCAAACTGTCTTCTTGAAGCCCCCATCCTGAATTAGTTTCAGTTTTCAGGGTCAAGTACGGTCCATTTGAGCCGAGCTGAATGTCAGCCTGTAAATAACCACCTCGGACAGAGCTGCTCTCAACCCCATCATCGAGTGCTCGATATTTCTGAAGCCAGCGTGATGAAATTTGTGACAGCTTTACATCCCGCTGACACAAATGGACGGATACGGTAAACCTTGAACAGCCCTGTACTCCACTCAAAAACAGCAACTTATGCTGGATTATGACATCCAAACATCGACACCCGGGGTCACCAAAACTTAACCTCTGCTAAAAAAAAAAAAAAAGGGCTTCTTTGGCTCAGCGTAAACGCAGCTTTTGGCGTTTCTGCAGCCAGCCTCAAGTCGACACTTGGGGAAATGCAGATTTTAGCAGTTCAGCAGGTGTCAATGACAATAACATAGGTAAGAGTCATGACAATGAGACAAACGCGAGGTTGAAACCAAAAGGATAAAACGATGCAACAAGGCTTACCCCCAAACTACAACAAAAGTGGAACAGCAGCGAAAAGGCAGATGATCAGCGCCGATTGCCGCTGATCGTTTCCATTTAAGTTAAGGTGTCAAATTCCGGTGGCTTCCTGCGGTTCAGCGGACTCCGCAGCCTATCGCCAGTCTTCTATTTTTTCCGAACACATGCCGTATAAATTCAGCACAGATTAGCCTGGGTTGGAAAGGAAGTCGGGCAAAGACACAAAATAAAACATCCGGCGTCTCGAAGTGAAAAGGTTTTCAGACCTCATTTCATCCCGATGACACCATGGATGAGGAAAAAGACATACTCATAACATGTTATTTTATAATCGGTTTCATGGATATAGATAAATATTGCACTTACCCATGGGTAAATCCCAATCTCCACAAAACGTCTGATCTGCTGGTCTGGACAGAGTAGATTTCCTCCTCTTGAAGGACACAATCTACTGCTTTTATGGTTATGTGGCTGTCTTTATATAGACAACTCGCTATCACTCGATTGCATGTGAATTCGCAGGTTCTGTTGAGTCCTCACGATTCCAGTGAAATGTACAGCCGTTCCACATGCAGCGGAATTTGGGGGTCAGCGTAAACGTGGCTTTTGGTGTTTCTGCAGTCCTCGAGTCAAGACTTGGGTAAATGCAGATTTTTCTGCAGGTGTCAGTGACAATAACTCTGGTAAGAGTCATAAAAAATGAGACAAACTCAAGGTGTTTGATCCTGAAACCAAAAGGATTAAATGATACAAGGCTAAGAATCATTCGAGGATTTTACAAAAGCCTGTTACTGTAACCAGACGTTTAAATACACCTTGTGATTTGTGCAATTCCTACAACAAATAAACGGATTACAGAAGCTGTTGAGTATCCAGAAAAGGAAAATACTTCTGTTTGGGTGAAAAACAGATTTAAAAAGTATAAAAAGCTTGTGTGAAAATGTTCTGACAGTTGTGGAAAAGGATTTTAGTGGTACTGAAATACCAGCAGGAAAATAGAAGATAAAAGCCCGGTGAATGGTCTGTGATTTTTGCAGCCAGACCAGCAGGAAATCAAATATCCTTTTCTGAGTAAATGTGAACCGTACATTCAATAACCTTCACCGTTATACATGTTAGAAATGAGTCAAAGGACCGAAGCTCTTACTGCCCCTCACAATGAGCGGAAAAGGTTGCGAAATGTAGGGCAGAGAGCCGACCCTCTCCCTGAGAGCGGGGGGTAAAAATGGCTTTCTCAGTCAGTTGGAGGTCAGGCGTTGACTGCCGGAATAGATTTTCATTCCAGACACAGGTAGTACGAGAGAGTCCCGCATCCCGCTCTCCCCTGGGCTTCAGGCAGCCTGTTAAAATGCTGAAGGCTAAATGCAGACACTCTTGAACATGGACACACACTCTCATAGGCACACACACACACACACACACCGGCACAGCTCTGAGCCTGCTCTGATTTCCCAAATCGTCCTCCAATTGAACATGTATGTGAGCATGAGCAGATGAGATGTAGTCCTCTAGCTCAAGTGCCCTTGACCACGTCCACCTCTCCTGAAAAACAAATGTTGTCTTCTCCTCTTTTGTCCGTCATTGGCCGTGTCCTCCTCTCTATCCTCATCCAACCTCCGAGTACCTCGTCCACCTCTCTTGACTTCCTACCTCTCTTTGTTTCGTCTCTTTTCTCAAGTGTTACACCAACTATTTCAAATATCTCCTCTCTCCTCTCTTTCTTCATTCTTGCTTTTTTGCCTGTGAATCTTCCCTCACTGACATTTCTGGTCAATAATCTTAAGGGAAACATGCGCTTTGAATCTAAAACAGAACCTGCTATTTCCCAAAGTTTCGGGTGAATCACAGTATCTTCCTTTCTGTCCATCTCCTTCTTCTGAATGTGCCTTCACAAAACTCCCTGGCTATGTCATACAGTACACTTCTGTTTCTCCATGCTGTTCTCCTTTATTCCCACACCTCTTCTTCTTCTTCTTTTTGCATGAAGACGTCTTTGTTAAATGTATGAAAGGAGGAGAGGAGGGAGAACTTGGCAGAATAAGAATTCAATCAGCGGATGCCACCGAAAAACAAAAAGCAGAAAAGGCGAATGCCGGCTTATCTCGACAATAAAGCTGCGTGCTTTCTGTCGACAACAACATCTTTTTCCAACAAACATCTCTATACTTTGCGGCGATAGTGTCATGGGAGCTCATTGTCAAAACATTAGCTGTCCAGGTTCACCAACAGCAGCAGGCGTTTACAATTACCCCTTTTATGTGAGTTTGGAAAAGCCCAACGCTGACTGCAAAGCCAAGGGTAAAAACAAATGTCTGTCTCTAGAACTTTTTACTGCAGTAAACAAAACACTTACACAAAAGTAGAGAATTAATGTTGTCACTCTTCACAACGTTTATGATCATTCAGGTGAGTTAAACTCGTGGACAGTCATTGAATAGTTTCTGCAGACTAGGACGAGGGAAAAACACATACCTGTTTTTGTAGTATGTAGTTTTGGCGCTGTGGGCAGGTGATAATGGTGCGTTCCAGTTGTTCTCAGATGTAGGAATTTATGAGCTCAGAGTCAGAACTTTCAACTGGAATGAACGTCGAGGTTGGATTTCCGACTTGGAAAGTTGAACGATCAACACAGTCCCCGAGTTGATGTTTAAAGATGGCAGCATTTTGTAAACAATGAAATACTTAAAAAGAAAAAATAGCCTACCTCCTGCGCCTTTGTGTTTCCTCTTCATCCACTGTGTTTGCATTTCGCAGAAGAACCTCATATTTGTCCAGAAGTAGCTTATATTAGGACAAGGCAAGCGCTAAGATAACTTTCGTAGATGTAGCCATCTTTTTCCGACTTGGTAACTGAAACGATGGTAACTTGGGTGTGACGTCATTCCCAGCTCCGACACCTGACTTCCGAGGTAACTTGAACGCACAATAAGTCCTGCTGGAAGTAATAGCAGGAATAGTAAATCATGATAAAAATTTTGATGATAACGATTACCATTCTAATTTCAAAAGCTGGTGCATGTGTATCGGGGGTTTCATGAATCAGCTGTGAGATCACCGATGATAACTCGCCAATGCTAATGCTCAGCGCGAATGCTCTGCGGTGCGCCGCACATATGTATACTGATACATGAGTCCGAGGTAAGAAGAAAACTCATTTGTGGCAGCGTGCCACGATTAATTGCATGTAGATGAAACTCCCTGTTAATCAGCTTCATCTGACTCGCCTTAAGTATCTGTGCAGGCGAGCTGTGTAGCCTACAATTTGCATTTATACTTTCTATTAAGTTTGAAATGGAATCATGGTGGACGGAGGAGACCACAGCGCCAAAGACATCCATCAGCCCTCTAGAGGACTCAGTCGGAAGTATGGGCATATTTTAAGTTTTGTAGGAATGTCGAGGAAACGCTTAATTGAAGATAGAAATCATGTCTAAATACGATGAAACGACAAAAACAAGGCATCGTTAAGCGCTAGTTAAAAGCGTCAAAAACGTAATTAATGCCTTTGAATACATTTTTTAAAATACTGCAGTAATACTGGAAAACATGCTTATTTTGGTCAAAATAACCGTGAGGTAGTATTTTCATACTGTTACATCCCTAGCTGGAAGAGAGTATCAGCATCTTCATGAAGTTTGTCAGGTGATGAAGCATGAAGCGCCTCAGTTTATTGATGGACAGCTAAATTATCTCAGACTTCAGACACCTGCCATACCATCCCTATTTGGTCCATCAGGTCCTTGTTATCACTTACGGTATATTATAAAAACATCTCCTGGTGTTGAACAGTTTTAACCCACTACTATCTTGTTTACTTCCTGTTACATGTGAGTAAATGTATATAAGGGATAGTGTAAGCTTGGCGTTTCCTGACATGCTTCATACCATCCTGTCTTTATCTGTTTTTTATTTGACCTGTGTGAGATTAAACACATCCATTTGTTCTTCTTTACAGACACTATTGTCCCCGGTTGGTTTTTCCCTCTCCTTTCCTTCCAGCCCGTCTCTTTCTATTGTCCTCCATCACTCTGTCTTTCTCTCATCTCTGTCAGCATCTTATTTTCTTCTCTCTGTGTGCTATTTCCCTGCTGCGTGGCTCCTGTCATGCATTTTGCTGTTTGGCTGTCAGTTCAGCCGGTCTGTGGCCTGTGCTACGGTATGCATATGCAATTTAATTACTGATGCTCCCCTCTGACAGCCAGTTCAGCTCTGTAAAGATCTCGGCTCTTTCTAATATCCCAGGAGATATTGTTCAGTGTGCAGTTTGAACAGAGAAGAATGTCTTTTACATTTAGATAGCTTGTGTGTGTCTGAATTGTTTTACATATAGTATTTTGTTATGGATGTAAACATTGGCTACTGTAATTACACACTGCTCATTTGACGTTTGTTTTTACAAGGTGAACTATCAGTGATCATTTGTTCCATTATTCTACGACAACAACAGAAACACTTACTGCAGAGGTGTCATCATAATAAATACCATAAACCTGCACAGGTGAACCTTGCTAATGGCAAAATTCTAAAGACACCAGTTCAATACTGCTCGCTCTTTTTGATCGCTGTAAATATTTATTGTAGTTTGCTATTCATAGTTCCCACTGGATGAACCTCACTAACGTTATTGATTCCTTTATTGATCCCCAACCATGGTGTTCACAAATATGAAGAACTACAGGTTTTTTGAGCGTTACAGGTTACAGACGAGGCTCCTGGAATTAGGAAGACATTAAAATTATTCACACTAGTAAAAACATTTGTGCGAGTAAAATCATTCGCGCGAATGAATTACATGTTAAGCCAACACAAAGACGCGATTAGACGCTCCTACTTATCTGGCAGCGTCAATGACGTGAATTGGGCAAGAGCTGAAAAAGTCTCAATTTGAGTGGGTATTTGTGTCACGATATTTGTGACGTATGATAACGGTTGTTCACTGGTAACTGAAGTCGGTGTGTGGGTGCCCCGATTTATATACCTTTTCTTTCAGTTACCAAAACCAGAATAAAAAGGAGCTCACCCAGAGGCAAGTGAGTGTGGAGGTCGGATTACCTTGTAAATTGTTAAAAACCTTTGTCTATCACTTGATCCCACCGGTTGAATTGACAGGGATTACTATTGAAATAACCAGTGACGCGCAAATGAGTGAGTAAATACTATTTATTCACGCAACTAGATTCGCGTGAATTAAGCGAGTAGATGATTTTACTCGTGCTCGGTACGATTGGACTAATCTCCATGATGCTTGACTCCAACATTCCTGCTCCCTGAGGGTTAACTGCTGACACCTCCAGTTTGTTTAATTACACAACAAAGACTAAACTTACCACTTGGATTTCTTACTATTCACCTCACTGTGTTGAGTACTTGATTCTGATTGTTTAAAAGCCCATAGCAACTGTTATCAGACCAGAGTAAACCAGATCACACGTTCTGGCACATTATTATTTTTTAATTGACACCGAAGTAAACAGTTAGTTCCCATTGGCATACTGATAAGTCAGGTTAAAACAAAATGGATATTTAAAAATCCGGTCCTGTCCTGGCCTTCAGGCAACAGCAGCAGAGCTGTCGAGAGCATATTTATTCACCGACAAACAACCTTAAACCCTGAGCGGCAGCGGTAAAGCAATTGTATTAAAAGTTGTAACCTTTACCTAATTTATTTTTAAAGAAGTGTCGACCACGTAATTTGACGAATGAGGACAAAAGTCAACATTTATATTCTTGGAGAAGACCCATTCAACCTTGTCTAACGTAGCTGTCAGTGGACTGATTATTATATTTTCAAGCTACATCTTTAACCCTGACTGTTAACTGAAATGTTCAGTCTCAGAAGTCTGTACAAAAATAATCAATTCCTTGGTTGAATCATCTTTAAATCAATAGTCAGTGTCAATTTTTCCATGACCCTCGATAGGCGGGTAATAAGCAGGGAATGCATGTGGTGTGGGTGGTTATTTAGGTTATATAGAGACTTGACCCTGACGCAAAGCTTCAGCATATTTTATCAATTCTGTGTCTGACAGGGAGGCACTCGAGGGCTAAGAGAGAACATGAACAAAACGGCACGTACGGAGGAACAAGCCTAATCTCTTCATACACAGACAGGTTGTCATTTGTCAGCCAGCCAAGGCGAGAGGAGAAATTAAACTTGAAAGTTACACTTGCCGGCAACAGTGTCAATTTGCATTTAAATATGTTTGACCCCCCTGCAGCAAGTCCCTCTTTTGTCGGATGGGTTACAGTAATTAAGCCCAATTACAAGGATCTGTTTCGTCTTTCCTCTTAATTTTAGGGTGCCCATGCATGAAAAATGGGGCTTGTTGAAGAGTCGGTCGTTTCAACCAGAAGAGTCACAGGCTACAGTCGTAAAAGGAAGGAGAACGAAAACACTAAATGGTCAGAAAACACCGTCATAAGGTAAGTGAATTTCCCGTTTGGTGACTCTAAAGCTCGTGTATTTGAGTGGAATGACTAAATTCAGTTCAGTGTTTCTCTTCTTGTTTTTCTCATTGGTCTAAATCTACGACTTCAACTTCAAATCAGCTCTTTTTTTGTTTGAAGCGTCTCTCTCCAAAGAACCTGGAGTGTGCTTTTTGTTGTGAACAACCAGACAACTAAGAAACACCGATTTTTCTTATTGTTCCAACATGAAGGTTGAGTATTTTTCTACTAAAATGTACAAGTGGTGAATAAATAACAACACAAACCTCTTCTACAAGCCAAAACATCCACTCTTTTGTGCTTTTGTGCATACTTCATACAAGTCAAAGCTGATGTTACCTACTTTTTCTTTGGGTTCTTGGACCATGAGATCCTCAAGTGAACTCTCTGCACATCTCCCACTCAGGTTGGTTGGTGATAAAAACGGTTGAACCTTGATTTTTCTGCAGGAGTCTGCAGATTACCAACTGTCTGCTGCTGCTGCTGCTGCTGATGTTGTGGGGCCGTCAAGGGTAAACATACAGGATGGACATCTAAAGGGATGTGCCATGCTTTACAACCATCTGTGAAAAACATCGACCCTGGTTAAGAGCAGAAAAAATGCTTTAGAGAAATACAAGGGCCGGATTCACAGAGTTTTATTTATGGGTTTAACCCCTTACAGGCTGGGTTAAGAAATCAATAGTATTGATACTGTGTCCTGTGTCGTCAAAATTGTACAATAACTTTTAACTGACGTTGTCTTTTTAATTTCCAATTCAACCCACCGAGCGATTCAGCCGAGACGTGAAGTCTCTTTTCATTGACAGGCAGGTATTTCACTGTCATTAGCCCCCTGCCTCTGTATTTATTAAAGCTCCATTAAGGTCCTCGTGTGAGTTTGGGTAATTTCGGTCCTTAATTAATTCTGTTTTCTCATCAGTCATACATCAACTAATAAAAGAGTGCCTTTTAGCCCTGTGCTAATAGTGGTTTTCATTAACCTTGATTCAGTTAATGTCTGTGTTTAGTTCATCCTTATTTTCCCTATGCCTTGTTGTCATTACCTCTTCGTGAGCAGATGACTTAATCACCTCTGTCTTTCCTGCATTTACTCGTCATTTCTAGGAGTACCCTCTCTTTTGGGATGTCGTTTCATGTTTGAGTGCGCTCACTCATACTGTTTTTTAGTGCTGAATTATATTAAAACAATGGCACAACAGCCTCCACCACCATCCCTGTCTACAAACTAGGGCTGGACGATAAACCGAAAATTTACCAATACGAAAATTTACGACAATAACCAACGTCATCTTGCCAATAACGGTATATTCGGTGTCAAAAAAAAAAAAGTTGTTTTTGGATGTGTGTAGGTAGGCTATAGTCTCGTGTCCCTTTAAGACTCTGTCCTACATCAGAGATGTGACTCCACCCCATCCAGTCTGTAACAAAGAGGGAAAGACAGGTGAGGAGATGGAGGACGGTTCAAAAGTTGAAAAGACGAAGTTAATGTGGGAGGGGGTGAGCAGCTTGTGGAGTAGTTATCGTCCATTTATCGTTATCAAGGTGAACTGATCAATTTATTGTGATATTGATTTGAGGCCATATCGCCCAGCCCTAACTCAAACAAACTGTGAGTTGCTATTGGAGGTGTTAGTGAAACAAGCATGACATCCCTTAACTAATGAGCTCTTGTGGTTAGCTCTCTTTATGCTACATTAGCGGAGGCCTGGCTAATTGCTACTGATGAAGTACTCGCACATGCATAGAACTATAGAATAGAGTTGAATAGATCTGCCCTGAGGATTGTCCCTCTGTCATGATACCTGATTTAGTTTTTGAGTCTGTATCTGGTTAACACAGGATACCAGGATGTGACATTTTACAGATTATGATTACTAAATTATTTATTAAAGTGTACTGAATGAACAAATGATATTATTTTCAAATTTGTTAAGGATAACGTGAAGTGACCTGATGGTTTCGTGAATTAGACTTGAGTAAAAAACACTCTATTACGATGATTTTCCTGCTTTAAAAGATTCAAATAGAGAGATATAAATAATAAACCCTCAGTTTCAAGGTTGCTCATCTTTCAGTAGAAACGGATTCTTATCAGCAGACTTGCCTCATGCATTAATATTAAACATCTGAATTCATGGTCAACCAGAACAAACGCCTGACAATTTGTTATGATTCACATTAAACTGAACACAACCCTTGAAGGTTACGTTAAAGAAGGAGTATGTGATTTCTGCAGGAATATTTATGTTGACATTAATTCCCAGACCACAGGGTCTGTATGTATGTGTAGATCTGTATAATATATATCTGTTTTAACACAGCATCAGTAGTGTGGGTGGAGGCGTCCACAGCAGTGTCACATTCACTCACTGAACAGAATGAAAATCCTCCGGCCTGTAGTTATCGGGTTATTTGCCCTTGACTGTACAGAATATTATCATCTGTGGATTTCTCATTGTATCCAATAATTAACTTGACTCTGTTGAGCTGTCTATACATCAACACCCATCTGGGGATTGTAATTCCATTCAGTGGCCTTGTGAGTGTGTGTGTGTCTGTGTGAGTGTGAGTATGTGTTGCAGCAGAGCCAACAGATCTTCCCATTTCCGAATGTAAATAGAATCTTAGTAAGGGTGGGGGAAAAATTGATTCACATAAGTATTTAAATTTTTTGTTTAACAATCTCTAAATCGATTTTTTTGGGGTAAATATGGTTCCTGCAATAGTCAGTGGACAATCAAAATAATTCAACTGTTTCACTGGTGTTAAAAATGCAGATTAAATATCGAGAAAATCAACAATATCATAGAGTTGCAATTTAAATCGAGTCAGCATCCGAAAATCATCCCAGCCCTAAATCTTAGCTGCAAGTCTCAGGGCTTTACACACAAACACAAACACAAATGCACGGACATTAGGGCTGGGCGATAAACTTAAAATTTACAATACTGAAATTCACTACAATAACCAACGTCATTTTGCCCATATCGGTATATTTGGTGTCAAAAAAATAAATAAATGGTTTTGGATGTGTGTAGGTAGGCTATAAAACCCTATCTTAGAGCTGGGCAATAAACCGAAAATTTAGAGGTCAATATATCATGATGCTGATTTGAAGCCATATCGCCCAGCCCTACCCTATCTGACTATTTTTGTATTGTAAATGAATATGTTATGGCTGACTTTGATTGGAATATATTCTTAATTTATTGGTTTTAATCATCTTTATTTTATATACCTAAATGCAGGTTTCTGTTTGGTTTGATCTTGTCCTCTGTGTTTTTCTGTTTTGACAAACTGGGAACACTTAAATCATTAAATTTCTCTGAGTGGGTTTTTAGTCGTTTGGGCACAGGTCAGGACCAGTAGGAAACATAGAGGTAGGGCTATGCAATAAACCGAAAATTTACTCATACCAAAATTTACTTACTACAACGTCACTTTGCCCATATCGGTATCTTCAGTGTAAAAAAAATGAATAAATAAAAGTTGGTTTTAGATGTGTGTAGGTAGGCTTTGGTCTCATGTCCATCTAAGACGCTGTCCTACGTCAGAGACGTGACTCCACCCCATCCAGTCTGTAACAAAGAGGGAAAGACAGGTGAGGAGATGGAGGACGGAGAGAAAGTTGATGCGGCTGAAGTAGACGAAGTTGTGGAGTAGTTATCGTCCATTTATCGTTATCGAGGTGAACTGTTCAATATATCGTGATATTGAATTGAGGCCATATCGCCCAGCCCTAACTCACACAAACACATATATTCACGGACATCCTCTCATAACCGGGAAATAGAAGGTCGTTGAACTTTGGTCCTTAGGGGTTCAGCTTCTACTTCCATCAAACAGTCGGTCCCAAACAGGCGCTCTGTGTCTCACTTAGTGTCTGCACACATGCAGAGCCTTTTATAGGACATCAGCTGCCCCGGCTATTAGCGGTAATTATGAGTGAGTCAGCGGCAGCAGCAGCACAGGGCCCATTCATTTGTTACTTACACACCAAGGGACACAAACAGCAGAGCACAGAGGGAGGAAGAATGACATAAGAGCAAAAGCAGCTCTGTTAGGAAGAGTGACACACAATCCTCATCACCGGAGACATTTTCAGCTGAAGTGCACTTCCATTTGTCCTTCTCCAATTTGACAAAAATGACAGACAGGCCAGAAAAGACCAAAGTGTTGATAGAAATTCTTAAGAGCAGAGCATACAACACGACAAAAAGGAAAGTTTCACAGGAGAGGCTTCAAAATACTTGTCAATATATGAGGGTTAGAAACGGGAAACGTGGCGAAAATACTTTACGAGGAAAACAAGAGATCAATAATCCAAACATGTTAAAGAAATGTTGGTAAATGAAGGGAAGGAAACTCCACCGTCTCCCACAAAAACAAACGATATGAAGATGACAAGCAAAAGCAAAACTGCGCTGGATAAGAGAGTTTAATTGACAGCAAAAAAACAACATGGTGAAACACGAGAAGAAAGAAAACACACAATAATAAGGAAGAAGCTCCAATAAAGAGAATTACTCTTGAACCCCAGGGAGGGGAGTTTGTTTACACGGTTCATACTGTTGGACAAATTATTACTCGAACGCACGCTGTGACAATTTCCGACCCCGAGTGATCAAAATAGAAAAACTGCCAAGTATCTTCAGAGGCATAAACACAGATGTAGCACAACATCTGTCCAGAAAACATGTCAGTTATTACAATGATAAGAAGCCGAATGAAATGAGCCTGCTTTTCCGATAAATCTACTTTATGTACTTTAATGTGAAAAAAAAAAAAAGATCCTTGGAGGAAAGTCTGAATGCAAAGAGAACCGGCTTTTGGTGCCACATTGGAGAAAAGGAAAAAACAGCCGACGATTCAAGGATGTTTGAAATTCTTTTCCTCATGGGGTCATGTTTGTTTCTCATCCTTTTAACCTACATTTAGTCGACTTTAATGACACTGAAAAACCTCTTTCACTCCAAACTCGTTGACAGGAGATGTGATTTTCTGCACAGGAAGTGTTCTGGATTAGTCTGATTAGTATCGACGGGGAAGAAAGTCGATGTAAAGAGCCAAAGCAGGTGAAATGCACACTACTGTCATGACATCCTCACTTCTGATAACGATTAATCTATCTCCATTATCGGATATCTTTGTTCTGGACACTACAGCGACAGATCTGCTTGATTCTGTGATGATTTTCAAACTGCTTTTAATGATCCAACCTCCGTTTAACAAACAACCACTTCAAAAAGTTGAAGAAAGACGAGGTTTGATTTTTTTATTGTTAGTCTCTGTGAATTGTTAATAAACGGTGAGAAAATTGTGTTTCTGTTTCAGGCTCGTGTTGCTTCAGCGTAACAAACTTTTTTACTGAGAACTTTTTAATGAGGAGGTTTTATTACAGGAGATGTAACGGGTCAGAAATGATGGTGATTGGGTCTCATGTGTAAACACTGCATGGCTGAGAGACACTGAACACTGCTTTAACACAAACGAAAAGTTAGCGTCTGTTCTGGCTGGCATGTATTGTGTAGTATAATCAGACAATAATAGTCGATAAATTACGTTATAAAAGGTAGGAATACTGACCCCGTCTGTGGCTGCACTTTTTTGGTTTTGTGTAAAAATAGGGATTGATCACTACCACTATGAGTATTGATAATAAAGATGTGTATGCAGCATCTAACCTCAATCTAATTCACTGTATCACATGAATAATGATGAAACAAGTTAAGCCTTCCATAAGGCAGAAGTATACTGACATGCAGATATAAGACAAAGTCGTCTGTTATTCACAAACATTAATTTGATTAATCCTTTTATTAAAACAAAACTTGAAAATGAACGGTCTTGACGTCTTTCTGTATTTTGAAGAGGTGTTCTCACACCTGAAGCAAATCTTATCTCGCCTCAGTGGGATCAATTGTGTTTATTTGCCTTCGTTAAAAAACAACCTGCAGATACTCAGTTCACCTGATATGTTAGAGAACTTAGTGCTTTTATATCTTCACAGTTTGGTGAATTTTACTGCATGAACTCTTCTGCTATAAAGGTTGTGACACACCGGCGAATTAGCGAAGCGAATAATTCACTTTTTTTTTTAAAAACATCATAAAGTGAATGCAAGCTTCCACTCCGGCTACCAACTTCTGCAGAGCGTAAAAGCAACTGTAATTTTTTTGCCCCTGTAGCGAATTTTGCGAACAGCCAAAGGCGAGCAGCTATAACGTTGCTCTGGATCAATCGGCTCTCTGTAATTTGTCCTCTCCTTCTGCAAATGTGGAGTCAGCTGATGGAGCAGTTCTTGAAATTGTCGGAGGGACATTTTGAAGTATTGTCAGAATTTCTCTGGACACAATTTAAGCTTCTGGATCATTGTGTGGAACTCCTCCACCTCCGGTCATCATCACCTGAGGATGGAGTCGCGATCGTTTCTCCTTCTTCTCTCTCCCACTCTGTTCTCCCGTGGCGTATTTTCGCAGGAACATGGTGAAGTGGGCTGAACTGAAACTTGCTGACTTATTGTGTATTTCCTGTTAGATTGTCATGAGGTCGCTGCGCCATCTACAGGGTAAGTCGGGGGATCTTTTTCTATGGCGGAATATTTTCGAAGTGAAACTGAATCTTATTCTCCGCATTTTATTTCTGAAAATATCGGCGAAAATCTGTGAGTTTTGGCCGATTACCGATTAGTCTCAAACAGGGTCAAATTTGCAGATTTAATCGGCTCAACTTAAACCGGTCTGGCCCTAGTAATGACCATAAAACTTCTTTTTGACAGTTTGGATAAAAAGAAGTTCAACTTAGTTTCACCTGGAGTTCAGTTTTGACCCAACCTCAGCAGGTAATAGTCTTTTATCTAGATTCTTACATTTGTCTATGTGCATCCATTGACTTTCCGATATTTACTTTGTTGGTAGCGCTGCACTTTTCTGTCAGTCTGAGATAAATAAACCAGCTTGATAAAGTCCTGATTTAAAACCTTGAAGAAGTGCAGTGGGAGGGAGGTATGGAACGGCGGAGTGAAGGATTGAACAGATGGACAGAGAGCAGGAGGTAGAGGCAGAAAACAGATGAAGAATAATCATCATCATCACTGAGGTTTATTGAAAAAGAGGCCGTGTCTCACTGTCAGTCATTATGCTTTTATTATGAGAAAACGTACATATGTTATTGTGCTTTTTTAATTCAATATTTGTAAATCAGTCTGTTTCTCTTTTGGATGTGTATTCGGTAAAATAATTCACTCTCTTCTTATTCAAATCCAATTTCCTGCGACGATTGTGAGCTTCAAAAAGACGTCTTCTTTGTATTCCAGCACAAACACGCATACTGTACACCGGCGTGGGCATATAACCTTGCACATAAGGAAGGAATAAATGTCTTTTTTATAAATCGCATCTTCTCTATTTGATTTACATTCTCCTGAGAGGCCCGTCACCGAGACAAAAGAACTGAGCAGCACTCGAGGTGGACTACACTATTAATAAATAGAAAGATAATGGGGAAAAGGGGGCTGCAATCTCGACAGCAGCCGAGTAGATATTGATAAATAAAGGACGGAAAAAGGAGAAAACAGGGTGAAGCCTGAGGATGTGTATATAAGATATGTGTGCTCATGTTCTGCATTCATGTGTGCCCCTGAGCGGGCTGCACATACTGTATATCAAACTAATATCTGCAAAGCTCGCTTTCCTCCATCTGAGCGCGCTCCGTGCATGCCCGTGTGTGTGTGTGTGTGCTTCCTTAGATTGCCTCTTGTATTGATTACAGTAGCTGGAGGTGAAGGATGTGCAAAAGGGATGCAGAAAAGTGCTTTTTATTTCCCACTTCCTTTTCTGCACCTGGCTCTACTGAAAACACGACTCTGATCACTTCTCCATAGCAACAGGAAATCGATCAAATAGGCCAACAACATCACAAACGATCATTATTGATACGTGAATCCCTCGACAGTGTTCATGTTTTAAAGTTTAAGCCCAACCTTGATGGTTACAGTCCGTCAATAAATACAGGAAGAGGTGCTGGGCTAAACTAAATAATTCATTTACTCAGTGATCGCTGACATGAACGGTCAGGTGAGGTGATTGGCTCAAATTGCTGATCAACAATCAATAAAAAAAGCCCAACAGCACCAATTTATCATCCCCGGTGTCTTCAGTCTGGTTTTTGATAACTCTCTCCAGTTCCCCTGTCCGTGTCTCCGCATCGATCAGCCTGTTCAACACGGCGGCGGGATCTTTTTTCAGACTCTTAATGGAATCATTTAATGCGTGAAATCTGGAGTCCAATGAGTCTTTAATAGTGTGAACCCGGGTCAAAACCTGCTGCGCCCAGGCAGGTGATTCTTCACCCACCTGTGATTTGTTTGTGGGTTACACGGTCTCTCTATTATTCTCCGTCTCGTCTCCTGGTAACCTGTTTAGTTGGACAACAACTAAAAGAATCAGCTATGATCGAACTGTGAGGCTGTGTTTTAGTTACAGGTTTAATCCATTAAAGAAGCATCTTTTTTGTGGTGTATATCAGTCAATAGTTATTAGTTATTGATGACATTTGGTAATATATCGATATCTCTGTGTTCTCTTATGTCTGTCGTCAACATTTGAACATTTTTGAGCGGTCCGCTCTTTCTGACTGTAAACAAAGCCGTTCTCCACCTCCTCTAACCTGATTGGTTGTGAGGCAGACGCTGCTCCCCCGTGTCGTTCAGGAGCCCAAACAAAGTTAGCGTGCTACAATATCGGACAGTAGAAACCAACCAGAAAGTTCGGAAAATTGTCTGAATCCTCCTTTGGCCACGACTGCCGACACAAGCAAGAAAACAAAGTAAATACCGGAGACTCTGGAGGAATAACGGGCGCTTAAAACGGAGGTAGACCGGACAAGAGCTAAAAAGCCGGGTCAACATAAACCATGGGGGACGCTTGGGGATCTTGGTGACCCTGTAACCTTTCTGCTGGACAGGTAAACCGCTTTAACAAAGTAAGACAAGTGTCTGTAACAGAAGTGTTTCTTGTCAAACGGACCTGCTGTAGCGTGTTGTAGCGCCATCGCTAAACTGTCCTCCCTCGGGTCCTGGACTATGTCACTTTATCCTCGTTGTAGAAGTCCTGCAAACATTGTGTTTGCTGGTAGTCTGTTGGCATCTACAGTAGCACCAATGCTTTTGACTTTCACCTTGACTGGGCCCCATTTGTAATGATCTGAAGGATTTATCTGCATTATATCTGAATTTAATTGGAACGATACGAGCGAGCAGGAGCGTCTGTTTGTGGGCGGGGCTTGCTGGAGCAGAGAGGGAGGGGAGAGGAGGAGATAGAGAGAGAGAGAGAGAGAGAGAGAGAGAGTTTCTCTGTGTTGTCTCTTTAACTCTGTGGCTCTAAAACAGTTGAAGTGTGTTTCTGCTCGATGAGGTTTCTATGAGGTGAATAAATGTTGGTTCAGTTGATCTTCAGGACGGCTGCAGCTTTAAGAACTTCTGCTTGTTGGAGTTTGAGAGTCTAAAGTTCACAGAGACACTCCTCTTCCTGGATTATAGACAAACTGGATCCCCCCCCCTCCCTCGTCTCTCACAGCTCACTCCACTCTGCACATTCACTTCCTTGTTCCCTTCCCTACCTTGCTCCCTCCCCTTCAGATCTACAGTCTTGGTTGGGTGTAACCTCCGTGTGCTGAGCTGATCCTGCTGACTCACATGTTGTTGAGATCAGAGCTCAGACTAGTTTCACTTCTCAGGAAATAAAACTCAGTCAGTCGTCGTCGACAGTGAGTGTTGAAATGGCGCAGAAAGGAGTTCATCTGGACCGTGAGTCTTTCTCTTGTTCCATCTGTTTGGATCTTCTGAAGGATCCGGTGACTCTCACCTGTGGACACAGCTTCTGCATGAGCTGTATTCAATCCTACTGGGATACTGAGGATGAGAAGAAGATCTACAGCTGTCCTCAGTGCAGAGAGACCTTTACACCGAGGCCCGAGGAAGTGAAGAAGAGCGGACTCCAAGCTGCTCCTGATGGTTCCTCTGAGGCTGGACCTGAAGATGTGGCCTGTGATTTCTGCAGTGGGAGAAAACTGAAAGCTGTCAAGTCCTGTCTTCAATGTCTGGTTTCTTACTGTCAGATTCACCTCCAGCCTCATTTTGAAGTTACTCCATTAAAGAAACACAAGCTGGTGGAGCCCTCCAAGAAGCTCCAGGAGAACATCTGCTCTCGTCATGATGAGGTGATGAAGATCTTCTGCCGCACTGATCAGAAGTCCATCTGTCATCTCTGCTGTTTGGACCAACACAAAGGTCACGACACAGTCTCAGCTGCAGCAGAAAGGACTGAGAGGCAGAAAGATCTGGAGGAGAGTCGAGGAAACATCCAGCAGAGAATCCAGGACAGAGAAGAAGATGTGAAGCTGCTCCAACAGGAGGTGGAGGCTATCAACGGCTCTGCTGATAAAGCTGTGGACCACAGCCAGGAGATCTTCAGCCAGCTGATCCGTCTGATGGAGAAACGCCGCTCTGAGGTGGAGCAGCAGGTCAGATCCCAGCAGGAACGTGAAGTGAGTCGAGTCAAAGAGCTTCAGGAGAAACTGGAGCAGGAGATCACTGAGCTGAAGAGGAAAGACGCTGATCTGCAGAAGCTCTCACTCACAGAGGACCACAACCAGTTTCTGCACAGCTACCCCTCACTGTCAGAACCGGGTCAACCTGCAGACTCATCCAGGATCAACATCCGTCCTCTGAGATACTTTGAGGAGGTGACAGCAGCTGTGTCAGAGGTCAGAGAGAAACTCCAGGATCTTCTCACAGAGACGTGGACAAACGTCTCACAGGCAGTGACTGAAGTGGATGTTTTACTGTCAGAACCAGAACCAGAACCCAAGACCAGAGCTGGTTTCTTAAGATATTCACAAAGAATCACACTGGATCCAAACACAGCAAACAGAAATCTGTTATTATCTGATGGAAACAGAAGAGCAACATGTACAGGAAAACGACAGTCTTATCCTGATCATCCAGACAGATTCACTGTTTATTTTCAGGTCCTGAGTAGAGAGAGTCTGACTGGACGTTGTTACTGGGAGGTGGACTGGAGAGGGGGCGGGGTTCGTGTAGCAGTCGCATACAAGACTATCAGGAGAAACGGAGACTCAGAGGATTGTAGATTTGGAGACAATGACAAATCTTGGAGGTTAGTCTGTTATAAACACAGATATGAATTTATGCACAACAAAGTCCGCACTGATGTCTCAGGTCCTCGGTCCTCCAGACTAGGAGTGTACCTGGATCACAGAGCAGGTATTCTGTCCTTCTACAGCGTCTCTGAAACCATGACTCTCCTCCACAGAGTCCAGACCACATTCACTGAACCTCTACATGCTGGACTGGGGTTAGTCTGGTCTGTTGGAGACTCTGCTGAGTTTATGGAAGTGAACTAAAGAGAATTTTGAGTCCATCAGACCAAAATCATGGACTGAGATCCTTGAACTCTTGAAATGTTCTGGTTTGTAAATGTTTGTGGATCAGTCTCACCAAAAACTCTGGGTTTAGTTCTTCATTTCAGCTTTTTGATTCTTTTCTAAAGATGCTGATTTGGTCGCAGCTTTAAGGACAGTGATTGTGGAGAACTTTGATTGTTTGTATTTCTCATGTTGAAAAATCTTCATACAGTATGATATCAACAACATCAAGATGATGGTTTGTTCAAATCACCTTCAGTTGGTGCAGATGTTGAAGGTCTGAGACTTTAGAAAAAAGTGAGGTCAAAATCACAGAAAAAGGACGACCTTATTTCCTGTCCCAAATCCAAGCGTCTAAAGTCTTTCCAGTCGTCCCCAAAAACTCTTCAGATGATCTGTTTCTTTCTCTGTTTGCTGAATATTTGTGTTCATGTGATCGATGGATATTTCTGTCTGCTTCTGTTGGATCAGTGTGTTTGTAAAGACATCTAGAATCAGACTTTGGACAGATCTACATGTTGTTATGAGCTTTTCAATCACTCTATTAATAATAATCACATTTATTAGTCCGACTGTTTGGATGTTTCTGACTCAGCTCAGATTGTGGTCAAGTCTCTGATTGTGGGTAAAAAAATCATAAAAATCCTCAAACTGAGTCACTGAAATCACCTCGTCTGTTTGTCTTTATTGTGTCTGTTTCTGCTGGATGTCATGTTACCGCTCCGTCTGGGTCATGGATCCATGTGGTCTTACATGTCCCAGATGTGAGTCCTGCAGCTGGATCAGGTTTTCTGTAGAGGACAAAGACAGGAGGCAGGTTGTGTGTCTTTTTGATTTGATGTAACCAGACTAGTCCTGTTGAGATCATCAATCTCTTTTTCAGGGGGGGTCCTGACCAAGAATGGCAGCAAAAAACAAACACACTCAGACTCACACAGATCCACATCAGCAACAAGAACTCAGAGTTCATATGAGAGAGTCCAGCTGATCTCTAGACTAAGGAAAGAAGTCTGGTCCACAAGAAGAAAACCAACTTAAAGGTGAAGTAGACAGGAATCTGTTAAAGGAGCATCTTTTTATTTTGTGGTTTTCATACAAAAAATCTTCTAATATCAGTCAATAGTTATTAGTTATTGATGACATTTGGTAATATATCGATATCTCTGTGTTCTCTTATGTCTGTGTCGTCAACATTTGAACATTTTTGAGCGGTCCGCTCTTTCTGACTGTAAACAAAGCCGTTCTCCACCTCCTCTAACCTGATTGGTTGTGAGGCAGACGCTGCTCCCCCGTGTCGTTCAGGAGCCCAAGCAAAGTTAGCGTGCTACAATATCGGACAGTAGAAACCAACCAGAAAGTTCGGAAAATTGTCTGAATCCTCCTTTGGCCACGACTGCCGACACAAGCAAGAAAACAAAGTAAATACCGGAGACTCTGGAGGAATAACGGGCGCTTAAAACGGAGGTAGACCGGACAAGAGCTAAAAAGCCGGGTCAACATAAACCATGGGGGACGCTTGGGGATCTTGGTGACCCTGTAACCTTTCTGCTGGACAGGTAAACCGCTTTAACAAAGTAAGACAAGTGTCTGTAACAGAAGTGTTTCTCGTCAAACGGACCTGCTGTAGCGTGTTGTAGCGCCATCGCTAAACTGTCCTCCCTCGGGTCCTGGACTATGTCACTTTATCCTAGTTGTAGAAGTCCTGCAAACATTGTGTTTGCTGGTAGTCTGTTGGCATCTACAGTAGCACCAATGCTTTTGACTTTCACCTTGACTGGGCCCCATTTGTAATGATCTGAAGGATTTATCTGCATTATATCTGAATTTAACTGGAACGATACGAGCGAGCAGGAGCGTCTGTTTGTGGGCGGGGCTTGAGGGGAGAGGAGGAGCTGAGGGGAAAACTGGTTGGGAGGGGTAGAGTTTACATGCAAGATTTCTCCTAAAAACCGGAACTAACTCAGATCCTGACTACACCACCCTCTAAGGTATTTGAGTATAGAGCATCTATGCATCTTTCCTTACTTTGACTCCCCCAAGTTTTTTGGTTTTGTGCATCTTTAACATAGCTGTTGTTAAAACACAGTATGGTAGTATTCGCAGATATATCTGGGCTTTAAATTACACTCACGCACACACACACACATAGCTTTTGTATTCACAGTTAATAGGCTGACTTCCTCATTGAAGTCCTCTCTGCTTTTTTCACATTTCTGAACACACAAGGCCAGAGACACAGAAAGCAAACAGGAGTAGTGGGCGTCAATTTGCTGAGAGACGCTGTGGAAAACAGACAATGATGATAACATGTTCAGCACATACAGAGATGGGAGGTGGAGGAGGAGGGCGGCACGAAAACTGAAGGAGCAGGAAACAGAAAGAGGTCACAGAGGTGGCTCGAACACCCAGGATGATGAAAATTAAAATGAGGATTAGTAAGAGAAAAAAAGAGAGAGGGCAGAGAGCGACAGAGACGGGAGGAGGAACGGTGTCACGAGAGCGCCCTAACCTTCATTCTTTCTGTGTCAAGTAATATTCCCCAATCTCCTCTGCTCTCCTTTCTTCGCAGCAGAAGAAAACCTGCAGCCTGTTTGCTGGTCATGCCCCCAGCGCCTGACGCTCATCCTGCTGGAGCATTACATTAACCGAGGAAAGGCTGCGGTCTTGTGTGTGTGAGAGAGATAGAGCTTTGAGGGGGTTTTAAGACAGACCAAGGATTTCCTCTGTTGTGAACCTAGATCTGGGAACAGCCTTCCCTTAAACCAAATTCTTATTCAAACCATCCGAGCGGAAACTGAACTACAGTCTAAGAGTTGGCTTGAACAAGCAGCTTCGCCCTCAGCGTGTGGAAAGCAGCTGACACTCTCTCTCACACACACAGTCTAGACACACACGTGACTGTGTTCCCTCTCTATATCAGCAGGTTTCAACTTTGATGGTATTTTTCCTCATGGATGATCACACTGAACGCTCACGAGTTTTCGTTTTTTGTTGTTTTTTAATCGAGCGTGTGGTTGGGTGACCTTGTGGTGTTCATGTTATTCTCAGTGCTGTTTCTGTATGTTCTAGACTGACAGGAAAACAACCTTACTACTACAGCTGGTTAGGGCTGGGCGATAAACCGAAAATTAAAACTAAACTCAAACTAAATGTCTAAATGTCACGTTTCAATACGAGGAGCTCTTGTAAGGAGAGACGTAGACTATCAGGCCTAATACGTGATCATAGGGCTGGGCGATCAACCGAAAATTTACCAATACTGAAATTTACGACAATAACCAACGTCATATTGTCTATGTGAATTTATTTGTTGTCAAAAAAATAGATTAAAGACAAAAAATGTTAAGAACCATTAATTTGATTAATTTTTTAATGTTGAATAGCTTGATTCCATTCATGTTTTTGGCATCTCTGAATCACACAATATTAAAATGGCATGCAAGTGGGCAGGGCAAACACCAAATGAGAAGTTGACCTCTTACTGCATAAGTAGAGGAGAATGTGTCTGTATTCACAGTGTCAAATATCCTTAGTGAAATCGAGGGGAAGGGCTGGACAACCATGTCTAGTCTGTGGAGGCCCCACCTTGTAACTTCAGAGACTTTAAGGTTTACCGATATTTACCGATACAGAAAATTACGACAATAATCAACGTCATTCTGCCCATATCGGTATATTCGGTGTCAAATAAAGAAATAAAAGTTGGTTTTGGTTAATGTGGGTGGGGGTGAGCAGCTTGCGGGGTACCGTATTTTCTCCGTAGTATAAGTCGCACCAGCCAAAAAATGCATAATGAAGAAGAAAAAACATGTGCCGGTATAAGTCGCATTTTTGGGGGAAATTTATTTGACAAAATCCAAGACCGAAAACAGACATTTTATTATGAAACGTAAGTTATAATAACAACAATAGAATAGAGAACAACAGGCTGAATAGGTTTACGATATGCTAACGTACATTTCACTACTTGCAGCTTGTCAAAATATGATTTTCTTTTGGGCGGCATTTGTGCTCGATCTTTCTCAGATGTCTATGTGAGTTAACGCTAATTTTTAAATGATCAGTTGTACAGGAGTAGCAGATACTGGTACACCAGCCAAGAGTGCCCTCTAGTGGCTGTTAGTGTGAAAATAACAAACATGTGAAATTATATATTTTAATATATGAAGACGCACCTGAGTATAAGTCACAAACCCAGCCAAACTATGAAAAAATACAGTAGCTATCATTTATTTATCGTTATCAAGGCGAACTGCTCAATATATTGTGATATTAATTTGAGACTCTATCGCCCAGCCCTACAGCTTTTGGTCAGAGTGAGCGTTTAACAGATGCTTGACTGCTCCTCCAGGGTTAAAATGTTTGTTTTTCTCTCTGTTTTTTTATCTGTTTTTGTACAACAACTCCCTCTGTTATCATCACTACGAATAATACTTAGCACTGAATAATATTAGTCTTCAGCATCATCAGGATAACTGGTGTTAAAATGTGGGGGGATGTGAAACACTCTCATTTGCGTTTTTGTCCATGAGCTTCATCTGCGGTGATCTTAACAACATAATATGTCTGAGTGTATATTTGTTGACTTATAGTGTGTTTATGTGTGTATCTGTGAGGGAGCTGCTGTGATATATAACTGGTGTGACCTTTGTGAGCGCTGATACTAGATGAATAGTTCATCAGGGCGCAGCAGCGAACGGTCACACTCTCAGAAAAAAAAAACCGGACAGGCGCTCTGAAGAGACCAATTAGGATTGATCATCAGCTCCTATTAGCATTGTTATAACCCGACGTGGTTAGATTGCTTAATGAGAAGAGTCACAGGAGAGATGAGAGTATAAATGAAAGAGAGATACAGCCCAGCAGCCCCCTTTGGGAAGAGTTTCCCAAAGTATCTCTGTATGATGTTTGACTCAATTATACGGGGGTGAAAGAGGGAGAGATATAACAAGTCTTTCCTTTTTGTCACCACAGATTTTAAAGGATATAAAATTATGAACTGCTGTTTATAAGGTCTGTCAACCCCTGCATTTACAAGGACCTGAGTTATGGGTTTATAAACCTTATATAGATTTTTGATCGTATTTGTGATACAATAATTACTACAGGCTAAGCTCTTTGCAGTAAAAAAAAGCACTAATGTTCCATTAAAGACAGACATAAATGTTTAGACTGCTTCTCTGCATGATGCCTGTTTTCATGATGTGGAGGTTGTTCAGTTTCTCTTTGAATCGAAATGCAAACTAAAGTCTCTGATTTCAGACTAAAAGCTTAACGTCATTAACATACAGGTCTGTGCTGCATTAATAAACTCTAATATAGTCACTGTCTTTGTTATCTTTTTCCTGTTAGACGTTATTTAGACGTTTAGTCCTCCTGTTTGATGGTGTGTTTTTTTTTTTTTTTTTTAAGTGCACTGTTTGCAGAAATATTGTTGCCTGTTGCTACGGAAACACAGGAAAGTTTGCATCCCTTATAGATTATAAAGCACGACAGGCTGATCCAGGTTTTGCTCCTTGTCTTATGTCTACTGGCCCACGCCTGAAAACCAGGATAAGGTAAGGTAATCCATTTACTTTGGGAGTTATCAAGGTAACAGAACCAGGTTTCTCAAGACTGGAATACTGGCTAGAACAGTTTCTGGAATACAGTATCTATATGCACAAATACAAAACAGGATACCTTTAAATCCAGTCCTAACCGGGATACTCAAGTCCATGTAAACAAGCTTTATGTGACCACAGGGGAGCACTAACATATAAAACCCTATCTTAGGGCTGGGCGATACACCTAAAAATTTAAAGGAGGTGTACTGCTCGATATATCGTGATATTGATTTGAGGCCATATCGCCAAGCCCTACCATATCTAACTGTTTTTGTATTATAAATAAATCTGTTATGGCTGACTTTGATTGGAAAATATTCTTAATTTTTTGGTTTTAATCATTTTTATTTCAGATACTTAGACGCAGATTTCTGTTTGGTATGATCCTGTCCTTTGTGTTTTTGTACATTTTGACAAACTGGGAACCCTCAGGTCATAAAATTTCCCAGTCTGGGTTTCCAGTCGATGGGGCACAGGTCAGGACCAATAGAAAACATACAGGTAGGGCTGGGCGATAAACTGAATATTTTCTGATAACAAAATGTATTACAATAACCAACGTAATTTTGCACATGTCAAAATATTTGGTGTCAAATAATTGATACACTAAAGTTGGTTTTGGATGTGTGTAGGTAGGCTATGGACTCATGTCCCTTTAAGACACTGTTGTGATATTGACTTGCAGCCATTTTGCCCAGCCCTAATGTACAGTCAAGCTCAATTAGGTGATTCAACTGGACTACTGTCTCAGTTTACGAGCACTGGGCAAACTACAGTATTTGGTAACCTTGGAATCACAGGTCCTTTCACTCTTTAAAGGAAATAGTCTTGTTCAGGACTAACTGACATCAGTTTGTGTTGATATCAGAAATGACGCAATACAAGAAGAGACGGCAGAGCGAAGTCTATTTCATGTCTGCTTCAATTTGAGACGTTTACATGCTGGCGTACAGCTCCTCTGAGTGGTGTCCTGGCATGTTAAGGTGTGCGGAGCATGTGTGAAACAGAAAATATATTTCATAGAAACAGTCACAGCAGAGTTGGAATACTAACAAACAGGAGAACATATCCGTCCATCACGTCTCAATCACTGTCCATCTAGATGTGAAATTTGCTTCAACGTGACTTGAGATCTATCCGGTATTTCACATTCAAGTGTAATATTAGATTTCACAAAGCAGAGCTGTTTTAATACCATCTCTTAAAACACCAAAGCATGCCTTGCAGCTATGCTTGGATAATTCAGTTAGCACGCCAGTGGCGAGATGCACAAAATGAGTAAAAGAAAGAAAGAAAAGGTCTCTGAATGTGTTTCACCGAGAACGAGGAGACGGGAAACACTAATGCAGATGTGAGAGCTTTTCCTTTTCATACAGCCGAGGATAACACCCTGAGCACCTACTGAGAGAAAATCATCAACAAGTAATCAGTGTGCATGATGTTGTGTGCAGGCTGGCAGGTCAGAAGCCGTGTGGTTTTTGATGAGTGTGAGGCCTGTCTTTATTGCTCTTTCTCCCCTTTGGCCCCTCACTCTCCGCTCACTCCGTCTTCAGTCTACCTCCCCCTCCGTGAGTCCTCTCCTCGGTTAGAGCGACAGATCCAAGTGGCACGGCTTATTCTGGCATACCAGAGCAGCTTTTTGGATCATCGCCCTCTGTGGCCCTAAGACCCAGAGATGAGAGAGAGGGGAAGGAAACGCTCCCTTCTTTTTTCTCTTCTTTCCCGCAGAATAGAAAGCTATTATTCCCTCCCACGCTGTTCTTTTGTTCCCCTAATGGTTGGCACTTATGGATCCCACGTCTGCTGCTTCCACTCTGATAGGAGACTTTGACACCTATTGACTCACAGGCTTTTATGTTTGTGTCTCAAACAAGAGGGCAGAAAAATATTTTATTTGCCTGAGTTATCATTTCCAAATAAAGGATTTTAAGACTTTGCAGAAACAGCGTCAAACCGGGGAAGTTGTTTAGATTCGTGAACCGTATAAGGAGAATTTCTCAAGGTTAAAATGTAAAACAGTGTTTTTGTAACGGTTACCAACACATGCAGTAAATGCAAATGTAGGTCATATGATTTTCAAAGCAGTAATTTTCCTTTACTTTCAGCTCTTCCCCCGTAAAACAATAAATAAATTATGAACCGCTCATGTGTTTAATAATTAAATATGCTCTGTCCAATTTGACTTTCACCTAATCATTTCTGTTTCTCCACGTTCAAGCTTGTTTTTTTTCTGTTTACCATGAATTCAACACTTTTGTCCAATGTATTTCACCTTCACTGAGTCTAGAGGTAAAAGAAAAACTTGTATTTGTCAGAGGGGATAAAGCGTTTCTTCAATCAATTACAACCCTGGGCATTGTTAGACGCGCAGAGATTGCTATTTTCTCGCTTTCAGTTTTACTCGCTGTGAAATGCCGACACGGCGCTGTTCGCCAAAAATAAAAGAGGACTGTATAAAGAATGGAGGTCAGAGCAGCTGCCCATAAGTGAGGCCAAACACTTCGAGCTCCCCCTGAAGGATGAATTTTAAGCCTGCTTCCTTTTAAAAATGAAAAAACAAACGTGGATTTCATTTTTCTAAAACATTACAGTTTTAAAACGTGTAATTCCGTCATAAAACTGCTTCAACAGAAATATATCCACTTAACGTACATAAAGGACTGAAGGCTGGTGGTGGTAGCTCTGCTAACATTAGCCCAATTGACATTTAAGGGTGTCTAGGGGTGTCTCTTTAATTCCTTTTGTATCATATTTGATACTTTTATGATACTTCTATCAAATCAGGGATCAACACGGTCAACAAACCAACAAATGACTAAAAAAACACCTGAATACAGTCCGATAAATGGTAAAACTGTCTTCTTGTGGTTTATTGGTTTCCAAAAACATCTAATGTATCAGACAACAAACATTTTAAGGACTTTTAGATTTTTTTGGTTTTCAGTAGTTGGTAAAATAAACATTTCAGCTCCAAAAAGATTTGAATTTTCTAGCCGCTGTTTGTGGTTTCAGGCATTATAGGGATATTAATATGGGATATCGGTCTGGTATCAGCAAAAAAATGAATATCGGATTATATCCCCTGCATCCTCAATCTCCGATATCAGCACTCCGATACAAGCAGTCCGTTTCAGACTCCGCTCTGGCACCTCTAGCTAGCAGAGTGAAACGGCCATATGGCAGTATTTTTCATTAAACTCCGAAAGACGTTGCAGCTAAGTGCAAAACTTGTCATGCACAAGTTTGTGCCAATATCGGATCAATATCGGTATCAGCCGATACTGAAGGCTACAATATCAGTATCGTATCGGAGGTAAGAAAAAAAAAGTGTACTGGGACACCCCTACATTTACCCCCAGACTCTGTTACCCTGTGTTTGGTCATGTTACATGAGTTATGCTTCTGTTGTCTGAGTGTTTCCTCACCTTTAAATTCTATAAGTCAATTTTTTATTGAGAACGACTCGCTTTTAAACACCCAGTGTTGTTTTCTTTGTTCAACGAGGCACATAAACTCTATACTATACAAAAACAGTGTCCTTACGATCCTTTTTTCCTTTTTTGAGCACAGTGCCTCCTGACATTTCTTACCGAAGGACGGCGCTCTTAACACTTGTTCTGCCTGTTCTGACAGGTCGTACGTATTTCATTATCAGGAACCCTCACCTGTTATATGTGGGTGTTCTTAGCTTGTGAGTCGGGTCACCTGGAGGTTTGCTCACGGTTTCCTCTCCTAAGAAGACGGAGAGATACCCCCCTTCACTGATTGGAAGAGAGCCTTAATTAATTTTTCATATTAGTTACTTTTTAAATCTAAGTCGAGCCAATAGGCCCAGGGCGGTACTTTGAATGTGCGCACTAATGTTTTTATGCTCCTCCTTACCACTGGCTATGATTTAATAACATCTTCCTTCGCACTCTGTCCAGGCCCTTTTTTTTATTAGAGGACCTTAATTAGCTTCAACTTAGAACCTCCTGACTCCATCCTCCCACTCTCTCTCTCTCTCTCTCCTTCTCTCCGTTTCTTAGGGCCAAACAACTACAGCCTGTCACTCCTCTTCTTCACTCCTTCCCTCTGTTCTTCATCCAACATGTTTCTATCCCCTTCACACCCTCTAGTCACTCACACATATGAGAAATGACACATCCCCCGCCTTGGAGAATTTTAAGTCTAGGCTGTGTGTGTGTGTGTTAAGGTTTGTCTGTGACTGTGTGTGCATGTGTTGAGAGTGTCTCTATATGCCACTAATCTGATATTCACATGTCCTCTGTTTAACCTGTATGAGTCGGATACCACAGGGGATGTATAGAAATTGCAGAAATAACAAACAAATTGAAACCGTCTGATGCATCTTAACTAGATAAACTCTGAATGAGTTTAGAGCCTGTGGACGTACGGAAAACATGAGGATAAAGACGACAACAAAAAAGACAATAACTTTCAATTTAAACTGCTAAGATATTTGGTTTTTTCACAGTTTCAGATTTGTGGAGGTATTGGCACCTTGTTGGGTTTCTGGGAAAGTAGGGCTGTATGATTATGGCAAAAATAATTATCATGATTATTTTGATTGATATTGAAATCACAATTGATAAACACGGTTATTCAGTTTTTATTGAACCAACAACTCAAAACTCAACTTTAAATATAACTTATAAGAACAGCCAGAAATAAACTTGTGAAAGTTGTGTGATCACCGCGATCACCGACAATAACTTGCGAGTGCTAATAATTGGCGCGCGCCTGCTCTGGGGTGCAGCACCCAAGTGCGCGCACATATATTGATACACAAGTCTGAGTTGCAGCTACGTAAATTTAAAAATAAGAAACACATTCTTAAGGCGTTCCAGCTGATATTTAGCAATGACGGTGCGCCACAGTCAATTGCACATAAGGGAAAACCCTAAGTTGGTCGTGTTGACGACAACGTGAAAAACTTTGCAAACAATTTCCTTTTGCTCGATGTTTGAAATTGAAGCCAAAATGCTTCCAGATTACTAAAGTTGTCCTACCTTTTTTCTCAACAAAACGCTGCCTTTCTGCTGTGTTTTCAATCGCTCGCTCCTCATATTATTGATCCACACAGGTAACACACTTGCTGCAGCTGCACGGAACTTACGTACACGCCGCGCCGTGCAGAGCATTAATTAATCATTTTTCTCAGTTTATAATGTTTTTATGATTGTGGGAAGCCAAAATCAAATACTACTTATAATAATAATGCATCTGATTGTATACAGCGCTTTATCAGAGACCCTCAAAACGCTTTACACTCGATCCAACATTCATTCGCTCACACAGTCACACCTTGGTAGTTGTAAACTATCTTACTGGTCACGCTGTCCTAGGGCGGACTGACAGAAACGTGGCTGCCAGTTTTGCGTCTACTGTCTCTGCGACCACCACTACACAACACCCACAATCTTACACCAGTGGAGGACACACACTGGGAGCAAGGTGGGTTAAGTGTCTTGCCCGAGGACACACCGGACAGACTCGGGATAGAGGGGAATCGAACCATCAACCTTCCCGTTATCGGACGACCGCTCTACCTCCTAAGCTACTGCCGCCCCAAAAAACGTGATTAAAATTCCGATTCATAGTCCAGCACTAGTTTAGAGCCTGTGGACACATGGAAAACATGAGGATAAAGACCACAGCAAAATAGACAATAACTTTCATTTTCAACAGCTGAAAGTTTGTTTTTGCGCAGTTGCATATTCGTGGAGGTGATGGCATCTTATTGGGTTTCTAGGAAAGTACAATATCTAAGTTAGAATGGAAGTGCAGGGACATGAGCAGAGGCATGTAGGAGTGTGTGTGAGTGTGAGTGCGAACAAAAGAGATGAATGTGTGTGATCGTAACCTGTCTTTATGTGTGAGTCATGTGTCACGTGTTAAATAAAAGACACTCACAGTAATCAGGATGACTTTCAGAGCAGCCCAGGTCCTGAGCTGCTTTGCTATGACTTGATTAGGATGATTGTAGGTGATAAATGAAGACACACACGATACACACACACACACAGAACCACAAACTGATTGCATGTGCTGAAAAACAATCACTCCCTCTAGAAAAGCCACTCTGCGCTGGGGTAAGAATACGAGGAAATTACCAGTCAAAGAGGGCAGCCTGCAATCTCACCACGTACGGGGAAAAAAGGCCGGGGATGTAATTTGAAATAATTCTAATTTAGAAGCATGAAGAGCATGGTGGACGGCATTTATTTTCCCACCATGCTATTGTGCTTAGAGAACACTCCACTAATCAGGATTTAAGTAAAGTGTATGTCTGCCTGCGTGGACACGGGGAGCAGAGCCATCTCAGCCCACACAAATGGCTCCTCAACAAATAACAGTGACTTCTTGAGGTGCTCTGAATAACAGACAAGAGGGATGTTCACCAATCTTTGGGTCTGAACAATATTTTTTTTATTCCTTTGTGACACAGACTGCAGCTTTTGAATAAAGGCAGATTAGATTTGGTGCATCAAAGCTGGATTTCTTTGGGTTTCATTTCTCAAAGCGTTTTTTTTTTGTTACATGATGTGGAAGAGTTTTTCTTTTGTTGTGTCGAGCTGCAGCTCTCCATCTCTCTATACAAGAAAAGTGACCTCTACTATTCTGTGGCTGCTTAAAGATAACAAAAACAAGTATTTTGAAAATCATTGAAATTGTTCAGACAAAGACTGTCAAGTTTACATCGAAAACGCTAGAATCTGTCTTGACAGGTCAAGTTTAAGAGCGGCAATTTCCTTTAGTTGGAACTGTGTTTGAGGTCGTCTTGTAAATATTCAGTTATTTTACGTCATCGGCTTCAAATCCTTTACTATGATGTGTTAAATACGCCAAAAAGGAGCAGAAGAACCGCCATGACACCAGCGGCAGACCCTCTAGCCCCGGGATTCCACAGGACCCAGAACGGCTCCACTACGGACCGGCAGGTGGCTCAAATACGCAAGCATTAAGCGCCTACCGGATGCGATTCGCTGCAGCAAATGGAGATCTTGCATATTTCACTGTGAGACATTGAATAAGTTCGGCGGTTATTGTAGGCGGTTCATGTTTGACTGTAGTCGATTCATTCTGCCAATGTGAGGCTCTCAGACGAGGGGTTGATGCGGGTAATCTCCACCGATTGGCTGAGATACAACCTTGCGCAGCGCTGCAGCTCTAAACCATGTAGCTACGGCGATGCTAATTGCTAACACATGGGACCATACAGTCAATGCACGGGACGCACGGCGCAGCGAGTTGACCCACGAGAAACCAGCGATATTGAAACAAAGAGGGAAGGTGAGGAGATGGAGGACGGTTCAAAAGTTGTAGCGGCTAAAGTAGACGAAGTTAATGTGGTAGGGGGTGAGCAGCTTGTGGAGAAGTTATTGTCCATTTATCGTTATTGAGATAAACTGATCAATATACCGTGATATTGATTTGAGGCCATATCGCCCAGCCCTAGTCGTATGTACCTTCTTTTAAAATGTACTGGACCTTTTGCACAACATTTAAATAACCAAGTACGTTGCAAATATTTGTATATTGTACTTACAGGAACAATAATAAGGTAGAAATACTGTTGGTTATTTTGTCTGCTGCACACAGAGCTCCACTGACTGTATACACACTTATCCAACTCATAGGTACACACACAGAGTGAGAGTGAAAGTCCCTCAGAGTTATTATTCAAAAGGTTCTGTCTTGTCTCTTATCTCCAGCCACAGCAGCAGGGACGGCTTTAAAGGACGTTTTTGGTGGGAGAAAAAAGTATAGACTTAGTTTGAAGGGCTTTGGTCGCCGTCAATGATTTCTTAGAAGAGACAGAAGACAACAGAAGGAACAGCTTAAGATTTCTGCTGAATTGAAAATGAAAAGCAGGAAATGTGCTGAAATATATTTAAGCCTTTGACTGGTCATCTATTTTCCATCCATCACATGGAATGACTCACTTTCCTTTTCTTCATGCTCAACATACTAATCCAACCACCGGCCCCAGCTGACCTGTGAAAGTTATCCCAGAGTCCCACTTCTCTCTCTCTCTCTCTCTCGGTCCATCGTGTCCAAACCCTGAGCCCACTCCATCCCTCTGTCCATCCCCTTCTCCTTGTTTCCGGCCAAAAGAGTTCAGCTCCGGCCATTTTGACCTACTTCTACACAATACCCCTTCCAGTCACACCACCGCCCCCTCTTTTACTTTCTCTCACAGACACTGGTCTCCTTCTTTTTCTTTTTTTTTCTGCAGATGCAGTGAAGTTGGGGGAAGGAAGAACTCATGGGGAAGTCAGTGTATCCCCTGAGTCTGAATGCCTGAGAGGTAACCTATTTAGAAGCAGATAGAGGAGAAGGAAGACGAAGAGCTGGGGTTGAATATCAATTCTGTTTCATTTTATTAGGTCAAAACTATTTACGGCATGTTTTTAGAGACGTAAGAAAAGAAATTGATAAATAAAAAAAACAATGTTCACTTCTTGGTCTTTTTTTCTTGTATGCTGCAGTTAAAGAGATTGAGATTTACGATATGAGAAACACAAAACAACCTTGGCTATACATGTCAACTTTAGTCATCTTCTCGCCGAGCGACCCTGGGGAAACAAAAGCCTCTGCATTGTTACTGAAGCCCACATACTGGGAAAGTAAAGCTTTTATAAAGCGAGACCAGAACCAGCTCCTGTGGTGATTGTAATACCGGAGTGATTTGTATAGGTATACATGCAAAACCACGCCAAGCAATTCTACCTCCTCCTGCTCTTTTGTGTTTTTGCTTCAGTGTTCAAGAGTCAAGATGAAAACAGTTAAGAGCCGTACGCACCAACTGCACCCACGCTGGTTACAAAAACAACAACACAAACGTCTACATTACGGCGCGGCAGTCGAGGACCAATAAAAATTGTGGTAGCACTTCTCCTCGAACTGCTTCAACAAAGTGGTCAAAAAAGAGATGGATCAGTACCAACAATTTGTGACCCAGGCCCGCCATCACTGAGTGTTGCCGCTCTGTGATTTAATTCACAGTTTAAAACAGGAAACATCAGGCCTGTTCTTCTGGGGAGCTCGCCAAGTTTGTTTTGGTGTTTTTAGAGGTGGGATGTAATTCATTGATGTGTCAATGCAGCACGATGCTTTACTTGACAATTCAGCATCGATTAATTAACATCGATGCTTAAAATAAATTAAAAAATAAATAATAATATCAAGGGTTGCCGCAAGGCCGGAAAAAAAACAAAAAACACATAACCGAAATCTTAATGCACACGCCGCCCGGATTGTTTAATGAGTTGGACCACAACAGAGGGCATTAGTTTCTTTGCAAAATGGCAACAGCTTCAGCAGGCTCCAACGAGCAGCCGATTCTCTCGCCACCGGGGTTGAATGCAACCGTGTGGAAGTACTTTGAAATTTATGAAATAAAGTAAAAAATAAAGTACCTTAGCAACACCACAAACATGAGGCAGCGCCTTGTACACTTTCATCCCCAAACAGAGAAGGCTCCTCCGGTCATGCCCGCCACACAGAGGACCATCCTGGAGACTTTCTCCAAACTTACCAGTTTAAGTTAAATAGGTAAAAGTGCAAATGTCATACAGTCATAAAATAAAATATTTTGTGTCTTTATAAAATACAAGTCAATTGTTTAAAAAACCTTGTTATTTACTTATTGAGTGTAGTTTTAGAGCAGGGGTGGACAATCATGTGCCATGGAGAGCTAAGAGGCTGCAGGTTTACTTTCCAACCCAAAACTTCACCAGGTGATTTCACTGATTACCTTACCTCCAAGCAGAGAGCAGAGACTAATCAGTGAAATCACCTGGTGGAGTTTTGGGTTGGAAAGAAAACCTGCAGCCTCTTAGCTCTCCATGGCACACGGTTGTCCACCCCTGTTTTAGAGGAACTGAGTTAATTGATAGGATATTTATTCACAACTGTAACCACAGATGAAGACAAAACCAATCTTGTCTGAAAAAAAGCTTTAAAAATGGCAATAATTGAAGAATCGTGGCACCAATAATTGAATCGAAGAATAGAAGGTCCCATAATCGAAATCAAATCGTGAGATACGCCCCCTGAATCTATCTGCCCAGCTTCCCTGTGGATTACACACCTCAGCCTTTCTTTATCCTGACATCCCCACCCACTCAGATCACTGCATGAAAAATGTAAAATGGACCTTTAAAGTTCGAAAAGGAACTTTTAACAAAGGAAATAAACTGTAAAATAGTCCATAATATCAATCCTTCTGCGAGTGAATTAATCTGCAATTAGCTGTTAAAAGTTTTCATGTGAAAAAGATAACAGCTAACCAAAGTTTTTACTAAGAAAAAGTTTAATTTTTCATTATCAAAGAACAATGAAAACAGAAACCTGAGGAGCTATTGCACTATGGTGGCAGAGCCTATCAGGTTTTGAATAAAAAGAGGGGATTTTTTTGGGTCGAATATGAAACTTAATGACGTGCAAAGCTCTGTAACTGTTGCTGTAAAATTGAGTTTTATTGCTTTTTTAAACTAATTCCAGACAGCCGCAGAAAAGATAAGATGCTGGAGAGCTTCTCAGGCCAGCACCAGTCCCCAAGAAGACTGTTATCCACTGCATCATCTCTGGACACAGTCTGCAAATCTTGATACCATAATTTTTCCTCCCCGCACTACCGCAGTCAGTGATTCTGCCCGGTCTTCCAGATGGCGCGGTTGGCAGGAGAAACAGAGGCTTTCCTCTGAAAACCCTTCAAAAATGTAAGTCGCATCAAAAGTACTGAAAGCTTTTTAGTGTATTTACAGCGAGGTGCCATCCTTTGAAAACTTCTTCTGTTCCTGTCTGAACATTCGTGAACTTCTGCCAAGGAAAGAGGAATGTCAGAGGGGGGATTAATTTGTAATATGCAGATGATACAAATGTTTATGCTAATCAGAGAGATGTGGTTGGAGCTTTTCTGTGTGTGACTGCGTCTCTACGCTAATAGATTTCTGATGAAGCTCAGTGAAATCAAGCCAACAGTACGAACTAAAGCAACATGATCATATATGGAGCTGACCAGGACACACAACAGGCTAGAAAGCAGCATAATAACAAGGTCCACTCTGAGAAATCACAAGAAAAACACAATTCTGCCTCAATTTGACTTCTTGACATTACAAGTGAGGCCAATTAGGGTACAAAAAGACCCTGAAATGTGAATTTTATATAGTCATGTTAGAAAAAAAATCTGTCTTATTCTTTCTCCTTTAAAAAAACATCCTCAGCAAATGAGAAAATTAATAAGATACAGTAAACATTAAACATTCATTTCCTTCAGGGCATCTGCCACTTTCCATTATTCATCTAAGAGTATGCTATATGTAAATGAACAAATCTGCTTGGCTGTGACATGAAACGTGAACATTTGTATCCCTCGCTGCCTCTCTGTATATCCTTTAAATGTAAGATCTGAAATGAGACGTCATACATATTCATGGTAATAAGCTTCTTTAAAAACAGTCAGTACACAGTAGAGCCTGTTTTTTCTCCTGCATATCCACATTGATTAGTTAACTTCAGTGACCGCAGCTGTTGAAGACACGGGATAATGTTGTTACACATATTTACATAGAAAATATTTTAATTTACTTATAATTTATCCTGTGAGGCTCTTTTACTAACATATGCTGATGTGTAAACCTCTCTTTTTAGAAGCATTTTGTTATTGAAACTGAGCAGTTTTGGTTCATGAATGTTCTTCGTGGTTAATGTGCTCCAGCAGCCATAGTAGGGCTTGGATGATATGCTTTTCTTGTGATTCGGTTCTTTAACGCTTTTTAGATGCTGATTTGATTTAAATTGTGATTCTGCGATTTTGTTGATTTTCTCGATTTTTAGTCCGCATTTTTACCTCCAGTGGAACAGTTGAACGATTATGATTATCTACTGACTATCCAGGAAACATATTTCCCCAAAAAAATACACATCACATGTAAGTCAGTTTTTTTCAAATTTATTATTAAATTTGATTTTTTTAACAAAAAAACGGTTTCAGAAACTGTGAAACAAAAAATCGTGATACTTATGTGAATCGATTATGTTAAGTTTTTTTTGTATGAGACGTAAAACTACAAAGATTACACTACACTCACTTATTTTTAAAAACAACATAGTTTAGGTTAGGGCTGGGTGATATGTCCTCAAATCAATATATGATTTTTTAGCCTTTTATTTTAGTAATTTTGGGGTGATTTTAAAGCCTATTTTTGTATTTTTTGGGGTGATTTTTTTAAAACTCTTTTTTAGTATTTTAAGGGCGATTTTTTTTTTTGCCTTTTTTGTATTTTCGGGGTGATTTTTGTACCCTTTTATTGTAGTATTTTTGGGGCGATTTTTTTAGCCTTTTTTTGTATTTTTGGGGTGATTTTTTAGCCTTTTTTATGTAGTTTTGGGGCAATTTTCTTACCCTTTTATTGTAGTATTTTTGGGGCTATTTTTTAGCCTTTTTTTATATTTTTGGGATGATTTTTTGGCATTTTTCTAATAGACAGGACAGAGTGAAATGTGGGGGGATAAAGAGAGAGAGGGGAGGACATGCAGCACATGGTCTGGGCTGGATTCAAACCCAACACCGCTGCGGGGACCGTGGTCCCCATGTGGGGGGCGCGCTAACCCACTTGGCCAACTGCGCGCACTCAGTGCGAGTATAAATCATTTGTGGCGCATTGATATTAATCCAACTAATGCTATTAATGGTACTTGCTATATAGACCGTGTAAAAGCTTGAACGTTACCTTTTACGTTGATGGAAGAGGGTGATTTGATGCGTTCGTTGATGACTCAAAACAAGCCGAAGATCATGTGATCTTGGGCTCACACAGTGCGAATCGAAATCATTAGTGGCGCATTGATATTAATGATTATGTGAAATTTCAGTGGCAATGCACGTAATTCTGCTAAATGAATGTAGGGGAAACACTGCACTACTCTCACACATTTTTAATAAACAACCTAGTTTAGGAACTGCTGTCCTTTTACTGATATGATTATTCAACACTGTCAGTCATAAGTTTCACTCCCCTCAGCGTATCTGAAACTGAAGAAATTTCACCCTAAAATACACCCAGCAGCTCCAGAAACTCTGACACCAAATGTGCAGATGATCTCCAGTCTCGGGTGAGCGGCGACCCCGTGAAGAAAATGTCTCTCATCGCTGTAAAACTTGTGAGTTTGTTTTTGCCTGTTTATAAAGCTCCCTCAATCTACAGCTAGCTGTGTCTTTACCAGCTGCAAACACTCATCTGTGTGCGGTGGGACCCACTTAAGTGGCTCATTGCACACAGAAACATCAGGCACACTTCCCCCGCTATGCACTCTGTCAATGTACCTGGCAGCGCATCCACTCACACAATTTACATTTCAAAGTTGGACACACTTACACATACACACACATGCATATGCACACGCACGAGCACACATAGTTGCCATCTGGTATTTCTGGTTTCTCTCACACCCACGCCTTGGTTTTTCCAGACTGCATGATTTAAGCTACATGGTGTTTTCATGAGGATAAGACTAAATGTTCATGTGGATGCATGTTGGACTGCAGGAGCAGACGTGGACGTTTCTCTCTGTATTCATTTAAATCAATACTGTGTTAGCGTGTGTCATAACCTCTGGATATATATCTGTGTGTGTGTCACGAGCTCTATCCCGTGTTTACAAAAATGCATGTGGGTGTTTTGCAGGTCTGTGCGTGTTTGTGTATTTTTGATAGCTTATGGCACAGGCTGTGGCATTGAGGAGGCCTTATCTGTCATGTTCAGAGAGGTAGCTCTCACAGGAGATAGAGCTCTCAGCCAGAAGCATGGGCGCAGCTGAAAAGACTCCCGACACACACCTACGGCTCTGGCTCAGACAGAAAAAGCAGGAACCGAGGGGAGACGTGGTAGAAATATCGAGAAGTAAATTTCACAGTCAAAGAAGGGAGGGAGCATGATTTACGAGTACTTGTGTGTGTGTTTGTGTCTCTGTGTGTATTCCTCATGATTAAGTGATGTAGAATAATTATTTTCTGTCAAATTTCTGTCGACACGTGGCATAAGCACATATTCTCTCTATTTCTATGAATAGAGTTTCATCTTTGAATAAACTTCTATTAAAGTTTCCCCTCTGACTTTAAAACTTCATGTGGACATGGTCACCTTGAGGTCACCCATGGGGCGTAATCAGGCCGGGATTTGGGGCCATTTGTGCCAAAAGTGTATAAAAATCTAAATCTGTTCTACAGGGCCTGACACTAACTTTGTTCAGAAGGAGCACATGTTAGCACTAAGTTAAAAAAGTAAGGAGCACACAAAGTACTTTAGGGGCACAATGAAAATTGATCAAATATTGTGTCTTATTGGTCGACATAAGTACTATTATTTGAAATCAATTCTAGGTCATTTTGTCACGTGACATAGAAGCCAGGGGTGCACCGAAAAATAGATTTACACAAGAATCGTGATTCTAATTTACTACAATTCAGAATCTATTTAAAATGTCCCAAAATCGATTTTAAAAGATTAAATATCCGCTGCCTGTCGGACTCCATTTTGGAACTACGCTGGACGTCCTGACGTCATCACACAGCCGGTTCTGATACACACACATGCGCAGAAGGCACCAAAACAAAGAGGGAAATACAATGATGGAGGACACACTGAGCTGGACATGATGCATGCAGTGTGCCGACATTGTAAAACTCGAACCCTGTTCTAGCACATCCTTGTTCATAGTAAATTAGATGTTTTACTGATTCTAGCCAAAACATATTCAGAGTTCGAGATAGATTAGACGGTCCAAAGTCAGAAAAGGGAGATTTAAAGAAATCAAATGGTGCATATAAAAGTAAACCGTTTAAAGTTTCATTTTGTTGGTCAATAAACTTCGAAAGCTTTTATTTATATTATCCACCATACTCTGTGCATCTGTTAATCTGCAGATGAAGGAGGTTTTTGTTGAACCGTCTTTAAAGCCAACTGCAGATCAGCTTCTTTGAGCAACATCTGTCTGTTTGAAGCCGTATCGTTCACAGCCAAGTCTACTCATTAAATCTAACTACATCAATTCTGAAGCTGATGCTGTTTGATCACTTGTTTTCTACTTTAGTCGAGAACACATGTTATGTGAGAACACTGCATGTGTTCTCAATGTGCAGGAGTAATTGTCGATACCACTGGATCTTGACACGTGATGCTTTGATTGTTTTTTTGGCCAAATTACTGAAATACTTGATTTTTTTTCTTTATGAACATTGTTATAACAATTAAGTTATTATTGCTGATGATATATTGTGCACCCCTATTTGCCCCTCTCACTCAGTAACCCTATTTCTGGTGGATCATGAGTTACTGAAAGAATCGGTATCAATATTCTGTCTGTATATCAGCACATTGGCAACATTAATTATGTTTCCAAAGTGTATGACTATCTTTTGATGGGCTGCCCCAAAGTTTTATGGGGTCAGCAACAAATATAAAGAAGTACTACTGCTCCTTATTATGGGCGAAACAGTAACACTGTATTACTGCACGCCAATTTTAAGTTATATTTTATAGGGGGATTCTGGGGTTATTTGATTGACATGAGCTGACAAATCCCGCAAGAGGCTGCCAACTTGATTCTGTCTTCCAGTAGTTCATTTTTGCACCTTTGCATCTATGAAATCCACAATATAAGTGGCGAGCCAGCCAGGAGCCGAATCTAGAATCTTCTGATATGCAAGCTAAAGTTAGAGTTAGCCATCTGCTATTAGCCTTGCTACACTGTTAGCCATGCCAGTAATGGTAGAATAAACAACAGTACACATTAGTGATCGAGCTACTTCTCTTACTGAAGCAGCTGCATGTCTCCAGATGAGACATGGGTCGGGCCCTATTGGATTGGTTTGTCGGCGTCCTTGCACGCCACGGGAGTCCAGAAAGCTGAATGTGAGTCAGGGTTCAAATGCTCACCCCAAGGAAGTAAGGGAAGCTTTCATTTTCTGTAAGACTGTCCTTCATGTGTAAGAAGATGAGCCTCATTATATCAGAGTCCCGAGCTAATGACCGCTAATCTCTCCCTGCTGATGAGAAAGTGAGAGACTGAGGGAGAGCAAGGAAGTTTGGTTGAGAAAGCTAAATTCTGAAGCACAACTACAGAAAGTTATGGAGAGAAGAAAAGAAGGTGCTGAATGTTTGGCTATTACTGACCTCTGCTTTTTTCTTTGCAAATGTACCCCTCTCTGTTTTCAATGGCACACACACACACATACATGCACTCCTTCTCCTCATTTCTCCTCTCTCATTCTGTCATGCAGAGATCAGTGCAAGGGAAACGGACTGTGAATGCATTAGTGTCATCATCACCATCATCATCAGGGGACATGAAGCTTCATCTGTCATCATCCTGCGACAGCTAGGGCAATTCTCCACAGGGTGGGCTATTACTCTCCATTACACAACACACACTCGCACACACATGCACACACGAACATACGACGGCGGGTAATGACAGGGGGCATCAGCAGGCGTCCCCGCCCTCAAAAATCTGATCCATAATGTTTTTTCATCACTGTGTGGTTAAAAATGTATAAATCAATTCCCCTCCAAAAATACCGCTCCACTGGCCGTCATCGGCCTCGAGAATGTTTCTGTTTTCAGTCCCCGGCCTCAACTGATCCAGAATGAAATGAAATTGTCTTCTCCCTCCAACAGCCGGCCTACACGGTTACTGTTATCACTCTGAGATGGAGAAAAAATCTCAGACTCAGAGCGATGAAGATGAGGGAAAGATGTGGGAGAAAGGCGTGGAGAGGAAGATGAGGGCGTCAGGATGGCAGAGATTTTTTTTTTTTTCAGCTCCCAGTATGATCAATATTTCTCTATTCTTTGTTCTATTAGAGTGGCTCTGGAACAATCCTCTGTTAGCCTTCACTCAGGCTGGAGTTAAATCTTCGTTCTCTCTCTCACTGCAGCTTTGTTTTCTTTCTTCCATCTGCAGTTTCAATGATAGTTGGCTGTTATTACTAACGGTGAAGCGGTGCAGATTCCAAGAAAAAAAAAAACACACACAAGTCTCAGGTCGTTTTGAGACACGTTTGGTTCAAGCCTAGAAGTCTGTTCACAACTCATTAAGCTCAAGTCTTTGGTCCGCTGCAGCACTTTCAAGGTCCACAGTCTAGCCAATCAAGTCTCGAGTCGATTCGTTTAAGTCCAAGTTTGTGAATTCTAAGAAGTCCTCCATCTTTTTTGTCTAGTCACAGATTTATGGGGGAAGCACTTGTCACAGCTGAGTCTCAAGTTTCTTCGGTCAAGTCCTCAAACTTTCTCAAGTCCATTTGAAAGTAAATCAATCAATCAATTTCAATGTGTGGAGCTGGTTTGTCATTAAAAAACAAAATTACTACATTTCTAAAAACTAAATTAAAGTCCCAAGTCCTTTGAGGTGAGTTATTATTGTTTCGCTTCAAACCTCAGGTCTCTCTGGGTAGGTACTGGTCAAATTGAAGTCTCAAGTCTTTCAATGCAAGTCCAAGTTTGAAGTAAAAACAAGTAATTTGAGTCCAAGTTAATTCTCGAGATCTGCAGGGCGAGTCGATACTTTCCTGTAGGGCTGGGCGATAAACCAAAAACTTACAGATACCAAAATTTACGGCAATAAATGCTGCCTACATACAAGTGTGGTGTTTGTTAGTAGAGGGTACTTTTGTGCATGGTGTGTTTTGAGGCCATATCACCCAGGCCTACTTTAAGTCTCAAATATTTCACTACATTTTGCAAATTTTTAGTTATTTCTATTTTTCTTTGAGTTTGTGTTTCAAACCTCAGTTTGGGTTAACTTTGTTTTTCATGCAAGTCTTTTTAGTTGAATTTAATTAGTAGTTTTTAAAAATACTTACATTTAGATTAGTTTTTATCAGTTTTAATATTAGCTTTAGTTTTTTGTGATATCACATACTGTCAAAGATTAACAACTACCGCCGATCTACAAAAGACAAGCTGCTAGTATGAGGACAGCTTGAGGACGCACATTATGCCCACGTGGCATCTCGCTCTCTAATAAAAAGTTGACAGTAACAGTTAACAAGAGGAAATCAGAGTTCAGGTCTCCAGATCAAGTTGATGTGAATTTACATTAATAATACGACACTAAAGCCCACTTCTCTGCTCTGCATGAAGACCTTTCCCCTTCACTGCACTGATAAAACATCAGCCGACAGCTTCACAGTGAGTGGACTTACTGACACACAGAATAAGAGCAGACATAATCATTGTACTTAAACTGTAAACCAAGTAGCCTATAGTTCATTTTTTTGTGTCAGGTGTCAGTGAGCTTTACGTTACTCTCAGTTATCGACAAACTGTTGAGTAAAGAGTAAAAATCATTAAACAAACCTTGCGTGACTGAGAGCGGTGCTGCTGCTGCTGAGTTTGCTGCATTCTGCATGTGCTCCACTTCCCCTGGTGTAGGCTCCAGCAGCTGACATGCAGCTGATTTATCCTACATCACTCGTCATGGCCCCGAGGAGGCCAACCTTCTCTGTCAGCCGTGACAGTCAAATATCACAATAACTCAAACAGTCCGAAGGGGAAGATTACATGGTGCATCATGGCATGACAGCAAAAGACTCTGAGAGGCAGCACTTGTTAGCTGCAGGCACAGCAGGCTCACTTCTGTGTGAGCTGGAGACTTCCACAGATTCAACTTCTCTTAGTCAGGGACCAAAAAGTTTCTTTACGAGCTGACACACATTGGTTCTTTGTTGGTATTTAAAGGTTTCCTGGGGATAAACGGTGAATCTAGTCCATTCACCCTCAATACCAATGAAGCACTTTAAAACTGGTCCAGATATCTTAAGAGACAAAAAATTATTTTATTTCATCATTAGAAAGAATTAAATTTTGATTAAATTTATCTATAGCCTTGCTTTTAGCATCCCCCAATTTCCACTGCATCTGGAACGGCTAGGTAAAGGTCGTATCTACTAATCGCAGTTGATCGTAACCATTCAAGTTAACGTGCCAATGCCCACTGACTTCTTCCTGTTCCTCTGCGGATCGCCGGACTCCTCAGCTGATCGCAAGAGTTCTACTTTTTCCAGACTCCGGAGCATGGCGGATAAATTCAGTACAGATTAACCCGTGCTGGAAAGGAAGTCGGGCACAGACACAAAATAAAACATCCGGCTTCTTTTCAAAATAAAACACTCTGATTGATGCTGATTCTAGTAGTCTAGAAGTAGATTTCCTCCACTGGAAGGACACAATCTACTGCTTATATGTCTATGTGGCTGTCTTTATAGAGACAACTCGTTATCGCATGATTGCACATGAATCTGCAGGTTCTTGTGAGTTCTTGCGATTTCCGCTGTCCGTAATCCGCCACAAAATTCGTCTCACAAACAGATCAGGTAGGAGTTGACGGAGTTCTGGGTCAGAGCTGTTCCAGATGAAGTGGAAATTCAGGGTTCCTATAGGGCTGCATGATTAATCAATTTTAAATCATAATCGGATTTTTTGATTACGAGGATGTTACAATCATCATGTCTCGCACCTCTGGGCCACCGTAGGCTCCCTCTTTCCTGCAGGAGCGCTCCCCAGTTCCCACAAACACCAGTGTAAACAGACATGGCGTTTGCAAAAGAAGGCGATAATTTCGTAGGACAAGAGCAGGTCAGTCATATGGAATTGGTACGACTTCACAGTTTTAGACGAAGACTGAAGGTGGTATCAACAAATCCAGGAGTAAACGCTAAAGTTTCTTGTCATATCGGCGTTTCATCCACACGGAAACGTCACATGCATAAATCTGTAAACGACGACCATTTCATCTCCGTGTGGATGTCTATCTGCATCTCTGGAAACGATCATGTGACACACAGCGTCACTCTTTTATGGCGCCTTCTGTACTCTTCATCTGTTTTTTGTGCATTTACTCAGCAGCGTGACAGCGCCACTTACTGGCTCGGCATACGCACTACATCATTTTCAGTGGTTCGGTTTTGAGAGATGATAGAAAAACTTTTAATTTTAAAGTAAAGTTTGGTGAAGTTGTACCTGAATTAAAAAAATAATAATCAGAAGTGAAAATCGCGTTTTTAGAGAAAAAAATTGGGATTTTATTTTTGGCTAAGATCGTGCAGCCCTAGCTCAAAGTGATTTACAGTCCTCTTGTTGTAATAGAGGCACATAAAGGCTGGTCAGTGTTTACACGCAGAACAGAAGTCACCATTGATGATACAAAAGGGCACCAAACAAACCCAAGACCTCATCACGATGCAGTTTCTCCATAATCTACTGCCTCTCAGGTCTTCAGGCAGCGCTATCATTGTCATTTTCATTCGCAACAGGAATTCTGATACAACAGCGCACACACGTTTCAATCACCGTTAACATTTATTCAAACTGAAACAAACTGAATCACTCAAAGAAAGGGCAGAGTGATTTCAAAGTTGAGAATTACAGGGAGAAGAAGTAAGTTACCACTCTGATTAACATTTTCCAAATGATCCAGAGACGACTCCGTGTGAACTTTACTTGTGGGCCATTAAGCATAATCTTGGTTGCAAGATGTTTCTGAAAAGTCAGTCAAAAGAAACCTCTCAGAGCTCGTGTAAATGAGCAGCATCATTTGGTAGAACTGGGAGATTATCCACTTATTTCCAAAGTATATTCAAGGACTGCAAAGAACTTTAAATACTGTGTTTGAATGGGTTCTTTGAACGGCACAAAAACACAAACCTCTCACAGTTATATCTGAGGCGACTTATCCATGGGCATGTCGGTTCTTGACTCATCAAAAAAAGCGCAGCAATTTTCTGTAACGATTACCCAAAGCCAATCACACAGGCACTGATTAGCACTTCAGTGCCTGTTTGGTTGGCCGCGCTCATTTCCAGGAATGAGGGGGCCATTTCTGGGAAAATAACAGCGAAAAACACACATACGCTCAGTCCAATAACACTCACGTACACACCCCCCGATAACTATCATGTTGAGGCATAAAAATACAAATGAAGAGTCAGACAGAGCAGAGAGGAGCCCAGTTTTTACCATGAACTTTCTGTGACACTCAGAGACACAAGTCACTGTGATCGGGAGGGCAGAAGTTTAGTGAGAGCAACAGTGCAGCGCAGAACCATCGAATGCTGTCTGTGAAGAAGAAGAGGACAAGAAGGTCAAAGAAAACGATCAATTACTCATTAGGAACCATGCCTTTCTCCATTATTCCAGTGCCATTAAGCAAATGTTTATTTGCGAGCCAATGAAGCTGACTTAATTGATTTGTGAAAGAGACGGTGGTGGAGGGGTTAGGATTAAGTGAAGATGAGAAACGAAAAGAAAAGTTTGTACGAAAAGACAATAAAGAGAGAGTCAGTTGTGCTTTTATTCAGTTTTCAAAAGGAGCTGTAGGACAAAACCGGATTTATAAACCCCGGGCTTTTTCTCTGACAATGATATTGTCTTGTTGTCAGAGCTGCAGGGTTTGTAAGATCGCTGTTTGCACAAACAAACTTCACGCCAAGACTTTCTTCTCAAAAGTGGTGATTTTTTACAGTCCTGTTGGTTTATACAAGGAATTCTAACTTTGTTTTGGTCTTAGTTATTTTAGAAAATTGTGGTCTATTTTATCCAGACGAGTCTTTGTGTCTCGGATTTAGTCAGAAGAACTCAGACTTATTTTAGATTTTCTAAAAACTGTGTGAAGAAAGAAACCCTCACTTCGTTTGGTTATTTTGGCTAAAAATGTACACACTCATAGGCACACTGCTCTACGCCATGGGAAACACTGAATGCCTTAAAACCTGCCGTGAAAATTGAAATAAGTCACATTTCAACAACACTAAGTCCCTCTTCACTGCAGGGAGCTCCATTTAACTGAACCGTCTTAACGCAGACACTGCAGGGGTTTCTTTTTCAGATGTTTTATTTTCCTCCCAGTTTATGTCCACACTGTCAGGTACCACACACTCAGTCTCCTTAAACTATGTCCACACCTCATCTCCTCTCCACCTACCCACTGTACAGGCCACAGGTTGTAATCAGGCTCTCAGTCTTTTTCATGAAGCCAACTGTCAGCAGGAGCATTGCTAATAGCTAATAGCTCGTTTTTTTCTTCCCTGGTCAAAAAAGTAAGTCATGAAAAATTACCGCCCCAACAAATTAACAGATTGTTGTCTAAAGAAATCGTCTAAAAGATGACTAGTCTTTGGTTCATGGATTTCATTGTGGTCTATAGGATTTGACTCTCTCACTTTCAGATATAAAGAAAGTGTCTGCTGAAATGTGTAAGTGTGATAATACTCAGACTGCAACAGAAATCAATAAGACTCCCGAAGCCAAATATTCCTGCATTCACTCAGAGATTCTACATTCATACACAGACTGTTAAAGAAAATTAGAGACAATCAAACGATGCTTGAGAAAAGCAGCACAAATCCTCGAACCTATGGCTGTCAGGAAGTGGAGTGGAAAACAACTTATCAGTAAGGTACGAAAGACGATTAGGACCACAAGAAGAGAAAAAATAATAATTACAGGAGGGAGATTTTTTTTAATTTCCATTTTAAAAAGACAAACTTTCAACTTTATTTATGTCAACTTTAATCTCAAAATTTCGACTTTAATCTCAAAAATTAAATTCTTAATCTCGAAATTTCCACATTATTCACGACATTTCCAAATTTTATAATCTCAAAATTTTAATTATTCTTTTATCTAAAATTTCTGACAATATTCACGACATTTTAACATTTTCTGATCTCAAAATTTCAACTTTAATCTTGAAATTTCAATTTAATTCATGAAATTACAAAATTTTGTAATCTTGAAATTTCAACTTTTATCTTGAAATTTCAATTTTTAAACTCGAAATTTTTAAATCTCCAAATTTAATTTTTTGAAAATCTTGATATTTTGACATTATTCATGACATTTCTCCAACTTTGGATCTCAGAATTACGACTTTAATAGCGAAATTTCAATTTTTAACCTCAAAATTTCGACTTTATTGAAATAACTTCTATTTTCAAATCTTGAAGGTTTCGACTTTCATCCTTTTTTTGCTCTTCATGTGGCCCTAATCCGCTTTTGTAGTACGGTGTATTAAATGCTTACTATATCAGAATTTACACAATACAGAGAATACACTCCTGTCTCCAAACTGACTCATGAACCAGTGCAGAAAACCACCACGTCACACAAACCTTTAGCTTTAAAACAACTGAGGATGTTTAATACGACAGAGCCGTTCCACTGCAGCTTTTAGATATGCATGACAGAGACATGGGGATCGTGAATGACAGGGCATTTGCAAGGTATTGATCTGTTGACCGGATAATCACTTTGAATTTGTGTCAGTCTATTTCATGATTTAATTAGGAGCCTTGACTCGATAGATTTAGTCATTGTGGATCAGGGTTTCCCTCTCTTTCCACACTCTGTCTTTTACAAATCAGGTGACAGGTCAAGCCACTCATGCTTTAAATTTGTTTAATTGACTTTTAAAGCAATTAACATTCAACACCCTTGGCACATCCAGGGAAAAGTTTTCTCTCCGTGAAACTGGGCGGATTGATTCTTCTGATCTTTGGAAATGAAAGAAAATCTTGGATGAGTGATACTTGGGTCTGAAAAAGTATAACAGAAAATCTGTTTAAGAACTTTTCAGACCGTGGGTTTTCTTCATTCTCCTCTATAAAGAAAGTTTCAACTGTGCAGGATTGAAAGTTTGGCACCTTTTAACAACTTCCATCATTTACAAGGAGAATTTCTGGGTGTGTTATTGTCACTCAAGTGTCTTAATCCTCAACAGATGCAGTGACCTGTGGAGGAAATCTCGTGGTCTTGTGCACAAAGACGCCCTGAAAATTGGATTCCTCTCAGATGACGGCGGCTAAAAACAATCGGGAAAAGAGGAGGGAGTCTGGGAGAAGGTGAAGGAGGGTTATCGCCAGGGGCCCTGTCAAGAAAAGCGTTGAATCGTGGCGTGGCTCTTTTTCCCCTGCCTGAAAAATTCCACACCCCATTACCCCCCATAGCTACACCTAGCCTTAGCCACAAAGGTGGAGGGGTGTCTTCAGCTGGTGGAGACACACACATGCCTAAACACTCCGTCCTCTGGAGACAAGCTGTAACAGCGAGGCAGGAGTGCCGAGATGAGGTTGCGGTCCACCAGATGTAGGACGCAGACGGAGCTACTCAAGTGAGCTAGAGAGCGCCAAAAAGAGGTACGAGGGGGAGACGGGGAGGAGGGGGGAGGATCGGGATGGGATACACAACTCATGATAAACACATCCATCCTCATTATTGTAATAACCCGCCTGCCACGCACCAATGCAGCATCTCTCTCCGTCTATCTCTGTCTCTCCCCATCAGTTGAACCCTCTCCTTCACACACATAAACACATGCACGCTCACGCACACACACATATTACATTTGAAATGGATGTATGGATGCATTATAAAACCCTGCATTCCAGTTTTTATACACCCTCCTTCCTATCTAATCGGAGAACTGCAGAGTGAAATCACTTTTCGGTGCAATATTGTGATTCAGGAGAGGTTCTGCACCAATACTTCTGCTGGATTACCAATGAATGTTTCCTGTGGCGCCTGAATTGTGAGCTCATCACCTATTCCTACTCCGTCCAAGAGCCATGAGAAAAGCTGAGGAAAGCAAGGGTAGGATTAAGGCGCTAAAACACACACGCATGCACGCACACGCACACACACAAATATACAACTCCTTCTAAATTCAACATCTTCCCTGCTCCCCTCTCAAGCTGCATCGTAGAAAAACTGAGCACCTCTCAGAATAACACTGTGGGCTCCAGAATGCAATATGGATTTTTCCTACACCACACAACACTGTTTTTTTTTTCTTTTTTTTTTTGCAGTGTCCAGAAAGTAAATTGGTTCAAAACATGGATGTATTCCCAGTGATATTACCCTGCAGCTCCTGGAGAGGTGCTGTGACGCCCACTGATGCTGCCATGTTGGAAAAGCTGACTCAGACTAACTTTTGATCAATCTAGAATCCGCTTTGCAAACAGCGACAATGTGTGCGCATAATTATGGAAATGTATGCAGTAGGCCTGGACGATATAGAAAAAAAGCATATCGATAAAAAATAAATCATATTGATCGATATCGATAATTATCGATATAATTATTATAGTTATTTAACATATATTTTAATTGCAGCCCTGGATGTTTTATGCTATTGCTTAATGACCTACTTTTAATAAAGAACACACAAGCACTGAATTCAAATTCAAACCTTTATTCAACCACCTTTTTTATTTTACCACAACTGAAAGTTTTTTAAAAAAGAACTAAAAAAAAAAAGAAATCAACTTAAGGGGCCTGAGTGACGTCAGTAAATACTGACAAACATAAAGACTAAAGTGACCAGAAAATCTGATAAATAAATATTTAAATAGTCTTTTGATGAAAATAAACAAAACAAACAAATATATAAATAAACAGAATAGCTTTAGGTGGGAATAGCATACTACCAGTTATAACTGTGTGAGAAACTGCCCACAGCCTGGTGTCTGAACACTGAAATATTTCTCCCGGGGCCGGGAGATTTATTTTTTTTTAATTATCATGTGATTGACTTGATACGCAAACTGAGCACGAGAAGCAGGACTTATCCACGCCGGTGTTGTGTCGTAGAATGCACCCCTGCCGAATGCACCCCCTGCTAGTAGCCATGATCCAAATACTCGCGTCTTTGTAAAATATGAGCTCATTTTCTTCCACTTTAAGAAGCTAATGAGTGGACGGGATGCATTCTTCTCACCTTTTCAACCCCTGACCCATTTTCATGCCTGAAGCGCTGTGTTTGAGAAATACTTGCGGCCGGGCACTTCATATCGCGGGTCGAGAGTGGCTAGAAGCTGGTCGAAGCCAGGCTTTTCAACGGTAGTTATTGGCAGTATGTCCCTCGCTATGAAGCATGTTACTGCATGGGTGATGTCCTTATGCCGCTCGGACGCTTTGTCGTATTTTGGCAAGAAACGAAGTCCAGTTTGGTCTGCTTCACATGCTTTGTGCTGGTGCTGGCAGCGGTTCCAGAGGATTCCTCCTCCGACGACGTGGAGCCGCGGCGCGGCCGACACAGCTCGTACTCCTGCGGGTGCGACCGGTTTAGATGGTAAAACAAGTTGGTTGTGTTACCAGACTTGGTTTTTACCAATTCTCTGCAAATTTTGCAAACGACCGCTGTTCGCTTTTTGTCAGACTTCTAAAAACCAAAACATTGCCATGCTGGTGAACTACTGACAATGTCCTCCGCTTCTCCTTGCTGTATCATTTTTTCTAATACACGTGCTGTCTGTTGTGGTTTGATAGGGGCTGGGCTTGGTGCCGTAGCGTACCTGGGTCTGCGTTTGTGATTGGTTGGGAGGAAGTAATGACTGTAGTAAAAGCTACATGATAGGCTATGATGAAAAAGAAAGGGAAACTGTGTTTTTCTATCGAACTTTTTATCGACCCGTTTTTTTTCTATCGCAGCACACGTCTATCGATCGATATATATTGTTATCGAATTATCGTCCAGCACTAGTATGCAGAGCTCTTGGCTCTTAAATAATCTGGACAAATTCATTTTAAAATCATCCTGGGTGGGTTTTTTTACAAATGAAAAATTAGTTTTAGAGACCAAAAACTTCAAACTTATGAGGACAGGCTGTTCATTAATTTTAGAACCTCAGCAGTTTAAGAGCAGACACATGAATCTGCTTTAGAGTCCTTTTAAACACTTGAGAGAAATTTAAGATGTTGGTAAAAAAGGTCTTTTGTGTCTCCAAAAACTCCTTAGCTGGAAAAATCGTGTTGTTTCTTCCTCAAATATCTCTATCAGCATTTTCTCCAATTATCCAATTACTGAAAAGTGAGAGAAGTCTGTGCCAAGAATGGACAAAGTAGGAAACGCTGCTTTTGTAGACATCAGACTTGAGGCTATGAAGTCTAGATATTAGTAAGCAAAGCATAAAGTATTATAGTATTTGAATAGGGCTGGGTGATATGTCCTCAAATCAATATCTCAACATATTGATCAGTTCACCTCGATAACAATAAATGGACGATAACTACTCCACAAGCTGCTCACCCCCTCCCACATTAACTTCGTCTACTTCAGCCGCTCCAACTTTCTCTCCGTCCTCCATCTCCTCTCCTGTCTTTCCCTCTTTGTTACAGACTGGATGGGGTGGAGTCACGTCTCTGACGTAGGACAGCCTCTTACAGGGACATGAGACCATAGCCTACCTACACACATCCAAGAACAACTTTTATTTATTTTTTCGACACTGAATGTACCGATATGGGCAAAATAAAGTTGGTTATTACCATAAATTTCCATAACGGTAAATTTCGGTATTATCGCCCAGCCCTAATTTTATATACTGAAAATGTTTTTAAGTTGCAAACATGCTGTTTATCTAAAAGAGATGCAGAGAAATGTATTTTTATCTTTAGCCTCTCCTTTAAACTTTGCTCTGAGATCATTTTGATTCTGCTCCTCTCTCATCACAGATCGGTTCAGAGAGATGAGAGGGGGAGAATAATCAATTTCTCCATCTAGCACATCTCCATCAACTGTGGTATTAATAACTTAGATTGGTATAAGTGTGTAGAGGCCTCAGGGCAGACCTGGCCTGTTGACCCCAGCGACTGATTGAGTGAGAACAAAGATGGTGGTCAGGATGGAAAAAGTGAAGGGGTAAGCAAGGTCAGGGTGGAAATAAGGACATGGGTAAAGAGCGTTGATTAAAATAACATGAAGAAATAAAAATGATTTTAATTTGATCATCAGTTCTTAATCAGCTTTAATCAGCAGTTAGCAGTTTGAGATACTGTATCCATGCTCCAAGTAAGAAACGGGTGTATTTTGTCTTGATATGATATGATTATGGTGAATCAGTTCTTACCTGCTGTAGCTGCCAAGATTATTTAAAAAAACATCTGATATTTATGACTAAAAATCTAAAATATTAGGTTGGATTTTTTTTACCACAAGAACTACAGCAGGAAAAAAAGAGAGAGACAGAGATGTTGATGGTGTTGTCATGCAAGAGTAATCATTAGCAGCTAAATGTAGGCGACCATGTGATTATTGGCAGAAAATAAAGGTTATCTCATCTTTATTCCTCTCTGTGATATTCATCCATCATCCAAATTCGTGTCGTAATAACGCGCCACATCTCCTCTCTCCTCCTTCACCATGGTGGTGTCAGATCTGCTGCCAGAGGGAGGGACACCGTGTGGTAAAACTAGGAGGGGGTTCGGTTTGAAAGCAGAAAAATAGGCTTTAAGATCCAAATGATTGAAAAATAAATATAATGTTAGAGTACAAACATGCTAAATACTGTATGTATATTAACTCAATAAAAACAATATTGCAATATACTACTTTTCATTCTATGGAAGCCTATTATATCACTTATAAAAAAAGGAGACTTTTTTTGAGTATTTTTGTTTCTTCTTTCTGTTTTTCTGACTCTTTTTCTTCTGTCTTTTGTACTAATATTTTTCGCTCCTTCTGTTTTGGCAAAAAAAAAAATCTGTTTTTCGTACGATTTTTTTTTTTGCGTCTTTCTGTTTTTTTCCTGACTAAACAAGATACTTCAAAATCCTACGAGAATCTCATACAATCACATAACGTTAAGCACCAAATCAGCCTATTCTCCAGCTCCTAAATAACTTCAACTACGGGCTCAATGAGAGTCTGTTTTTAAATGATAATGATCCCAGAGAACAGAAAAATCAATTACGAAAAACGAAACAAAAAAAGTCTGACAAACAGAAAAAATAGTCTGAAAAGGGGAAAAATATTCCCAAAAACAGAAAAGAAAAAAAATTAGTCCGAAAAACAGAAAAGAAAAAAAATTAGTCCGAAAAACAGAAGAAAAAATTTACTCAGAAAAACAGAGAGTTTTTTTTTGTTTGTTTGTTTTGGGTTTTTTTTGCTTTTTTTTGGTGAATGCAATATCCTTCTATTTTTATACAGCCTAATTACCAAACAACTTTTTTTTCCTGGGACATAAAATTCAGACAAACTTAAATTTAGAAAATATTAAAGAAACAGTCGAACACAGTTTATCTACACAGCTGAACTCAGGATGAGTGTGTGGCTTTAATCAGTAGAGCTCGCACCACCGACCTTTAGTCCTCCACTGTCTGACTGTTTCTCTCTGTTTGACTGGACACAGCTGACATAGAACTTTATGGTAGAGCTGAGTAGATATTAACAAGCCAATAAAATATTAACAGAGAGAAGAAGTTTAGAAAGTACTGGGTTAGGGAGAAACTAAAAATAAGTCTCTAAAATATTAGCAGCACTCACAGCCATACTGTGTATGCGTGATCTCTCTGTGGGAGGGAACTGTCAGTCTGGTTCTGATCCAACCGAGCCCCACTCCGTCTGGCAGCTTTGGTATTTGTTCCTGTACAACTGGCCCTGCCCAGTCGGAGCAAAGTGTCAGTGTGTGTTTTGTGTGTGTGTATATGTGTGTGTTGTCGGTTGGGGCCTTGGATGCTGATGCAGAGCACATGGAGGGCCAGTGGGGGTTGCCGCCCTCAAGCTTCAACTGGTGCCAGGTGTTAGAAATCACCTGCTGCTCGATACACAGGTTGTTAAAAATGCTGACATACACACACACACACACCACACACACACAGTTCACACTAAGCTGATATAAAGAGACAATGAAATTTTCAAGGATAGCTGGATATGCATCTGTTTAGACCGGGGGCATCCTTGAGTATAGAAAATCTAAATCCTTTTTTATTATACAGTAAATCTGCTTTATGAAAATGAAAATGTTTGCTTTGAGTCACACTTCTTTAGCTCTTTGTTTAATCTAGCTGTCTGTGAGCGTATCAGGAGAAAACAAAAGCGTTGAATTCACGTGTTCGGAGACTGCAGATGTATTAACACACTTGAATCGAAAAGCTTATTTACAGTTCCTAGCTCCTTAGATGTTCGGTATTTAACCTTCACAGTTTTTCTCAATGATCTACTCTAAACTTGAACCTCTGACTGGTTTCATTATCTTTTAAAGACTTTCTACAGATATAAGCACTTTATTCTTTAAAACTGAAGGATTCAAACCACCCTTGTGCTCATATTTATCGCTTTTGAATGAGACTTATTTTTACTCATTTTCACTTTTATATCTGGAACACACATCAAATATCTTGTCATGACTTGCATATGAGAGCTAATGAGCGGACTGCAGACTATTTATTTACATGTTAGGTAACATATTGTATTGATATATATATCCTATTATTTAGACACTGTTGACTATGATAGGTTTGAAATAACATCTCAAATATCATAAAAAAAATAGGGATACACCACAAATTCGGCCACCGAAAATTTACGTCAAAAAAATACAGCCCAGCTGAGAGCACTGTGCATCGCGCCACTAAGGCAGTGTGCACAACATTTGATCATCAGGTTATCAAAGGGTATTGGCATTGTTTGATGCCTGTATAGACAGATGTGCTTCCACCACAAACATATATGCCGACAATGTGACTACATCCTGAAGAAGCTGATTTGAGCTAAAACTGTAGAGTACACAAGAGCTTCGAAGGAGGAAAATTTCAAGACTGGCTTCTTTTTCTGAAGATGGAGGGAACGGATCCTGCAGTATTACAGTATAAAACAGCTGAGGAAGGGGATACAGTACGCTTGAAACACAAGCTGACACAATCTTAAGCCTCATCAAAGTGTCGAGGAAAACTTGTTGGCGCCGTCAGACATGGGGATATTGCTGGGCAGATGCAATAAAGAGAGTGGAGAGGCTTAAGGCTCTGCATACAGCAAACCTGATGGAGTCAGAAAAATCGGTTAAGGATAAGAGAGGTGGTGGGAAACAAAAACAGATCAGCAGGTATAGAGAAACAGAGAGACATGCCAAGCCTGTCTCCCAGGCAAAACAGGGTCAGTCCACAACATGAGAAAGTTTGTTTTTTCCTTTGCAGTCTGACTGGAACTCTGCTCTGTTTACGGCTGATGTTGTTTAATCCACCAATTAAAATGCTAAAAACAAAAAAGGTTTGCAACAGTGTTTACCTATTTAGACGACTACTGAGTCTATGTTTTTGTAATGTGCCAGTAAGGAGCGATAAAATGTGCCAGGAGATGTCATACGATCTTTGTTGTCAGGTTGTTCCTGGCGGTACTCTGAACCATTCAGAGCTAATTATCACTGCCAAGGGGCTTACGCCACAGCAATGACAACCAGCTTCTTTTAACCATTTTTGGCTCCAGATGAGAGAATCTTGGGTTAAAGGAGCAGACCTTCATACAGGTAAAACATTAAATGGAGATATGGTCCTGCTGTGCTCTGTTCGCCACAGAGCTGCTGCATTAAAATAATGTCAGCTTTGATTTGAGGAGGAGGAGGAGGAGGAATCTAGGGCTGGGCGATAAACTGAAAATTTACCGATACTGAAATTTACGACAATAACCAACATAATTTTGCCTATATCGGTATATTCAGTGTCAAATAAATAACTAAATCAATCAAGTTGTCAGGTGAATGTAGGGCTGGGCGATAAACCGTCCTGACTTCACTTTAGAGCAAGACCACAAAAAAGAGACCGGGCTATAAAGAGTCCAGCTTATAACCACCCACAAATCCTTAATTGACTGTTTCTGGAGCCAGGCGAAAAATTTTTTTCAATATATAAAATTAGGGCTGAGCGATAAACTCAAAATTTCACCTATACTGAAATTTTCGACAATAACCGACATCATTTTGCCCATATCAGTATATTCAGCGTCCAAAAATTAAAAAATAAAAGTTGTTTTTGGATGTGTGTAGGTAGGCTATGGTCTCATGTCCCTTTAAGACGCTGTCCTACATCAGAGACATGACTCCACCCCATCCAGTCTGTAACAAAGAGGGAAAGGCAGGTGAGGAGATGGAGGACGGTTCAAAAGTTGTAGCGGCTAAAGTAGACGAGGTTAATGTGGGAGGGGGTGAGCAGCTTGTGGAGTTGTTATCATCCATTTATCGTTATCTAGGTGAACTGATCAATATATCGTGGTACTGATTTGAGGCCATATCACCCAGCCCTAGAGGAGGCTCTTTGTTTCAGTCTGCTTTCAGTCATCTTAGCTAACCCTTACCGTCTTATAGCATTTTAAAGTACAGTAAAATTATCAGACTAGTTGCTGAAGGTCATAAGGAGGCATCAGTATCAGTTTGAGTCTGCTTCTTGATGAGTCCAAAACTACTCACTGTGCCTTTAACTGTACGCTCAAGAAAAAGAAATGTACAAACTAAAATTTCTGGTACTATTACATCTTGATGTTTAAACACTTAAAAATATGTTTAAAGAAGAATTGAACTGAAAGACTGAAATAAAACCCACATTTAATTCATGGAGACGGAGAAAAACAACAAACAACTGCTGATGCCTCACAACAAAAAGACCGGGCCATCTGAGGAGATGTGACTGCTTCGGGTATTTTTCCAAATGGGAGACGCGACATAAAAGCTTGCAGGGACACTTTTCAGCAGCCAACACACTCAAAAGAACAGATGTCATACTGTTGACCGAGGCACAAAAGCTATTTCCCCTGCGGATAGTAAAAAAGTCTCATTAAATAAACACAAACATTTATGAGTAATTGACAGTGAAATGTATCTGATTTCTGACAATCGCTCTCAAAAACAGATGTAATTTTTGAAAACACATGAGGTCAGTTTAGAGCAGATGCTAATGTGAAAATGAGCACAAAAGGATCATTTAGTTTCCAACATTAACATCACTTTGGTCTGCATGAATTTTCCTCACAGTGGGAAGAAGGCAGACAGATAGATTTGAAGCGAAAGCTGATAATCCCAGAGGAAACAGTGAGCACCATCTTAAAGTCAGCCTGTTGTTGTTGTTATGGTCAGGAGTGCAGCCGACCATGTATTTTCTGAGGCTCACAGCACCATGAAAGGACACAGTGAATGAGCTTTTTAAAGGGACATTCTTAGCAACACTGTGAAAGAGGAACAGCTGGATGTGAAAGCTACCTGCGGGGTTGTGTGGCGAGGCTGGGGTCTTACTAAGTGACCTGCACTCAAAGGAGCTAATCAGACGCCTATGGAAAAAAAATGACTGCAGGTAAGTTATAAACCTGGAATTTCATGTCTTAAGTGGCGAGTAAGTGGCCAGTAAGGGGCGCTGTAACGCTGCACAAAAGACAAAAGAAGAGTACAGAGCATGTGTATAAAGGTTGTTTTGGCCGGACACACGCAACCGCCATAAAAGAGTTACGCTGTGAGTCACATGATCATTTCCAGAGATGCAGAAAGGCACACAGAGATTAAATAGAGGTCTTTTAAGGATTTATGCACTCTCTGACCCGTTTACAAAAAGTACCGTTTACTAGGGCTGGACGATATGGCCTCAAATCAATATCATGATATATTGATCAGTTCTCCTCAATAATGATAAATGAAAAATAACTACTCCACAAGCTGCTCACCCCCTCACACATTAACTTTGTCTACTTCAGCCACTACAACTGTTGAACCGTCCTCCATCTCCTCACCTGTCACCTGTCTGGATTGGGTGGAGTCACGTCTCTGACATAGGACAGCGTCTTAAAGGGACATGAGACTATCGCCTACCTACAAACATCCCAAATCTTTTTTTCTTTTTTTGGCACTGATATAGGCAAAATGATGTTTGTTATTGTCAAAGTTTCAGTATTGGTAAATTTTCAGTTTACCGCCCAGCCCTATTGTTTATAGTCACCCGAAACACTGTTTCCGTGTGGATGAAACATCAATACAACAAAATTTTTTGCGTTTACTCCTGAATTTGTTTCTGAGTGGACAGGTTGATACCGCCTTAAGACAGACTTTGCAGCGGGGAACTGCAAAGCTGTACCAATTCCCACGAAATTATCGCCTTCTTTTGCAAACGCCATGTTTGTTTACACTGGTGTGTGAGGAAACAGGGGAGCACTCTCGCAAGAAGAAGGAGCCTACGGTGGCCTGGAGCCACGAGACATGATAGAGAGGAAAATTGTTTTTTAACATTGTCATGATCAAATAATCTGTTTACGAGTTAAAATTGATTCATCGTGCAGCCCTAGTAGAAAGACCATTGTGTTTTTCATGCTAACATCTGTATAAGAGATAGAATGGGGTTGTTGTTTTCTAGTTAGAGATGTTTGGAATGACACGTGACATGCAGAACCTTCAGAAATGTAAAGAGAAAGCTTACAAATGCTTTGTGCTCAGCAAAAGATTTCATACCAAGGACTGCCTTTAGTCTCCAAGACTATAATAGACTTTAAACATGTATTTTGTAGTGCTGTGTATCTGTCCTTGGGGCTCAACCGTGTGGTTTTCCTTTAAAATCATCACTCATCCTCCTGACAGCTGACAGCTCCTGGTAAAGCTTTGTTCTCTCTAATTTGGTTTTGGATCTGCTGAGTCGGCTTTTCCAACCAGCAGGGTCAGCCATCCAATTAGCTTGTTGTCAAGACCAGTGGTGACTTCAGAAATTATTGAGTCCAGTCGAAGTGTCGGGGATCGTATGTGATTACTGTAGGTGTGGAGCATGAAAAATCATACTAACTGAGCCTGCTGTTGGAGACGTGGTCATATCTCAGTGAAATATTGGTGAGGAAATGTGCTTTTTAGATAAAACCAGTGACAAACGCACCCTTGGAGGCACCATTTTTAGATTAGGTAGGAAGCGAACGAGGCTGCTCGCCACACGGTGTTTAGATCTGTATCAGCGGTACCTGATGTCGACCACCAAAACCACTTTAGCGAGGGTAGTGCGTCACTCTAAATGGGTTCTGCGCTATCGTGGTTAAAAAAGAAAAATATGTGTTAAAATGAAAGTCAAAGATAATGCAGGGATTAAGTTCGTAATATTAGTCATGTTCCTACAGTTTGTGCCGCTCCCAATCAGAAGGGCAAACACAGAGTGTACACAGTATCAATGACAAACATGTGTACATGCCTGTGAGAGCACCCTGCATCACCATGATAACAGTAAAGTATGTCTATAGGCTATACTTTAGGTCTGTGAGTGATTTCCAGTACAAACAGATGTGCGCCGCTCTTCCTGCTCGCACCGCAGAACGGATCACACCAATCATAAAGGTAATAAACTAACACGTCAAACACGTCTCTCCTCTGGTGGACATCTTCTCCCCAGAGCAAATCCTTGAGGATATGTGTGACATATTTTGAGGGGACACATTATTCATGTGCAAGAGATAGCTGTACACAAGTGTGAAAATTGGATTCACGTTAAATGGAACATGAAGAGGAGGCGATGGGGAGAAATGGCACAAGTCCAAACACTGATATTGGATTCATATCATTGACTGAGATATGCTAGGTTGCTTCATAGTAACACAACAGGAGGAGATGCACACTTTCTATACGTTCTGCCCTGTTTTATATTCTACTGTTGGCATAAAAGCAGCAGAAAAAGATACCGGAGGATGAGACAGAAGCTACCTGAGGGACTTCATAAAAGTCAACCAGAATTTACCAGTCACAGTTATAAGTGTTCATTTTCTGTGATTTAAAATGGCAGATGCTCCAAAAAGAGGGGAGATCATTTGCAAGAAATACAGCTATCATCTACATGAAACATTTTCCAGTACTTTTTTATGATGTGTGTCCATGAATAATGCATTACAACTGTAAAACCTGTTCTCTCAAGGCTGGTTTACCTACACTGATGAATAAGCCGGATTTCTATGTAACCTGAATGTGGTCGACCTCAGTTTATGGGTGTTTACACTCCGCAGAGGAACAAAAGCAGCATGCTGTGCTCTTCTATAATGCTTTTAAAGCGAAGGGCAGTCATATGTAGAGGGTTTCACAACAATTATTTAATTAAATCTGCTAATCTCCGGTAACTGTACTCAATATTTTGTGTTAATGCAAAGTAATAAATCCACAGATATATAGCATCGAGCTTTGCACTCCTTCCACTTCCTTGCTCTGCAATGTCTTGTGGTTTGGCTTGTATTGCCAGAAGTTTAAGGGTCTGCAGACTAGGGCTGGGCTATAAACCGAAAATTTACAGATACTGAAATTTACGACAATAACCGACATCATTTTGCCCATATGGGTATATTCGGTATATATAAAAAAGACCTTCTTTATCTTTTTTTATTCTATAAATAAAAAATGAAACGATGAAAATAATTAAAAAGAGACTCGAGAGCAAGTTTCTTTACTCTCTAATTTCATTATAACCTCAGCTTCCTCCATTTTTGTCACACACTATGTTGTACCAAAAGATAACTACTGTTCACAAACTATTTCAATACAAGCTCATAGGGCTGGGCAATAAACCCAAAATTTGCAGATACCAAAGTTTACAACAATAGCAGATGTCATTTTGTTCATATCGGTATACACAGTGTCAACAAAATAAATAAATCAAAGTTGTTTTTGGATGTGTGTAGGTAGGCTATGGTCCCTTTAAGACGCTGTCCTACATCAGAGACATGATTCCACCCCATCCAGACAGGTGACAGGTGAGGAGATGGAGGACGGTTCAAAAGTTGTAGTGGCTGAAGTGACGAATTTAATATGGGAGGGGGTGAGCAGCTTGTGGAGTAGTTATCGTCCATTTATAGTTATCAAGGTGAACTGATCAATATATTGTGATATTGATTTGAGGCCATGTAGCCCAGCCCTACTTCAGACTGCAGCTTCGCAGAGCAAGCTTAAAACCAAAACTGTTGTAGCAAGATTATAATAACGTTGTTAGAGGTAACTGCACCAAATGCCAGAAAAACAGCGTTAGATGCTAGTTTCTAAACAAATTAAGATTTTTTTAATTAGATCAGGTATCAATAGAGCAAAATCGCTACTTCATGACTACTTTATAGTTCTGTTCAATAAAGTTCTGTTCTGCAGTTTACACACTCAACATGTGTGGTGAAACCAAACCACTGTAGTTTCAATATCATAATAAAATGTTGGAGTTGTGACAAAGACCATCGTTCCAAACCTTTGCTCTCTGCTCGCCGTCTTGGATGCAGTACAGCAGAAATGACGGCCATGATTTTTCCCAAGAGGCTTTTAAATCTGACATGTGGAAGCATTTTTTTTTCCCACATGTCAAGGAATAAAAAATGATGAAAACAAGAACATGAAAACGCTGCCTGACTGCGATGACCTGTGTGTCAGGTAATATGAGTAATATGAGACGCCATGAGCAAATCACCCAAAAAGCTTTGAGAAGATGCAGAAGGAAAAAAAAGAAAACAGGCAGGCCGGACGACTCAAAAGACGTGTTTATAGCCTCAATTCTCCATAACAGTGACAGAGAGTTTAAGAGATCACAGGATGTTTCAGTGAATAAATAGCCATTTGACATTTTCTGTGGTTGGCGACTGAAGAATCAGAGAAGTGGGAAATATTTTGGAGCCAAAGTTTTATGAGTATAATTCCCATCACAGCCGTACTTTAATCAAACATGATCACCAGCTCTCTACAAAGAGACAAAAGCTTCAGTGGACTGAATACTCAATTAATGAACATGTTGTTATTACAATATTATTGTACTGTGAGATTCTGAGAGTGTAATTTTAACTGACTGTCTTACAAAATATAGCTTCCCCAATTTTCGTCATACACTGGTATGTTGAGTGGAAAGATAACTACTGCTTAGGGCTGAGAAATAAACCGAAAATTTATTGATACCAAAATAAACGTCAATAACTGACATAATTTTGCCCATGTCAATATTATTGTTGTCCAAAAAGTGAATCAATTAAAGTTGGTTTTGGATGTCTGTAGGTAGGCTATGGTCTCATGTCCCTTTAAGACGCTGTCCTACGTCAGAGACGTGACTCCACCCCATCCGGTCCGTAACAAAGAGGGAAAGACAGGTGAGGAGATGGAGGACAGTTCAAAAGTTGGAGCGGCTGAAGTAGACGAAGTTAACGTGGGAGGAGGTGTGGAGTAGTTATCGACCATTTATTGTTATCGAAGTGAACTGATCGATATATCGTGATATTGATTTGAGGCCATATTGCCCAGCCCTAATTTGTTGTGTTTTTATATGACACTTGTTCCCCATTTTTTTGCAGAGTCTATCGCCCAGATCAGTAACTGTTGAGTCCAAAGTGGAAGACCAATGTTCAAAATCCCCGATACACAGAACAGAACAAACAGATTTACAGAACTGGATCAGGGAGACATCGTGTGTAAGGCCAGTTGGCTAGCATGGCTAAAAACAAAAACAGACATTTATGTCATTATTGCGTTGTTTTGCATCACTCGTTATATTTATGCTATTTTTAGAACAGATTCATATGGTAAACAGTAAACAAGTCGGCTATTTTCTCCATATTTTTGGCTTCAAAGTTGTTGAAATTGAAACTCTGCCAAGTTCAGCATTATTTAGTCCAGAGAGTAAATATAACACAGATCTCTCCCTCTTCATCTGTGGCTCTCCCAGTGTTTTCTCTCATCCTCTCTCTGACTGATTTGGCCTGTAGTTGTTGCAGGCGTGCGTGAGTGAATAGACACTCGCCTCGTCAATAAAGTAATCATTAGACCCAGATTGAGTTTGTGCTTGTGTTCTGACAGCACAGTGGATGAGGTGAATGCAGGAGGAGGAGGAAAAGAGCGAGGGAGAGGGGGACACTGATGGTGAGATTCGATATTTTGATGGTGTAGGCTGAATTTGTCTTAACCAACTTAAGTGATGGGAAACACTCATTTTTAAACCGTTATATTATTGAATATCTCAGTCTCTTCTTACATTAAAGCCTTTTTAACATCTTCTTTAACACAAATAAATCACCAGCAGAAGTCATCTGAAGGTAAATCTAAGAAAAATCACAATAATCTGGTTTTATATCACTGACTTTTGTTTTTTCCTTCAAAAGCCTCTTCCTTTTTTGTCCAAACTCCCTTTCTCTCTCTGTCTGAGCTGCGTGTCCCCGGGGCCAGACTTGGTCAGTGATCAGCTGAGATTTCGCCATGTTTGAAATGCAATCGCTCCCAATCCTCTGTGCTGTGCTCTCTCTGCCTCTCTAACAGGGAGCCAACCATCACTACGTTCACTTAAGCCCATAGTTGAAGAACAACAGAGCGCACACAGACAGAGAGAGACAGTAACAAGAAACAGGAGAGTCGAAACGAGTTTGGAAAAGTTTGCGATCACACTTGTTCAAATGTGCGGGAAGACACAACATATACAGTATATATTCTGAGTGAACTTTGGAGTGTGCAGTTTTGTTGTTTAGCTACGGTCATGCTATGTGTTTGTTTGTTTTTTTCACTTTGTTTTTTTTATTTTTCTGACACCGAACATACCGATATGGGCAATGTGACGTCGGTTATTGTTGTAAATTTCGGTATCTGTAAATTTTCGTTTGTCGCCCAGCCCTATACCAGAGACTCAAAATTATTGTATTTTTGAGAAAAATTATTGTACACCCATCATAACCAAAATAACAATCTTAACGTTCCATAACAGTCACAAAAAGTCACTTTGGCGCCGTACAGGCACTTGGGAATTTGAGGCTACAGTTTTGTGGTCATTCACTGCCCCGCCTCACATTAGCAGGGTACGATCATCAGCTCCAACTCAGCTGTGTTACACTGATGTGTCCCCTTTAAACTAATGACAGGTGGGAACTAATGAGCCAAATCATGAGACCTTGAAGCCACCTACTCTCTGAAACAGTGTTCATAATAACTGACAGTCCAAAACCAACTTTTATTTATTTATTTTTTTGTCACAGTATATACACCGATATGGGCAAAATGACGTCAGTTATTGCAGTAAATTTCAGTATCGGCAAATTTTCAGTTTGTCGCCCAGCCCTATGAGCTTGTTTTGAAATAGTTTGTAGTTGTTATCTCTCGGTACAACATAGTGTTTGACAAAAATTGAGGAAGCTGCGGTTATAATGAGAATAGTTTTGGGTTATAATGAGAAATCTTTGGTTTATCACCCAGCCCTACAACAAATGCATCTAAATTTAACAAAATATGAAGATTTCTTTCCTCATATATATATATATAAATAAACAGAGAAAGAGAGAGACAGAAAAAACATTTTTATGTCTCCTTTGAACTATTATATTATAATATTCCATTTGTGATATAATTTGATTCGACACCAGATGCTAGCATACATTATATTGCATGATTTCACCGCTACTGTAAACATTTATTATCCGTACATGAATGACTCCTGAAACATGTGCTGCTGTCACCTTTAGGAAGAAAGAGATTCAATCTTTAAATTTTAAAAGGAACCGCTAATCCCGACACTGGGAACAAAAGTGAAGCTCCTACACACACACACAAATACACAAAAATTTCACACCATCTGATCCCTGTATCTCTGAGGTCGGCAGAGATCAGACGGAGACACACACTCGGCCTCAGAGATGAAATGGTGGGGAAAGAAATAAAAGTGATTTTTGTTTATCACCTCTTTGCATCTGAAAGATAAATGAGCAGCTTTTGAGTTTTTTTTGTAAAGACAAACATCTTGCTTCTCATGCCATCTGACTCTCTGAATTAATAAAAAAAAACATGTTTGAGAAGTTCATTATTAACATTTGTTTGCAGCAGCTCGGGGACAATCTGCAATGCGGCAAATTAAAAACACATTTCTGATGTTTTGTGCTGCAAGTGAAGTGGAAAAGGTCGACAAAGTAGTTTGTCAAAGATCAAGATATGTAACTGTTGTTTCAACCAATCTTCTCCCACATTGTGTATTCAAACTCTCAACATGCACATTTGAATAATGACTAAGCATAAAGAAGGCTTTAAGTGAAAGCACTGCATTTCATTTCTCTGCTTCATTCTCCTGTAGACGCACGCCAAGTCCTGGCTGTGAGGGAAAAGTTCAGACACGACCACGGAGCCAAAGACTGCTACAGACTGTTTCATTAAAACCATCAGAGTGTATGTGTTACAAACAAAGAGATAAAGACTGTGTGTGTAAGTGTGTGTGTGTGTCACTGTGCGTGTGTGTGTGTGACTGCTGTAGAGCATCAGCAGGGCCTGGAGAATGAAGTTGCTGACTGGTGCTGGAAGCAGCCTTGTAAATCTGCTTTTATTCCCTTCCTCCTCCTCCTCCTCCATCTCCTCCTCCTCCTCTTTGTCTCATTTCAGATGTGAGAGCCATTCCAGGAGAGGATCTCTGATTAGGGGTGTGTGTGTCAAGACGCTGTATACATGTTTTATGTGGGTGAATGGGAGAGAGGAAGAGGCTGGGACATAGATGTTTGTTTTATCTGTGTCAAAATAAAAGCCTGTCTACACACACATGCTGTTGTTTGTGTGTGTGTGTGTGTGTGTTTGCGTGGGTATTTGTGGCATTTTTGTAAGTGCAAGAGGATCACAAATTCCTCTCAAAAGCTTCCCTCCCTCTCTTCCTTTGCAGTCTCATTTTGACGCCGGCACTGCCAACAGATCCTCTTTGTACTGTATGTCTTTGTGTGGAAACCCACACCCTGCGTTTGCCCATTACGCTGCGGCTTCTCTGCTCCGCGTGTAACACATTTGTCCAAATTCAATAATGGGGCTTGCAGAGTTCACCACGTGTCTGCTACAGGCTGCACTGAGACTAATTCAAATTACTCTGCCACAAAGAGGGACCAAATGAAGGAAATAAATCGTCTTTGTATCGGGGGTCACTGGAATAGCTTTCTGTGTGTGTTGATGTGTGTGATGATGTGGTACTGCCAAGCTCACTGGGGGTGACACTTCAGAGTCGCTCATACGTGTTGAGCTCAGCAGAGGTCTGAAAATGTGCAGCCTGGTATGGAAATCCTGTGTTATGGAAATCCACTGTCTGTCTGTGACCCCTGTGTGCCCCGAACTGAAAGATCTGCATTTATTTACCCCTCTAATCTGACACCCGTTGACTCATAGGTAGTCAAGGAGACCGTTCTATATGTGCGTGTGAGGAGGAGCAGCAGGAGGTGGCAGGAGCAGAGAGCTGGAAGGAAACTGAACTGAAGCATGTGAGAGAATTTTCTGACACGTTTATGTCGGGTCTTGGTCCTCTCTCAGTGCTGGGTCTATAAATGACAGTTACAGACTGACATGACTGACATTCTGCTGTTAACCACACACTGAATAAAACAAGGATTTAACATCACCAACTGATCACAAAGTTTAATCGGATACTAATCAAAAAAAATTTTTTATTATTGGCGACAAAAAGAAAGATATATAGAATACTGCTCCTTTGTACTCATACACATACGTAACAGTTATCGTACCAGAGTAGGGCTGGGCAATATGGCAGCTTGTCTTTTGTAAATCGGCAGTAGTTGTAAATCTTTGACAAACGTCACTGAAACTACGATTGGATGGAAACATCACGTGGTAAAAAATGCCAAACGAAAAAACTGAAAAAATAATGTGTCTAGCAGACTAAGATTTCCTATGATCCATTTTTTTACATCGCACAGAGGGCAGAATTATCGTACAAATACGATAATTATAGTTAAACCTGGCAACCCTGGTATGGCAGCGTGGGTGGATACAAACAAAAAAAAACAAAAGAGCTACAAGAATCACAAGAAAAACCATCTCTTCGTCAAAGTGAAGGTGTTAAAGGACCTTCAAATGATACGTGTTCCCTGAGGCTGGCTGCAAAAGCGCAGGAAACCTCTTCATGTTAAGAAGTTTTTTTTTACTAAAAAATTCAAATTTGCATCCAAAAAGTTTGGGGTTTTGTGGTTCATTATTGAGCTGAACACTCTGCACGAGGGGTGAATTTTTTAGCAACCCATCCATTTTGATTATATCAGGGCTAAGAGTAAATCTGCATAATTGCACGGACACAGCTGAGGTCACAGACAGGTGGGTGCATAGTAGCCGTTTGCCAGGAGGCTCACGACCTTCGTTGCACCTTTTTTGCCTGTTTGTGACTCAGACTAACTTTTGCTCCATCTACAATCACCACTTCAAAAACCAGCGGGTGGTAAAAATGAGTCAGTGCTCATGTTCGATAGAGCCTTGGGTAAATAGTAGTAATTTAGATATTTGGAGTTTTTAAGTGAAAAGAAATGACATAGAAACAAAGTAGCTCACAAGTTGAATAACTGTACTTACATTTTGTACTTTCTGCCCCTGGTTTACTGTAAGGTATGTGCTTTGTTGTCTGGAAACATTATAAAATACTTCCCTCAGGGGCAGGAAATGGGAACTGCACTGTGAGTGAACTGCATTGGTACTTTTTCATATATCTACGGAGGGTTGTGGGTTATGCAGAGGGGAAACTGCTTCTGGAAAGACAGATATGCAGTTAAAAGTTTTTGATTTAAAGTTTATTTACTTTCACTGTAAGGGATTAATAATCTCCTCAAAGATGGAAAACCTAACAAATGAAGAAGAGGATAAGGTGGAGGTTTCGAGACAGTTTGCATTCAAGTTCAGTCTTCGGCTCATAGGCGTTGGGGTTCTGCCTGAAAAGGATTCTCGAGTGGCTCCATGAAGACTAATGAGGTGTCAGAGGTGTGTGAGTTGTAAATGGGCTGCAAGGTGCTGTTTGTGTTGCATTGTTTGCAGCCGCTTTGACGGATACAGTTGTGTACATACTGTACGTTAGATAGAATACATATAAGTACTGCGTAAACAATCCCACTCTCAGCAATTTGTTTGATGTAGCTTATCGCATCGGCCTTGCCGCAGAGGCTGACTTTGTTCAGCGGGAATGACAGCACGCATTTATCACAAGTCTTTACAAATTAGCATGCTAGCACGCGCAGAGCGGCTAGTTCTTGCTCCTGGGGCACCTGAGTTGTTATTGTGCATTGAGTGAAGGCATTATCATTGCCCGAACTTGGCACGCTGACACAGGTTAGGGCTAATCATCCCCCGCGGGAAAATCAATAGGCCCAGCGCAATTCACAGGGAGAGGGCAGGAGGGGGAAGAGAAAGCAAAGAGAGGAGAGGAGAGCTAAATAGATTTAGCCCCAGGGTTTGTTAAAGGAAATACAATTAGTTTTGATGGTTAAGAATTATGCTGTAGTCACTGTACTGCTCATTATCATCTTAAAGCCATCTTTAGATTGACCCACACTTCAGCTGGACAACTGTTGGTGTCACACATTAAAAACACATAAAACTAGAACTTTCATTAACCTGTGGTACGGCGAGTGCTTACAAAGGATATCCAAAAACCTTCCTCATAGATGGTTTTAAAGAAATACTCACCCATAAGGTTAAAGCAGGAAGCCAATGAAAACGGCACACAGTGAATACTAAAGGATACTACATCACATCACTAAACCATTAACTTTTTAGATGGAATATTTCTTTACTTTGTCCTGAAAACGTAGATGACCCTGGGTTAACCATGCTGCCACACAGTGATGGCTATGACTCACCTAAGTGGAACAGAACCATTTTGATTGCTGTTATGACAAGTAAGCATGACGGCTGAGTAAAAGTCTGCCACAGAAAGCATCAAAATGGATCTTTCCCAACCTGTTCCTGTCAAAATATCTCTTCCAATAACATGTTGTGAAATGGAATCTATGGAAATGAATCAAACCAAACTATTGTAGTAAAAAAACAGGAATATGAGATAATACTTGACAGAAGGGCTGCACGATTAATCGATTTTAAATCATAATCAGATTATTTGATTATGACGATGTTACAAATCGATTTTCCTCTCTATTAGGGATGTGCGCAGTTATTCGGATATTCGTGTAAACGTGGCTGTCCTTACTATCCGTTCAGTAAAAAATATTCGTTTATTCTATATATTAAAAAAAAAGGGGGGGGGGGAAGCTTCTTTTTTTTTTTTATTACGTTTTTACCGTCATGTCTTAATAAAAGTGTGCATTAAACAAGATAAAATGTGTGGATCATTTGCGTGCGACTCTTTCTGCCTGGCTCACTGCTCTGGGCTTGCAGCACTGGCCTGCGTGTATTGGTACAAAACGACCTTTATACACGTGACCTCTACTCTTCTTCTGTCTTTTGTGCATTTCCTCTGCAGTGTTACAGCACCACTTACTGGTTTGGCATGTTCACTGCATGGTTTTCAGTGGTTTCATTTTGAAAGATGATAGAAAAACTTGTAATTAAAGTGAAGTTTGGTGAAGTTGTCACTCAAAAATCGAGTTTTCAGATGAAAAAAATCTGGATTTTATTTTTGGCCAATATTGTTCAGCCCTATTTAATAGTTGATATTTGTGAAATGTAGAATAAAAAATTGTTAATACTCGGTGAGTCAATTTCCAGCATGTTTTGCTTGTGACCAATTGCAAATCTTTTTGGTGCACACACTGAATGTTATCTCCCGATGACGGTCCACTAAAAACGATAATTAGTCATCATTTTTCTATTTCAGGACAATACAATTGAAAAAGAAATAGTGTAAAAACAATCTTCATTTTCCTAATGAAGTGAAAGATATCAGAAGACTCTAATTTAGGATTTAATTTAATTTTGCCTGGCCTTTAACAACAATCAGCACAGTCTCACAAAGAATCAAACAGCAGAAATCCAGAAGGTGCAGTCACCAAGCAGAGCTCGCTTTCTTCTTCTTTTCTTTTTGGTTTTTTTTTTCTAACAAAAGCACTAAAATGCTGAGGCCTAGTCTGCGCAACGATTTATCAATGGAGCCGTGCATTTGATTGTCAGTGAATTGTTGGACGCGAAAGAAAGACCCGGCGGAGTCGACAAAGTACAAACACAGTCACATACGGACACATGTGCTCCGGTGTTCAAAAACAAGAACATCAGCGCCCCAGCCTCGGCGCTCTCTCTCTCTCCTCTCCTCTAACTGCATTTGGGCAAAGCGCCTGGACCAAAGCACATTAATTAGGCAAACAAAGTGCATACAGGGGGGAAATTACACCTCCATTTCTGTGATGCATTCATCATTTTCGCTTTTGTCTGTCTGTTTTGGGTGCTGCTCCCGTGCTTGATGTTGCAGGCAGAAAAACCCCACCTCCAGGGAGAGGAAGAGTCTGCTCTGTGTCAGTGAATATTTGGTTCTACCTCATCAGATTGTTACAGTTTGTTTGTGAAGAGTTGAAAAAGGGCGAATAGAAATACTGGATATTTTAGAAATAAAATATATCAAATAGACAAACACAAGTCATTGTTTGGAACCGTCTGAAATGATAATGAGCCGGTACAAAAAAATCAATTGAACCATTTCGCTATTTAACGAGCTTCATTCAGACAAAAAGAGGTTCATAATGTGTTCATTTTAAACTATAAAAGTTTCTACAAAGTTAAGGGCTATTAGCAGGCTGGTGTAAAAACATTAAGAGAGAAGGATAATTCTGACTTTCCCCCTCTTTGTTCAGTTTCCATCGCTCAAATGGTACAAACCAAGAGTTTTTCTTTTCGTGGGTGATGGTCAGACATGTATATGGCAAGGCAATAGGGCTGGGCGATATGGCCTCAAATCAACATCACGATATATTGATCAGTTCACCTCAATAACGACAAATGGACGATAACTACTCCACAAGCTGCTCCGCCGCTCCAGCCACTACAACTTTCTCTCCGTCCTCCATCTCCTCACCTGTCTTTCCCTCTTTGTTACGGACTGGATGGGGCGGAGTCACGTCTCTGACATAGGACAGTCTCTCAAAGGGACATGAGACCATAGCCTACCTACACATATCCAAAAACAACTTTAATTGATTCATTTTTTTGACAACGATAATAATGACATTAGCAAAATGACGTCGGTTATTGTCATAAATTTCTGTATAGGTACATTCTCGGTTGACCACCCAGCCCTATACGATCACCAGGTTATCAAAGGGTTTTGTCATTGTTAGTATAGACTTTATAGACAGCTGTGTGTCCACCATACAAACATATATGCAGACAATGTGACTACACCCTGAAGAAACTGATTTGTACTCAAATTGTAGAGTACTTGTAAATTTCGGTGTCTGTAAATTTTCGGTTTATCGCCCAGCCCTATAAGAAAGTATGTTATGCTGCTTGAGCCAAAAAAACTGACATATTTGCTTCCAATGTAACACCCTCTGTATGTTTTCTATCAGTCTGATTTCCCATCTAGTGGAATACAAATACAGGTTTTATTACAGAACCACTGCTCCTTGTTGTAAATATAAAACTCCTCTGATGTAAAAATACTGCCGGGTTGTTTCATTTACAGGTACCCTATGAAACACTATGAGGCACAATTACAAAAGGACACAGACAGGCTTTAGAAATAGGAGGAGTCGGGGCCAGCTGGTCGGAATGAAAAAGATAAATTCAGAGTTAAGATAGCACAGTTTGTGTGGATGGGAAAATTAACAAGCGTTTATCCCAAAATGTCAGACTTTTCAGATGGCGGTTTCATCTTTGCATATTACAACATGCTGACTTATAAAACAATGATATATCAATACAGATAGATTACTTTCTCAATCATAGAACAAAAGGAACAGAGAGCTCTAATCGATCAGTTTTAAAGACGACTAAATCAAAGTTATATGAAGTGAAGATTGACAAATGTCATGTTATCAGTCTTTACACACACACGCGCACCGACAGCCTGAATGTGACAGCTAATGGAGGGCTGCATTATAAGGGGCATACTGAGCTGCCATGTAATTACCATGCATAACTCCACACCACGCTCTCCTCTGTAAAATCCCAGAGGGCACTGGTGTTTGATGTGCTCACACGAACCAACTCTGCGTGTCTGTCGACCCTGTGTGCGTACATCTGCGTCTGTGATATCCACAATATGACAGTTTTCCATCCTGTTCACTCAGTGGCTGTTTCTATTTTGTGATTAATTTTCTCAAGACGAGAGTCGGAGCACAAATCAATATGAACAAATACTGTGAGAAAAGGCAAAAACAAGCCAATCATGGATTAATTAGATTATGTTACAAACACCACAATCAGGAAATTGAAAAGAAAATCAAGTGGGAAACTGTTAGAAAGAGTCAAATGAACTGAATCTACATCTTAGAGAGTGAGTCAACAGTCTCTCCCTATAGTTTTGCACCAAATTTTCTCTTTTCACCAAGAATTTGATGGTTGTCTATTGGGCAAATATTGAGTGAACACCAGCAGCTGGTAAGCTCAAGATAAAGTAGGTAAATGGTGAGCCTGCTGTATCCTTGGGTAACAACAACCGCCAAAGCTTATCTGATATCTATTTATTTTTAATCTATCTGAACAAACATTTCACATTATAACCAGCTGCTCCAACTTTTGAACCGTCCTCCATCTCCTCACCTGTCTTTCCCTCTTTGTTACAGACTGGATGGGGTGGAGTCACGTCTCTGATGTAGGACACCGTCTTAAAGGGACATGAGACATCATAGCTTACCTACATACATCCAAAACCAACTTTTGATTTATTTATTTTTTTTGACACCAAATACACCAATATGGGCAAAATTATGTCAGTTATTGTCCCAAATTTCGGTACTGGTAAATTTTCGGTTTATCGCCAAGTCCTACTTCAGAGTCTTGGTTGTTGAAGGTTCTTCCAGAGGACTTTTTTTAAGCATTTCGCAACTTTTTAGTTTTCTAATGTACTGCTGGCTGCCCATTCAAAATAAGCATATTTTCATAAAGTAAAAACATTTTACAGTTTTAACATTTGGTTTGTTTTCTTTGCACTTTTTTGTATTTAAAGTTTGTTGAACTGATTTGAGATCCAAACAAATTTGTTAAATCAGCTTTTGAAAATTGTCTTGACGTTTTGTTTGGTGTTATGTAACTGTTCAGACAGACTTTTATTCTGATTAGTATGTTTTCTGTTCTGCATTAGGAGAGAAACTCAAATGAATCACCACTTTAAGTGTCTGAGCACAGTAGAGGCTCGACTCACACTTAAGATGTTTTGGGCTTTCAGACTCCATCAGAAGTGTTGTCGTGGCTAAAACTGAACTTGGTACGATTTCAATAAAACTTTATTGAGAGCCCTTAAACCTCAAGTACCAGTCAACTGGCTTTCATATAGATTGCATCACATAAATTAATGTGCATGACTCTGGTGTATGTATATGGAAATATATACGGTAGGGATCAGGGGTGTGTGAATTAGTGGCTCTCAAGTTTGTCCCATTAAAGTTATAGCACACTTACCAAAATTAAGGACATTAAAACAAATTTCAATCAAGGAAATATCCTAAAATATCAGAACGGCTTCAAGTCAAGTCAAGCATGCATTTAAATGGATTCAGCCTGGGGGAAAATTGAGACTCCTCACTGGTTTTCTTTTGATCATTATTTGAAGACTAGAGCATAGGGAGAAACACTTTCCTTCATCAGAGGAGAACACGTTTTTTTTTTTTTAAAGCACTTGAGCAGTTCGCTTTTCTAAGACATTAAAAAAAAAAGAAATAGCTTTAACTGGAGGAAAAACACGGATGCACACACATGGATCATGAAATACTCGTTAAGTTTGGATGGGCTTGTGTTGTCAGTTGGTAAAAAGAAAGAGGCAGCTGTTGCTAATTTCATATTAACTACGGGACTGCCAGGCTAATTTCGACTATGATGATGATGACTAGTAGTGAAAAGAGATTTTTGATGCGTGTGACATTTAAGGCCAAGATGTGAGATTCCCTGAAGGAAACAGGAAACCATCTCCTTTTTATCTCATGCAAACACCTTCAAGCTGTGAGATGAACAAAACGTCTGTCCCTCATCATGTGATAGTACTGATGGGTCCAAATCAGGAACAACCGTAATAGCTTGTAATATTAAGCACCGATGCAGCAGCTTTAACTTTGGGGAGTTCTCGTGAGAGATGATGTTAGCGGGAGTTTTTGGCGTATCGTTTGTCTTCATTTGATTATCCAGAGAGCCAAAACAACGCTCGTATTGTCGGGATATGAAGGACTGAGGTTCACAGACTTTCAGGCAGGAGGATCTGTCATTCGCTGAAGTAATGCGGTACCATATCAAAGCTCATGCAATCCAAGTAACAAGCAGCCTTTGATGCCACATTTGATGTCAAGCAGATGTTCTACATGAGATATAGACCGAGTGTGTGTGTGAACAGTACACGTTTGTGCATGTTTCTGCAATTTTCAACTAAAAGCCGAACAACTTCTTTGTCTAGAGTCGTAAGTGGAGCGGCAGGGCTCGATCGGACAGTTAGAGATGTGAGATCAAAGGTAAAGGAAGAGGGACACGGGAGATGAAAGGCCAATAAGCCTGAGTGTATCTGAAGCCTCTGAATCCAGCAGTGCTTCCTGATATTTCTGAGAAGCATTGTTAGATCACCATCATCCACATCCACAATATCAGCCGCATTCAGACGTTTTAAAACGCCGTTACGAGTTTCTGCTGTGTGCTTCTTCTTTAACAAAAGCCAATGTGGGAGCAGAGCGTGTTCATCCCCCTGGCAAACATGTTGGAGTGTGATTACACATTTGATTAAACTGTAACTCTGTCAAATTTGAAGATAAATGTGCAGGAGCCGATTATAATCAACCTTTTATCCCTACAGAATGAGTTGCCCTTGAGGTCCCTATTGAATTGTTTTAGCTTTACAAATTGCCTAAATTAAGGAAACCCTGTCAATGCCTGGATGTTGGACCACGTAACCACACTCGGGATACAAAATGGTTTTGTGGGGATTTCATTATTGGCTGGCATTATTCATTCCTCTCTCCTCCGATGTAGCCTCGCTCAAAGTCATTTTGGCACAACTCCCTGCTAAGCAGGACAGAGAGAGCTTTATTTCATTACTATCAGGACCCCAAAAAGGCTTACCAAGAAAGCCATTTGGGCTGGATAAATACTTTTTTCAAAGGTTGATTGAATCATTAGATGAAGAACTGATTAGACTGTCAGTACTGTGGCGAATGAAAGAGTAAGGAAAAGAGGGAGCAGAACAACCAAATCCATTGATTCACCTGGAGGCTCATTAATTCTATTTTCTGCTCCTATATGCACCAGCAGCCCAACGAAACAGGAGCAACAACAAGGAGCTATATAGAGCTGGGATAAAGGTACACAACTCAGAGTTTATTATATGTTCTTTTAAAGGGGAGGCATAAATATTAGTAAAATTATAACTTGTTTTTAGTGTCGTCTTTTACTCCTCACTTTGTACGGTGTTTGTTTCCTTGTTCAAATTTCAGAGATAACCGTGTTTTTGTGTACTACACTTGCCCCGAAACATTTCTCAAAAAAGGAACAGCATGTAACAACACCGAAAAGAAAGAGTGTAGCATGATCTCACCGGCTGTGAAAAAGAAAAGTAATAAAAGCTTCTACCCTCACCTCACACTGTTCATGCTGTCCTGTTCTGATAAAACAACCCTTCAGGTGTACAATGAGAGGACCGGAGCACAAAACTTTTCATTACAGCGTTTTCTGTGGGTGAGGCAGCCCATGAAGGAACCGCAGCAGCATAACTTAGACCACCATATAATGGTTAACACTGAGCAGGAACACACAATGCATCACACTCAGCGGCAAGTCCCAGAGGACATCTCAGGTACACAATTCAGTATTTTCAGTTTGCAAGTTAAGATTGGATATATATATACTGTGATTTTTTTTTTTGTACATATTCTGCAACATGAAAAACATACAGGACTTTATACCAGAGAGAGGTTAAGTGCTTAGAAACATTTCTAATTTTCAGTAACTAGATTACAGTATTTATAATTTGGATCTTTTTGTTCACCTTCTGCTTCCAAATCAAATACTCCCCCTTTTTTTATATTTACTGTAGAAAATTATGTTTAATATGCATTACCAGCTCTGTGATAACTTCTAATTAAAGAACAACTCACAGTCTATCTCTGCAACTGTGAACGCTAAGAATAAACACTCTAGTCTTCAGTCCCTGTTAGTTCATCGGTGTAAACAAAAACAGAGACAAGCAGGACAATACAGTATTAAATTTAGTTTTACTACTTAAGCTGATTGTAGATATGTGTGACAGTAACAGGATCACAATTTGTAGTTAAACTGGTATGAAGCACACAGACACTGCCTGCTAGCAGTGTAGCCAACCAAGTGACTTTGCTGCTAGATTTAGCGACTTATCAGACCCCACTAGCGACTTATTTTCAGAAAAGCGCCAGCTGTTCAACTGAGAAATTATGCAAATTAGGCGATGATGTCATCTAGCAACTTCTAGTGACTTTTACAACAGCCACTAGTAGGGCTGGGCAATAAACCAAAAATATACAGATACCAAAAGTAGCCAGGTTTCTTTTTCGTGGTCTTGCTCTAAAGTGAAGTTGGGACGGTTTATCGCCCAGCCCTACATTCACCTGATCAAGAAAGTGAAACTTGTAAAAATGGGACTTGAGTTGTTTGGGTGACTTTGTAAGATTGTCAAAAGAGCAGACAAAGAAAGAGGTAACAAGGTGTGAGCCTTGGCTGATATAAAAATGAAACCAGAACCTAACCATGGTGACGTGAACTTGTGTGTTTGTCATTTTGTCACATTAACTAGAATCAGGTTCTCAGTCTTCAGGGTAACATATTTTCTCAAGTATGATCCCTCTACATTTTCTAATACTGTAATCTGATACCATTGCTGCAAAAAGCCCAAAATAAAAGAATCCATGATATAGATTTTAAGTCATATCACCCACTCCTACTGTACACACATGGCTCTGTTCAGTTTCCAAGAATTTAAACTCAAACATCGATTGATTTTTTTCTCAAACCCTTCGTGTGAAGATGGATAAAAAAGACAAACACAAGCATCTGAGGCTACAAATCTTGGGACAGCAATGAAAGTTCACCCAGAACTCTGAGATCTTAACAGCATATGTGAATTGTAAAGTGGTGTCATGGTTGGTAAACATACCAAAATCACAAAAAATCCTTTCTGTCCCTGAAAAGGCTGAGATCACATATTGACAAGAACATTTTCTTCTTCGTCTCCCTCCCTCTTCCTCCTATAAAAATAAAAAGACAGCCGAGTCCCTCATGTGATACTAATCATAACACAAGACGTTATTGATCCACACTGGGAAATTCACTTTTAGCTAAACCCTCGCCACAGGCTGTCCCAGAGCTTCAGCTGAAAGAAAGAAAACGTCTTATCCGTCTCTGATGAGGCCTTAGATGACACCGGGATGCTCAGTATTCATTCAAAAACACTTGACAGCTCTGAGTGCGGCTCCAAAAGTGAAAGTCGCCTCTTTGATTAGCTGTTTGGGTGCTTCTGTGAAGCAAAGCGTCAGAGACATACATTATTTTTCTGCCACAATTAAGGCGCAGCAGGAAGTAACATTATGAGTAATGCTGCAAAGAAATGCTGTTTGTTCTGTTTGTAATTGCTAAGACTTTTAATGTAATTGCAGCAATTTACTTTCAGGTTGCATACCGTCAGGATGGCTCTACGAGTATGTGTGTGTGTGTGTGCGACACGTGCATGTTTGTGTGTGCGTGTGATAGTGTTTCATTTTAGGTATAATTAAGATGCACTTTAAATTCCCTTTACGCTCTCAAATTTCTGCAAGGTGAGACTTATGGGTTCCTTTGGCAGCTCAGACATGTAAACCCACTCCTCCTCTCAATTCATTTTGCTTTCACCGAGAGAATGATGCAGAACTCAATAATGACAATATGCAAAAAGCCCCCAAATCTAATTTCTACTCTATCCATCTGAATTACAATGCCATCATTATTATTCCACTGTAGGAATTATACACTCTGTCAGCTGGAATAAGCAGTTTCCACGGACGAGCTGCTTCTGTGCACACACTCTGCTCTTGTTGAAACTGAGTGTGCGGCATGTTTAAGAGGCAAACACAGACACACAAGCGTGTGCACATACCTCCACACATTAAAGGGTTAATTTTCCAGGATAACAGTCATTAGAGGAACCTGTATCAAAATGCAAAATCCAAGTGTGTGTAACTGTGTGACCTGACACACGGTGAATAGTGAATACATTTGGAGTAATAGGTGCTGCTTCAACTGTTAAAGTCCCATTCATTTAAATACAGTTAATGTTTCTGACCAGCTGTGCTTGAAAAATATACGTCTCCAACTGTCAGCCTGTGCTTACAATAACTGGACTGTCACGTATTTTAGGAGTACTCCATAAGTAGATGAAACAGGCGGAAAATAAGGTCTATAGCTCTGCATCAAACAGTATGGAGTAAGCGTGTCGAGGTCAGGCTGGCAGATGGGCCGCGGACTCTCTGTGATCTGGGATGAATTCCTAATTCATGTCCTGCTGTGGGTTTCTATCTGAGGACGGGCTTTTCTTTGAACTTTCCCGAAAGTCAAATGAAATATTTCTGGACATCTTTTTTTGAGGATTTCATTCGTCACCTTTATAAAGCGACGTCGGTAAAATCTATATAACTGAGCTAACTGTTTACAGTGAATAGCCTCATACTGACAACCCCTGACAATGATGAACACGTACTGTATGCCAAAATGTAAAATCCCTCAATTCCACTCAAATACATCCAGTGTGATACTTGTGACTACTACATTAATCCTCAGTCTACCTTTAATTTGATCTTTTTGTTTAAAAGAAAAAAAGACATTATGAGATAAAATGGACAATGTTTGCAGGACTTCTACAACTAGGATAAAGTGACATAGTCCAGGACCTGAGGTCAACAGTTTAGCAGCGCTACAGCACGCTACAGCAGGTCCCGTTTGACAAGATATTAAAAAGCTTTTTTTGTTCATACACCACAAAAAAAGTGCAGAATCCTGCCTACTCCACCTTTAACACGGGCTGCTGGTCACTGCAGGTGCGGTGCCACACCTTTTCCACCTGACCAGCAGGTGGCGCTCTAACCAGGTTCAGCTGAGGTTTGTATTATTGTTGATGACACCTCAAATTAGTGTAAAACTGTGCTCTGAGGGTTTAAAATGTTATGTTTATAAACATGCATGCGCCCATGTTGCATCACAGGACTTGCTTGATCCAGGATCCATTATGAAAAAAATATGGTTTTTGAGTGCAGAAAATACACTGAAATTCATGTTTTTATACTGCACTATGTTTTCCCCAGTATTGTGCAGCCCTAATACAATGTACATGCAATAAATATTCACATAACTCTCCTCCTAAACATGTTCTTACCTCCTAACTACATAACATCAAATACTGCTTTGTCCAGGTTGTTAAAATGTACTCAGGACTGAAAAGAAACAAGATAAGAGGAGATGAGTGGGGCAGTCTGTACAGCCTGTACTGATGCTGTATAGCTTAATACCACATCTGCCATTTATTTGGTGCTTTTATCCAGAGCATCTTGAGTGCATCCATTTAGACTGGCTGCTCCCAGTGGGAAATGAGGCCGTAACCCTGTAGTGCAACCAGCACCCCACTCTAACTATTACAGCACTGAACAAACTCTCAGAACAGCAGGTTGGACTCATTTAAGCCAAATAAGTTTGCTGTGAATCATTCAGGAGGCGGGAGAGCAGCTGGACTGAACCATTTATTGATCAGAGTAATAAAACATCCTTTTAAGGACGACTTTAAGTTCCTCAGTCCTGGTTTAAACTCTAAACGCTGCATGAATCAATGTTTTCCGGTCAAAAACAGGTTGAATAACTAAGTGAGTGTAAAAGGTGTCACCAGAGTTTATCAACTGAACAGCGAATTATTACCCGGCTTTGCAGTTTCTTTCAGATCTGTGTGCATCTTTCACCCAGAGTTCACTCTGAGGTTCACTCTCTGTGTTTCCAGTAAAAATGCTCTAATAAATCCACTTCTGCCTACCTCCCAAACGGGGACCATTAAAAAGATAAAGTAAGCTACAAGCCGGTGCACAACACAGACACTTCCTTTTGTACTGTGTGGTGACTTACAACAAGCTAAAACGAGAAGATTTGACGTTCATAAAGAGGCACAAAAGCACCGACCGAACAAATCTGATTCTGCAGGAAGAAAATCAAACATGAAAATGTCTAAAACCAAAGTTAAACCAAGCATCTCAAGGATCATCATACCAAAGAACGCTATCAGTACATTGAAAATGAGTCAGTACCTTGAAAATGTTCTGACTGAAACTGTGTGAAAACATGAGATCAGCCAAAATCAGACTAACATACCTAGATAATACCGTTAGTTGAGGACTGATTTTCTCCTGGATAAACAATCAATTGGACTGAAACTGGCTGAGGACTCGTGTGCATGCTCAGTTTGCACATGTGGCTTTGGCTTATAAGTTGAATAGTGGAAATACATTGCTTTGAAGCTGGGTAATAAACAAAAGCTTTACAGTGTAAGAAAAGGCAAAGCTGTCATGAGCTCGATGTTGTCGTTGTTTGACGCACAACAAGAGCAACTTTCAGGCTGATGGATATGGATTTCTTTGTGAGGCTGAAACACTTCTTTTAGGGTTTGTAAGATTGATTTGTTGTTGTTCATGAAATCACTGCAAATAATGTGATTTCGCTTCTGTCAGAAAGGACGGTGTAGCTGCACTCTCCCATTACATAAAAGCCTTTAGGAAAGGATGTTATAAAATGAACCTTGATCAAATACAGTGAGACACAATCACATAACCATTTAAATGGAAATCTCTGCAGCACATTTCTCCCATCCACTTCTGAGTACTTCTGAGACACAGTCCTCCTCATCATCCATAAACATGTAAACACTCACAGGTGCGTGTGTGTGTGTGTGTGTGTGTGTGTGTGTGTGTGTGTGTGTGTGTGTGTGTGTGTGTGTGTGTGTGTGTGGTGTTTCGGCCTGCAGCTCAATAAAGCAGTGTGTGTCCATGTTTGAGTGCACTCATGCAATTTTTACATTTGTGTGAATATGAGAAGTATCAGATGGAGGTAGTTTTCACATAAATGCACACTCACCTCTTTCCTATGTAAGTGCATTTTATATATAGGGATTTTTTAAAGTATATATATATGTATGTGTACAAAGTTTCTATCAAACGTTCATGTTTTTCTTCAGGTGGAAGCTGATGACGTTTTGACTCTCTGGTGTCCACCCTTGACTTTTGAGGCTAACACTAGCCATGTTTACATCTGCAAAATTTCTCGATCCGATAAAAAATTTGAGGGATCGGATAATCTGAATCCACTGTTTATATGGGCGCGAAAATAAATAATCCGATCGTATACATGCGTACACATGCGCCAAGCTTTAAGGTCCTTACACACCGAGAACGACGGAAATATACGTTGCGAAATTACGAATTTACGATGTGAACGCTTGTATCGACAGGATACCGGTTCGGAAAAAAAATACTGACCTCTGAAATAATCGCACGAAAAAAATGCTCCCGGTGTGCAAGAACTTTCACTCAGATTCGAAGCATTTGGACATGCGCAGAGTTGTCCGATTTCACTAAAACAACCATAGAAGAAGAGTTGTATTTACGTCTGTGCTGTCAACAAACCAACAAACGCCGGAGTAGCTCGCTCCATCCAATTCAGGAGTTTTCCCTCTGTTAATAGTTGTCACTAGATGGCGCCCTTGCGTACATATTTTACTATTCTGTCAAAGGTTGCATTGTGCATTTTGGAATAACGATTGACATAAACAAACCCTCTCGATCTGTATACAGTTTCTTTCCGATTGAGCCGAATTGGATCAGAATCTTCCAATCGACATGTTCACATGACGTATTTTATTCCGATCGGGCCTTTATTCCGATTATTTGTGCCCATGTAAACACAGCTACTGAGTTAGATGAACCACTGTACATTTTTTAGGCATCCATATAGTTCTGAATGATACACAGGGCTTTTTTTTTACGTCTTCTTCACATGGTAGCCGTTCATCTCTGAGTCATACTTTGGAGGAGAGGAAAATGCTCTAATAATAAGAAAAGCTCGAGCAATATGCAAGGCTGTCAGTTTGATAGATTAATTAGACACTGGCAGTACAAAACAGTAACATTGGAGCAAATTTCAAGAATTTGTTTCAATACCAATTATCTGCTGTCAGACAACGGCTTTGTTATTGCTCTACCTTAAAGCTAATGCTTTTATCTGAGCTGAGAAGTGGATGAATGCAAATATTACTGCTTGCCAGTGTTCTTAGATTAGAAATAAAGGCTGATTATTGTAGTTACAGGGTAAATGCAGGAATCCTGAGGCTGAGTTTGACACAGCTGAAGACCTTTTTAAGACGTCATCGACATCATTTTAAAAAACCTTTACGTCTTTTAGAATTTCTGAGAGTCAGGCTGCAAATTGTTGTCCTGGTTACCCCTATAAAACTGTCAATACAACAAAATACGGTTCAGCTGTAACCATTATTATGTTTGTGTGTCCGGTAAGAGGGCAAACAGCCCTCTGAGAATTACTCTCCAAATTGAAAACCTTTTGGCTCCCGGCTCTTAGCTGGTGTTGATTTTGGGGGAAACCAATGATGGGCTTCAGCCATGGTTCAAGTTTGTTGATGCCCTTTAAGTGCATCAACTCTAATGCACTTCAAGAGTCGTACAAATGGACAATTCTCAGCACGCTTACTAATAGAAATACAAAGATGAACACTATGAACATACAGGCATCTCTGAAACTATTTACTATTGTGAAAAATGTTCATATTTTTCATCAGTCATACAAGAATGTGACAATTTAATGTATCAATAGATTTGTGGCATAAAAAGTAAAATGTGTTTTTGAAAAGTTTTAATTATTATTATGTTCTACAGCTAAAAAAAAAAAAAAAGTAAAAACAATATTTTTTTAATTGAGTTTTGATTTTTACATCCTACAGCTAAAAAAGTAGCTAAAAATGTAAAACTTAGATTAAAAAATTATATTTTTTAATCAAGTTTTGATTTTTACGTCCTACAGCTTTAAAAAAAGTATCCAAAAATTTTTAACTAATATAGAAAAATTATATTTTTTAATTAATTTTTGATTATAACATCCTACAGCTTTAAAAAAGTATCTAAAAATTTAAAACTTGTATGAAAAAAAAATTTTAATTAGGTTTTGATATTACGTCCTGCAGCCAAAAAAAGTATCTACAAATTTAAAATTTATATAAAGAAATAATACTTTTTAATTAAGTCTTGATTATTACATCCCACATCTAAAAAGTATCTAAAATTTTTAAGAAAAACATTTTTTTAATTAAGTTTTTATTATTATGTCCTGCAGCCAAAAAAGTATCCAAAAAATGTTAATCTTATCTAAAAAAAAAAATTATATTTTTTAATTTTGATCGCATAAGTCACTACTCCAGCAGAATAATAATGTATAACTCTAGGTCGATCCACAATTAAGAAGGACACGACTAACTTAGCAGTTGTCCAGAAAACAATCATTTACACCCTCCTCAAGCACAGGAGGCCATTGCTGAAAAGGCTGGCTGTTCAGTGCTGCACTGAATTCATATCAATGGAAAGAAAGTGTGATAGAGAAAATTGCACAAGCAACGGGGATGTTCACAGCCTTGAGTTTCAGGAACTTGAGAGAGCCCCCCCAAGAAGTGGACCAAGCGTAGGATCAATGTATCAAGAGCCACTACACAGAGACTTCATCAGGAAAGGCGCTACAGTGACTGCATTCAAATATCAAGCTGCTCCCAAACAAGAGGCAAGAGACGTCAGAAGCATCTTAACCGAGGAGGATAAGAAAAAAAAGAAATGGATATCTGCAAAGTGGACAAACTTTTCTTCTCGGTTTAAGCAACTGTTGCAAATCAGCGTCTAGTCTGGAGGAGGAGACGAGAGGTTCAAACTCAAGGAGTCTGAAGTCTATGTTGTTACCACTGTCTGTAATGATTCAGGGTGTTGGGCTGCAGGATATTGGAAAAAAAACTAGCATTGCAATGTTTTTTAACCCTGCGATATATATTGTGATATTAAAAAATACAGTAATTTTCACCAGATGGCCTGAATAGCACATGCACAGCACATGCAGAGTCACATGCAGTGTATGTCAGTCAGCTACCCTTGAAATTAGACGAGTTCATTCGCCTCCGGCATTGCAGGCTCTGCAATGTGACTATCGTGTACACGTACATCGCCATGACGATGCTCAAATGATATATCGTGCAGCCCTATCAGGGTGCCATGTCATCAAGTCCAATGTCGACGCAGCTCTTAACCAGGAGATTTTTAAGCACTTCATGCTCCCATCGACAGCACCAAACTACAACTAAATGGTTTATTGATCATGATATAACTGTACCTGATCAGCCAGCTGACTTACCTGACCTCTTAGAGAACCTGGGGATGAGTGTCAAGAGGAAGATGAGAAACATATGACTGAACCTGGGTTCAATAACACCTCCGCTACACAGCATCGGTGCTGAAATTTATCCCAAAGGAGTCCAATTATTTTGAGAAGCATCTGGACTAACTGCTCAACATCTAGTAAGATGTGTTCGTGTTGTCATTGTAAGCATGTTGGCATGCTGATGTTAGCGGTTAGCTCATAGCTCCGCTGTTTGTGTACAGCCTCACAAAGCCGCTAGCATAGCTGCAGGCTCTTTGTCTTGTTTTTCTCTGAAAGCAGCATAACTAGCAGAGGCTCTTTATTATCTCTTTGCTAAGCCTAAATTTGAAACCGTGCAGATCTCGTCCTCTTTTCTCTATTTGGCTCCTCTTCTCTTCTCTCCCTCCCTTCTCTGCAGTCACCCTATAGCCAGAGGGCACAATCACACCAGCAGAAAGAAAGTCAGGAAGCTTATTAAACATGACACTCACTGAGCACACTCAGTATAGGCGAAGGACATGGGCTCTGAGGTCTACGTGCCAATTAGGAAAATCTGATCAATCATGGCAGTCAAGCTCTCCCTCACTCCTCTCTCTTTGTTCCTCTCCTCTGTGTCTTTCCACTTCTTTTGCATTTTATCTCCTCTAGTCACATCCTTCTTTCGTCTACATCCAAAATACTTTTCAGCTACACGCACCAGCCCTGTTGTTTCACACAATCACACACAATGTGTTACAAAATAAACAAGGAAAAGACAGTCACACACACACACTTACACACATACACCACACTCCAGCAAGCTATTCATCACAATTTAGCAACAGCATTAGACATTGAGAGACAATAACACCCTGCTCCACAATCTCAGCCGAAACACAAACAGCTACACACTTCCTCTCCCATGACAGTCATTTTCCTCTCCATTTGTCAACACTTTCCTTTGCACTTTTTAATTCCCACTAAGCTCTCTGTCATCTCTCCGTTTTTTCTTAAAACTAGGCTATGGCATTCAAGGGAATTCAAAGAACAAGTCAATGAAACTGAGAAGGACTACAGAACATATAATCCATGTGTTGTGTGATTAAATTGTAAAGAGTAGTGAGTGTGTGCGTGTTTTTGAAGCTATAAATTTGAATGGGTCTATGAAAGTAAGTTTTTAAGGCGTTCTGATTGACCATAAGCTCTGCTGGAAAACATACATAAAATATCTGTGTTCAAAAATTTCAAGAAGTATCAGGATTATCAGTAAATCAAAGTATTTATACCTCTCTTACTGTGTTAACATCTGGGAAAACACACACAAGACCAGTCTACAAACGATATGCACACTACAAAATAAAAGTTATCCGGATTATAAATCACGCTGGATACGGAGATCACACCAGCCCTGTTTCTAAAATCAAAATTGTTAAAATTTAATGACATTGTCAATTTTAAAACAGCTCAAGTTGCTGTACATAGCAACACAAAGTAAGTTACCTGGTAACCTACAAAAGATGAGGCTATAATCTAAGGGGTGAACATACATTTATTTGTCCAGTTCTCCATACAACTCTGAAAAGTATGTGCATTTCTGTTTGTGGTGTTAAACTCTGGAAAAGCCTGGATGTCACTTTAACAACGTCCAATAACAAAAATATTTCAAATCAAACTATAGAGAAGTACTAAAAGGTTCATATACGTAAACTGACAAAAATATGGTTTTACATTAGATATACTTGAGTACATAGAAGTAATATTAGAACAAAGATCTTTGTAATTTATACAAATAGATTTTTTTAATCTCTAATTTGCAATGAAGGGGCAGGACTTGATAAACTCTTTGCTTTATTCTGTTCCTTCTCAAACTGTTTATTTTGGACATATGTTGTGTAAATTTATCTTTGACGTGTACAGTTGTTTGGTTATTTTGTTTGGTGTTTTTTGTTTCTAGTTTGTTTTTTGTTGTTGTTGTTGTTGTTCTTAAAATTTGAAATAAATAAAGAAGGAAGAAAGAAATTTCTCTTTACCTCTCTTCATTGGTGTTGGTCTGATGAGGGTAATGACATTTCTGAAGGCAATGGAATAGACCACATTTTGCCACCAGCCAAACAACTTTTTTAAAGCTTTTTCAGTCAAATACTAACCCATCCAACTTGCATAATACAGTGACTGCAACATGAAAAAGAGCCCAATTGTATGTACCATGTAATCTCCTGACCTAGAGAGAGACAACTTTTTCAAAGCATCCATCTCTAAAACACAATCTGCATATGTATGCTCACACAGTCAGCTGAAAGCATGGGAAGCCCAATACACATCAGTTTGTCTCCTCACAACAGGTGTACAAATACATCAACAGGGAGCACTTTCTTACCTGTAGGATGTCTTCTTTCTGTCTGTCCTCGGTCAAACATGAAGGCTTCTTTTCCAGGGCTCCATGACAGTCCAACAGTCTCTCAGAATTTCGTTTTAATCCTCTTTTAAGTCTTCTTCCTCCCTCTGGCACCGAACCGGTCCTCTCCAAACTCCATTCCAGTCCAGTTTCTTGTCCTTGTCCCTCCAGTTTCCAGTGTCTGCTCTCTAATAACTGCAGGATAAGTGGTTCTGGAGCTCAGACAGCTTGCAGTGGGTCAGGTTCAGAATCAGCGGCTGTTTATGTCCAGGACTGAGCTTTTCCAGGATTTAGACAGAGCCCGGACACAAGAAGCACAGTTCTAAGCAGACATGCCGGAGTAGTTTAGCCAATAATAATTTAACCCAGTACTAGTCTGGATTACTGAATTAATCATTTATACCATCCGAATTCGCGTGGAAACCGGTTTGAGGCGGTATCTCCGCCATTTACTCGAAAATTACCAAGCTAGCCCCGCCTGTTAGCTGAACTGTAGCCGGTTTTTTCCATTGTCCACGAAGCAGTTAGCAAGTTTTGGGGCTTTTGGTTGAATTCCTCAAATATCTTAAAAACTTGGAGTACACACTCCCCACTGTTATTTTAATATTCTTTAAGGCTGTGTCTCATTTTAGAGACCGCATCGGGCTAAGTGCACTTCTGCGCCGTCGAACGGTGCGTTTGAAGCGTGCATGACGTCACGACGGCGCGAACGGTGTCCCATTTGGCACGAGATGCTAAGAAATGCTAAGCGCGCTTCGCATTTTTTCAAGCGTGCATTTATGCACGCTTTCGTGCCGTCGGTATCCCAGAATGCTTTGCGTGCCGCTGCACAGCTGCGCATTTCAGGTGAGAGGCTGGACTCGCTTGGAGACACAGCGCGTCTTCAAAGAAAATACAAGAAATCCAAAACCAGCAGACAGTCAGCTCAGGCTGTATGAGAGCATGATCTCTGAACTCACTAAAATCTGTAAACCAAACATTATAGATTTAGAGACGAACTGATCCGCTCTGCTTCAACTATCAAAAACATTAGAAATAAGAAAGCTGACAAAACTACAGCACAGGATCAGGACAACATAGAGTTTTTTTTTTAAGATTTAGAGATTAAAGTTGTAAATTTAGGAGAATAAAGTCATAAAGTAAATAAAGTCATAAAGCTGCTTTTGTGGAGGGGGAAATGACTGAAGCTGGTCATCTGCAGGGTTATCTGTGGATGTATCAGCGGGTCATTCAGAGAGATTTTGTGGTTTCTGAAGAAACAATCAAACTGATGATGTTCAACATTTGTGATCCAGAGGGAGTCGAGCTCAGACGAGCACCATGTCTCTGACACCGGCAGTAACCTACACCTGCAGAGACACCAACACCTTATTATGGCATATAATAATAACCCCCCGCCATCTTCATGCTGTGATTTATAAGGTTTCCTGACAGGCGTCACACTTGGTTTTGCAGTATGAAGTTATTCTTTGTCTTTGTTTTTGGACTCAGATGTGGTTTCAGAGCAGCAGAGATCGACTCCCTTTTTCCTGCTAAATAAATCAACGAGAGACTTTTGTACTGGGTCAGGTAAACGACCTCCATTTGAGCCATTTTCACTCGTGCATTTTTGGGCACCCCTTCTGAGATGATGAGATACACCCTGAAGAATGTGTGTACCAAATTTGGTGCTTTTATCCACCGCATAACAATTTGGCCATTTTTTCAAGTGAACAGACCCTACTATGAGGTGGTGTGTTCGAGTCTTTTTCGGGACAAGGTGAATTTTGAAGTCTAGTGTCTAGACAGGAAATTGAAAGAGGAAACAAATGGTATAATCCTGTGTCTCCAAGTGGCTCAGAGGATAAGAACACTGACTGGCATTCCTGAGGTCATAGGTTCGAGTCCAACCTTGCCCAGTTTTAAGTGAATTTTGAAATCTAGTGTCCACAAAGTGCAGTGATATATGAAAAAAAAACACAATTCTCTTGTGTGTCCACATGGCTCACAGGATAAGGAGACTGACTGGTACTCCTAAGATCGTGGGTTCAAGTCTTACCCTGTCCAGTTCTAGGAGAATTTTAAAGTCTTGAGTCCACAAAGGACAGCGATATGTGAAAAAAGAACCCAATTCTCTTGTGTGTCCACATGGCTCACAGGATAAGGAGACTGACTGGAGCTCCTGAGCTGGTGTGTTCGAGCCTTTTTCGGGACAAGGTGAATTTTGAAGTCTAGTGTCTAGACAGGAAAGTGAAAGAGGAAACAAGTGGTATAATCCTGTGTGTCCAAGTGGCTCAGGGGATAAGAACACTGACTGGAACTCCTGAGGTCATAGGTTCGAGTCCTACCTTGCCCACTTCTTGGTGAATTTTGAAGGTCTAGAGCAGGGGTCTTCATATAAATTTTCAGTGGGTCCACCTGAATGAAATGCCTGCAGGCCTGGGTCCAGGGATTTTTATTTTTATTTTTTTTTACAGTGCATTACTCTTTTGAAATATTCACTCCATTTGTATTGCCAATAACTGCCTACTTTCAATTGGCTGTGTGCTTCCTGCGGGTAAAATGAATGCAAATGACTCGGTCCACTCGCCATAAAACACCCTGTTCTAATTCTCTACCTTTGGTGGTTTTGAAGCCGACATGTTTAGCTGCTGCTACAACTTTCTCCTCAGTCTGCCGCCTGACAGTTTTCAACATCGGGATTGCTCGGTAATCTTCGTGTGTCGAGTAGGCTAAGAGGTCTGATTTGATTGACAAGTCAAGTGAGTAAGCAAGTAATGTAATGCCTTGATGAAATTGCACGTGCAGTTTAGTGAACCAGGCACAATGCAAGAGAGTAAGGCTGCACGATATTGGAAAAAACTACCATTGCGATTTTTTTCAACCCTGCGATATATATTGCGATATTAAAAATACAGGAATTTTCACCAGATGACCTGAATAACATTTAATGTTATGCTGCACTGCTGAAATCTTGAGGACAGTTAACCTGCACTGATCTCACCTCTTTTTGTGAATGTTTAGAATGGCTTCTGTCTGTCTCAGAGATATTTTTATCTTTTATTGTGCTGGGACGTTATTGTGGCGACAGATGAACACAGAACACGTGTTTTGGTCGACATCATCCATCTTTTAACCGAAATAATTCCAGATAATTGACTTTCCTTTTCTTTTTGGCAACTAATCTTAATTTTCGGTGGTTTTCTCTTGTTCGTTGCTCATTTTGCACTCGTTGTTGTTGTTGTTGTTGTTGTTAGCGGTGTTGCGCCGAGAAACGCATGTCCTCCGAGAATTGCATGCACCTCGCAAAACGCGCACCGCTTATAGTAGAGTGGTCAACGGAAATATACAATTTAAAACCCATACAGTTCTTATTTGTTGGGCTTAACAGTCAGTAAAGTTCCACAAATAATTATCAGCGGACACGCGTCTCACTCCATGTGCAGAACATGTGCATGGGTGGGTTTCCTCCTCTCTGATTTTGACTGACAGCTGGCAGGGTAGTCTGATTGGCAACTGAGAACTGAGTCTGATTGGCAACTGAGTAAAGGACGAAGGTGATTGGTGGATCGCTGCAAAGCACATGCAGAGTCACATGCAATGTATCTCAGTAAGTTACCCTTTAAATTAACTGAGTTCATTCACCTCCGACATCGCAGGCTCTGTGATGTGACTATCGCACACACGTATATCGTGCAGGCCTACAAGAGAGAAAAAAACATACATTTTTCTGCGGTAGGCTCGGTCCGTATTGGACTCTTTCCCGGTCCGCCATTATTACTTATTGTAGGACTACGCCCTCGGCTACGCCCTCGGCTCACCGCCCGGCCATCCGCCGCCCCCCTTTAATCCCCCCGCAACACTTCTCCCCATCCTTACTCTAAAGTTCAGCCTGCTCTGACTTCCTGTAGCATAACCTCCCTATTCTATCTCTCTGGAAACACCGGGGGGGTATCCACACACCCCTGGGCTGAGCGGGTTTCGAACCAGGAGCCGGTCTTCAACCAGAACACATGGCTCACATTAGGGTGTCAGATGTCTACCGCACTGCGCCACCGGAGACCATCCACAGGTGGGGACGAGCTCTGCGTGCTTTCATCTTGGTACTTTTGCTCCTGGACTTTAAAATAATAATAATACAATAATACAAGAAATACTAAATGTCTCGAAATACTAAAATGTTTGGTTTACATATTTTAGTGAGTTTTTTTATTATTGATAGAGCACAGCTTCCTCGAAAATGTTTCTTCTACCTATTTTAGATTATACCGGGATTTATAAAGAAATATTTGTGTTATTGGGTGTGAATAATTGTCATATATTTATGGCCAACCAAATTCTCTGGCATTATGTGATGGACAAAGTTTTTGTGAATCTTGAATATTTTCAGTCCTTATTCTAACTCTGAATATTGCAAATAAAAAGTCTTTCCAGGCACACCGAATAAAGAAATTATCTAAGTACTGAAAATTCTCACAATGCCCTCAGAGAAATGTGATTTGTGTTTTTTGAGTACTACAAAGCTTTATTGGTTTGCAGACCTTTATCTAAAAGCCAAGAATTCCAATTTTTATATTCTTTCGAAAAGTGAATCTCAGAAAAGTCTTTTTGGATTTCTTCTGACATCTCGAGTCCCCTGATGCCTCTCGAGTACACTTTCCACCTTATTTCTCATCAAGCCACTGATGGAGTGCTGCGGGGAAAGCGGCTTCTTAAGGCCTTGTCAAAAGCTTGTTGAGAGGTGGTAATAGGCCTCCTAGACTGGCAAAGATGAAAAAGACAGATCTGCTCTCAAGATCTAATTTCAGAGCAGACTAGGATGCTTTGGGCAATAACTTATTTGGGTTGCATAAAATCTTGAAGTGCACCAGCACCCCCTAGTGGACAAATGTGCACATAAAGCTATTGAAAATCTAATTAGGTATGCATACACAATATATATCACTGCCACACCATAGATGAAGTTCAAACCCATCTATTCTAGCTGGAAAGTTTAAACTCCAGATTGAAAACATAATTTAAAAAATAATTAAAACCACAGTATATAAATCCTTAAAACTGTATTAGGTGAGAGTTAGTGAAGGCACATGTACAAGATAAATCAGCAGACGTGAAAACCCTCAGGTCATACACTTGATAAGAAAAAAATCCTGCACAATGATAATTATAATGATATATCAAAGAAACGTGGTTGTTACGCATTTAAGTAACTGTGCAAACTCGGCTTTGAATGTTCTCTTTTCACTTATGACAAAAAATTTAACTGTTGAGTCACAAAATACTATAAGTGTTTCGAATAATCTTATACTTAAGCAGTAAGTGTACACAATGTATATGCAGTGTCCACTGTGTAAACTGCATTTCTCAAAACAGTCCAGCAGATGGAGCTATAACTTAGAGAAAAGGCTAAATTTGAAATTCACAGAGTAAATGGGTGTAAAGGTCTTTAACTCATGCTTGTACACCGATAGTTGGATTGGCAGGAAAGGAAGGCGCTGACATGTTTGTGGTAGGAAACACTTTCGAGTGAAATATCAGCACTAAGAGTTGTGAATATCAACTTAATCCAGTTTTGTTTTGACACTTTGTCAGTCTCACTGTTCATACCATGTTGAAAATAAATGCACCAATGTCAACTCACTTTTAACTCATGAGTCCTAACCTGTTTTTTCTGTCTGTGGGTGTGAGTGTTGTATGTGGGTTGGGAGTGTGGGTGGGGTTCTGTATTTGTATTTGTTTGTATTTGTATTTTATATCCTGTTTGAATGGACATCACTTTGTGGTACATTTTATTTGTATGTGAGTGGCCTGTATCCATTAGGGTTAGGGTATCTTCAGCGTGGGAGACTGTTTTTCCAATTGCGCTGAAACAACAAGAGAAATGTGAAAAACTAGATACTTTATTGAACCAGATACAGCACAGGTAGAGACCGACATGTCGAAACAGGAAAGAGAAAACATTGAAGCTAGATCTCACAATTGTTCAACATTTAAGTCTACAGAGTTTCTGTCAACAGGTAAAGTCCAAAGACCCTAATAAAAGTGAAGTTTGAGGTTTTCACGAAGGTGGTGGATTATGGGTGGTTCAGACGACAGGCAGGACATCTTGGGGTCTCTCCACAGAAGTCTCTAGGAATCCTACAGCTGTGCAAAGCAGACCAGCACTCCTGTAGAGATGTTAGCCCCACATCTGCAAATGAAGACACAATAGTTGGACATATTTCTGCAGCATGAGTGACCTCCAGCAGAAATTTAAGTAAAACATGAAGGCAGCACAGAGTCCTACAATAGAACTAAAGGAACCGACGGACAGATAGTCTTATGTGGTATGTGGTTACGTCAAAATATATGCACAAGTCAGGCAAAAAAACGATTTCTATTTTTAACCCGCGATGACTATCGCTTGAAGGGATGACATCTTTGAAGGCATATTTGTTTCCCTGATCCCAAACCTGCTCTCTCCTACAGACACGGGTTTTCACCCGGCAATAGTGATAGAGGGTAAAGTAGGTTTGGGTGGATTTGATCGCTGCATGTAGGGAATAAGGTTGGTAAGAGTGGTCCTGGAATTTGCATGCTATCTTTATTTAACGCAGTGGTTATGAATAACTATCACAAAGTCGTGATTTTCAAGGGAATTCATATGGAGATAAGAAATATTTTAGTCAGCTGGTCATTTTCACTCACTCAGGAAGAAGCTCAGGAGGTAGAGCGGTCAGCCAATAACTGGAAGGTTGGCAGTTCGAACCCAACTCTATCCCTAGTCTGTCTGCTGTGTCCTTGGGCAAGACACTTAACCCCCCTTGCTCGTAGGCGCAAACTGACAGCCACATTTCCGTCAGTCAGCCCCAGGGCAGTGTGACTACTAAGTTAGTTTACCACCACTAGGATGTGAGTTTGTGAGCGAATGAATAATGTATACAATGTAAAGCGCCTTGAGGTCACTCACAAGAAGCACAATAAAAATCTGATGCATCATAATTATTATTACAAAATGTGCCATATTTTGGTTCTCTCTCCTGCAGCTGTTATTGTGCCGAGGACCCAGAGCCTTCACCAGGGAAGACTTACATGCCCCATGAATGGTTTATTTATATACACACACATATATATATACGCACACACATTTTTTTTTTAGGAATTTTCTATTCCTGAATGCCTAATTTCATTTTTTTTTTTTGGGGTTGTATTTTTATACAGTCCCCTCATGGCACTTTTTTCCTTCCCTTTAGACATTACACAGTTAAAAATAAAATAAAACTACTTTAATTTGTCATGTATTGTCCTATTTTGATATATTTTGATGACAAGTACTTTTTCTTGGGTATATTATTTCGGGTAAAAATCACATAGTGTTCTAGGGTTCTAAGTTATACATGAAGGCAGCACAGTGTCCTACAATATAACCGGTAAACAGATGGTCTTACATGATTAGACCTGAGTGTGAATGAAGCTCAGGTATAACATCGAAATTTACGAACAAGTCAGGCTAAAAAAAAACAAAAAAACATTTTTATTTCAAAACAGACTTGTCCTGTTGTTAGGTGTCAGAGCTGTACTCACCATGGCCCAGTGTAGCAGCAGCTTCTTTCACGCTAAATCCAGTTTCTTCTGAGTTTCTGACAGTTTATCTTGAAGCCTTTTCTTCCTCCAGTCCAGAAACTTCCTCCTCATTCTGTTGGCCTGCCAGCCCGCCAGGAACCCCGCAGCGAAGGAAACCACCACCGCCACTTGTAGTGTCCTCTCCGAGACCTCAGCCATGTTCACCTCCGACTGACAGGTGAGACCATATGGGAGAGTCGCGTGAGTTTAGTGTCTGATGGAATGTAATCCAGGAAGTGATTTGCGTCTACTCACGCGAGACTACTGCAGCGTGATTCTCGCCCCTTCAAAATAAAGCTCTGAAACACGTTTTAAGTTCAACATAATTCATATTAGTCCATGGACCAGACCAGATTTCGACATACAGTCATATACAATCACAGAGACTCTCAGAGACTCTCCCGCCGAATGTGTACAACGCTACTGCGCAATGTTGGTTCCAGGAAGTGGAGAAAAAACGTGGAATTACTGAGAGCTTTTCGGCTTCAAATCCGTATACTAGCGGAAGGCGGGGCCAAGTTGTCCATACAGGCTATGGCCAATATCCACAGTGAGGAGCATGGGTGTAAGGCCAGATGATTGACAGCACCATGACATAAAATACCTTCTTTACTTTCTTTACAGGAAATACTTTGATCGATGTATTTGATTGTTGAATACAGCAGAGAAGATTTTTAATGTGTAAAGTACGGTGGCCGAGAACCGCCACTGCTGCAAATAAAAAAGAATGAAAAAAAAAAAAAACAACAACAACAAAGGAAGTTACTGATTTAATTGCAGCTGTGGTGGTTCTCGGCCACCGTAATAAGGGGGCAAGATCAGCACAAACACAGGAGGCAGAGCTTCTTCCACATGAGGGCGACAAAATCAACACGTACAGAAAGCTCCTTGAACTTGGACAGATAGAAGCAGAACACAAATAACAATAAGAGAAAACAAAGTTTAAAATCACTCCATGAGATAAATCACAGTTTGTACAATTTCACAAAGTTTTATTTGAAAGCTGCGACAAATGTTTTAATGCTTTTGATACTTAAATAACAGTTTGTCACTTTACAGTTTGAAGATGAAATACAGTTTTCTATTGTCATGATGAACAAAACATCTCAGAGGCAGGTGTATTAAATGTGACTTCAGAGAGGTATTGTATTGCCTGAGCAGAATGTAAACTGTAACTTTATTTGGAGGTGATAACGATAAAGACAGTTTGTAGTAGCAGTTGTGGTCTAAATGAGCACCAAGTTGAATGAGCACTTTTTCTTCTATCACTCTGCAACCAAACATGGAGACAAAAGCTGCGTGTACAGGTCGCTGAGTGGATGTATAAGTCTCTCTGCGTCTCTAGTCTTTCCTGTCATCGTGTGTGAGTTTGTGCAGCACAGGTTGTAGCACCATATTGCAGTGTTGTATTGTGGTTTGTGGTCAACAGAAATATGTTATTGTGAGAAATTTGCTTTGTTTCACATCCTTGGGAGTGTGTGAGAAACACGTCTCATTCTCTAAAATACTTTGTCACATTAGGATAGAGCTTCTGCAAAATGAAATGTATAAAAACAGACACAGTCATCTTTGAGTAACGCTCTCTAACGTGAAGATTTTGTCCTCTTCATTTAGATTTGCTACAGTTCAACAAAAAATAGTGAAACAAATACTGATTGCACTGACATTTTGGAGCTGCAGCAGTATCGCGCCAGAGCACAAAGACTTCTATAAGTTATAATGTGACATTGAGTAAAAGCACCATATACCGGTCTATTCTCTGGAGTGCATGATTAAGATCTGCACAGTTTAATGCTGTTGAGAGCTGGATGCATTAAGAAGTTTACCAACTACAGGAAGGACTCAAATGGAGGTCAAGTTTAAAAAAACAGTTGCTCTATTTACAATTAAAGCCATCCTGATACCCAGTAAACATCGACGGGTGTATATACAGTCAACATGTCTACTGCAGATGCAGTAAAAGCTAGCGAGTGTGTATTTAGGATCCGATGGTGTATTGCTGATGAGTTTTAGAGAATCTGCACTGGTGAAGTTTAGAGCGAAGCTGATCAGAAAGTCACAACCGAGTCTGTCTGAGCCGGTCGATGTGGTAACAGAGTTTGAGTGCAGGTCCCAGCTTCAGTCCCAGATACTTCATCATCATCTCACTTTTCAGCAAGAGCAGAGCGTCTCCATCTATCTCCTGGAACACAACAAAGAACCGTGAGAATGGAAAGTACAATAAAACAGATTTAGCTTTTTTATTAGAGAAAATAAATAACAAATAAATGAGTTTAAACATCATATAATATAGACTCAATTGGGAAGTTAAAAGTGGGCAATCTGTGGGGGTCAAACTAATATGAATAAAGTTAAAGTTCTGTGTAGACTAAGGCTTCTAGCAAGTTTTTGTCTGACAGAGTCGACTCAGATCTTTCTGTTGAGTCAGGCTGGAAATAAACTCGCGTTTAACTCCATGTTGACATGTGTTGTGAAGCCACCCAGAGCGCTCTGTGTCCACATGGCGGCATGGGCTGTGCACCTCCTCAATGATTGCCTCAACATGATTGCAGGATGCAGCGTTCACATGAACAGCAGAGACAGTGTGATTGAAGAGGGTACAGTCGACACAGTTACAACGACAGAAACTGATTGATCAAATCTGTAATTCTCTGCAACACGTAACATGTCATTGTCACTGCAGTGACGACAAGTGTGTCCATCAAAACAGCGAACAACAGATAAGTTCTGCGAGCGAAACTACATGTGATCGAATTCAGGAGAGTTACATCTGTGCTCAGGGGGAAACACTGGAGACAGGAGCAGGGACATCGAACTTAAACAAAGTAAAACTCTAGCACAGTTTAAAAGTAAATTAGAGCAGAACATGATTGAAAAATAAATACAAAAGTGATTTTCATTTTGCCACACTTATTATACTGTTTATGGGTTTGGTACACATGAGAGATTTGAAGTATTCTAGGTATATATAAAGTGTATATTTGTGTGTATATAGATATGGATGTATATATGTATACATAAGGTCTTTGTTTTAGTATTAATTATTAGTTATATATCCATGTTAGACTTTGGAGCTTTGGTTACTTTATGGCGACTTCAGAAATCCTAAATTCTAGAGACATGTAGAGGGTAAACGAAAAGGAAGGAATGAAGGTAAATACTGTAGCTTCAACCTGCTCCTTTTCGATCTCCAAAAAAAAGGAATTTCTTGTCTAAAATTGTACTGTATGTATATTTATCAAATAAACAATCTCAATCAAAAAAACTGATCCAATTACAGAATGAAGTGAGTGACCAGGACACTTAGACCAAGAATTAACATAAGAGAATGAACTCCTGACAAACAGCTACGATGCATCCACCTGTCTGTCATCTGAGCTCCACCTCTAATCATGCAAATTTATTACATCTTGCAGACAAACATCCTGCAACAAATAAGCTGCAAAAGTCTTTAAACCACATCTGCTGATTTTTATCTGGGACCTCGAAGAACCTGGTGCTGATAGAGACACGGGTGTCTCTGGTTTACATGTTTCAGTCTTGACTCACATGCTTCCTGAAGGTGTCAGCGTGGGGTCCCAGGGCTTGTGGGTCAGCATCTTTGATAAACCGAACCACCTCCTCAACACCCCAGCTGGACGGGTCCTTACCGGCAGGACGCTTATGCTCTCCGCTGTCGGGCATTGAACTGAAAACTAAAAGTACAGAGGGGACAGGAAGAGAGAAGATGAACAAACACAGAGATTAATAAAGGAGCAAATAAATAAATAAATCATTGACGGTCAAATCCTTTATTGATTGTGGATATTTGATGTAGTCGATGTAAAAACAGGACTGTTTCTTCAGCTGCTTGGCTACCTCTTCATACCATATAAAAGGTCAGTTTTGTGACTGGTGGCCTTGTTTACTTTTGTGTATCATAAAAAAGCATAAATACCAATTTAAGTCAATAACATAAACATTAAAAATGTTCCCAGGACGACTAACATCACTTTTGCTTGTTTTCTCGAAGCGTGTAGATCTGACTTTAAAAACAAAGCCTCACTGTTCCTGTTTCCATCCTGGATGCTCCCGGGGCTTGATGCTTGTCTGCACATGCCCATTGGAGCAGAACAGCTGCTGCCACGGTAACCGTAGGAGTGTTTCTGCGGGTACTGGGATGCCATGAGGTTGAAGGCTGAGTCACTGGGATCCACGGCGTAGCGTTTGGAGTCTGCTGGTGGATCGCACAAGTAGTCGTCTGGCATTGGTGTCTCTGCTGGAGGGACAGAGACAGGAAGTGACATCATTACAGTCACTGTTAATGTCAACATATTAAAGACATATTGGTCCCATGGTGGACAGTGTAGACACCCGCTGGTTGTTGATTTACCAGGTGACAGATTTGAGTCTAAAATAATTCACCAGGATGATTTTTAATGACCGCTCCTTGGTGCAAACACAAAGGTCTGATATTTCGTATGAATTTATGTAAAATCAAATTTAAGCATGTGAGTTTTGAGATTTACAAATTGACACCAGAACATTCCACAAAACTGCTTTTAAAGGGATATTCTGGCATAAAATTGATTTAGGGTCAAACACACTGTAACACCGAGTTAGACCCCCCCTCGACAGATGAATGTTGCCGACCGTTTGCTTCTCTAGTTATACCAACTTTAGTAACGACCGCAGGATAGTAATACAGAGAGCCACACGATCAACCAAAACGCCACTCTATAGCCACAAATAATGCTCAGAACAGCACCTAACTTCATCAACAGGACATATAGGGTCACAGACATAGTACAACATAGTACACAACTCACCTACTCTCTTCCAGCAGCAGTTTGTTTGTAGTGAGACCTTAGGCCAGTCCATTACGGACTACAGCGGGGTGGAAACCCGTCTAAAAACCCACTTTTTTTCCTCGGCTTTTGATCCAGTATGTGACGGCACTTTTTTATTGCTTTTTATGTGATTACGTACAGCACTTTGTGTCAGCTTTGGTTGTATTTAAAGTGCTCTAGAAATAAAGCTGAGTTCAGCAACAATCATCATATTAATCATTTTGCACTGCAGACACAGAAGTTCTTCTGCCTTAGCATCTCGGTCTGATTGTATTTTTATGAAGAAACTATCATAAATGTTCTTCCTTGAGCTGTGTCACCCCACTGTAGTCTGTAATGGACTGCTGGAAGAGAGTAGGTGAGTTGTGTTTAGTCTCTTTGCTAAAGAAATGAGTCAAAGTTTAAAAGATGTTTGGTGTCTAGTACTATGTCTGTGACCCTATATGTCCTGTTGATGAAGTTAGGTGCTGTTCTGAGCATTATTTGTGGCTATAGAGTGGCGTTTTGGTTGAGGGCGTGGCTCTCTGTATTGCTATCCTGCGGTCGTTACTAAAGTTGGTATAACTAGAGAAGCAAGCGGTCAACAACATTCATCTCTGTCTAACTCGCTGTTATAGTGTGTTTGACCCTAAATTAATTTTACGCCGGAATATCCCTTTAAATGAGAAATGCTGAATGATTTTTTTAAAAGCCAAGTTTATATATTTTTAAATTTTATATGAATAATGACAAAATCTATATTTTTTTGTGTGTAAACAAAATCATGTTAAATATTTGTGTATCCATGTTTCATGTTTTGTAGAATTACGTGTACCTTAAAGGGAAGATACTGTTTTTAAAATGCTCCTCCATTTCTCATTAAAATGATTTACATACATGTCTGGATGACACCATGGGGAGTAAACTGGTTTGTGCTTCATATTTAAGCGTATTAGCAGTTGGTTTCTGTGCTTTTACAGCTTCACATCAAACACATTCATGTTTTCTGTAAGAACAAAGAGCAAAGAGCCGGTCCTTGACACATGAGATTCCCCTTCGCTCCTCAAATACACCAAAGACAGTCTTTAAATATTTGCTCAGTCAGAGCAGGACAGACCATGAGGGAATAAAAAAGAGAAAGAAAAAAAAGAAACGTCTGTGTGTGACATGTATTTCTCTTTTGTTGAAGAATTTAAAAATGTCTGGTTTTCTCCAGAGTCGAGACGGGAAAACAAAGATGAAGAGGAGACTGAAATAGAATACATAATGAAGCATGTTTGGGCTGAATTTGAGGGCGTGCATTTCTCTTAATTTAAAGTACGTTAACATTCATAGCAGAGCCAAAGATGTACGTGCTGTTTTTGATTCTGCATGAAGAAATACACGAGTGTAACGGTTTCATCTTCACTCGCGTATTATCACAGAGAACAAGTCTTCTGTGAATTTAGAGAACAAAGAAGGAAGACACGACTCTGACGACAAAGAAATACAAGTCTCTGTCAAAGCAGCAACAGAGGGATTAAAAGATAAGATAGGAAACAAAAGAAAAGAAAAGAAAGGGCGTAAAGGTTCATTTCAGACCGCAAAGTTCAACATCAGGACCACCCTCCACCATCATAACATGATCTCCTGACCCTCATATACCCACTCTTTCTGCTCATAAAGGTTAAAATCCATGTGTGTCTGTGTTTGATGTCACCTGTTAGGACTTGTGGCGTGGCAGAGTGGGGGACGATAGCAGCATCCTGTGGGAGAGAGCCCATCTCAGGCTCCGGTGTGCTGTTTGGAGGAGAGGTAGCGAGGGGGGACATCAGCATCCTGGGCTTCAGCTGCACAGAAACACACAAGAGAGAGAGACATACGTGAAGATTCAGGTGATCCCAGGAAAATGCAGGTTATTGAGAAGACACTTAAAATACCAGGTTACATCTTAACACTGCTAACATGACAAATATCAAAACAATGACAGTGATAATGGAGAATCGCGAGTCAAAAAGTGAAGACGGGAAGCCACTATAGGAGCTGAAATCTTGCACAGATGCAACCTTGCTGCAGCAGAGCTAACGTCACACCCTTCCTGCTAACCAAAAACACACTTTTAACTTTTAAAATAAACCATCAGAGATCCTTCAGGTTGTTATAATCCACAACAAAACTGATTCTGGAGCTCGCTTAAAACTGAAATTCACTCTAAGGATCTGAGGCTCTCTATAACACATTATAAATTTATTTATAATGTGTTATAATCATGTTATATCACTGTATAACTAGAGTTACAAACACTCATAAATGATCGTAATGCTTAGCAATAATCAAAACACATTATAAAGTGTTTTATCATGACTTACAAGATCAGGTGTTATAATGTGTTATAACCGTTAACAACTCACTGACAATACCCACATACATAATGCATTAAACATATATTTATGATTATTGTAATTCGCTTATAAACTTGTATAACTGTCATTATAAACACTCATTAATTATCATAAGGCTTTATAACAATAATCATAACACATTATAATACCTGACCTTGTAAGTCATGATAAAATGCTTTATAATGTCTCATGATTATTGTTATAAAGCATTATGATCATTTATGAGTGTTTATAACTCTAGTTATACAGTAATATAACATGATTATAATGCATTATAAATATATTTGTAATGCGTTATAGAGATAGGCGTCAAATAAAGTGTCACCTGAAAGTTCAACATCTCTGTTAATGTTTGTTCCTCCTTTACTCTGTATATCAAGTAAAAAAACAATGCAAGAGTCCTTATTGGTTAACAGAGCTGTCAGTCAACCATCATTTTAACCCTTTAATGCCTTTTGTATCATATTTGATACATACTTTTATACTTCGATCAAATCAATATGATCAACATATTCCTAAAAAAACACCTGAATACAGTCGGATAAATAATAAAATGTCCTCTTGTTTCCATCTAATGTATCAAACGAGATAAATAAATATATTTTCGTTGAATTTTAAAGACATTTAGATTTTTTGTTTTTTAGTAGTAAGTGAAATAAATATTTCAGCTCCGAAAAAATGTGAATTTTCTGGCCATAATTTGTGGTGTCAGGTATTAAAGGGCTACAATCAACCAGTTAATGAAAAAACTAAACCACCTTAAAGAATTCAAACAACTGCTCATAAACCAGCAAAATAAGCTGAACTCCTGTAGAAACAAAACACGACACAAATAGTCCTCATAGTGACACTTGCAGAAATCAGGCGTACCAAAAATAGAGCATGGAAAAACAAATGAACAGGAAGTAGTCATGTTTGTGTGAAGTGAAACTATAGAGCAACAGTATATAGAGTGTGTATATTATATTTTTGTCACTAAAAGCACCAGAAAAAACACACAAACACACAAATATGCATGTTTAAGACGTTAGCTATCCCACAGATTTCACACTAGTGAGATTTACACAAAGTTAATCCACAATTCTGAGGTGAAAAGATTTTTGTATATTTCACATTTAACCGTTAATGACACCTTCAATTCTTCAAAGAGGGGTGGTTTTATTTATAATTAAATAGACTGTGTGAAACAACATGAAGGCAAAGATAGATAGATGCTAACAGACCTTGACTCCAGGTTTTCTTCCTCTCTTCTTCGGCACCTTCAGAGGAGACAGCGGCTCGGCGTAGAGGCTTTGAAACTCCAGTTTTCGGATGGGAGGCCGTCCCCTCTTCCTGCCGGGTACCTTACCCTGTGGCCCCGTCATGAACTGTGGGCCCAAAGCAGGAGTCTGCATCTCTGAGCCGGCAGACAGTGAACTCATCAGACCTGGGGGAGACGGACAGTAATAATAACTCCGAGTCTCAGGAAATGGCAGCTTTAAAGTGTCTGCACCACTGCCTCAGCCTGCAACTGAAGCGGAAACTCAGATATGCATGTGAGATTTCCTCCCTCCCTCTCTCTCTCTCTCTCTCACACACACACACACACACACACACACACACACACACACACATAGAGAGAAAATAACAATAGAAAATAGTACATACAAAGCCACATAAAGCTTTGTACTACTCCACCCATCCCCCCTCTCCAACTGCAAAGATTGCAATAAATATCATTACTGCAGAGAGAGAGAGAGAGAGAGAGAGAGAGAGAGAGAGAGAGAGAGAGACAAAGACACACAGACAGAAAGTGAAACCATGGAAGACCTCCACTGCAACACCCACATCATTTAACAATGAATCAAGTGTGCGTTCACACACACACAGACACACACACACACACAGACACACACAGAGCAGTGCTTTCAGTTGTTGGTCTCACACTGATTTACACTTCTATGACTTTAACCACACACACCTCCACCTTGAATTCATGAAGCACACACTCTCACCTCACACAGCCTCTAAATGTGAGACTAATAAGCTGTGAGCTGGTTTACTCTGCAGACGATCTTCATATAAAACCTCTTCATCCTGATAACCCTCTGAAGTTAACAACATTAACACCCTCCTCCTCCTCCTCTTCCTCCTCAGAACTCAGGCACAGACAGGGCACGTGAATATGCATCACAACGTCCATCCTCTTCCTCTCAGACCAAACCCCATTCAAAAAACTTCCAATTATGCAGCGAATGATCATTCTGAGCGTTTCCTACCATGCACAGCCCACTGCTGATATCCGCCTCTGTGGTGCTTCTGCTCCAGCAGCAGGTTTCTGGATATTCCCCTGATGGATCTCCAGCAGTCTGCCTTCACTCTGTCAAGACACCGGCAACAGTCTCACTCACGCTCTCCTCTCTCTCTCTCTCTCTCTCTCTCTCTCTCTCTCTCTCGCTCTGTCTCTGTCTCTCTCTGTCTCTCTCTCTCTCGCTCTCTCTCTCCTCCTCCAATCTCCAACCTCTGAAACAACCCCCTCCTCCCAAACCCCCTTCTACCCTTACCCCCTTCCTCTGTGTCCCCTTTCAGTCGTCATAGCAACACGCCTCTAACATCCTGAGGCAGCCGGCAGACGTGCTGAGCTCCAAACGATATCTGTGTGTGTGTGTGTGTGTGGGACTGTAATGTAATTACAGTTACTGCAGCTCAGGGTTTGTCTATTCTGGTGTCGAGGGATTCAAGCTGTGCCGTGTTTGGGGTTACAAACTATAACCTTTATAATTATTATAAAGAGTTAAACTGTCGACACACACACACACACACACACACACACACACACACACACACACACACACACACACACACACACACACACACACACACACACACAGAGTCCCTTTAGGGTTCAGCTAGGGCTGGGCGATGAAACGACAACGATATATATCGAAAATTAATTTCCCTCAATATCGATATAAAACATGGTCAATATTCTCCCGATAGTCGGCATTCTGCCATGTTTTGGTAGACTTAAAAAATAGCCAACGAAAAGGGGAGTTTCTCCCATCCATCGACTAGGGATGTGGAGATTAATCGATATGGATCGTGGTCGCGACACAGACATGCGCGATGCGAGTGCATCGATTCATTCAGTGTGTATTGGTACAATGACGGCTAAAATTTGTGATGCTTCGTTTGCTGCGTGTCTGTATCGGTAATCTTCACAGTTGCATCGGTGTATATATATCTATATATATATAGATATATATATAAACACTCAAAAAAACAAAGTCGGATTTGAAAAGACGCACGTTATTTGTAAAGAATGCCGTGCTTCTAAACCTCACAACGGCAGCACGACAAATATTGCCACTCACTTTAGAAAACATGCTATCAATGTCACGAAAATCACTGCTACCGGAGTGCAGGAGGCGAACAGCAATACAGGTGAGAACAATGAGGGGTGAATCATATCGTATCGTATCGAGAACAGGGGTGAATCGTTGAGTATCGTATCGGCAGGGATTCAGTGTATCACAAATTATATCGTATCATCGGCAGTGCATCGAGATGGGTATCTAATCACCACAGTAATGGAGATGCACATCCCTAATATCGACTGATATGAAAAAAATATATAGTGATAAACTTTTCCTCATATCGCCCAGCCCTAAGTCCAGCTGAAATCATCGCACTCTTCCTGCCAAACTGAATCACTTTCCAAATGCTTGCAGTCGCCGGATTTAAGGCCGACGGAGTAATTTTTTTCTTCCTTAAACATCAAAAGAGTCGAGAGCAACCCCTCCAGGATTACACTCCTGATGAAAAGACGATATTTCTGCTCCAGCTCGCTGCTTTCCTTTTGTTTATACCCTCCTTCCACCTTCATGTCAGCTCATGTGTGCTTCTTTTAACAAATTATCCACACTAGGATAGAAAAAAAAGGAAAGTGAAAGGGAGGGGTGTGCATCCCATGATTTTTTACCCCGTCATCACCACCACATATTGATTAGTCGTCCTTCAGTGTCTATCAGTCAAAACAGCCTCACTGGTGGGTTTCAACACTCAATCAAAATCAGGTTAACCTCTCACAGAGAAGATCAAACGCTGGCACGGCCTCACTCGCACGAACAACAGCTCCCAGCATGCTCGGAGATTTATCAGGAGGGGGGCTGTAAAGCAGTCACTCACTCGCCGTTTTAACGCCGGATGTGACAGGCTGGACAAATCACAGTGTTTCATTACATCAAGTCCATACATGGTCATAAAAAAAGACAATAAACAGCAAGGTCAGGACAATGACGCACCGAGAGTGAGTGCTGGCACATGTTCAGACATTTATCAGCTTTGACTGTGGAGGCAGGAGTCCCCCGTGTGTGTGTGAGAGAGTGTGTGTGTGAGTGTGTGTACAGGGTGGCATAAATCATAAAAGTAATTACACAGTGAGATTAATCCTGATGTCCCTCTTCAATCAGTCCAGTCCTGTTACACTGCATCACATTACAGATTCAGACTGACGGAGAAAGAGCCGATAATCATCTTTCACTGAGGAGAGAAGATTTAGGGGTGAGGGGCGCCCGCTGAAACCCACTCACAATATTTTTCTGAGGCACAGGGGGGGGGAAGATTTACACCACTGCACTGCACCCTCTCACAACACACACGGGACTGGAGTCTAATTTGTTTATGGCTAATTAAGCAATTAAGTGGTCAGTGAACCCCTACGCCCAATTTTGCATCCTGACGGAGGGTTAATGTCCCTTTTTGGAGGCTGAATGTTGGATAAAAAGGCGTAAGAAAGCGGTTATAGCCGCAGTAATGATCAGCAATGATTAGCATAACTTAATCAGGGGCTCGAGGGGATGGAGATTTGTATCTGTTTCCACTTACGAGGACGGGGAGCTGCAATGAAGTGAGATATGATAATTCTTCAGTATAATACACACACACACGAACAATTTCAGCACTACAACTGTGTCTCTCACAAACACACAAAAACACACACATGCATAAATGATATAATGAACAGGGAATCTCTATGCACTCGCCCGGTGGTAGAAAATTTGATGCAGAATGTGTGTGTGTGTGTGTTTTTAATCAATGTAACAGTGTTACAAACCCCCTGAATTTATTTACAGCCCAGGCAGGGCGTAACCATGGTAACAGACATTGAAATTGGATCCCTGCGCCGGAGTCATGTGATAAGGTGTGAATAAATAAAACGTAAATAAATGCATTAAATAGGCACAGTGAGAGACACACATAAACAAACACACACTCCTCCTCATTTCTGAGCGCCTGTAATAACAAAACACACACATGTGTAGGTGACAGGAGGGTGTTTTTGTCTGTTTAGGGCGGTCAGGGTGAAAAATATAAACGTAACAAAACAAATGAGAAACCACTAAATGCATCAGATACATTATCTATGCATTTTGAGATTATTTTAAATGTAAAGTGTGTTATAAATAAAATTTTTCCTGTGAAAATAAGCTTTTTGACACATTAGGAAGCTTATTTAAGCCAGACAGAGGCCCACAGACTCTGTATCCATGATGGTTTGTGGATGCACATGAACCCGTTATCCATTCATACTGAACAGAAAATACTGTTTTTATTTTTTAGCAACATCTGTGGACATCCAGAGAACATCTTTTAGAAGAAGACTTTCATATTTCAGCGAGACAACAGTGTGCACACATAACAACAGCTTGGCTCTGTAGGAGAAGAGTCTCTGTGCTAAACTGGAGAAAAACTGGAGTATCATGGCGTTAAAAAAACAAGAAAGGAGACCCCAAATCAGAGCCGGCCCAAGCCTCAATGGGGCCCTAAGCAAAATTTGATTTTAGAGCCCTCTATTTCTGCCAATAATATTGATTGTTGATTATTCACACACCTACTACAGTATAAATTTAACGTGTCTGACGTGTCTTCATACATTTAAGGGGGTGGCCTTAAAGGTAATAACATAAATAATACCAATGAATGACTAATGAATGATATTCAGGGTGCTAATTATGGTTTTTAATCTCAAAATGTAACACATTCAGGTGCTCAGTGCACATTTTACAGCAGGAGGAACATAACGGTGGTGGAGCTTTGACATAACGGCAGTAAGAATTACAGCCTACATCAGCAGCACTAAAATATTTTTACTTTGTTTTATTTTTACAGTGAGATATATTTGATCAGACAGAAAGCATCACTCATACATGCAAAATAATAATAAATATTAAAATTATTATTATATTTTTATTGCTCCTGGGGGCCCTAAACAGGTACTTAGTTCACTTATGCCAGTGGTTCTCAACTGGTGGGTCCCAACCCAAAAGTGTGTCGCGAACACGTTCTGGATGGGTCAAAAAAATAAATAGTTAATGCGATATTTATTAGATATTTGATATTTTCTGTATATGAAACTTCAGTAGTTGTCGTCTTCATGTTGTCCCCTTCATGTGCTCTGAAATGCTCTTTACTCGATAAAATAAGTGGATTTATGTTAAAGATTAGAGTCTTTTTAATTTTTTTATTATAAAAATATTAATTTACTTGGTTTGAATTCTTTAAAAGTAGGTCGCAATGTAAGGACCATGGGAAAATGTGGGTCCCAGAATGAGACCAGTTGAGAACCACTGGCTTATGCCCCAAACTGTCAGGTAGCTGCTGTCCTATCAGGCAAAAATGGGACCACGTCTCCCTTTTAGAGCTCAAGAAAGTGGTCTCACTTGTTCCTGAATATTTATAGAGTACCATTAAAGGAGAGTCTGTGCAACACAAAGGTAGAGATGACCCAGTCCTCCTTATCCCACAGTGAAATACAGGGTCTGAAAACCACCACAGTGTGCTCTTATCAAGGTTTTACACAGAGGTACAAGGTACAGGCTGCACTCCGACTGGTTTCTCAGTAAGAAAGCCATGATACTACTGTTAGTCTCCTGTTAAAACCAGCTCCAGTTCTCCTTCAGCTCAGATAAATGATCATAAAGTTTCAACAGAGAATCAGACAGCACAAAAATTCATTCACAGCAACCAGGAGGATGTCGGTACCAGCAGAGACAGAGATGTGCACTGACACCCCCGTGTGGAACCAACAAGTAACTACACCCACAATGGCCAAGCAAGTAGTCTAACAATGTATAGTTTTAATCAATCAATCAATGAATCAATCAAGCGAACAGTTGATCTCATTGGCATCATTGTTGATCAGTAATTCTTTAACCTGACATCTTTCACAGATTAAGAGCTCAGGTCTGTCTGCTGGACTCTGATTATTGTGGAGCAAACTCTGACCAAACTTTCAGGTCACTCATGATCTACACAGACGGATCATTCAATTTACGTTTGATCCAACCCCATGAATCATCTTAAGTTTCAAACCCGTGAAGAGTTAAATCTGATCCTCAAACATCAATTGTTTGCCTGTTTGTCCGACTTGGGTCACCTCCTCATCGGTGTCCTTGCTGCTAATTGGGAGAAAATCCCTGCGTCCAGGTTTTTAAATCTCGTTACGGCCTTCTTAGGAGACAGGAGCAGCAGTGTGTCAGTAGTATTTGTTTACAAAGAAGATCCTCAACAATCAGGGACGTGTTTAACGCTCAGGTTAAAATCATGATTTAAAGATCAGAGTCAGATTAGATACAGAAACAAGCAGAATTAGAGTTTTTGGCATTTACTCGTAGAAAGCTTTCAAGGTAAGGAAAATTATATATACACACAGATAGATAGATAGATAGATAGATAGATAGATAGATAGATAGATAGATAGATAGATAGATAGATAGATAGATAGGTCAGTTCACTAATTCATTTATTATATAATACCAATAATTTAATTTATTTAGTTGTAGTTGCTCTAATTTTTATCAACTGTGGTTAAATAGTTCTGATCGAGGTATGTTGTGATTTATCTTACTGAATGCAATTTAATTAAATTCAATTAAAATTAGCTTTTTTAGGACTGAGATCAGGCTCTAGGATTTTTTATTAAGCTTTTTTATTTTTTCATTTGTTGTCATTTTAATTTCATACACTTCTGATAAACTAAACCAATCTGTTTTTGTCTGTGTTTTATTTGCCATTGAACAGAATAAAACACAGCAGTGATTTCTCTTTGCAACTAAATGTCGTTGCTTGGCTTCCGTATTACAGCTTGATGGTTTTTAATTTAATATACAGAAAAAAAACAATAAAGACAATAAAAACTTAGGGTAAAATAGCAGCATGGTGAGTAATATTGCACCTCCTGGAGGTAGAGTGGTAGTGGAATAAAAAACAATAAATAAAAGCAAATATAAAAAGATAAATGTTCTTACTCCAGGTTATATATGGGTCTCTTGTTTCTCATTACTTCTCTGGATCCTCGTCAGTTACAGCATCTATCCTCTTCCTGGGGTTCATTCATGCAAACATAAAATTACAGTTTACTGTATAATTCACACAAATTACATCATCTGTGGTCAATGTCAGCTGTAAACCTGCTCATTATTATACTGCTGTGGGTGAAAATTGAAGATACAATGCTTACACAATCTCTCTCTCTCTCTCTCTCTCTCTCTCTCTACACACACACACACTCACACTCAGTCCTCACTGGCACATGAATGACCTCCCTCCTCCTCCTCCTCCTCCTCCTCCTGCCTCCTCACACCCCCCCACAGTTGGTAGAGTCCGGGACGGAGCATCATGGCGATAGACGGTAAGTCCTTCCTCGGTCTCAGGTGTTTCTGCGGAACTCGTGAAGAACTTTGCTCGGGACAGAACCGGAAATCCGTTTAAACCGTATTTTACGTTAACGGAGTGATCGGATCGTTTAATCGGAGAAGCAGTTCGGTTTTTTATTCACTGACACACTCTGAGGAGAACCGCAGTGCTCCACAGTGGCTGGGACAGCTAGCAGCTGATGCTGAAGTGCGGACGTCCACCGCACTGATGCGGGAATGTTGGGATCCCTTCACGGGATGCACGCGAGCTCTCTCTCCCTGCTGCGTGAAGTGCAGCTAAAAAAAGGACCGGGGTGCAGGCTGCGCCGCTGTTTCCTCTCATGATCGGTGTGTTTCTTTAAAAGTGAAGGCATGAATTAAAGATCATTTCTCGAGCAGCTGCGACTCCGCACCACGTGACTTTGTTGTGATCCAGTTAAAGGACTACATCTCTGATCGGATGAATATCGGCATGTGTGATTGGACACTCCGTCAGTTTTCTGTGCTGTTATAATAACCCAACAACTCTGATGTTTGTGGGGAGCGTGCTCGACCTGTTTCCGAGCCTCCAGGACGGAGGAGGAGGATCATCGTCCTCTGAAGATCTAAACGGAGGTGACCGGAGAACATCAGCAGGTAGACAGACAGTCAGTCAGGAGGAGGCGCGTGCCTTTAGCCCGCCGTCCCATCACGGTTCTTATTGTGTCACGTGCAGCCATGCGTGCAGCGGTGTTTGTATCACTGACTCTACAGAGCGAGAGAGAGAGAGAGAGAGGTACTATGTACGGTGGCCCAGAACTGTCACTGCTGCAAATAAAATAATTAATTGAAAATAAATTAAAAAAAAAACACAACAGAAGTTACCACTGCAAAAAAGAAAGAAAGAAAGAAAGAAAGAAAGAAAGAAAGAAACCGAAGCCTGCTGCAAATAAAAAAAAGTACAATGGAGTATAAGGGCCATATTAAAAACATATTTTCAAAAATGAAGTCTACATAAGTACTTATGAGAATAAAGTCATAAGAAAATCATTTTTTTACAAGAATAAAGTCACAACAAAATCATTATTTGAGGGAATAAAGTCATAATAAAATCATTTTTTACAAAATAAAGTCATAATAAAATCATTATCTATGAGAATCACGAATTAATTACAAAGTCTTAATTGTATTTTTCTTAATGTGGCCCTAATACTCCGTCGTATATAAGAAATGGTGCAGATAAAAAATAAAAAGCCACAGTGGAAGTTAACGACACACAAAAAAGTGGTGATGGATTTAAAAAAAGTTAGTTACTGTGAAATTAAATTTCTTAATTTATTTGTGACTATTTTTTTTATTTTTTTTTTGCTTCCTTTTTTTATTTGCAGCAGTGGCGGATCTCGGCCACCGTAGTGTTTACATCACTGACTCTACAGAGAGAGAGAGAGAGAGAGCTACTATGTACGGTTACGAGAACCGCAACTGCTGCAAATAAAAAAAGAAGTTACAATGGAAGTAACTGATGCAAAAGAAAGAAACTGAAGCCTGGTGCAAATGAAAAAAGAAACGGTGCAGATTTGAAAAAAAAAAGCCACAGCGGAAGTTAACAACACAAAAAAGTGGTGACAGAAAAAAAAAAAGTTAGTTACTGCAAAAATAAAAGGATGGATATAGAAAAAGCCACAACGGAAGTGAGCTGCAGGGGACCAATAATGATGATGCACCAGTGTTCTACAATTTTTATTTTTTATTTTGCATTGCCACATTTTTCGTCTTAAACTTCTTTTTTTAATCAATTAATTTATTTTTTATCTGCACTGCCCATTTTTTAAATTTGCAGCGGGCTTCGGTTTCTTTTATTTTTTTATCAGTAACTTCCGTTGTGGCTTCTTTTTTATTTGCTGCAGCGGTGGTTCTCGGCCACCATAACTATGGTTATATTACAACAGATTAGCATTGTCCCATCAGGAGAAACCAAAGGATGTTGACTTATACAAAGACTTCTTCAAATGTCGTTTTGATTAAGGTTTTTTATTGCCTATTTGCATGTAGTCTTTCCCTTATTATCATTATTATCTCAGTTTCATATTTGACCTTCATTTTATCGCCCGCAGTCGTGCATGTGCAGCAGCAGCAGCTCACTCATTAAGGTTTTCTTTTCCATTGACTAATGCGAGGAGGAAATGTTCGTACTCACCTCTGCTCACCTGGAATCCTCTGTGATCCAATTTGTGACTTACTACTCCAGGTCGGTGTGTGTAACCCTGAAACCTCCAATGCTCTTAGGAGGATGAACTCGATGGCACTCCTGGAAACACATTAGCTGTGTGCTGGATACTGTCAGTCATCATAGAGAAGGTTTTTATGGTTCAGGATGTAACCTATCTAAGGAGTTTCAACTTAAGTATCTACTTACATTAGAGCCAAACAAACTGAATAAATATTTAAAAAATAAAATAGCTAAATATCTCAATATTCTGAGAGTGTGCAAGGCTTGTTTTATTATATCCGTACTGCATATGTGCACTAAAAGCTTTTTTTTTTTCATCGTTTCAGCTTCAATAATCAGCTCAAATCAGGTTCAACTAAAAAAGACAAATATTAAACTTTAAAACAATCTGTAAATTCTGATTTGAAGACAGTCTGAGACTAAAACAGATAGTTAATGTCTGCAGTTATGCATTTGTGTTGTTTTTTTTCTCTTTAACTTTTACTTCCATGCAGTTGTACTGTATCAGAATCAGCTGATTTTCACTTGAAGGTTTAACATGAATTATTTAGACCCGTTCACCTTTTCATTTAAGTTGAACTCACTTGTTTGTGATATCTGTAAAACAGCAGTCTGTATTTTACTAATGACTGTAATTTGGCAAGAAAAAAAATCAGTTTTTCTTTTTAAAACCATTAAGTAAATTGGTCTGGAGCAGGTTTGTCTCCCTCAGAGCTCTCTCCTCTTCTCTCTGGCACAGAGTCCTCACCTCCGGCCAAATTACAGGATCCAATCCTCATCTGAGGAAAGTGAAAGCAGAAATCTATTAACTATCAGAGCTGCTCTAGGAGAAAAAAAACCTGTCTAATGATAGATTTGTTTTAAGACACATCTAAAGCAAGAAAGGGACTTAAAGCGAAGACTCATTTGTCCACAGGGGGCGCCAAAATTGACTCAAACTGAAAGTTCCTAAACTCTAAACTTCATCTGCCTGCTAACTGTGAGAGCAGCATGTAAAGTTAAATTACACACGGTTACATCTAAATATTACAAAGTGCATGTGCACATACTCTCTCATACATTTGTGCGCTCAGATATTCTCTGTATTTTTAACTCATGCTACCGTGATTACATGCAGATCTTGATTAGCTTACGAGCTCGTGGATGAACCTATCATATAGTTTAACCGTTTAGAGAGGAACGTTTAGATTGTTTGGATCTTCTGTAGGGCTGGGCGATACGGCCTTAATTCAATATCACGATATATTGATCAGTTCACCTCGATAACGATAAATGGATGATGAGCAAAATGACGTCAGTTATTGTCGTCAATTCCAGTATCTGTAAATTTTCGGTTTATCGCCCAGCCCTAATCTTCTGTCAGTACTCCTAACCTGAAATAAGATCATATTTTTGCTGCTAACTCTCCAACTTTTCATGTTGTTTCTTTTCAGGAGGGGGGAGGAACTGTGGTGTTCATGAGCTCATCTGTGCCAGACGAGGTAAGACTGTTTCCCTCCACTTCTTAGTCTGCGTTTTCATTTCCGAACATTCAGTGTCTGGGATGTAATATAAAGCCATAACATTTATACATCCCAGTATTTTTTCCACCTTTTTTCATTTCTGAGAACTAAAATTCGGCGCACAGAAAAGTGTCCTTGCATAAACTTCAGAGCATAATGTCTGTGTGTGAATTATGCATGGCATATCAAGTTTGGCTCACTTCAGCAAAAGAAAGCAGCTGTGTGTTCATGATTTATTCAGCGTCAAGGTTTTGTTTCGTATCAGAGGTCCATGTGTAAGCAACTTTTCCAGATTGCCTACCCACTTTTTAAACAAGAATGCCCTAGAAAGTTCAGCAGGGCCGCAGGTGTGTGAGCGCTGTGGTCTAGATACCGAAAAAAGAGGGATTAGTTATGACGAGAGCATCAGCGATATGTCGTCCTAATAAACCCGTTAAAACAGGTACGAGTCACAAACATGGAGGGACTCTATCATTGGGAAAAAATGTAGTCATTATAAACCAACAAAAACGCTCACTTTGCCCCCCCCCCCCATAATAATTAAGTTTGACTTCATCATAATATTTTAGTGCTTTTTAAACAGAGTAATTTGATTAATTTAGTATAAAGTAGAGAATTATTAAACATCTCTGTATTTGTTTTTTAAGTGTTTACTAAAATCTTCACTCAGTATTTCACAAATGGAGCTTTTAGACCTTAATAAATGTAAAACATTTTTTTTATTTCAGGCATCCTCAGTTTTGTACAGTATTGCTGTGCTTTCTAACATTTTTTTGTACATGGCCTCCTACGGAAGCGTATTGCATTAACCAAAAAAAATTAAAAAGCTCTGTTTTTCAGAGTAATTTTTTCTGTTCTGTTCTTCGTACCAATTTTTTTTCTTTTTTTTTGAAATTTTTTTTTTCTGTTTTTTGAACTATTTTTTTTCTGTTTTTTAGATTTTTTTTTTATTTTTTGTTGGACTAATTTTTTCTATTTTTTAGATTTTTTTTATTTTTTGTCGGACTAATTTTTTCTGTTTTTCAGATTTTTTTTTATTTTTTGTTGGACTAATTTTTTCTGTTTTCTGAGGTTTTTTTCCCTTGTTTTTCAGACTAATTCTTCCATTTTTCAGACCGTTTTCTTTTGTTTGTTTGACAAAAATAGACAATTTTTTTTCCTACCCTCATTGACTTGTAGTCAAAGTTATCTAGGAGCTGGAGAATCCGCTGATTTGGAGCCGCTGTGGTGGTCAACGTAAATGATTGTATGAGATTCTAACAGGATTTTGAAGTATCTCGCTTAGTCAGGAAAAAAAATAGTCCAAAAAAAAGTCTAAAAACAGAAAGACGAGACAAAATAGTATGAAAAACATTAAGAGGGGGAAAAATATTAGTACAAAAAACAGAATAAAAAATGGCCATAAAAACAGAAAGAAGAAAAAAAAATACTCAAAAAACAGTTTCCCCTTTTTTTTGTCCGTTAATGCAATACACTTCCGTAGCTTCCAACTGAGTTCATGATTATCACACCCACAAATTAGTTTTCAATAACGCTATTAATCTGAGGTTAAACTGAAGTTTTGATTTCTTAGATGACAAATATAAACTTTGCTTTGCTTAAATTCAACGACAACTTGTTAAGATCGAGCCAATCCTTTAAGACGTTTAATTTACTCCCTATTTAATGCAGAAGCTGTTCTAGATTTTTCCCTGAGCAGTAAAAATTTGCGTCAGCAAACAATACAAACTTTAATAGCCTTGCAGATGTCACGTTAATGAGCAGAATAAGTATCTTGGGGCCAAGAACCGAGCCTTGTGGGACCCCAGAAGTAACGTAACATCACAGTGAGGAAATATCACATCATTAGTTTCCGTCAGTGCCTCATAGTTGGAGCAATATGACAGAATAATAATTTGTATTTCACTAAATTGTCCTCCCAGGCTCTGCAGTCGTTTCTGGTTATGACAGCGAACGTTTCAGCTGCTGGAGTCTCAACTGTGGAAATAAACGACAGATTGAATCCTGAGGCTAGTCTAGAGTTTGGTTTCACTTCACAGGATTGCAGGATAATTTGTTTGGTCAGTGTTTTTGTTTAGACATAAATGTAGAGAGGGGAGCACAGAGGGGATTTAAGAGGAGCACAGATAAGAAGGAGCAGGAGGAGGAGGAGGAGGAGGAGGAGAGGTAGCTTGAAATTAAAAAAACGTTAATCTTCTTCTGCTCTTCAAAGAAATGTCAGACTTTCCAAGAAAAATGGGGATTAAATGAAAAAATAATTGAAAGCGGGGTTAGCTGTGTCCAGAGGCGCTCCACTTTTGCAGTGTACATTGACAGGAGGGTCAGGTTACCTCAGGTGTCTAAATTATTCAGCTGTCGTTGACATTTACAGAGCAGGGCTGTGTATGAAGTGCCATCAAACCCGGGAGAAGCAGGGCCAGGAGCCGCGCGTTCGGACCACAGGCGGCTGCGGAGGTCAACGCGGCTCAATCGACACAAATGTCAGCAGTGAGAGTTGATATGTAACCCTGACCGGACCAAGAGTAGGGGATTTATTACACGTCGGATCACTTCAGAGCAGGACGACTTTGTTTTCTTTCTGGGATCTTTTAGCTGAAGTTTTCGTGTTTTTTGGGAACAGATGGATTTATTCATGTAGAGGAGGTAAGCCTGAAGCAGCTCCATTACTCCTGTATCTCTGACTCTTCTCTCCAGAGTGTTAGCATTCATCATCCTGGCAGTCTGCAGCAGCAGCAGCAGCACAAGTTATCAGGCTACAGCAGTCTCTGCCTGTTGCCATGGTGAAACAAGTCTGTCCATAAGTTCAGTCTGCAGCCGGGAGGTTTCTAAAAGTATGATTCTTCCTCTTTATGTAACACAGTTTACACAGCGGCGATGGTTGTGTTTGACATATTAGACTCAAAATACGTCATCTCCGTCTCTGTTTTCCTTTTTTTAAAGAGTCTGAAGCGAGTCCATGTTATCGTCGAGAAAATTTGCCTTTAGTTCTGAAAGCTGAGACATTTTTGTGCCGTATGTTTTCCCAGAAATAAACCTTTAATCATCTTCGTCTTTGTAATAACGCAAAATAAAAAAAAGGGTTTGAAATAAAGTTCGTCCTTAGCTGTGAAGGAAATTCAGCTCTGCTTTGTTCAAGAATTGGCACAGACTCTGTTTCTGAAGAGTGTTTGATGCTGCCAAGGGCGATTACTCTGTTTCTTACACTACCTGTAAATGTCGTAAGAACTATTCAGATATATTTGAAGCTTTACCTGCTGAAACCTTCCTGACTTTAATGACAAACAAATCCATGAGCCGAGATATTTGGAGTCAGTGACCTCTTTAACGCTCAGAGGAGGAGGATGACGGAGGTCGTTGTAGGTGACGACCTCGGTTCAGATGTTGTAATGAGGCCGAGTTCCTGCTTTCGCTCACCGCAAATAAAATATAAAATGAGTTATTAATCCACCAGAAAATGTTACTTGAAAAGAAAGGTTTTTAGAAAATTAACAACGAATTGTTAAATTTGTAGGAAACATTTTACTATTAATTAAAAAAAAAAAATGTCTGTGACCACCGTTTAAAGATTCGTAAAAGTCGATCAAACTCTTGACCGTATCGTGTCTTTCAGCGTGAATCATTTCATCAGTATCTGAAGGTCTGTCCTCCTTTTGTTAGGAATCTTTAAAAACCAAACATACGGCGAAAATTGACGCAATTCCGGATGCGGTGGAAATCCTGGGTAAGTGTCTCGCAAAGGGACACAACAGAAAGACTCGGGATAGGGAGGGAATCAAACCGCCAACCTCCTAATTTTTGGACGTTCGCTCCACCTCCTAAGATACTGCTTTAAGGCTTTATGTGACACTTGGTGTTAAAACCATGTTCAGCTGGGACTTCCTGGTGTTAGAATCTTTTTTCATTCTTGATTATTTTCAATCTAGAAAAATAAAAACGATGAAATTAAAATCTGTGAGAGTTAAACTGCTGAGAAACAACTTTAGAGAAACACCATCACCATCATCACTTCTGTCCTTTAACAAAGAAAATAAACATTTTATCAAAATAGAAAATATTTCCTGTTTTCAGACACACTGATGCAGCTACACTAGGACTCGTGTAATCTCAACATTACTCCTTGTTGGTGCTCACTCCTGAGTTCGGACTGGACCATCTGTGTTTGCTGAACACTCAGCTGAGAGCGCACGTGTGGGTGTGCGATGCCTTTACTATCGTATTAAGAGATCCAGCAGAATTGTCGTAAAGTTGCGCCGTGCTGCTCGGGGACTTCTCCTGAATCTCAGTTCAGACGACCTGAAGTACATCACGTCGTCTTCAGTCAGACAGCTCCATTAAAAACGCTCCATTCCCTCATATTTCCCCGTTGTCGTCAGCTGGTTCTCCACGGTGCGTCTGTATAGTACCTTATTAAGTGCAGGCCCAGCTCTCTGAGTCTACCTTGCAGTCAGATACAGTCCCTTTGAGGCTCTCATAAAAATAGCTCAGCAGCAAAAGCAGCAGCAGCAGCAGAGGGCTGTGTGGTAACATCAAGTACGGTTGGCCTACATACACGGCTGTAGATCCTATCTGCTTCGCTTTGAAGTGGAAACCGAATCTTAAAAAGAACAAAAGCTTTAAGCTCATTTTGAAAACTCCTTCTATCATCAAACCGAATCATCTGCGCTTTCAGAGTGTGACTGTCTGCAGCCTTAAAAGCTTTTTGATGTGAGCTCAGAAACACCTCCATAACCAGGAGAACATCCGTCTGTGTCTAAACCTGCTCTCTCTCCTCTTCTCCCTCTTCTTCTTCTCCTCCTCAGTCTCTCCTGAGCTGCTGGGTGTCCTGTCTTCCATCGCAGCCTTCATGGCATTGATGGCTTTGTTTTTTCTTTACCTCAGCAACAAGCTGTCAGTGGAGAGTCCTGACAACCTGACACACCTGAGCAGCTATAAAAACAACCAGCCAGGTACTCCTGACACTCACACTCACACTGTGGTTTCATTTATTCACACACACACATCACAGTTTTTATCCAAAACTGTTGGACGCAGGATTAGCAGAGTTGTGAGTTTGTATCAGGGGGAAACTGTGTGAGAAGAATGTGTAAAAACAGAAGAAACAGAGTTCAGAGTCGTGTCCTCTGAACACATCAGTGAGCGAACATTAAACTCCAGCGAGAGTTTGTGACTGTAGCGTTACTGTCAGTGAGATATTTTAGGAACGACCGGTGGAAACTCTCTAACGTGGAGAAAAAAAACGATCTTTTTTAGACTCTGCTGAGAAGAGGCAGAAACTTACATCTAATTTATGCTTTTGGTTCACCTCATGTTTTAATATCAGACATAAAAATTAAGAGAGAGCAGAATCAATAATTTAAATAATCTCATTTCAAGTTTAACTTTCTTGTTTAAACATTGAAGAATTTTAAAATGACAAAAACCGACCGCTTCCTTCTCCAGTTATACCAACTTTAGTAACGACCGCAGGATAGAAATACAGAGAGCCACGCCCTCAACCAAAACGCCACTCTATAACCACAAATAATGCTCAGAACAGCACCTAACTTCATCAACAGGACATATAGGGTCACAGACATAGTACTAGACACCAAACATCTTTTTAACTTTGACTCATTTCTTTAGCAAAGAGACTAAACACAACTCACCTACTCTCTTCCAGCAGACGCCTGTTTGAGGAAGTCAGTAAAATAATGATCTTCAGGACAAACCAAGAACAAAACTTAAACCACCAATAAACTGTCCTGAGTTTTAGGTTTCCTTGTAGTGGGTTCAACATGCTTGAGTGTTGAGAATGCCGCTGACGCACGCGTGTGTGCACACATGACCTGGTGGGCGGGGCCTGTCATTGTGACAAAGTAAAAAGCTACAAGGGCTGACTTTCAGACCTCTGCTGAGGTCGATAAGATCGGTGGATAAAATCGGTTTTGTATGTAAGAATCAGCCGATCACCGATCCCCAAAATTGAGGAAATTGGCGCCGAAGCCGATTTATTGGTGCATATTTTTAACTTTTTACTCAAACCAAAGTCTCTTTTTGTATCAGACCTGAAGTTTATTTAATGTTAACGTTGGATTTCGCAGCCAACCTCAGGAAGACACTCATAGAAATGTTGTTTCTTTGTTTTGCACATTTGCCAACACGGGTTTCTGCTTGGTTTTAACTCACTGTTTAATAACGGGTGTGCAAGATTTCAGGGACTGTATTTTAGTGTTGCATCACATTTCCTTTCGAGCTCCAGACTTAAAAAGAAAATAGAAGGATTGTGCATCTCTGCAGGAACTGAAGAGATAAGATTCCCCTGAATGTATTTCAGGATCCTCTGGAGTTTATTTCTTTATATTTGGTTTAATTTAGATCCTAATTCATCCAAAGAAACAATGGCTCCCTTACTCAACCTCAATAAAGGTCTTTCAACAGAAAACCCTGCAGAGTAACACAAACACAAACACATGAAAATCACAATAATTTACTTTCTCCTGTTTGTAGCAGAGCTTGTCTGAAACCTTTCCTCCAAAATCAGAGCTGAAATGACCGTGAACACTAATACTTGTCGGTCTGTGTTGATCCAAGCCTTCACTGTGACCCTGGTGCCGCGCCCCGCTAACAAACACATGTCCATGTCAGCGCCTCTGATGAGCTAATCTGGCGGTGAGGGATCCCCAGCTGAGACATGGCGTTCTTCAAGAGCTTCCAGCAGAACCTCCCATCTGTCAACATTTCCTCCATTTTGGACACGGTCACCAGCCGCGTGGACGACCTGGCTACGGCCGTCAGTGACGCCACATACGCCGTCAGCGACCAACTCACAGAGCAGGTCACCACCATCATCAACAAGGTCCAAGAGGAGGATGAGGGAGAGAACAACAGCGGCCAGGAGGCGGGGCAGGCGGCGGCGGCGGCGGCACAGGAAGGTAAAGCGAGCTCCAAAAGTATGTGGCAAATATCCAGAGAACCAGAAACTGGAAACCAGGCCGGAGACGGGACAGAGGCAGAGTACACACAGAGCCAGCTGGAGTGGGAATGGAGGGACGGATGCTGGAGAGTGAAAAAGACAGAAGCCGAGCTAGCGGAGGAGGAGAAGAGGAAGAAAGAGGAGAGGGAGCAGGAGGAGAAAAGAGAGCAGAGGAGGAAAGAAAGGAGGGAGAAGCAGCTGGAGAAAGAGGCCAAGTTACAGAAAAAGAAGGAGGAACGTGAAGAAGAGGACGCCGGACAGAAGAGGAAGGGAAGCGCTGATGGAGATCAAGTAGGCGATGAATTCAGCGAACCTCCTCCGTCTCAAGAGAGCAAGCTAAAAGAAGAGGGGGAAGAAGAAGAAGAAGGAGGAGGAGGAGGAGAGGGAGAGATGGAAGGAAGCCTGGAGAGAGAGGGGGATGATGAGGAGGAGGCCGAGGTTTCCAAATCCTCCGCAACGGGAAAGAAGAAGAAGTCCGACAAGAAAAAAGCGAAAGGAGCGAAAAACTCCAAGAAATGTCAGGAGAGCTCAGACGGAGAGAAGAAGGAGAAAGGGAAGAAGGGCAAGAAGAAGAAGAAGAAGAAAGGGAGCAAAGGTTAGAGAGTGTGCCTCCTCCACCGCCTGGATCTCTTCTTCTTCTTCTCCTCTCCTCTGTGCCTCATTTCTAACCTTTCCAGAGTGTCGTGCACAAACGTAACGCGTCTGTTTTCATGTGATGAACTGAAACTCCTCGTGTTTGTGTGCAGAGGGAGTTTTGTCCGACAGCGAGGAGGAGAAAGGACCCGAGGAGACCGTCCAGCAGAACACGACGGCGTCCGTGTGGAGCAGCAAACGCAAACCGTCCGCCGAGCAGGGAGGTTACAGCAGCGAGGCCTCGAGTGAGCGAGGTGAGAGAGTGAGAGAGAGAGAGAGTGAGAGAGATGAGAGAGTGAGCGAGTGAGAGAGTGAGAGAGAGAGAGAGAGTGAGAGAGAGAGAGAGAGAGAGAGAGAGAGTGAGCGAGGTGAGAGAGTGAGAGAGAGAGAGAGTGAGCGAGTGAGAGAGTGAGAGAGAGAGAGTGAGAGAGTGAGAGAGTGAGAGAGAGAGAGAGAGAGAGAGAGAGAGAGAGAGAGAGAGAGAGAGAGAGAGAGAGAGAGAGAGAGAGAGAGAGGGAGAGAGTGTTTGACGACACGGGCAGAGAAACCAGAAACAGACATCAGACAGTCCGTTTCCATGACACTCGAGAAAACCGAATTATCGCCTTATTCTGATTAAGACCGAACAACTGAAGTAAATGTAAACACCTTAGTCCGACTCTTATCGAAGTTTGAGAACTGCGATTAAGACACCCAGATGATGCGACTGGAATCCAATTTTCTCTACCATGTAACCAGCGTAGTCAAAATATGATCGATTAATGCATGTTACGTGTGCGCCACGCCCACGTAACGCCAGAACAAAAACACCAGAGAAGAAGAAGCGGCGCTATCATTTAAAGAACTTTTGACTCAGAAGTAACTACGACATGTTTGAAGCATGAAAGAATGTCCACTTTTGGACGACGCTTTCGGTCCTGACAGAAACTGACATTTTAAAGTATATTGATGGTCGCAAAACGAGGAATGGAGACATCTGTAACGGGAAATTTCCACTGCATCCAGAACGGCTACGAAAAGATTGTATCCTCCGATCTTAGCTGATCGTAACCATCCAAGTTAACGTGTCAATTTACACCAGCTTCTTTGCGTTCCTCTGTGGATCGCCAAACTCTGCAGCTGATCGCAAGAGCCGGAATTTCTTCCGTATCTGAAAAGTCCCATACCGCCCCCTAGTTTTGGGGAGGAGAACACGCTCATGTCAATAATCCGATTTTCTCAGCTGCATGTACATACGGACGATTCACCAAAGTACACTTTGGTGAAAAAAAAGAATTATGAGCTTAGTCTGATTAAGTTGTGCATGTGAACGTAGTGTGTTTTGGCGAAGGACACAGACCGCTCTTTTGAGTTTCAGAGGTAGACTCACCTGTCACCGTTTAGGAGGTTAAGTGGACTGTATGTGGACTGTACGCTGCTCCACTCCAGAGCTCTCCGCCTCTCTGGTGTCACTCCTTTCATCTCACATTACTCCTTTATTCCCTTCAGTCCCCAACAGCATCCAGAGAATAAAGAAGGACTCTTCGCTCAGTGAGCACCAGCCTCCTCCCTATCAGGATGACCGCTCGGCCACACGGGTGTCGTCTCGCTCCCGCTCTGAGCGCGGGGTCAGGAGGGGGTCGTCCCCGCAGCACTGTGACAGCGCCCGCTGCTCCAGTGAGGCCAGTGTGGACCAGGATTCAGAGAGCTACCTCAACAAAGGCTGTGAGGAGGACATACCCAGTGACAGCACGGCTGTGCTGGGACTAGAGGTGAGAGAAGAGGACGGGGTTAGGGCTGGGCGATAAACCGAATATTTACAGATACCAACATTTACGACCAAAAGGTTTGTGGTTATGAAACTCAGTTGACGACGCTTGTTGATGAAACCTCAAACTAGTGTATAACTGCGCTCTGAGGGTCTAAAATAATACGTTTATCCGGGCTGAACGATGTATAATTTGCATGTGCACAAGTTGCATCACCGGACTTGTGTCAGTCACATGACATTTAACACGTCATGCTATCACCAGCAAATTGCCAAACAGTGAAAGGCGTTTTAAGACATTGTGTTAGGGCTGGGCGATAAACCGAAAATTTACCGATACCAAAATTTACGACAATAACCAACGTCATTTTGCCTATATCGGTATATTCTGTGTCAAAAGTTGTTTTTGGATGTGTGTAGGTAGGCTATGGTCTCATGTCCCTTTAAGACACTGTCCTACGTCAGAGACGTGACTCCACCCCATCCAGTCTGTAACAAAGAGGGAAAGACAGGTGAGGAGATGGAGGACGGAGAGAAAGTTGTAGCGGCTGAAGTAGATGAAGTTAATGTGGGAGGGGGTGATCAGCTTGTGGAGAAGTTATCGTCCATTTATCGTTATTGAGGTAAACTGATCAATATATTGTGATATTGATTTGAGGCCATATCGCCCAGCCCTATACAGGATGTCAAAAAAGTGTTCTTAAGAGTTGGACATTTGCTTGAAACAAATGTGACGTTACACGAGCAAACTCTCAGATTAAAGGTTTAAGTGTGTTGATGTAATCCTCAAATGGGACTACAGGGGGCGCCAAATGGCTTGTTCAAAAAATGTCATGAGAATTTTAGATCAAGATGTGACGTCATCAGACAGTGAAGCTCCTTAAAGGGACGAATTTGTCATTTTATACTGAGAAACAAAACTTTGTTGCGTGGCAGCAGTGGAGGAGGCTTCTAGAATACTGAATTCCGGAATAATGGGGGGGTCTTAAAGGGACAGGGAGGTGATTCTCCGCTCTGTCGTCCCTTTAACCTCCGTGTTCGAAGTCACGGTCATTAATAATTCATCAGGCGTTTACACCAGAGACCACTGCGGTAAATAAATCGCTTGTTTACTATTACAGTGTCAGTTACAACAACAACAAGTCATCACGCATCAGAGGACAGGGGGGTAACCGGGTGACTGTATTTGATTACTCTGGACTGACACGGTCCACTCACTGTTAGAGGTTAAAGTCGTCTGATAAATATCAACGATTGGACGTCATTTTTCATCGTCTTTTTGTAAGAAAATCAGAAAAACTCAAACTCTGAATAGAAAGTTAACTTTTCATATCTTTGACTCACCCCCTCGCCTCACGATGAACTTAAATCTGTGAGAACTTCATCAGATTAACTGACAGGAGATTCACTTCCTCTCCTCTGTTATTCTGACGTCTTTTCTCTCTCTCCTCTGGTTCTTTCAGGACGGTTCTGGTCCTCAGCTCCCGACCGCCTATGAACCCGAGGTCCTCGGGAAATACGGCACTCTGGACGTCGCCTTCGAGTACGACTCCAGCGAGCAGTGGTTGGCCGTCACCGTCACGGCGGCGACGGACATACCCGAGCTCAAACAGACGGGTAACATCGCGTGGCAGGTCCACCTGGTCCTCCTGCCCACGAAGAAGCAGCGAGCCAAGACGGGCGTGCAGAAAGGCCCGTGTCCTGTCTTCACTGAAACCTTCAAGTTCTCCAGGGTGGAACAGGACGCCCTCGGGGACTACGCCGTTCGATTCCGCCTCTACAGCATCAGAAGGATGAAGAAGGAGAAGGTCCTCGGGGAGAAGGTGTTCTACCTGACTAAGCTCAACCTGCAGGGCAAAATCGCTCTTCCTGTCACCCTGGAGCCGGGCTCAGAACTTACAGTGAGAACATTTTGTGATTTTTGTTCGACTCTGTGCTCAGAAAATAGCAGCTGTGGACTTAAAGTCTCCAACTGTAGAGAGTGTGTTGTAGAAATCACAGTAGGTCAGTAAATCTCTGCAGGTGAAGAAGCTTTAAGACCCTAATAAGTCATTTTTTTAATTCCTAGGAGTCAAATCTAAAAGTTTGGATGAAAATTTCCTTCCTCTTTCCTTTGTGTTTCTTCCTCTCAGGGTTGCGGCTCCATGGTGAGCGTGTCTCGCAGCGCTGGAGCCGTGTCCTACCGCTCGACAGAAGACACCTCTTTGCCAGAGATCCTCCTGGGTCTCATTTACAACTCCGCCACAGGACAGTTATCAGCCGAGGTCATCCAGGGAAGCCACTTCAAGTCCACGTCGGACAAACCCATCAGTACGTACATAAACTTCATGTTTAAAGGGATATTCCGGCGTAAAGTTAATTTAGGGTCAAACACACCGTAACACTGAGTTAGACACCTCCTCCAGAGATGAGATGTCGTGGTCCTCTGGGTCTTTCTTTGTCAGTATACCCCTCACACAGACATCTATACTGAGCTGATCTCACATATCTGGACATGCGAGACGTTGTTTTTTGTGCAGGAAAAACCTGGAAAAATGAGAATTTCCAAAATCTCACGATTAGAAGAGGATCTGACTGTCAGTGCACTTATGATTTCAGTTTTTGCTCTGATTATCAGATATTGATCTAATCGGGTCAACAGCGACTCTAACACGACAAGTGCCATAATTTTAATAAGAGCATTTTATGATTTAGTGAATTTAATTTTTTCATTTTTATTTTGTTGAAATAGAGGTTCCTGACAAAACTAAAAAGTCAATGCAAAAAAAAAATATTTTAGTGGTTCTTTTAAGCATTTAAAATCAAAAACATGTCGGTGCAGACCCTAACACAGGAGGATGGTTGACTTTGACTAATTTCTTTAGCAAAGAGACTAAACACAACTCACCTACTCTCTTCCAGCAGCCACTTGTTTGTCCATTACAGACTACAGCGGGGTGCCGCAGCTCAAGGAAGAACATTTATGATCATTTCTTTATCATTTCCTTGAAGTAATAATCACCATATTAATCATTTTACACTGCAGACGTGGTAGTTCTTCTGTCTTATCATAAATGTTCTTCCTTGAGCTGCGTCACCCCGCTGTAGTCACTCCCTGAGGTCTAGCTACAAACAAGCGGCTGCTGGAAGAGAGCAGGTGAGTTGTGTTTAGTATAGCTAGTACTATGTCTGTGACCCTATATGTCCTGTTGATGAAGTTAGGTGCTGTTCTGAGCATTATTTGTGGCTATAGAGTGGCGTTTTGGTTGAGGCTTGTTTATGGCTCCTCAGACCACTGTGTATTGCTATCGTGCGGTCGTTACTAAAGTTGGTATGACTTTTATTTTTACAAATGTATTTTACGCCAGAATATCCCTTTAATGTCTCTGGTTATTTGCATGTTTGGACTGAAGTGTGAATTTTATCTTCTAGTGTCTCTTTCCTAAAGCATGTTTTAGAGATGGGAAAGTTTCTCGGCTGTTTCCTGCTCCATTACACTAAAATGTTTCCTGAGGTTTTTAATCCCTCAGTGAAAGTCTGAATCTTGCCTCTTTTCTCTCTTTCCTTTTCTAAACTTTGTGCTGCTGCTTCTCCTCTGTGTGCCAAAGACGGTCTGTTTTGTTGTGTGAAACACTTTGTGGGGGGTCAGCTTTACATCATGAGAGGTAAGAATATGAAAGGAGAGAAGGAAATGACCCAGAAGTATTAACTCATGTGTAGTTGCAGTACCACGAAGCCACCACTTGATGGCACCCTCTGACCGCTCTTCTCCTCACAGACACCTACGTGAAGCTGACCATGCTGGACTCCAAGGGGAAGGAGATGTCCAAGTGTAAGACGGCCGTGTGCAGAGGACAGCCAAACCCCACCTACAAGGAGACGTTTGTGTTCCAGGTGGCGCTCTTCCAGCTGTCCGAGGTGTCGCTGGTATTGACAGTGTTCTGCCGCCGGAGCAGCATGAGGCCCAGGGAGAGGCTGGGCTGGGTCTCCCTGGGCCTCAACAGCACCAGCGAGGAGCAGCAGGCTCACTGGACAGAGATGAAGGAGGCGGAGGGACAGCAGGTCTGCCACTGGCACACTCTGACCGACACATAAGAGGAGGAGGAGGAGGAGGAGGAGGAGGAGAGCGAACCTACATTCCCAGGAGAGGCAGTTTTAGGGAGCAGGAAGCACCTTTTGAGATGTGAGTGTGTGTGAGTGTGTGTGTGCTGCAGGCAGGTGTGAGGACAGGCGTGGGTACCCAGTCTTCACTGCCAGAAACTGTGTAACTACCCTTTAATCTGCCACTTTCCTCCCAGGCAGACAGACTGATTCGACTGGAGGAGGAGGAGGAGGAGGAGGAGGTGTGAGCTCCAGCAGCGTCTGCCTTTTTACCCACAGTCACGTGACGACTGAAAACTAACGAACTCTAATCACTGAGATTTGAGGAAACGCTCCGTCTTCCAGTAAATCTGCATGTTACACTTTTACGCGTTTACAAAAAGACTCTTTCAGCATTTTCTGTCTCTGAATCTTGGACCAAAGAGCTCGGTCTGGGACCAGCAGACCCCCTTTTCCCCCTGTTTCTCCTGGGCTTCTCTGGCTACCACCAGCATACCAGACATTTCTCTATCAGTCACAGCCATTGACAACAGAGGAGGAGGAGGAGGAGGCAACAACGAGAAGACTGTTACAAAGGGCCTTCAACATGCTGCAGCAGCTATGCTTTGTACAGTTTGTTTACATGCACATGACATTATGCAAGATTTATCATTCTTCGGCGTCTTCTTCTCTGTTTTTCAGTTTTTAGTTTCACTTCTTTTTAATTGGTACTCCTGCATATTTCCGGTACACTATGCATCCGACACGACAAAATGAGAGGAATGAAATCGGGACTCGAGTTGGACACGGCCTCCTTTTCCTCGTATAATTCAGATTGAGCCTCTTTCACCATTCAGCCTTCTGACGACTCAGCCATGTTCATTCATGTAGAAACACGGTGCTTCCCGCCGAGGAGGAATATGCAACAGCCTGCACAGTCCAAGACCTCCTGGACGGTTTTGAGGACGAAAACAGACGTACAGGTAAAAAGGGTAAATCGCATTTTCTCATCACGAGTGAATGGGAGATGTACGATTAAATAAAGGCTGAAACTGCTGTGAGAAATCTTCTTTCCAGTCTGAAACTGTTATTAAATGTAAAAACTGTTTCATGTTACGAGTCAGAAATCCCCCACAGCTACACCCAGGCTTCGGTAGACGCTCTGAAACCCCTCGACTCCGTCTGCTGGCTCAGGCTGAGGGGTGTGGGGTGGATTTTTTCCTCGACTTTAAGAGCCGAACACAGACGTTTGGGCGAGAGGTGCTGAGACCACACCCGGTCTCTGCAGGGCCAGAAGTCCACAAGGTCAAATCTGAGTCAGGATGAAAAAATACTAAACTCTTTATTATGTAATTCATCTGATTTAAACAGTTTTCATTATGGGGCGCTCACACCAAGCCACCTATTTCTTGGTGCAGCAGGGGGGGTGGAGGGCGTCCAGTTCGGCAGGCAGAGGATTTCGTCGCTGCTTTTTGCAGATGATGTGGTTCTTCGAGCTTCAAATGTACCTCCAAGTCTGAGGCCATGGTCCTCAGACGGAAAAAGGTAGGTCCTGCCTCAAGTGGAGGAATTCAAGTATCTCGGGATCTTGTTCATGAGTGAGGGTAGGATGGAGCGGGAAATCGACAGGCGGATCAGAGCGGCTTCAGCAGTGATGCAGACGCTTAATCGATCAGTCGGGGTGAAGAAAGAGCTGAGCCATAAGGCCAGACTCTTGATTTACCGGTCGATCTACATGCCGATCCTCACCTATGGTCATGAACTTTGGGTAATGACCAAAAGAACAAGATCGTAGATACAAACGGCTGAAATGGGTTTCCTCCGTAGGGTGGCCGGGAGTCAACTGAGGTGGCCAAGGTATCTGGTTAGCATGCCTTCTGGACACCCTCCTTTAGAGGTGTTCCAGACATGTCCCACTGGGAGGAGACCTGGTGGCCGGCCCAGGACCAGGCGGAGGGATTATATCTCTCGCCTGGCCTGGGAGCACCTGGGAATCCCCCAAGAGGAGCTGGTGGTGAAGATGTCTCTGACACGATCAGTTTGTCCTCCATTTAAGATACCAGTTAACAAACGTCTGTTTACATACGTCACCCGGCAACCTTCGTGCTGATTGGTTATGGCAATGCGAATATCTGCTTAAATTGAGACATTTGCAGCTTCAACCCAATTCGTGCTGCCAGAGTAGTAGGAGCGTCTAATCGCGTCTTTGCATTGATTTAACATGTTATTCATTTGCGCGAATGATTTTAATCACACTTTGTGTGTGGAGACAATTATTCTGCGTTCGAGTTACCTTGGAAGTTAGAAGTCTGAGCTAAAAATGACGTCACACCCAAGTTACCAGCATTTCAGTCACCAAGTCAGAAGAAAACAACATCGGAGGCCTGAAACAAGATGGCCACAGCTACGAAAGTTATTTTAGCGCTTGCCTCGTACTTGCTTATATCCGAACAGCCTCTGATTTTGTTGTCTTCTGGCTTCGTAAGTCGTAAGTCATTCCCAGCTCGGACCTCTGACTTTCAGGGAAACTCAAACGCAATATGTTATTCATTCACGCGAATGATTTTAATCGCGCTTGGTGCGTGGAGACAGTTAGACCGTCTCCTGATGGGACCAGAGACTTTATGAATATTTGCCTGCTCCCTAGCAACCAAGGCTTTTCACAAAGCTGATCAAACACTATTTGCAAAAAGTTGAAAACATACAAGTTTTGTAAAAGTTCTAAAAAATACGACAGATTAGAGTTTCAAAGAGGCTGTAAACAGTTTCATCTCTTTGGACTCAGACCTGCAGGAGTCTTCACAGAGGTGTGTTACATTTCTGTTTTCAAATCCAGTTATTATTACATATAAAATGAGGCAGAGAGCGGGACAGGGTTTTAAAAACGTGGAGAGTTTTTATTTCCATTTTTCTAGCCTTCAATGGTTTGTTTCATGCCGTCATCAGTCTGGGAGAACTTTCAAGTGGCTGGAGTCTCGCCTAGACCCGGGAGCACATAGTTTTACAACCCCTCACACCCGACAATAGTGACTGACGGCAGCCTTCCAGGGAAACGTGTCCTGCTCCGGGCCATGGAAAACCAGCTGTGCAGCAGAGCCTCGGAGGGGGGGAAACCCGGGACCAGAAGAATGGGAGGTTAGAGCTTCAAAAAAAGGTTGAGCCGACCCCCGTTTACGCCCTGAAGACTGATTCAGAGGCAGCCGGGTAATTATGAGGCCCCTGGAGGTCCAATAAAAGTGTTCAGATGGGATGATGCGGTCTGGAGCCGGGCCAGTTTTTAGGTCTAGTGCAACAAAAGTGCAAATTTAGTTTGAGTGGATTAGAGTTTAAAAAGAAGATAATCAGGAATGAAACCCCAGAGATCTGGAGACCCCTCCTCGTATATTCAGCCGCACAAACAGGTTTTCCCTGAACCGACTGCTGAATCAACTCCTGCAAATCATTAGAAGTAATAAACTACAATATCTCGCCTTTTTATTAATTATATCATCACCAGTTTAAAAAAGCACTTTTTTGATATTATACTCAATAAATATACAGGAACCATCGAGTGGAAAGGTTTAGTCTCATAAAAGTATCCTCACATCTAATTTCTTAACGACGTCTTTAAAAGGGATTTTTTTCATCCTTTTGTTCGGATTACAGATTAACTCTGACGAGGACAAATAAAAGCCTTTGGATTTATAATACATGATGGATTGACTCTTGGTAAAGTACCATGCAGAACGGATCAAGGTGTCCCCAATCTGCACCCCTCTCTTATTTTTTAATTCACTCACACTTTCCACACTCTGCAAATTAATCTGTAAAGCAGCAGACGTCGTACCGATTTGGCAAAGAAAACATTCATCAAGCATTAAAACAAAAAAACACAAAGTGAAACCAATATGGCGACACCGTAAAGTGACGTTTCTGTCTAAGATCGGGAGGTTCTTCACAGGAGTTTGAAATGAACATGGCAGGACGAACGAAACACTTATCCGCTGTAAAACCAGAGTGTCGATGGGCGACGGAGGGAAGTTCAAAACGAAGGGCGGGGCGCTTATCTGCTGATGCTGTCGCCTTTGGTCAGGTGTCTCCGCCGTCTTTGCGCTCAGCTGGGCTGATTTGCGTCTGGATGTGGGTTCAAATTCAACAGACTGATTAAAAAACAGCAAATAAGAGATCGTCCCAAAGAGTCAAACTTCCCATTTTAACGCTAACATCTCTAACAGCACGACAAAATTCTGAATTACTTTTCGCTGATTTTGGCAGTTATTCTTGACTTGATTGGACGACACTATAACCTTGAATTGTTTTGCAGTTTTGCACGTTAATGTGTCGACTTTTTTTTTCTTTTACAAACATAATTTAACTTCCCGTGGCGTAAAAATCGACCGTTCCAAACACTCTGCAGATCCGGTAACAACTACGTGACAAAAACGGTGGCGGCTGGTTTTCATGATAAAGTCGAGGCATTATGGTGAGCGCTGACGTGAATTCCTTCTTGAACACTGAACTCTACTGAACATGTTTGGGTTTGAGGTTCTGTCTGAGTCCACATCAGAGATTTTTACACATTTAACGACATTATTAAAAAAAGAAAGAGTTCAATAAAATACTTCTGACCGTCAGTGCTTCTCTCAAGTACAAGAAGTACAGTTTGTAACCGTAAAATGAAAAAACAAACTCAGTGGCGGCCGTGTGCCTTCGCCGCCGAAGCTCTCCCGCTGAATCCTGCGGACGCCGCCTTTCTTCCTGCGTCCATCGAGTCTGTCAGTGATGCGGTAACCATGATCTCCACAGTCAGGTAGGGTTCGTTTAGACTTTCTGTACACTGTGTACAAGCGCCCTCTTTCCTCAGCAGGACATCCAGAGGTGCAAATGACATCTGTAGTGGTTGATGAAGAGCGTGATTGGAGGTCATGAAAAAGGAGGAGGGGCTTCGACTGAAAAGGCGGGTTTTTGTTGGCAGTGGTTCCTTTTCAGCTTCCTCTCTTTAGAGTCGTGGATGAGACCACAAACCAACAGCTTATAAAGTCTGACTGTCTTTTTTTTTTTTAATCCTCCCAACATAAAAACTCGACTCCTGTGCTTTTTAACCCCACAGTCCACCCGTCCATTGACTCCGCCGGGCTGTGGGAGCTGCTGTTCTTTCGGATAACTCCAGTTCTTCGTTGTGCCGCTCAGCCCGACGCTAGATGAACTTGAAGCACTTGGTCTTGTCGTGGGGTAGACGGGTCTTAAAAAGCACAGAGTCCACGCGAAACTGCGTGTAGAGCAGCGGCATGTAGCCGTAGACTTTGACGAAGAAGTTGATGCACTTGTGTCGTTCGTGGAAGTGGGAATCGTCGTGTGAGAGGGCCTGAGGGCAGCCGGGGCAGCGGAAAGTCCATCGAGATGTTACCTGAGATAAAAACAAAGAAAACTTGTCTATAGATGCTGAATTTACTAACCTGCAGCACAAGTGTCACGGTAATTTTTCACCTGATGCGCTCATCACTTCAGCTACCAGTGCCTAATGGTTTAGATGATAACCTCCGCCTTGGCGCCCATGGGCATGTTGGCGGGTGCAAAGGTGGCAGCAAACATCTACACTCCCCCTAATGAGGACATACCTGAGTCTTTTCTCTTTAATTTAGGGCTGGGACTCGTTTAAAAAAAATTAATCTAAATAATCAGAGGCTTTGTAATTAAATAATCGTGATTAATCGCATTTTTATCGCATATGAATATTTGACCTGAGAACAGTGAGAATCTTTTTTTTTTTTTTTAAAAAGGTATCCGAGTGAATCAATGAATAGTGAACTGAATGAACACATAAGCTTAAACAAACAAAACCTTGTTTACTTTTCAAAGTGATACTTAACCAAGACCAACAGATCGGTGCTTTTTTTGTGCTATAAAGTGCAGAAACTCGTCCAGTTAGAAACTTTCCCCAGTGCAAAAATACAGTAGGATTAATATTAATGATTAATCTGATTAATATGAGTTCATATTTTTAACAAGATAATATTACTGTAATAAATTAGTCTGTTTTGAGGACATTTGTCATTTTTTTTCATCTTTATTTTGAGCTGACAGTCACATTTTTAAAGACTGGGGCATCAAATTTGTTGAGTTCTTATTTTCCTTCATATTAAAACAACAAAAAAAAAAAACTCTGTGTCACCTGTAGAGTTTGATCGCATTTGATTTGGTAGAGGGCGCGTCTCGAGAAAAAGGAGGTGAATTGGTGAGTTTTTCCAGCTCCAATAGACTCAGCTGTTCAGAACGAACACTTTATAAATATATATATGACATGTTGCACAAAAACTGGCATAAAAAGGGTAATACATCGATTTTTACTTTTTTAATGTTTAGGGCTGAAGTTGTTTTAGAGAAATGTGTTAAAAAAAATAAGACAAAATGTTAAAAATTGATTATTTTCTAAGCACTTACCTGCATGTCCGTTTTGGAGACAGTAGACTGGATAAAGCTTCAAATTAACAGGAACTGTGGTTCAAGTCCCGGTCCTACTTTAATTTAAAGGTGCAATGATCAATGACTCTACCCTCGATTCAGGGCTGATCTTTAAGACCTGCATGCTTCACCTCGACCCTGCATGATCCAGAACACCAGACCAAACCACAAACTAGCTCTCGATTGTGTATCCTCTCTTTGACAGATTTAAATAAAGACACTGTCCTTGTGAAAAACCTCTGAAACAGATCAACCTCAGATATTCATGATTCAGATCAAATTTGGATCTAATTTCAGCTTAATGAGCTCGATAGCTACAGTTCGTTAAATCTAAGAGAAAATGCACAGGTGGAGTTTGAACGATGTAAATCAGCTAAACTAACATTTTTAAAGCCGTTTATTTTTACTTTTATTTGTCTTAGAGAAACACAGACACAGTTTAGGACTCCATGTTCAAACTCGTCCCTAATTCATTATTATTTATGTTAGCAAAGACGTCGTTAATTCCTCCGTGTAACACCCCGAGTATTAACATCCCGCTAAATCAGAATGAGCGTAAACCGAGGGCTGCAATGACTTTCCTGTTCCAGTAATTTGTCCTCCCATAAATTTGCACTCTGCTAATAAATGTGCTTCCAATAAAATAAACCCAGAGGCAGAGAAAGAAGCATGAAACACCAACTTCACGACACGCTGTTGATTCAGTTTGTGTGGGAAACCGAACGTGTCGCTTTGAGTAACGGTGAGGTCGACTGCTGACCACAAGTATGAACACACACAGACCTAAAGAGGAGGAGGAGGAGGAATAACTGACCTTGATGGGAGGTTTCCGTGTGATGTGGGACACCAGGAAGTTCATCGCGATGTCCTCGCAGTTTATGTACTCGTCCACCATGTCCCTGATGGCCTGGGGCATCACGTAGGAGTACAGGTAGGCGTAGTACTATAAAAACACACGGGACACGTGAGTGACGGCTCTAAGAGGGGCGATCATTCAGCCTGTCTAAGCTTCGTCGTTTTCACGTGATCTGACCTTGTGAAAGAACGCCGCTCCTGTCAGGACCATGGAGAGCTCGCAGGAGTAGTTGGAGTTGTAGAGCCAGGACTGATGGTTGACGTCCCATGCGTGATACCGGCCCGGGAATCCCACGATGCGGTCTCTGGCCTCTCGCCACACTCTGAGAGACGAACAGTGAGCAGAACTTTTCATCACAGAACGATTTATCCAAACTAACCGGACAGAGTTAATAAATATTTGCCGATTGTGTTACTTCTTCGGTTTCCAAGAGTCTGTTTGCGCATATGCCGAGCTTTTTCATCCATCTGTTTCAACTTGTCAGCCGCGATGTGAGCAATGTGACAACGACGAGCCGCTTGGGAGCAATTAAGTAAGTGCTCTGTTGTCTCCTTCAGCTCCATGTGACAGTTTTAATAAGATATTCAAAATAAGACTTGTCACTCTTGGCTCATATTTACACATTTACAGTCCCTACAACAAAGCCTCGGACCAAAGAGAGAGACGTCAGATTTGATGATCTGATATCCTGTCTGTGCTCGTGTGTGTTCGAGTTTCAGCTGCTGTGTGATGGATCATCTCTTCCTGGGTAATTCTGGGCGAGTTAGAGATCATTCATGACGATTGACCCCGTTCGCACTAGTGGTGTGCGACCTGACAATCTTAGATTGCGTAGGATTATAAAGTGACGACGATCTGCCAAATTACAGAGATCGTAGAACTGTCTGTAGTGCGCATTGTATCCCTAACACGTGTCTAAATACATTTCTTGCCCTCTCAGATCAAAATTTTGGACGTTAAAAGAGCACATTTTAATTTATGAGTTTTATAAGTTGATAAAAGTAACTGCAGAAGAGAGAGGAGACTTTTGAGCTGTTTAGTTGTGACCAAAAACAAAGGAACGTCCAAAGAAAAGAGAGAAATAGAAAAGAAAAAGTTCTTTATATGTTGTGTTTTGTAAATTAGTTTGAAGTGATTTATATTATTTTTAAGACTATAAAACTACCTTTCATTTTTGTAAATATTGACTCTTGTGTGTGATGTCTTATTTTAGGTTCAAAGTTATTCAAGAACGAGACCATCCAGTTAAAATAAACGCTATGCTGTTTGTTGTTAAAATCTGAACATCTGATTTTATTTATTTATAGTTTTCAGCCCCCCCACCCCTTGGAAAAATGGTGATAAAATAGTTGTGATTTTGCCAAAAAAATCGTGATGTGAAATTTTTTTCCAAATCGCCCACCCCTAGTTCACACTCAGAGTCGATTTCTGCCTGTTTAGACAAGCTGATGCAGCAACGAAAAAAACAGCGAAAGGAAAAGGTGGCGCACAAAATAACATAACAGCTAACTCAATCATTTACTTGGGTTAAACACGGCCTTTGAGACCAGCTTAGCTAACAACAGCATTAAAGCATGAATCATAAACACAAAGCACCAACAGCTGCTCAGTTTCTGTCTGATGCTTCTGCACTTTCGAAAGATGAACGTTAACGTTTCATTCAAGTTAATCAAATTTTTACTTTATTTTTAAAAACAGAATGTATCTAAAAATAGATACCTGAACCCGAACATGATCTCATCATGGCGCAGATGTGCATCATCGTCTATCGACAGGATGGCCTCTGTTTCGATGGCGTCCCAGGGCAGGAAACGGTTGTTGAGGCTGTTCTTCTCTGTGCGAACGACCTGCAGGAGTTAAGATCACTTCTGTTAGACATTTCCACGAAGACGGAGACGCCAAATACTGAATGGTACCAACAGAGTTTATAACAGCTGTAAAGAAAAGGATGTATTCAAACTCTAGAAAGAGTCGTCATGCACTCACCACGATGGGAAGGCCGATGTCGGGCCACAGAAGGTCGTCTGAAGGAGGTTTTGGTGAGTTCCACACCACCACCACCTTGTTGAGATACGGAAGTCCATTTAACCTCTCCAGAGAGTTCATCAGCACCTCCTCCCTCTCATACGTCAGCATGACCACAGTGAACTGTTCCCGCGGCACGTTCCCCCCCAGAGCCGCCTGGAACTCCTTCCCTGAGCCCCCCGTACCTCCACCGATGGGCCTGAAGCCGGTACCAGAGCCCAGGAACTTCGCTTCAGAGGGCAGCACCGGGTCCAGAGGAGTGTGAGGAAACAGATGGAAAGGTCCAGGAGCTCGGTTCCACGCTCTGTAGGTATCTGCAGCTGTGTACGTGAAGTTGCGGAGAAAACGCGGAGAGGCGTAAGGGGGCTCCGTCTCGACTGGACCCAGATCCAGATCACCGTTGTCGGCCAGGTTGGCATCAGTTCCTGCCAGCTTCCCCGCCTTGTGAGGGATCTCTTGGGCGGGTTCCTCTTTTATGGGCGCTGCAGGAACCTGGATGCTGGTCCTGATGCTGGCTAAGAGGGTGTTGAGGACGTTTTCAGAGGTGGAGAAGTAGGTCTCCCACAGGAAGCGGCCCTGCCGCCTCATAGCGAGCATGTCGTTGTCTGATAGGCTGCGCAGCAGGAAGTGAAGCTCTGTAACTCGAGGCTTCGGGACTAAGATGGCGGCCTCACTCCAGCGGATAAACTGGTGGTACGGTAGTCTGGAGTGGTCCCCCAACACGACCGGGATGGTCCCAACCTCCAAGGCTTCGAAGAGCCTCATCCCACAGCCGGCTGACGCCACGACCTGTCCGTCACCTGGAGCGATCACCAAGGCGAAGGTCGAAGCTTTGAGCACCTCCAGCCGGTCCTCCCTTTCTCCACAAAGAGCCCACTCCGTCGGCAAACTGGGCTGTGGGTTTTTGCAGGTGAACTCCACCAGGACCTGGTCCAGGTGGCTGTCCTGAACCGCCTTTAAGGTCCCGATAATACGATCGTCATAATCCGCTGGAGGATCTCCTTCCATCTCCTCCTCAAAAGACTGAGGAGGAGACTCCTGTAAGCTGCTCCTCAGTGACTCCACCCTCTCTCCCTGGAAGGTGAAGAGATATTTCCTCTTCACGGGAACTTGAGGCGGCACTTCTAAGAAGTTCGGCTCTGAGAGGGCGTGGACCAGAGGAGAGACCACCAGGTCGAAGCCCTCGCGGTACTGCTGCTCCAGGAAGGTGGACTGAGCCACGGCCGCCCGCCCTGTGCTCACATTATACAGGAAGTTCTGTGTCAGAGACTTTCTGGAGAGGTGCACCAACACGTGATTATGTCCGTCTGACCTCCAGTAAGGTAGAGCCTTCAGCTGTTTCTCCAGATCTGAAGGTGGCGGCAGAGGAGAGGAGGCGGACTCCTGCAGCTCCCCGACCAGCACCAGGTACAGACAGGCGATGCTGGGGTTATCAGTGACATAAATGTTGCTCTTCACTGACGCGGCGAAAGCCTGCTTCACCAGGGGGTCCAGGTGGTCCCCCCACGGGTAGGACGCCGTGTCGTAGACGTACACAGGAAATCCAGACGTGAGAGGACAGCGCGCGTAATCAAAGCAGGAGCGAAGGCGGCAGGAGCGCGAGGACTTTGGCGGCGGCAGTCCCGGGTCCTCCTTATCTGGTAGCAGCCTGACGGGTAAGGAGAGCTTCGGCTGGTTCTGCGCCATCAGTTCTTTGTAGGAATGCTCCGTCTGGCTGATGACGTTCTTCAGCTGCAGCAGGTCCTGCTTGGCGCTGTCGATGCTGCGCTTGCAGGCTTCGATGCGCAGGTTGAGTCGGGCGATCTCGCCGTTGAGCTCCTGCCTCTTGGCCTCGAGCTGCAGCAGCTCCTCGCTGACCGACTCGCGGATGCGGCACAGATCCTGCACGTGTTTGGCCTCGCACAGTTCGCCGCCGGGCCGAGGACCGAAGATACGCTTGTCGGGACCCCCGGCTTCGTCTATGGTCGTGAGGTAGTAATGAGCGATGAGCGGGAAGAAGACCAGGATGAAGAAGAGCATGAAACTGAGCCACGTGAGACGCACGCGCCGCAACACCCATGGCTGGCCGCCGGCACCGACCCCACCGCCGTTCCGCTGCATTGTTGACTCTCTCAGTCGGCGCCTTGTCCCACCAGGGAACAGTTGCTATGGGGATCAGCAGCAGCCATGGTTCGACCTTGTCAGCGAGGCGGCTGGATGGATACTAAATCATCAAAGCTGAGCTGGAGCGGCGTCCTTCTCTAAAGGTCATCTGAGGCTGTTTCCTCCTCTTAAAGAGTCCGGTGGATCTCAGCCTCGTCTGAATCTAATCCTGATCTGTGAAAACTCTCAGAATCTAATGCCATGTCTGCTCTTCACGTCTCTATTCCTAATCCATATCAAAAATAAAGTCCCACATCAGGGGAGGGGTGATTCAGGGGTAACATGTCCGCTCACGGGTCAGAGAGGCTCTCGGGTCGACCTGAAGGTACTTTCTGAGACGTCCTCATTTTGTGGTTCTTCTCTGAAACACCAGGACCTCTGAAATCTTCTCTCTCGTCTCGAAGCGAACACCTGAAAGACACAAAGAAGGCCAGACTTTAATACACTTCCTCGCAAAAATATAAACACAAGAGGTGAACGGATGAAGAGTCCTGGAGTCACGTAGTCGAGTTTTCCATATTTAAAGTGTTGATATAAAGCCGCGCTCGGCAGCAGCTCCTCCTGTATTTCATCGTCGTTTCAGATTACCAGAGGCGGCTTCTTTCTTCACATTTCCTCGACTTTAAAGAGAAAAACAACAAGAGAGAGCCATCGCTCGGTAAACTGCGCGCTGTTGCACGCCAACACCTCCAGCAAATTTCATTAAAAGGCCTCCGTCTGCATCCAGACTTTGTCACCGACTCAAATTACTCAGCATCCGAGAAAACAGAGGCTGAGCTGAGCGGTCGTCTACAGGCTCAGGAGGGAGAAAGGCGACTTCTGATGTGAACTTGTGTTTTATTTTTGTTTTAATTCTTGAGGTAGGGCTGTACGATTAATTGATTTTAAGTGATTAATCGGATTATTTGATTATGACGATGTTAAAAGCGAGAGAGCATGAATCTGTAAACGACGATCATTTCATCTCCGTGTGGATGTCTATCTGCATCTCTGGAAACGATCATGTGACACACAGCGTAACTCTTTTATGGCGCCTGCATGCGAATTTTTTTTTTTTGAACGATGGCAGAGGAAGGTCCCGCCCTCCTTCGCCTCTGATTGGCTAGAAATGCTCCAATTGGTTATTACTTATGGCTGCGAAACATCATCGTTTTTGTCTGGGTTTTTCTGCCGACAGCCCGCGTTTGGCTTGAGCGTGTGATGATGTTTCCGATGATGTTTTATTTTTAAAGTGAAGTGAAAAAAAAATCGAAAATTGAGACAAAAATCAGGATTTCGTGCAGCCCTACTACGAACAAAACCGGGCGTTATATCAGCTCTGCTTTAAGCGGCGTTTACAGACTCTTACGTCACCATCTACATTTCTACACAGATCATTTCTCTCCACCAGCAGCAGCCGCTCTGCTCTCTGGGCTTAAAGCCAGATATCACACCGAAGCACAAGCCCTGCGGATGTCAAACTGATACGGTCCTTATCAGACTCAAACTAAAGCCACAACAGCGAGGGTGAACTTTGATTAAAGGTGTGCAGTTCAGGGTGACACTGCCGCAGAGGCCTGAGGGATGGAGGAGTGAGCGAGCGAGCCTCTGTTTACCTTCCCTCTGCTGCTGAATCCAACAATCTGTGGTTGAAACGTTTCCAGAACAGCCTGGTTGGATCAAACTCTAGACAGATAGCATCTCTAAAAAAAACAAAACAAACATCTTTCATCCTGTCTGAATCATGTAATCTCTCCTCCCTGCTGCTTCCATGTGACTGGCATTACTGATGTTTAACGGTTACCACTCCCCCTCCGACTGGGCCTGAAAAACTTCACCCTGCTGTTCAGCTGGCGAACGGCCGAGTGTGTGCATGTCCCAAATGTGTGTGTGTCTGTGTGTGGATCTGTCAAGGTGAGGAATGAGGAAGTGTACCAGCCAATCACATGACAGCCACGTGTCTCTATCTCGCCCAAAATGACCGACATCATGCTGCTACTTGTCCCTCTTGTTGTAGCTGCCTGTCTGAATGAACACTCGACCTCTCGTACTATCAGACCTCTGCTTTCCTGTCATACGTCTGACAATATGAGAATTTGTGACGGTTAAATGCAGCGTATTTCGAGAGCTTAGAAACAATAAGAATTCCAACGATACTTTTTCTTTTTTTTGTGTATTTTTCCATCTGTTTTCTGCTTCGCATCAAATCTCCCCCTCCTGCTTATACATCCTGTATTTCCTGTCGCTCTGACGACAGCAGAGTAAATACAGAGACGAGAGGAGAGAGAGTGCAGATAGAGCACAGCCTCAGGATGTAAACAGTATGTAATCAATAGTTCCTGTAAAAGAGTTAGAAATTATGTTTAATCTGCATTTGCATGGTAACTTAAAAGTGCATGAATCTCACCTTCTTCTGCAGATGCACTACATTTAATTTTCACTCTCCAACACTGCAGAGATAGACACTAAAAGTAAACATTAGATATGCAGTCTGCACACGTACCCGCCAAGTTTATCTGGACAACAGTGTCTAAAAACCATCCGGTCATGTCACTACTGCACGTGCTCATAGTAAGTCTGTCATGTGACTTCTCCGCTGTCCTCATGATGCAAAATTTGTAACCTTGATATCCTTAAAACCAGAGCTATAAAAAGTCACTTTCTGCATTCTTGCTTTTGAGTGAGTGTGCGGCTTCAGGTGGTTTTGCAGCCAGCCTCTAGTGGACATTCAAGGAACTGGTAGAGCAGAAGCTGCTCTATAAATGTCCATCCATCTATTTTCTACCGCTTATTCCCGTTCCAGGGTCGCGGGGGGGCTGGAGCCTATCCCAGCATCTTCGGGCAAAGAGAGGGGACTCCCTGGACAAGTCGCCAGTTCATTGCAGGGCTGACATATAGAGACGAACAACCATCCACGCTCATATTCACACCTACAGGCAATTTAGAAGTGGCCAATTAACCTAACCCCACTTAGGCATGTTTTGGGGATGTGGGAGGAAACCAGAGGAAACCCACGCAGACACAGGGAGAACATACAAACTCCACGCAGAAACGCCCTGAGTCGGATTCCAACCCAGGACCTTCTTGCTGTGAGGCAACAGTGATAGCCACTACACCACTGTGCCGCCCTCTATAAACGTCCAATTTACAACAATATTTAACTAAAAATAACACACAATTTTAGAAGCAGGAAATTTTGTAGTTTTTTTCCTTAAAAGCTGCTGTAAGCAATTTTTGGTTTGTGCTGACTTTGTCACCCCCTTGTGGCAAAGATTTACATTCAATTATGGCATAAGCTGGACAGCATTATCACCTTCCTTAACCTCTATTTTAAAAAAACGTAGATTTCAAACTAAAGCTCAAATCTACTTAAGTATTTTTAAGTCTATTTCAGTTTTGATGTTTTCATTATTATTTGAAATCAGTTTTAGGTCTTTTGGTCACATGACATGGAAGCTATTGAAGGAAAACAGCCTTTTCTGAGAACATCAACAGGTAATTTATTGACGGTCCCTTATTCAACACTGACGTTGACAGTGAGGGTGTGGAGTAGATTTAACCGCGCTGCTGTTGTTATTCCCGGTTATGGAGAGTGAGAAGACACCGGTAGATCCTCAGAGAATGTCCGTCAGATATCCAACCTGAAACTAACTTCATGAATAAACATTTGTTGCCTCAGCTAATGTTTTATGCGCACGTGTGCCCCTAAATACATTTTACAATTCGCACACATCTATTTTTTGTCGCAAATGTGAGTGAAACGGTCGCACTGTGGAGCCCTGTCATCATGCGAGACCTTAAAGCCTCGTCAGGATGAGTAGCTGAATTAAAAATGAAGGCAGCATATACTTTTGCATTATCTCATTTGAATTTTTAAAAAGCTGTTTAATAGCATCATCAAGCAATAAATACAAAAGTATAACTACAGTATATTATTAGCATCAGAGTCAGATATTGAGGCTCTGGTCCCTCACAGAAACCATCACAGAGGGTCTGGAGGTGTACCGTACACGGTGAAACCTCCCAGGACAGGTGACCCTGCAAACACTGATCCTCTCCCTGCTGCTGCTGCTCAGTCATGTGCCCGAGGTGCAGAGCGCCTGGGAGTGGCGGACTATCACAACGCTTGATTAATTGCTGCATGACTGCCAGTGTCACAGGGGTAATGGCAGACAGATGTTGGCAAACGCTGCAGCTAAGCCTAATCTGGAGCCAAAAAAACATGCTGGTTTTAAAGCTCTGCCTGTGGTTGCGAGTTGGAAACAGAGAGAGATAGAAACTAAATCTCAATCTCTTCTGCTGCAGCTTTCTAATCTGCAGAGTGTCACCTCCTTTCTGCCGCCACTCTGGGCTTAATCTGACGGCTTTCAGGACCGCCCCGACGAAGCTGGACTTCCTTTGTAGGGATCAATGATGAAGATGAGAGGAGGTTTGGTGTTCAGCACCTACAGAGCTGCCGTCTAAACCATTACCACTTGTAAGCTAAAGGCACAAAAACGCCGCCGAGGTTCGAGAGCGAGCTGTGAAAATATTTGCACTTCCACACAGACATGCCTGTCCTTGCCTCAGAGATCACAGTCCTAACAAACAGCTTTACATTAAACCACCAGAGAGCAGAGCGCTAAAGGCCAAAGGGATTAGAGATTTCTGTAAGGTGGTAATAATCTGCATTAAACTGGTTTGAAACGAGAATAAGTTTTAAGTGATTTTAAGTGTTTCCAAAAACTCATGTTTGGACTCATTTCTGCAGCACTTAATGATTGCATGCAGGGCTCAACAATGCGACCGTTTCACGATTCCGATTTCCGATGTGTGCAAATTGTATTTAGGGTCACATGCACATTAAAAAAATCAGCTGAGGCAACAAATCTTTTTGCATGTAAACACCGCGGTGAAGTTAGTTTTAGGTTGGATATATTTTCCTGTAAATACGGCGGTGAAGTTAGTTTTAGGTTGGATATATTTTCCTGTAAATACGGCGGTGAAGTTAGTTTTAGGTTGGATATATTTTCCTGTAAATACGTCGGTGAAGTTAGTTTTAGGTTGGATATCTGACGGACATTCTCTGAGGATCTACCGGTGTCTTCTCACTCTCCATAACCGGGAATAACAACAGCAGCGCGGTTAAATCTACTCGACACCCTCACTGTCAACGTTGGTGTTGAACAAGGGACCGTCAACAAATTACTGGTTGATTTTTCCAAAAAAGACTGTTTTCCTTCAATAGCTTCCATGTCATGTGACCAAAAGACCTAAAATTGACTTTAAATAATAGTACTTATGTCGACCAATAAGATACACCTTTTTATTTCCCTAATTCGTCCTCTAAAAATTTTTTTGTTTAATTTAGAGGCAAATTTTTAACATTTTCTTCAATAGCTTCCATGTTGTGTGAATTATTGACGACTAATGTCGACCAAGAGGACACACATTATCAAGTTCTTTGTGTGCTCCTTACTTTTTCAACTTAGGAGCATTTATACTCCTGGGTAAAAAAGTTAGTGTCAAGCCCTCAACTCAACTCAACTTTATTTGTTAAGCACTTAACCACAGCTGAACAAAGTGCCGTACATAACTAGACAAAACAACAAGATAAAAAACAATCAAAAAACAATTAAAACAATGGATAAAATAAAAGCAGAATTAAAAGTAAAATATAGTTTCAATATTTTTTTAAAAACTAATTTAAAAACATAGAAACAAATAACTAAAAACAAACCATAAAACACTAAAACAGGACTGGCATGGCTTATAATGTTATAATGTTACTGCTATTCCTTAGATAAGACTAATATTAATTAAACGTGATCCAGCTCCTTTATCAGGGTCAGAATCCTGCATCCCATCAGCACAGCCGCCTCCTAAATGACCCACATAGAAAACCTTTCGCTCCACATGGCGAGCACCAATGACTGAGTCAGCAAAACAGCGGCCAGGTCTATGAATAACCCCGGACTGCGCCAGTGTAGCAGCTCGCTGTGTTCACTCAGTTTAGAGGGATGAAAAGTGGCAGAGCAGATTTAATAAGAGCGGTAACGTCATTACGGGCGTGTTTGCAGAGAAGCGCCGCCGTGTTGTGTTTGATACAACAAAGCAGCTCCGGGCAAAACATCTTCATCTGAAGTCGGAAGAAAAAGCGAAGCAGGTGCGCAGCTCAAAGTCTGAGTGAAGAAACAAGAGCGCCGCTTCCAAGTTCCCAGACGTTTGAGGGCGAGCGCTTGTATAAATGTTTGAACAGTCCCTCCGCACACTGGCAGAGCTTTCTGAGACGGTCCTGAAATTCCTTTATGAAGGAACAGGAAGCACCGACTGAACTCACATCCAAATATAACGGGTTTTAACTCGACCACAATCAAACCGTCGTCTTCCTCCTCGGTGACCTTACTCATGAGGGGAAAGGATGAAAGCTCCGGCATCCTCCGTCTCAGAGTTAGAGGAGGGAGATTCAGGTGATCCCAGGGAGCTCTCTGACAGACAGTGAAGTTTAGTGACGGATTTCAAGGCCGACTGGAGGATCACACAGCTTGTATTTTTAATAAGGAAAGCTCAGAGAGGTACTGCAGCTTCAGCGATGACTGAAATATTCAGAGGACGGATCTTTGATTTTTCTGACAGACGTTTCCACGCCGCTTCAAAGCTGTTTTCCACTCCATGACCAACGTCTGACGGTGAAATCAGTTTGAAAATAAAAGATGAAATATGAAAAATCAGTCCGTCATCTGTCAGACAGCTTCACCATGAATTATTCAATCTGAAGAGCAAACACTGGAGGGTGGAGAGGGCGCAGGAGTGCTCCAAGTTTAAAGTACTCAACTCGTATTCCCAAGTTCCAGTTTCAGAGCATCTCCCTGTAAAAACACCGACACCCACAGCAAAAACAAGAACGCAAGACACGCCTCCGAACCTCACAGCTTCAGAAACGAGCGTTTCCTCAACGCTAAGAAGAAAAAAATCAAAGTCCAGGTGAGGTTGATTGACTTTATACGGAGGCATATTGCAAATAAATAAATAAAAATTAATAAATTAAAAAGCTCAGTTTTTAAGAATTATTTTATATTATATCATTACTATATATTTTTTGTTTTTCAGACTTTTTTTTCTTTTCTGTTTTTCCAAAGACTATTTTTTTTTAGACAACATTTTTCTTCTTTCTGTTTTTCAGAAATTTTTTCTTTTCCTTTCTGTTTTTTGGACTAATCTTTTTTTTCTCTTTTCAGTTTTTCAGACAATTTTTTTCTTTTCTGTTTTTAAGATGATTTTTTTTCTGTTTGCAGACAATTTTTTTTCCTTTTCTGTGTTTTACCATTTTTTTTTACTTTTCTATTTTTCAGGGTTTTTTTTTTTGTTTTGTTTTTCAGACTAATTGTTTTTCCTTTTCTATGGGACCATGATCATTTAAAAACAGACCCGCTTCTGTAACCTAGTTTAAATCTTAAAAATCTCATTTTAGTGACTGTTTCATTAGAGCAAAAACACAACAGAACAAAAGTCTGAGTCCTCCTGGTTTTATTCAAAATGAATATTTATACCTTTAAATATGTCTCTGTACTAAAACCTCTCCACAATAACTTCTATATATTGGTTTATAATCTATCCATTTTTGGAGCTGATGTCGTCTCTCTAAGGGAGCACTATTTCTAACTAAAAAAAAAACCTCTTAACTTTTGTCCCATAAAGACGTCCTCATTTCGTGAGAAGAGACCACAAAGTCAGTGGGGTTTGTCCTCTGGGGAGCATGAATATAAGTGGGATAAGTCAAGGCCACTTATTTAAATCATGTCCAACAGCCTTGAACATTTTCCTCTGAAGTCAGACTCTTCAAACTTTCCCTGCTGCAGAAGGAAGATTGTACCGTCTGTCATAAACCCTGAAATCGATAATCAATATTTCTGTATTTATGGTACAGATATTTTTTAAATTCTGAGGACATTAGACAAAGACAAAACAGCAAACCGATGAAAAAATCTGCAGAGTAATTGACGGAGAAAAGCAGGAGCCGCCTAAAGCTGAACTTTCAAAGAGGGACACAAGTCAAGCTGATGCGTTCAAGTGTTGTTAATGTAATCACACACACAGAGGCCAAACCGCTGCACTCACGCCCTGTGGGACGCCAGGTTATCCTGATGCATCTCTCGCTTTCAGAGAGTCTGGCTCATTGTACTTGCAGAGAACCCTTCTCATAATTAATTGTCATTTCATGGAGAGGATCGAGGTGAGACAGTCCCTGCAGAGATGTTAAAAAAAAAGGAGAGGATGAGATGGAGGCAGCTGCAGGGAAAGCTGGAGCCACAGGGCTGTGTGAGCGGAGCAGCTGCTGCAGCCATGGTTCACAGCTCATCTGCAGACGGCTGACTGAGCCTTCTCAAGGACCTTTTTTTGTACCGCCGAATTACAGCCGTGACTGTAGAGCCGCGGAGAGACACTCGTGGAGGGAATCAAAGGACAGGAGATGAGAGACGTTCGTGCTAAGTAGTCAAATTTACCTCTTAGACTTAATGAATATGAATTTAACCTGATTGAAGGATGAATAAATTAGATCATAACCAAAACCAAACTCAGACTGATTAAAAGCGATGTTTACATCTGTTCTTCTTCTTCTGTAGTCGTTATAAAACCGTACCTTTTAGTGAAATTACATTACGGACTGATCAGATCTTGAGTTAAAGCGTCACATGGTGAACAAATATCTCAAAAGACTCAGTGTGGCCGAAACAAAACGAATCATCTTTTATTTACTCGACAAAACTGGAAGTCTGGACCTTTTTATCGTCACAGTTTTGTTCTTTCCTCTCTGTTCAGATCACTGCGAGTTAAATAATTCAACAGCGGGTTATTACGTTTAAAAACAGAAGCGAGTCGGCTCCCCGGTTTGAGAGCAGTAATGTGAAAAACACTGTTATTATCACAGTTCAGTTCAAGAGGATTAAAACCCAGATTTGTAGAAACTTCAGGGCTGCTGCGACAAAAACGGTGAAACAAGTCGAGAAATTAAAATTCTTCGATCTGCAACAGTGGACGTCTGTGTTTGTACCCCTTAAAAAACTGAGTGACAGCTCACATGAGGGGCTTTTATATCACATGTCTCATTCACACACTGATGAGAGACGCTGCTATCTATAGAGCTCATCACTCCATTCACACACTACAAGTGTGGGCATGTTCACTCGAGTGTCTCGCCCGAGGACACTTCAGCGTGTGGACAACACGACCTCTGACCTTCCAATAGAGAGACGATTAACTTTATGAACTGAGCCGCAATACGCACGCAGAAGATTAACCCTTTGCAGTATTTCAAGTAGGGCTGCACGATTCATCGATTTTTGATTTTAATCGATTGAAGTAGGGCTGCACTTTTAATCGATTAATCGTGTAACATTGATTTTTATTGATTAATCGTGTAGCATTGAGTCAAATCAATTAATCGTGTAGCACTGATTATTATCGATTAATCATGTAGCATTGATTATTATCGATTAATCATGTAGCATTGATTTTTATCGATTAATCGTGTAGCATTGATTTTAATCGATTAATCGTGTAGGGTTGAGTTTAATCAATTAATCGTGTAGCATTGATTTTTATTGATTAATCGTGTAGCATTGATTTTTATTGATTAATCGTGTAGGGTTGATTTTAATCGATTAATCGTGTAGCATTGATTTTAATCGATTAATCGTGTAGCATTGATTATTATTGATTAATCTTGTGGGGTTGATTTTAATCGATTAATCGTGTAGCATTGATTATTATCGATTAATAGTGTAGGATGAGTTTACTCGATTAATCGTGTAGCACAGATTTTTATTGATTAATCAGATTATTTAACTATGAAGATGTTAAAAAATTAAAATCCTCTCTATCATGTTTCGCACCTCCAGGTCACCTGTGGCAGCGCTCCCCAGTTCCCACACAGACCATATATGGTAAACATACACGTGTAAACATACATGGCGTTTATAAAGATGGAGATAATTTCGTGGGAATTGGTGCGACTTCGCAGTTTTCGGATGAAGAGCAAACCACTCCCCACTGTAAAGTCTGACTTGTGTTTACATCGACCAAACTGCGAACGACACAAACTCATCCTCTGATCTGAAGCTGAAATTAAACGTGTTTTTACTCTGACAGACTTCAGGTAACAGAGTCAGTGAAAGTTTCCTGGTACCTCCTTTTATTATCTAATAACGCTGCAGAGACGACGGCGAGGTCGTTATGGTCGTCAGGAGCATCAGTGTGGTGATGACCCGACGCAGAAGCAATTACGATCCCCCTCCACGTGGACCACCTCCCACTCGGCGCAGAATATACGAGCATGTTGACCTTTATTTCTGAGTGTGTGCGTTAAACAGAGGAGACAAAGACGACCCACCCATCACCGCCCTCTTGTTTGCAGACAAACATCAACAGGCAGCGTTTGTGATGATGATGGCGGCGTGTATTTATGACTGCTGAGCACTACTTTGATCGGGCAGAGACAGAGAGATAAACACGGAGGGAGGTTACCCGAGAAGAGAGCCGGAGAAGGAATGAGTTCATACTGACAGATGGGCCTGGGTGTTTTCCAACCTCCTGCAGTACGACAACGATTACACCAGAGAGAGAGCGCCAAAAAAAGACACCCTGACTCTGATGGGACGCACACAGAGAAGCGTTATGAAACGGCGACGGATCTCAGCTGATCTGTGAGCATCCTCCATGAGACGATAAACAAAAACTCATCTCTCCTCCTTTTCGGCGAGAACTGATGTGTCATCGAGGCATCAGCTGTAAAACCGCCGTGGCAAGAGCGGGCCTGCACCGCCGCGGCGCGCTGAGACTCCGGCTGCGTTGGTGAGAATTGAGGCTGTGACAGCCAATTAGAGCGGGGGCAGACATACAGACGCACATAGGCCTGGCCTTGTTTTTCAGCACACAACAGCTCGCACATTTTTCTAATGGGCTCCAACTTCTGTAAACCAGCTCTGACATTTTTAATTTTCACTCGCCGTTTCTTTGCCAGGAACTCAGCGGGCAGAAATTTAATTGAGTATATCTTGGCTTCCCAGGAGCGGATAATTGCATTGTTATTTTGCTCCTCGCTAAAAACAAAAGAGACCAAGTTAGCACCTCACGACTAATATTTCACCTCCTTTCTTTTAGTTTCTGGATAATTACGTCCCGTTTAAAGCCAAATATCCATTTATCTAAAAAGCTCCTTTGGTTAGCGGAATAAGGCGATACTAATTCTGCCATACCGCCTTAAAATAGAGAATTAAACCATCAGGGAGGAGGTTATTTATCTCTGTATGGTAGTTTATAATGTCAGCGCAGCTAAAACTGACTTTGTTTACAGAAAACAATCTTCATGACTCATAAATTTGACCTTAAAAAGCAGAAATCACAACTTTCAGAAGGTACTTTTTTTGCCAACGAAGCACAAACCCAAAAGTTCCTTATTGCAGCTTTAAACCAAAGCGCACGTGTCTCTTTCACGCCAAGATTCGCGTCTGTGAGTCTGTGTTGTGAGACAGATGTGTGAGATGATTCCAGTGATGCACGGCTAATCGCTCCAGAAAAGAAACATTTGACCTGCTGCGTTTCCTCCGTTCTTCTGCACAGTCTGCTTTAAATCCAGATGATTTCTGATTCCTACTTTTCTCATTCTCTGTTGAAAGACGCTGTAGAGATTGAATTCATGTCAGAAGAAGCTGATACTGACTTGGTCTCCGATCATGTTTGGATTATGAAACACTGCAGAGAGAAGAAATCAGATCACAGAGAAACATCTCAGATCTGCAGGGACGGAAAATCAACTCTAATCTTCTTTTAAAGTGCGCTAACAGATGGATATGTGAGTTTGTTTTCGGATCCCGAGGATAAATGATCTGACCTAGCTTTCTTGATTAGTTCACAAAGTTGATGGTGATGATGAGCTTCCTGAATTAATCAGCGATGTTGGTGCTGATACTCTTTGATTAGAGGGAGCGAGGACAGAAACGGAGCTCCAGTCGAGACGAATTATCCTCCAAAATTATGACTTAAGAAAATCAGCCCATTTCTGCCGACGATACAGATCCTTTTTCCTGTTTTTACAGATTCACTGATGGAGCGACATGGGTCCTAATTGTGCTACTTGAGTCATCAAACTTCTCCAACGAGGTCCAAAAGCCAGGATTAATCCACATGACCATCTCTGGGAGAGGATCTTCTACAAATGAGAGATCACCTCAGTCTCAAACAGCTGCAGGTGAAGCTGCTAAAAGTTTTCACAGAACAAGAGAGTGTAACTGGAAACACTCACTCAGAAGTTCTGAAGCCCGAAGATAACGGCGGCGGTGGTGGCTTTGTCAGAAACGCTGACTCAGCAGTGAAAGAGGCAGAGCAGCTCAGGCCTTTAGTCTCCTGGATGACAACTTCAATATCAGACAAGTCAACCTGCTCATAGTTTTGCCCCAGTATATGCAAACTTGTGCAAATCTTAAGGCCTTCAAAACGAACAAGTAGGGCTGGTTGATGTAGGAAAAAGTTTATCACGATATAATTTTTTTCATGACTACCTCACAGCACAGCAGAGTGACGGATCTGAAGCAGCAGCTCAGGAACGCACGGAGGAGAGTGGTCCGCCTCGACGGGAAATAAACCAGTTTGTGAAAAACACAATAAGTCAACAAGTTTCAGTTCAACCCACTTCACCATGTTCCCCGCTGTGCTGGTCTCGGTCACGCCCAGTTAACAGTGAAGCTAAAGTTAGAGTTATCCATCTGCTATTAGCTTCGCTACACTGTTAGCCGTGCCAGTAACGGTAGAATAAACAACAGTACACATTAGTGATCGAGCGACTTCTCTGACTGAGGCAGCTGCATGTCTCCAGGTGAGACCGGACCGGAAATGAGGAACGGGAGTTAAGACGCGGAGGCACCGATCAGTGGGGGGGCGGTAGTTGAAAACGTTTTTTTTTCCCGGGTTTGATTCATGATATTATGTGGAATATTACTGAGATGATCAAAACTTCATAAAAAGTTTTAAAAATCAGCCGATTAATCTGTAATCTGATTTTTTTCCCCCTAATAATCAGTATCCGCATTGGCCCCAAAAAATCCACATTGGTCTGGCCCTCGGTCATACTTCATTTCAAGCATGAAAAGAATTTTGACAGGTGAGTTAGAGATGAGACAAGTGTGCATAGATGCTGCTGAGGGGGTCTGTGAGGGCCTTTAGTAGTCTCTGAGGATCTGCAGAGTTCTCTAAAGGCTGCTGTTCGGACAGGAAGTCTTGATTCGAATAAAAACCTGTATGTGCGAAAACCTGCATTCTTCCAAATGTCCTCTAGGGGGTGTATGAAGACGTCATGCTGTGATGTGTAATTGACTCCATTTAACTGGATGTATCACCTCGTTACACATCTTTCCTGAAGACTTTTTGGTCTGAATCCTCAAAATTGTAAATCTGGAGAAACTTTATAAGACCAGCTGTGATTTTCTTCTTCAGTTTGAATCCACCCTCTTAAATCAATTATAAAGAAACAAAGATGAGAGATTGTGAAGCTTCAGATCAGTAATCTATTATCCAACAGTTCCAGCACAAAGGCTCCATCCATGTCACGGTCCAAACCGGTCTGGATGAAGTGGATTTGCTCCCTTTCAAACAACAATTGGCTTAATGGTTCCTTTGAAATAAAGAGGTTTAATTAACAGTTTCTTTCTCTGACTGATATTTCAGATCTTCTCCTCTGAGCTGCACTGACAAGCTCGTGTGTTTCACGCATTAACACGTCCGCTAATCCGCCGACCGCGCACACACGAGTCTTTTGAACGAGGAACACCAGCGCAGTTCAAACAGGCGTCCTGTGATTGGGACATGTGACACACAGCGCCAACTTACTGTCAAGCCCCTTCTTTAGGAGGGAGTTTCTGTGCCTGAAAGCCTTAACTGGTTTTTGACCCATTCATTACCAAAGATCTAATTACAGGCTGCCGCACGGTGCTCGTTTAAACATTTGCGTCCTCGTATTTACTCCGGTTAAAGATGAAAAGGGACGGACCAGACTGAGACGACAGACATCTCTGTTACAACCTGGAGGAAACAACAAACCTGAGAAATAATTTAACATTATTTTAGTTACAGATCACACAAAAATGAGGCAACAACAATCCTGTTCTCCTCCTTTTCCTCACTGCTATAAGAACACATTAGATTTTCGCTCAAATAAATAAGCCTGTCTACATTTTCCAGATCAAACATCCTTTCATAAAACAAGATCTCAAGCAAAATTTGGGGAGGCTCCTTTATTACTCATCTGTCTGTGATGAAGTTTTTTCTGGGACACACTGAAATCTCAAAGCAAACAACAAGACGAAGAACGAGGGCAGGAAAAAATGAAGCGTCTATCTGTATCGGACCAAACAGGCTACCTCTGTTCTTGAATTCAAGTCAAGTTAGGGCTGGGCGATATGGCCTCAAATCAATATCAGGATATATTGATCAGTTCATCTTGATAACGATAAATGGACGATAACTACTTCACAAGCTGCTCACCCCCTCCCACATTAACTTCGTCTGCTACAACTTTTGAACCGTCCTCCATCTCCTCACCTGTCTTTCCCTCTTTGTTACAGACTGGATGGGGTGGAGTCACGTCTCTGACGTAGGCCAGCGTCTTAAAGGGACAAGAGACCATAGCCTACCTACACACATCCAAAAACAACTTTGATTTGTTTTTTTGACACAGAATATACTGATATGGGCAAAATTGCGTCGGTTAGGGTCGTAAATTTCGTATCGGTGAATTTCCGGTTTATCGCCCAGCCCTACTTCAAGTTCTCTTGAGTCAAAGTAGACCTCTATCTCTCGGTAAGGTTTTATTTTTCTGTGTGCAAGTAAGAATAGAGTCTGGTGGATGTATTAACTGAACTCTATCAGGCCTGTGAGGAATGAGAATTACATAAGACTGAATTATGTTGTACTACTCTGCAAAAAAACAACCTGAAGATCAGCCAGAACTCACAGTTTGTTTTTAAAATCGAACTAAAAGACCATAAAAGCTTCTTTAATTAATGTGACTGCAGCTAATGACTTGAGTTTTTTCTAAATGATGTGAACGAACAGACCTCTAATTAATACTTCAAATGCATGAATGTTAGTGCTCAATATTTACTGAGTTACTGCAGCAAATTCAGACTTATTTTTAAGGTTATATTTGGATGAGAATAGGATGAAATCCACCTTTATGTTTTTAAATAAATCTGCATCTGTTTGCCGAGTTAAAGCTGTGGAAACATCAGAAGCAGAAACACAGAAATTATTGCAGTACACAAGCCAGGCAGCTGTTGGTGAAGAGCCCCACACAGCCTCAATATAAACAAGGTGGAGTTATTAAATAAGATAAGAGGAACTTTATTGATCCCAAAAGGGAAATTCAATAAATATAAAAAATATATATTACATCCTACAATCAGTAAACTAAAATAAAGACTCACTGGATGTAAATGGGGAAAACAGAAGCAATAAGAGTGTGAGTAACAAAAGGATGTTCCAGGAATTAGTCAGTGTCCACCTCCAGATGCCTGAGCAGGTGTTACTGATGGGGTCGATAAACTCCACGTTTGTCCAAGTGACTGATTGGTATTGATTACGCCTGGACAGGACTTCCACAGACACTGAAATATTTGCTCTACATGTCTGAAAACTCTTAAATGACTTTATTGACAAGGCAGAGACACACGGTTTCATAATCAAATATATAATCAATTTAATTTAATAACATGTCTATACACTCTCTGCAGACTGCACTTATATTTTACTGTTCAAAATTAATCACGTCTTTGTAGGACTTGACCAATCAGGATCAAGAACTTAATTGAGTAATAATATTTAACGATGCTGTCACCCCCGACAGGTTTTTCTCTCACATGAAGCGGTTTAATGCAGAGCCTCGTGTTTTAAAAACCGCACACGTCAAATCTCCGGGGGATCGAACCGACACCTGGGAACGAACAACTGTCTGCAGATGAGACAGATTTACTGCGCTGCTGACAGGGAAACCTTTGATATGAACAGCTGTTATCCCACAAAATCTGCAGTCACAGTCTCAGGTGTCTCATGAATGTGGATAAATACACGACAGACAAACGTTTACAGCATATGCTCGGCTGTCGTAAACAGGTGCAAGAAAATACATACCAGATACATACATAAGTGCACATGCATGAATGAAATAGATTTGTTTGCAGCTGTTTCCTGCTATAATAACTCATCAAATCTGCGATTTCAAGCCTCCTATATTCTCAGTCAGCTTCCACAAATGTCAGAGGGATGAGAATGTGCCTCTCTCCTCCGTCTGCCCTCCAAAGTTGTGAGCAGCAGCTGTGAGCTCTGAACGGTCCACAAATGGAAGTATGACTCCAAATATTTGCTCTGACCGCTGAATCTAATCATGAGGTCTGTGCCAGTTCTTCCTCCCCAGTAGCAGCGGCGGCGGCTCCGACTCTACGCCAGCCTCATGCTATCAGCACTTTGGCGAAATCCACAATCAGCACCAAGCCGTGATAATCATGTAGGAAAATAGAGCGTGTTTGAATCCACAGAGTTCTGTCCTTGTTCAATTTGAACACACATCACTCTGATGATGTTGGTACGAATGATTAAAAAGTGACTGGTAGGGCTGGGTGATACACCGAAAATCTGCTGATACCAGAATTTACGACAATAACCGACGTCATTTTGCCCATATAGATATATTTAATGTCAAATAAATCAAAGTTGTTTTTGGATGTGTGTAGGTAGGCTATGGTCTCATGTCCCTTTAAGACGCTGTCCTACATCAGAGACGTGACTCCGCCCCATCCAGTCTGTAACAAAGAGGGAAAGACAGGTGAGGAGATGGAGGACGGTTCAAAAGTTGGAGCGGCTGAAGTAGATGAAGTTAATGTGGGAGGGGGTGAGCAGATTGTGGAGTAGTTATCATCCATTTCTTGTCTATCGTGATATTGATTTGAGGACATATCACCCAGCCCTAGTGACTGGTGTTTCCTATGCAGATATGCATCAGTGTGTTTTTGAAGATACTGACAAAGTCTGACCCCCAATTTTAACAGCATCCTAAACAGCTACAAAAAGGCCGCAGATGGTAACCATTCAACGTGTCAATTTCCCCCGACTTCTTTCCGTTCCTCTGCGGATCGCCGGACTCCTCAGCTGATCTCAAGAGTTCTATATTTTCTGGACGCCCGGAGCATGGCGGATAAATTCAGCACAGATTAACCTGTGCTGGAGAGGAAGTCGGGCACAGACACAAAATAAAACATCCGGCTTCTTTTCAAAATAAAACACTCCGTGTTTCAGGAGGATCGTATTTCACACCATGCAAACGGGCGGAGACGAACAAGTGAAAGATTTTTAGACGTCATTTCACCCCGATGACACCATGGATGAGGAGATGCTGATTCTAGAAGTCTAGAAGTAGATTTCCTCCTCTGGAAGGACACAATCTACTGCTTCTATGGTTAGTCTATGTGGCTAAAGACAACTTGTTATCGCGCGATTGCACGTGAATCTGCGGGTTCTTGTGAGTTCTTGCGATTCCTGCTGTCCGTAATCCGCCACTAAATTCGCCTCATAAACGGATCCGGTAGGAATTGGCGTATGGCGAAAATTGCTGCTGTCCCGTTTGAAACGTGAGATTTCTGAAGTGACACGTCAACAGCACGGCTTAGCGTGACGAAGCGTGGACTAAAAGAACATGTTCAGTGACGTCTCTCATTGGTTTCTAAAAAATGGCGGCCACTTTTTTTAGAAATGCTGACTCAGTCTGACGTCAAACTAATATAGAAACCGGAAAAGACTTTGAGTCGAAGCCGTCCAGTTACTCTGCGCTCACCTGTCAGTCAAATCGGTGTCTGTTATCGAAAAAATATACTGTTTTTCGGACTATATGGCGCACTTAAAATCCTTAAATCTTCTCAAAAATTGACAGTGCGCCTTATGTATGATTAGCTGTTGTGCTTACTGACCGATTTTATGTGGTACAATACACACAATAATCCATTGACATGTGTGAGTACGACTTTGTTAAGCATCAAAGCCGTATTTTTCTGTACTTATCATCACAACTGAGTTAAATAAAGTTTGATCTACTGGACTGTGTTGTTTCCTTTTGGCCCAAAAAATACTGTCTATTCATAAAATACTGAATCCCTCCCTCAGCCTGCTAATATTCACATTTAAAATATTTAGAAGGTTAAAAAAAAGTGGAAGTGAGCGCACAGGCCCTGAAATCCTGCCCCCTCTAACAAATAAATCCTCTTGTTATCTCGCCGGAGCAGCAGCAGCAGCCCCGCTCGCCGTGTCCTCCGGAGAGCTCTTCCTCTCCCCCTTCTGCGCGGGTTGGCTCCCTAACAGATTGACTCAGCCCGACAACAGCTGCCAGAACCCTGCAAGCCCCATCCTCCAGACACTGATGGATTGTGGGAGGGGAGCCAGGGTGATTAGCCCTGTGACATGGGAGAATTATTGCAGCGCAGCTCCCCCCGAAAGAGCCTGAACCTGAGTGTCAACACGGGGCGTTCACGCTACTTTGTGTCACGCCGTTAATGTCCACTTGGCCTCGCGAAATGACCCGGGCTTCAACTCGACGTGTCAGTCAAGACGAACGGTGGGATTATGACATCAAACAGTCGCCATGTAGAGCGACGGAGTGGGACAACATCGTCGATTTTAAAACTTTGTGTACAAAAAAAGGACAACTGTATCTCGACAAAGTGATTATTTTGACCTGCTTCTCTTACAAACAGCAGTTACCCTGACATTGACATCCATTAAATAAGGTCCGAGCTGTAGAGAAGCAGAAGGTATGCTTCAATTTGAGGAATTATTGCCGCTCTGTAAATGCATCAGCTGAGAGAGGTTAGAGCTTGACTAACAGCCGTGGCATGAAGGTCTGCTGTTTACTTACTCTGCCAAAAATAAAACCTCTTCATCCCTCCTTTTTTCCTCACCTCTGCTCCCTCTTTTCTTCGCAGAACTTCTCCTCCGCCACTCAAAAAACATAAAAAACCCAATCCCGCTTTTATTCAATAATCATAACAGCACAGGCTGTCCGAGGTTAATCCTGCCTCGCTCTCTTTTCCTCTTAAAGACGGGGTTCATTAGAGTAGACGCGCCTGCGCCTCCACACCAGGGAGCACTCAGCTATTCAAGTAGAGCTAAACCTCTGCACTTTCTCAGACACGAGCCCGGACAGTTTGACAGCGCGCGAGCCGAGAGGAAGCGGCTCCCCTCCGTGATTCATCCGGACTCGTGTTACAAGGACGCCGCAATTAATGCCCGCACCTCAGAGTTCAACGCCGCAGCTAGGAATCTCCCACTCAGGCCTGTGAAATTCTATCAGACTTAAATCTGTAATAAAGATGTATACTCCATCCTGGATATCACCAACGCATGCATGGTGGCGTTCAATCAGGGGTAACGCCAGGCGAGGTGTCCATTTACAGGAATTTATGGATAACCTGTGCGTTGGGAGGATGACTTTGCAGTGTCCATTAAATCCTGAAAATGGACACCCGTGAAGAGCGTCCTGACACTCGCAGCGTGTCCACCTACTTAAAGACTAAGGCTAATTCATTCCTTCGACGCAATAAAAAGACAAAGTTTTTCTGGAGCCGTAACTCTGCTCCCCTCCCTGGGAACCGACTAATACCTGAAACATTCATTTCTGAATCACTTGAACCTCGACTCGTCTGACACCATATGGAGCCTTTTCTATTACCGTCTGAAAGAGCTCATCTTTTACTGCAGCTGAAACGTGTGGCACTGTGTAATCATCAAACAAACACTGTCTCCTACGAAGTGAAACTGCATTTTTGAAATCTAAGCTGATACGTAACAGGAGCAGTGACCTGTAGACCTGGACCTGCACCGGGTTTCTGCAGAACAAATGTATCTTGATTGCATCTGGCTAACTTCCTCGTGTCTCGGCTTCAACGTCACTGCTGCAGAAATGTTTCTAGAGCTGCACGATATGGTCTTAAATCAATCAAATCAAGAAGAATAATATCTTAGAGAGAGATAGAGGTCCACTTTGACTCAAGAGAACTTGACATGAATTTAAGAACCGAGGCAGCCTCTTTGGAAGGACTGGACAATTTGGCCTTAAATCAATATCACCATATATTGAGCAGTTCACCTCGATAACGATAGAACAGCGTCTTAAAGGGACATGAGACTATAGCCTACCTACACACATCCAAAACAAACTTTTATTCATTTTATATATATATATATATATATATATATGTGTGTGTGTGTGTGTATACATACCGATATGGGCAAAATGATGTTCGTTATTGTCGTTAATTTCGGTATCTGTAAATTTTCAGTTTATCGCCCAGCCCTACATTATTCATTTTTTTAAACTGAATATATTAGGGGTTGGAAAAAAATCGATTAACATAGGTAGCGCAATTTTTTGCTTTGCAATTTTTAAATGGATTTTTTTGTTCAAATTTTTTTTTTCAAAATTTAAGAATAAATCTTAAAAACTGACTTACATGTGAAGTGTATTTTTTGGGGAAATATGGTCCCTGGAATAGTCAGTAGACAATCATAATCATTCAACTGTTTTAAAATGCCAACTAAAAAACGAGAAACTGACAATATCATAGAATCGTAATTTAAATCGGATTTGCATCCAAAAAAATCGTAGAAGAATCGGATCGGGACAAAAGCATATCGTCATACTCCCTAAAATATTGACATGGGCAAAATGACGTTGGTTATTGTCGTAAATTTCGGTATCGGTAAATTTTCAGTTTTTTGCCCAGCCCTATAATTAGCACTGGACAACAACAAAAACAAGAAAAACATGAGTGCTACTCAGTGAACAGATGTAATCTCTCTTTCCATCAAATGAAATACAGTTCATCAGCAGCAGCAGAGATGTTGTTGGCGCGTCATCATGGAAAATGATGCCAGAGCGCCAGAGCATTGGTATTCTGCATGGTAGTCACTGGGACAATTCCAGTGGACGACACGATCAATACTGCTATCTATCACGCAACTGCAAAGTCTGTGACATTGTGATGCTGCTCTTGATGAGTCATTCAGGCCCTGTATTGTACTTGTTGTTTTTTTTTTTCACATAACAGCAAACACACTTCACAAAACATCCTAAAAGCTTCACGAGATCTGAACCCAATTTTCACTCCGACCTAACCCGGATATTTTATCTGCTAGTTCCCTGTAAAATTACGGTGTGAAGTGGATGTGAGAATGCAGCAGGAAATACTTCACCATGAGCGAACAGGCAGGTGTGATAATGTGGATGTTATGTAACTGCTGCAAACCTGCGAGAATGACATGAAATGGGACGAATAAAACCGTCTGAGGTTAAAGAAGGAGAGCTGTTGTCTGTGTAATAGTCCAGCATGAATATAGAAGCTGAAACTGTCACCGTCATTGTCGAGGTCTCTGTTACTTTATTCAACAACATGCTGTAAACATCACAGTGTGGCTCCTGCAGAGTGCTTTTAATGTCATGTCCTGCCTCCCTAGACTCATCTCCTGCCTTTTCAGACTTCATGTAATGAGAGGCATGCATGAACAAGCAGCAACTATGGAAAATTGATGGAGCGCAGCGCCTCAAAGTTCCTCGAAATTTTAGGAGTGTAATATATGTGAAGGAGGCGAATACTAGACGGGTGAAGGTGTGACTACTTTCATTACACCTCTGTTTGTTCGTATGAATTATTGCTGCACTTTATTTGAACCTGCAACGACAGATTTTGCACATTCAGAAAATGCTAAACCACATTTTTTATTTAGATATCTGGAAAATTAGAGTTTAATTATTGAGGTTTTTCAACTCCAGTTTTGAGCTTTTCCAGACAGGCTTTTATAAATTAATATTTCAGTCAGTTTGGTGTTTTATTCTCTCCATGATTGGTCTACAAAGTTAGCAGTTTTTTCACCCTACGCTCAGTGGCTAATGTATGAAAAACTTTATGCTCTTTCCTTGCAGAGTTGAGCCTGTTCGGACTTGTAGAGGTGAGTATTTGCAGATCAAAAATGTTGTTTATTTTTGTATGTAATGCTACATGCATACAAGGACAACATTTATACTTCCTTTAAACTCTGTATTGAGTAAAACCAGGTTAAAAGGTGAGGAAAAAACTACCTTCTGCTTGTTTTGCTGGACTTCTTGGGCCGTGTCTCAGGGGATAAAGAGACTCGTCTACTAATCAGAGGATCGACAGTTCGATCTCCTTCCCTGTCAGCATGCATGTCAAAGTGTCCTTGAGTGGGACACATGTCCACACAGCTCTTCTGAGGGCTGTGAAATTATATGTGTGGGGGTATATATTATTATGCAGATGATATGGCGGATTGTGTCGCTTGTAGAAAGTACTTTGGCTAAGCAGGAAGTCTATAAAAGTGAAGTATACTTCCAATCTGAACTTTTTATAAACTATCAGCACCTAGAGTTAAAGTCAGAGTCAATTACATTTTAAAAACTGCTCCTCCAATTACCAGCCATAGTATGAAGCCACACACTCCTCCTAATGATGCCGCAGGAATGGCCTCTACACACATGAGCATTCAGGAAATTGCGGCAGCAGGCAGGTGTCAGGCTGTTTAATGAGGGCAGCACATCTACAAGCAGCTTGACACATAATGAAACGCTGATATAGCCATTATTCTGCATCATGGCGTCCGGTCATTACTATGTGACCACAGGAGGAAAGAAATCATTCAAAGACAGCGTGGCAATCACGCCCCTGTGTGAAAAAGATCAATATCCTCATCCACAGTGGGTTACACAGGGTCCCATCCAGTTTATATCAATGAAGGCTGAGGTCCAATATAACTCATGAAGGAAAACGTCTCCTCAATGTCTAAAAATAACCTTTACCTGTTTGTGATGGCTCGAATCCTTCAATCACAAACGCCTCAAGGGCCTGTTTCCACTGACAGCATTTTTTGCACTGTGACCTCAATTTTAGGGTTCCTCACACTGGCATTATCTTTTGCTAGGTTACAAACATGGTCACATGGCATATCTTCTTCTCTCATATACTTTTATTTAAGGAAATTTTGCAAAGAAAGCGTAAAAACATGGAAATGCTGTACTTTATTGGTTTTATATAGAAAATAGGCCCTAATGTCCTAAAAATGCTTTAAGTGGACATAGGCCCTTGAAAAAATTCCAAATAACAAAAACACTGAGATGTGATAGGATGTTTCAACACTCTCTCACAAAATTCTATTTAAGGAAATTTTTGCAAAGAAAGCATGAAAACATAGGAAAGGATTGTTTCCTGGTGATATCAGCAGCTCTAGCCCAAAAAGTTATACCCTCAATTAATTTCACTTCTGCTACTGACACTTGGACATTTTTGTTCCTCCTAAGATGATAAGTCATGAAAATACTATACTCCATTGGTTTCTTATAGAAAATAGGCCCTAATAGCCTAAAAAATGCTTTAAATGGACACAGGCCCTTACTCTACAAAAACTTGAAAAATTCCTGACAACAAAATCATTGAGATGTGATAGTTTGTTTTAACAGAATTCACACTGAGATAATATATCCTGAAAATGCTGATCTTCACATGTTGCGTATAGAAAATAGGCCCTTACAGCCTAAAAATGCTCTTAGTGGACACAGGCCCTTACTCTACAAAAACTTGAAAAAATCCCTGACAACACAATCACAGAGATGTGATAGTTTGTTTCTACAAAATCCACACTCAAGTTTTTAAAAAACCCATTACATCTATTACACAAAAGTGTACTCTTCAACACTGCTCAAGTACAAACAAACTCACCGAGAAGCTTTTGAGGACACGTCTGGTAACTCTGCTATTAAGCGCTCAAGGAGCTTTCGCTGCACTCGCTTAGAAATGAGAGAAAATGGGATTTACTTGTTACTGAAACAGTTTGTCAAAGTAATGCCTCTTGTCGTAACCTCATTGTTCCCTCAAATATGCCAAAGTTGAACTGAGAAGCATGTACTGTTCCCAAACTTCAAAGAGGCTTTTGTTATACTCCTCTTTGTTTGGTTCCTCTACAAAACAATTTATATAATACCTGTGATAAAGAGGATGCGCCGTGTTCAATAAAGCAGCCCTGGAATAAAATCCAACATCACATCTGTTGCTGTGTAATAAAATATTAAGTGTTTAAACAAGTATTGATGATATTTTATGGCTTTTTAAGGAGGCTGTCGTTTACGGTGCTGTTGAATTGCACTGTGCTGAGGAGACATATATGAGGCAATAACTGAGTGTTATTAACACCGTGACAAAAATAGAGCAACTTGTTCTACTTTCAGTTAGCCTCTACATTTGCAGTTATTGCTTGACATGATCGGACAGGTTGTTATTGTACTTAATAACCGGTGACATCTGACCATGAACAGATCTGTGCAGAATACAGAGGCGTAAAACAGCTGATGTTCGAGGTTCACGGTTTTCCCAGGTGTTCATGATAGTGTGGCAGGTAATAGTAACGCCACAAGCTGTGTCTTTTTCTCCATCATTAGACAGGACCACACATTAATAAACCTTATACTATAACTAGGGCTGGGCGATAAAACCATAATGATATATGTAACACATGGTCAATATGCTTTTCGATAGTCAGCATTCTGCCATGTTCTGGTAGACTACACGAATAGCCAATAAAAAGGGGAGTTGCTGCGGGTCCGCTCCGTGCTGAACCAATCATGGGCTGAATTCGAACCAAGTAGCAAACAACTGCGTAGTAGCAGACAGCAATCGGGCTGTTTTTGTCACAATTTTCCCCCTTCCGACCAAGAACGACAATCGCAAAATTATCTTATGTCTTCTAAGACTATCCAATAAGATGATCCTGTGGTCTGAGGTATTAAGAGTGAATTTGTCCCGATAACTGGGTCCAAAACGGGTCTGGGCCGACAATCGTAAATATTAAACTTGTTCAATATTTACGAACAAAAATTTTCAAATTCTTATGTGTGTACCCCACTTAACACTTTGCAGCTTGGTCAAAAATCGCTGTTTTTGTAAATGGGGTTTGGGGTGACATTTGCTCATACTACAGGAGCAGAAAGGTATACATATGAATCAGAATCATGGTGTGTCCCAAATCGCATACTTCTATACTAAATACTTAAAATTTTGAGTACACTCAACGCAAAATGGAAAAAAGAAATTGCGTCGTCATTTCAGGTGGGTGCCCTGCACGGTATATAGTACATAGTATACTTAGAATACTCAATTTGAAAAAACGTATTTAGTATAGAAGTATGCGATTTGGGACACACCATCAGAATCAGAAATACTTTAATAATCCCAAGAGGGAAACTGCTTTTTGTCGCAGTAACTCCAGCGCAAATAAAGTAAAAAGAGGAGATAAATAATAAATAAAATAAGTAAAAAGAGGAGATAAATGGATAAAATAAGTAAAAATAAAGAGATAATACTCAAGTATGTACACTATATACAACACAAAATAGTAAAGTATGCATAGTATACTAGTATACATAATTTATAGTATGCATAGTATAATAGAGTGCATAGTATGTAGTATACATAGTATAAAGTATGCATGTGTAGTGTGTTCGAACCATCCTAGGTCCAGCTACAATATGCTGAAAGGTCCACATGTGGTTCTGGTTCTGGTATTTGGACTGTAGTAACACCGAGGACTGGTTGACGTGTGCCTCAGAAAACATCAAAGCAAAACACACTCACGACTTACAGCGTCTATAAGGGACAACTTCACTGAGTCTGCGTGTAAACTACCAACCTTCACCGGTGAAACATCTTAATCTAAGACTAAATCTGCACCAGAACTCATGAGGGTCCTGAAATAAAGAGGGGCTGTAGGGGGAACACACAAGGGGCCATATGTCTCATCTGGCCAATTAGCTAGCCTGCTAGCCAGCAGCAGTGGTCACAACAAAATGCATTTACACCCACCTCACCAATGTTAGCCTCATTAGCTACTCACCCCGGCAGAGGGGTCCAGGAGGTCCAAAAACACCCGACTCACAGCCTCCAGGAGGGTTCGTCAGAACCTTAAAAACCACGTAGTGTTGAATTTGTTACGGCTCCAGTCTCCGAACAGTCCTGCGGTGTTGCTGCTGCTGCTGCTGCGTCTCCTGCTCGCTCGGCTCACAGCTCCATTAAAAGCTGCATTGTTGGAGCAACGGATGGACAAACAGCAGCGACAGCGCGCCGCAGAGCACTCTGGGAAACTGAGTTCATCAACTGTGCCGTTGATGCGCAAAAATTACTAAGTGAGAGGCTCCACCTAGTGGTCAATGTTGGTGTTGCGTAGTGACACAAAAAAGTCCAAATGTGTTTCAAGATGAATAATGTTTTATTCAAAATTATTGTTATTATTATTATTATTATTATTATTATTATTATTATTATTATTATTATTATTATTATTATTATTATTATTGTTATTATTAATATTAATAATATTAATATTATTATTATCATCGCCATTATAATAATAATAATAATAATTATTATTATTATTATTATTATTATTATTATTATTACCATTATATATATATATATATATATTTATACATACATACATACATATACATATATATGTATATTGCAAGAGCTGCTTATTGTATACAGTGTATTCTTTACTTTATTTCAATGAATGACCAGAAAACAGAAAAGCAAGGATGCTGTAACTAGAACATACATTAGTAAATACAACTAATTATTTCACAGACAGGTATTAAAGTGAATTTAAAAAAAATCAAAGCCTTTACCTGTGTATTCAGGAAACACAAGGCTTTTGTTAGCATATCACAGCCTTTAAAAATCACAGCACATACATGGTTAGTATTTCACTTATACACTTGTAAACTGATTAACCGTTGGTTAAATGTTCGTAGAAAAAACATACAAAAATGTGTGTTTGTTGAATAATAATAATAATAATAATAATAATAATAATAATAATAATAATAATAATAATAATAATAATAATAATAATGTTATTGTTGTTGTAGTTATTATTATTATTATTATAAAATGCTTCAGCTGTACATGCATTAGGACCCGGTAGGTGGCAGCAGAGAGCGTATTACAGTGCAGTGTCACACAGAAAAACCTTTAAAGAAGAAGAAGACAACAGTCGCGGGTTGATGATGTACGGATTGGAAAATGGAGAGAAAACACATGTCAGCTTTTGCTTTATATCAAAGTATAACAACGAGCGATTCTCCACCTGCTAAGAAGCCTTTCCTGCAGGTAAGAGGTTATAAAATAAAGGTTAAAAAGCTGCTTTAGTGTTTAGAGCTGCATGCGTGGAGATGAACATGTTTCTGTTGGAGAACCAGTTTACCTCAGATTATCAGACCCTTTATTAGACAGACATGTATTAAAATGTTTGTCTGCTTTCAGGGGGCTGGAAAGAAGAAAAAGAAGAAGGAGAATGGAGTCAGTAAAATGAACAAACCTAATTTAAAATCTGAAGGGAAGAAAATGAAGAAGAAGCAGCAGAAGGAGATCAAAAGAGAGGAGACCCCTGAGACAGAGCTGACAGAGGTGAGGAAGAACAACAAGGAAGAAGATCTCAGAGGATCAATAATCACTGATTCATCGAGCTGTTTGTGTTTCTGCTTCAGCTGCAGGAGGGTGCTGGTGTCAGTGGAGACGGAGAAGATCTGAGTGATCTTCTGACAGACCTGAGTCAAGTCCACAACAGCAGAGAGAGAGCCAGCAGACTGTTCCAGTGGCTCATCAGCCCCGTCCCTGCAAAGACCTTCTTCAAGTAGGGATGAGTTTGATCACAGTGTTTGTCTGTAAATGTGTTCAGAGCTGATGTGAGCGACAAGGATACTTGTGACATGAATCCCTCAAATCATCCTTTTCTCTACCTGAAAGTGGAAATATATTCAAAACAAAACGAAAAAAAAAACATCTTTAAGGAAAGTTATTTCTGTCATCCACAAATGATTTCTTTTCCTCTTTTCAAAGGGAAACGTGGGAGAAGAAGCCCATTCTTGTTCAGCGCAAAAACCCACATTACTACAAGGGTCTGTTCTCCACGGCTGAGTTTGATCGCATCTTGAGACAGGTAAGGATCGGACATGTGCGTCATAGTAACGCAACTGTTAAAGGGATATTAATTTAGGGTCAAACTCACCGTAACTCCGAGTTAGACACAGCGGTCTGAGGAGCCATACACAAACCTCAACCAAAACGCCACTCTATAGCCACAAATAATGCTCAGAACAGCACCTAACTTCATCAACAGGACATATAGGGTCACAGACATAGTACTAGACACCAAACATCTTTTTAACTTTGACTCATTTCTTTAGCAAAGAGACTAAACACAACTCACCTACTCCATTACAGACTACAGCGGGGTGCTGCAGCTCAAGGAAGAACATTTATGATCATTTCTTTATCATTTCCTTGAAGTAATAATCACCATATTAATCATTTTTCACTGTAGACGCGGTAGTTCTTCTGTCTTAGCGTCTCGGTCTGATTGTATTTCCATGAAGTAATGATCATAAATGTTCTTCCTTAAGCTGCGAAACTCCGCTGTAGTCTGTAATGGACTCGCCTGAGGTCTCGCTACAAACAAGCGGCTGCTGGAAGAAAGTAGGTGAGTGGCGTTTTGTTTGAGGTTTGTTTATGGCTCCTCAGACCCCTCTGTATTGCTATCCTGCAGTCGTTACTAAAGTTGGTATAACTAGAGAAGTAAGCGGTCGGCAACTTTCATCTCTGGAGGGGGGGTCTAACTCGGTGTTTTGGTGTGTTTGACCCTAAATTAATATCCCTTTCAAATCTGTGTGCTCCGACGTGTTCTGTTGTTTGTCTTAACTGATAAATTCATGACTGTAGTTTATTCTCATATCAATATTTTGTTCTGTGTTGTCCGATTTCAGGAGGACGTTCAGTACGGAGTCAATCTGGATGTGACGAGCTACGTCAACGGCAAGAGAGAGACACACAATCCTCCAGGACGAGCTCTGCCATTCACCGTCTGGGACTTTTATGAGGTTTGAATATGATGGTTGATTCTTTTCTAAGAAAGAAGCTGTTCAGACTCCGCCGTGTTTCAGTGTTTCATATTCTGTGGAAGCTGCTGCACATTAACTTCTGCAGCTTTTTCTCTCAGAGTCATTTAGCTTTCTTCTCACTTTCAGGCTCATACTGCCGTCATTAAAAAGCAGTTAGAAGAAGATGCTCGTGTTATGAGCTGCAAGGCATTTTGTGCGAAGTGCACCATCTGCTCTCACTGCTAAGTTAGTGATCATCTTCGTCGTTTTATCTCTCTCTTCCCCCAGAGTGGCTGCTCCCTCCGCATGCTGAACCCTCAGGCCTTCTCCTCCACCGTGTGGAACGTGCTCTCCATCCTTCAGGAGCAGTTTGGCAGCATGGCAGGAGCCAACGTGTGAGTAGTCATACAGGGATCATATCTTCAAACCTCTTCGCACTTATTCTGACGTGAGTGCTCTGCCTTTAATAGATACCTGACCCCACCTGGAACTCAAGGCTTCGCTCCTCATTACGATGACATCGAAGCGTTTGTGGTTCAGCTGGAGGGGAAAAAACACTGGAGAGTTTATAACCCCAGGTGAGACGGAGTGAGGAGCTGTGAAGGATTCACCAAAACATGTGCGAAGCAAGAAAACTTCAGTTTGGCATCACTTTTAGATAAAAAAACAAGATATATGCACTAACTTTTTCATGTTTAACCTGATCAAGTAAAAGAAGTTACTAAAGGGAGATGAATCAATATTTTTTTTATGACTTCTTAACTTTTTTTACTGTCCAGGAATTTCAGAGTTTAGTTGGAAAAAGTTTCCCAGAGTTGTTGCTTCTCTGCGCCTCATTTTGCCTCATTTCTCCTCATGAGTCGTTCAGTAATGCTGGACTCTCTACCTAGAAACTCACTGATAAACATCTTTCATCTGGTTTTTTCTTAGGACAGAGGACGAGGTCCTACCTGTGTTTTCAAGTCGTGAGTAAACAAGTTTTTCTTCATCTATATTCACCTTCACATGAAAACTGTGTGTCTGACCGTCTTCCAGCTTCAGAACACTGACACAGCGCAGACAGAGAGTTTACGTTACTCCCATTTAAAGTCTCTGCCATCAGACTATTTATCAGATTTACTTTTACTGTTTAAGTCTGTGAGAACTTCCTGTCCTTTTTTTAAAAAGTCATTTATTATTTTTATTTATTGTTAGTTTTGTTGGTTTGTCATAAACCTTTCACATGACTCAGAGTTTTGATTAATTTCATTGATTTCTGTTCTTGTAAAGTGCAGTACAAGTGATTTGCTCATGAGGGATCGTAGATAAACTCGACTTCTTCCTTCTTCAGCAAACTTTGACCAGGCGGACATCGGGAAGCCGATCCTGGAGGTGGTGCTTGAAGCCGGAGATCTCCTCTACTTCCCTCGAGGGTTCATCCACCAGGGCGACTGTCTCCCAGACGCCCACTCCCTCCACATCACCATCTCCTCCTTCCAGAAGAACAGCTGGGGGGATCTGCTGCAGAAGGTGATACTCTTATCTGAATCCTTTTCTATTTCTGTACACATCCTGGTCTAATATACAGTAGGGGACTCTGCACCAAGTATTTACACCTTCTCTCTCTAGCTGGTTCCAGCAGCTTTGGAAGTAGCCATGGAGGAGGATGTGGAGTTCAGACAGGGTTTACCCCTCGATTATCTCACATACATGGGAGTACAAAACTCTGATAAGGTAATGAGCTGGTTATATGTCTTAATTTGTCCTTTTCTGAGAACATCATCAACACTCTCGGTGTCCTTGTGTTTGTAGAACGACCCACGCAGGACAAAGTTTTTCTCGAGAATCGAGAGTCTGATGAAGAAACTGGCAAACTTCGCCCCAGTCGACGCCGCCGTGGATCAGAAAGCCAGAGACTTCCTGCACGACTGCCTCCCTCCGAAGCTCACAGCAGGTACATGATGGTCACTGAGTGTGTAAAGAGAGAAGTCCTGCTCATGGCTTCTTCATTTAACATATATGATTGGATCTCCTGCAGAGGAATTGGCCAGCAGTGTGCAGGGAGCTCCGGTCAGGTGGGAGCGAGGGCAGGTCACGGATGTTTGTGCGCAAATCACAGAGCAGACCAGGGTTCGACTTCTCCGTGCTGGGTGTGCCAGGTGATGAATCTTTTTAAAAATTGACTGTTTGAAGATGTAAAACTGTCCTTTTATTAAATAATAGAGCTCATAAGTTTCTTCCGTGTCCAGGTTATGCAGCGATGGAGACGGTGTTCTTGTTTACTACACGACAGACAACTCCAGAGTTTACCACAAAGAGGAGCCCAAGAGTTTTGAAATAGAGACAGAGGTACAGGGACGGTCTGTTTTTAAATAAATATGTGTAAAATGTCGTTTTTCTGATGATTGTTTTTTCGCTCCTGTAGCACACGGATGCTGTTGAGTTTCTGATCCACTCATATCCTAAATTTGTGACCGTAGGAAGTTTGCCCTGTGATTCAGAGGAGGACAAGGTATGATGTTTTGCCTTCATGCAGTTTGCTCAGACGTGGACATACACCCATGTTATATTTCTGATTTCTGTGCAGTTTAGAGACTATATGAAAAAGATTGACAGCACTACAACTTTCCAAAATGAAGCCAAAATATCCAGCTTATTCTGTTGCCTGTCAGTATTAAAGATCATAAACGCCAGTCACTCTATTATGGTGAGCAGGATAGGTGTCAAACTAGTAAATAACTCGCATCAAGCACTTTTCATAAAAATGATTTGTCTTGAGAGTACATTTTGGTGATAGTATCCATCACGGTGGTATTTAACCTTCATTTCCAGATGAGAGGACGTCAAAATTTCTTATCTTTTAATTTTTGTCTTTTTTGTATCTATACTACGCTGCTGTAATTTCCCCCCTGTGGGACTAATAAAGAAACATCTTATTTCTATTATCTTCTCCATCTCTATGGTCCTTTTAATGGGAGGTGATCAGTTATTGCACTAATAAAGAGTAGATGTGCCTTATTAATTATCTGCTCACTGTCCAAAATGTGTTTGATGATGATTTTTGGCTTTCTGATGTTGTAAAGAAGTTGAAATCGTCCCTCATTGTGTCTCTTTTTTGTTCCCCGACAGGTCCTTTTGGCTGAGCTGCTCTTTAAGAGGGGGATCATCCAGACTGCAGAGCCTCTGTAGTAACCTCTGACTCTTCAGTCATGCTGACTGCATGAAGAGTTTCAAATTGACTTTATACAAAAAAAGATCTTGAATGGAAAACACTTCTTGCCTCAAGTCTTCTTCATTATGACCTTTTTGTAGGTGATGGCAAATAAAGCAGTTTATACAGAAATGTTCATGTTTTGTTTATTACTGGTTGATACAACTCATAAACAGATACACAGAGATCTTAAATTAACTGATGTGAGGGTCACCCATCAGTCAGTGACATCACAAATGACAGGGAGACACTCCAGCTCGGGGCGGTCTACTTCCAGGTCACTTCTTCACCGGGCTTCAGCTCCCTGAGGAGAACGCAAACAGGAGGATTTCAGTGTAACACAGAAACGCTGATATTAGATGATCACATGGGTAAAGGGTGGTCTTATACCAGGAAAGTTTTTCATGTCTTCACATCTCGTTTAGAGCTCTATGACTGTTTCTGCTGCAGTCACAGTGAGTGGATAAAGTAAAATATCAACTCAGCTTTTTGGTACCGAACCAGAATCAACAGACTCATAAGACAGGGGCAAAACATATTGATTGAAGTCTGCTTCAGTACTGGTGTCTTTATGAGTCCTAACCAATTATTGTTAAGGCTTAAGGAAGGTGCACATTCCTCTAGCACCCAAGCAGTTTTAGTTTAAAGCATATATTACATGCGTATGATGTTTACATTTCACTGTAAATATGGGGGGGGTGTAGTTTTTTTAGGGCCCGAGCGTAGCTGCTAAGCAGCTGCGAGAGCCCTCTTGTTCCTGATGGATTCTTCTTTCGTTATTTTTCCTCCGCTTTAAACTGGAAAATGGCCCACTTCCCACCGGCGAAAACTCAGGAAATTTGGCAGGACGACCGGGCCTGGTGAAAAATTCGATATACTGAAGTCGCCCAAACAAAAAAATGAAAAATGGCTCCATAGCGCCCCCTATGGTGAAAACTCACCTGACGCCTGTACGCTTTGTCAAAATGACACAAAATTTGACACACATGTGTATCTCAATAAGATCTACAAAAAAGTCAGTGCGGGCGTATCTGTCAAATGTACTGTTAAAGGGCTATTTCGCATTTTTTGCCGATCCGCACACATTGGAATTTCGCTAACTCCTCCGAAGGCTTTCGTTCCACCGGCAACAAATTTGCTCAGGCCAATCTACACCCCATGGCCATTAAAAGTTGTACAAATCATGACGCTGCACCCCACGGTTTACATTCTAGGGGGCGCCAAAGATAACCCAAAAATCCACAGTCTTAAAAGTCTTATAACTTTTTATTTTTGTCCTCACTGGCCTCCAAGTTTTCTAGGATGATGCAATGTCCAGCCATCAACACATTTGTGAATAAATTTTTACTCCCCAAAAGAGCGCCCCCCCATGGCAGAAGAAAAAAGTCAATTTTTTCTTGTCCCCTAAGGTGAAAATACACATTGTTGAGTGTCACGCCTGAACGCTTTGTCATATTGACACAAAATTTGACACACACATGTATCTCAATAAGATCTACGAAAAAGTCAAAGAGCGCGTATCTGTATAATGTACGGTTAAAGGGTTATTTCGCATTTTTTGCCGATCCGCACACATTGGAATTTCGTTAACTCCTCCGAAGGCTTTAGTTCCACCGCCACCAAATTTGCTCAGGCCAATCTACACCCCATGGCCATTAAAAGTTGTACAAATCATGACGCTGCACTCCACGGTTAAGGTTCTAGGGGGCGCCAAAGATAACCCAAAAATCCACATTCTTAATAGTCTTATAACTTTTTATTTTTGTCCTCACTGGCCTCCAAGTTTTCTAGGATGATGCAATGTCCAGCCATCAACACATTTGTAAAGGAATTTTTACTCCCGAAAAGAGCGCCCCCCCATGGCAGGAGAAAAAAGTCCATTTTTTCTTGTCCCCTAAGGTGAAAAAACACATTGTTGACTGTCACGCCTATACGCTTTGTCAAAATGACATAAAATTTGACACACACGTGTATCTCAATAAGATCTACGAAAAAGTCAATGGGCACGTATCTGTAAAATGTACGGTTAAAGGGCTATTTCGCATTTTTTGCCGATTCGCACACATTGGAATGTGGCTAACTCCTCCTAAGGCTTTCGTTCCGCCGACACCAAATTTGCTCAAGCTGATCTACATCCCATGGCCATTCAAAGTTGTAAAAATCATGACGCTGCACCCCACGGTTTACGTTCTAGGGGGCGCCAAAGATGACCCAAAGATCCACATTCTTAAAAGAATCCACATCCCCCCCCCCCCCAAGGCAGGAGAAAAAGTCAAGTTAACCCTGCCCATCGCTCAATGGCTCAATCGCATCGCTCTCCCGGCAACACCGTAAGGAGGAGCAACTTGCCATTTGGATATATCCTAGCTGTGTTTGTGCCCTCACTCATGGTCCAGACTTTTTTCAAATAGGACATGTAGTTTGTCTGCAGCGACCGTTTTGGTAGAAACTGCGCCTCCCATTCATTATAATGGGAAATGACCACAGACAAGTGCGCACACCATCTTTGGACCTTGAGTGTGACGCGATCGGGAGGGGGGGGCAGTCGCGCTGGGGGCGGCGCGACGCGGCTCGGGCCCGACAGTGCCCCACCGGGGCCCTAGTTTTTTTTTTTTTCCTTTGGGGGAATTCTGTTTTCAGATCTGTTTTCCCTTTTGTTATTGCAGGTAGCAGAGTATATGAGCTGAGTGAGATCAGCAGTCTGGGTGATGTGAGGCTGTGAGGAGAGCCAGTTTGTTGGACTCATGTTGGACTAATGTTTCATTTTTTATTCCGCTGCAGGGGATATTTTTGGAAAGTATTTAATTAATTCGACATTTTTGTCTTATCTTGATGTGGCCTAATACATCTTATTTGAGATCTTTTTCCTTCCATTCAGACTACCAACCATCCAAGAATATAACAACTGGGTATGGTTTCTGTAAATTAATTCAATTATGTAGAATGTATGTTGACATTTAAACATTTGATTATTTCAGAATTATAACTACACTGTGAAAATGCATAAGGTCCACTAATATGTGTATGTCGTTTGTGTTGTTCCAGTTTTGCTGTTTTGTTTTTGTCTTGTAGGCTGATGTGAGTTGTTGTGGTTATTGACGTTGTCTTTGTATTTGAAGTGTGATGTTTTTATTTTGTGTCAATGCACTGAGATGGAGAGCTAACTGTAAATGTAGACTCCAGGAAGAATAGTGATGGTCTTAGCCAAAGATAATGGAGCTCTAAATAAATGAAATATATTTGTGTTTACTTCAGTAAAGCACATGAACCAGCTGAAAACAACAGTGATGAACCTGTTATTGTATTATTTATTAGATCAGACTGTATGGACCTTTAGTAATAACGCAGTGTTGTAGTTCTGCACAGTTCTTACCTTTTGTATAAAGCGCTTTTATTCCTGAAAGCTGTCAGTGCCTGGTCACTCCGTCTGTCCAGATAAACTCCGATCAGAAAACCAAGAGGTACCAGAAGGTTGGGCCAATGATCCCGGGCAAAGGCGACGTAGTTCGGCATGATTCCTGCAAGAAAACACAGGATAACATGAACTCTGAGGAGCCGATAGTTCTTATATATTAAACACTAATGTCTGTGATTTTCTGATTAAATCCTGTTGATTTAACCAACATAACAACTAAACACAAGGTACTAACTTCACATTAACTCTTCTGATAATCCTCTCAAAAGCTGAAATAAACGTTTTTAACAGATGTGAGGATAAACTGACCGATAAACCCGCATATACATACGAGCTAAACAGTTAGCATCTTAGCATAAACGATAGATTTAAGAGTCTTATTGGGTTATTTTTTAGCTATGTTTTTGTTTTTATCAAAGGTAAGTTTTATTTTAACGCGTGTCTGAACACAGACTCCAATAATAACCAAAAACAGAGTCTGAATCTGTGAATATTTACCTTTAGGTCACTCTAATCTGTGGCCTTCAGCTCCTCACTGTGCAGGAGAGGACATTGGACTCTACCAACTGTACAAACACGACGGTGTCATTCCTCCTATAAAAACATATTTGATACCATGTAATTCTTATAATGTTTTTTATTATTTAAACATTTTAAATACACTCACACAGTTTAAGTATTTGCGTGTTAAATACTGAAGATTTCAGGATAATAAAGCGTTTTATAATAAATCGCTCAAAGATAACACCACCACACTTGGTACGCTCCTTGCTCTTTGACACATGACGCTAGGAATATTTTTTGCAGGATGGTAGGGGAAGGTCCCGCCTCGTTCGCCTCTGATTGGCTGTTAAACGTCATCACATGCTCAAGCCGAGCGCGGGCTGTCGGCTCCATAGATATATATATACCGACGCCCGTGCATTTTGGCGGCCATTTTGCTACGGTCAGCTTGCCCACTCCTAACGTTCCAGTCTACGGTGCATGTAGCATTTTAATAACCATAGATTGATTAATTTTAAACCGATTTTCAGACGGTTTGGTTTGGTTTAACCATTGATTTTTGTAAACAACCTTTAAGCAGATAGAGCAATCGCTACAGGCCTACACACACAAGGCAGTTATAGTAAATCATTTATGTAAAACATTTAATCACCCTATGTATATTTATATGAGTAATACTTCTATAATATGGATAACTATAATAACATATAAAATAACATATATAAATATTGATTTTTTAATATAATTTCTGCCTCATGTTTCCATTTTAGATGTTTTTAACAAGCTAAACAGCTTGGAAATCATGCGCAACTTTAGTTATGTTGAATCAAAAGAGTATTACTGCCTCTTTAACTGATGTAAAATTACTGGGTCAACTTTGTAATATGCACTTGGTCTCACTCACAGCGAGTCTGTTAGCCAAGTTAGACAGCTGATAAACACAAGCACATCCACAAAGACTGCCACTTAGACTAAATAAATAGAAAATAGGCTGTCATACAACAAATTGAAATCTTGATTGTGGTCTCAGCCTCGACTTGAAGTTAGCCCTTGCGTCCTTTTTTTTTCCTCCGAGTAAATCTGCCATTTCAATATGTCCAAGCATCCCGCCTCATAGCCACGTTATATAGGTCTGTAATAAACAAAACCATTTGTTAATCTGTCAACATTTCAGAGAGGTAAGAGGATTTTTGATCATACAGATTCCTCAACTTCTATCAGCTACCATAAAGCGAACCAGAATGGTATACCGGGGTAAGATGGCGGCCGTGTAGCGTTTCACAGCCATAAGGAATAACCAATCGGAGCCCAGCACTTCTAGCCAATCAGAGGCGAAGGAGGGCGGGACCTTCCCCTACCATCATACACAAAACTCCTGCCGTAGTGGCTAACATGTCTTCTAGCAAAGTGTGGTGTGAAGCGCTAGCTAAAATGTCTTGATGTTGTGTTGATCACTTTCATTGATGATATTTCTATTCCTAAAGAGAGAAAACCTAGATTCTCGTAACTTATGGTATGTTCGCTCGATCTTATCTCGACCTAATTTGTGAGTAAAGGTTGGTTAGATGTAGCTAGCATGCTAAACACAAAGACTTTACCGGGTAATTTGTTTCAGAGGAGAGTGTGTCAGAGTTAGAACTGTTAGCTGTTTATGTTTTTCCTGGAAAAACAGACACACTTTCACCCTCTAAACTGCACTTTATAAAGTTGTTGATTTACATCTAAACCGTGTTTTTTTCTGATTTGTGTTGATTCGAGTAAACGCTGCAGAGATCTTTACTTGTTCAGGTGTTTTTTCGTTTGTTTATAAAGATAATCTTCTTAAATAACTGAGTATTTCTTGTTGTTCTTTCAGCCTGAGGACTAAAGAAAGATGACCTCCATTATCAAACTGACCGCCGTGTCAGGGGTCCAGGAGGAGTCCGCCCTCTGTTACCTGCTGCAGGTGGATGAGTTCCGGTTCCTCCTGGACTGTGGCTGGGATGAGAACTTCTCCATGGACATTATTGATGCTATGAAACGGTAATCAATCTACTCAACTTACTATCACACCCCAGTTCTCCTTTGTGAATCAATTCATGGCTTTGCGGATGACACCCAGCTCCACCTCTCCAAAACAGAAGTCCTCCTCATCGGCACCAAAGCCGTCAGTCTCTCCCTTACGATTGAAATAGCCTCAGTTTCCCCTCCCCACAGGTCAAGAGTCTGGGTGTCATTCTTGACAGCTCTCTTTCATTTCAAGTCCACATCAGTAATATTACACCCTCCCTCACCCCTCATCCCACATCAGTTCTCGTCCACAGCCGTGTCACGTCCCCTTCTGAACCACCTCCCGGTTCAGAACTCTTCTGCTCGGATCGTCACCAAAACTCCCTCATTTCACCACATCATCCCCATCCTTCAGCAGCTCCACTGGCTCCCGGTTCAATTCAGAATCCAATTCAAAATCCTCCTGTTTACATTCAAGGCCATCCACAATCTCGCCCCCTCCTTACCTCTATGAGCTCCTCCACATCGTCACCTCCTCCCGCTCCCTCAGATCTTCCTCCTCCATCCACCTCACCGTGCCCTCTGCCCTCTTTCAGCCGCTCTGCTCTCAATCTCACCTCACATCCAGAATATCGACTCTCTCCCTCTCTTCAAATCCAGACTTAAAACCCACCTGTTCAGATTAGCACACTCCCTATAATTTACCTTGAGTATCCAGAAAGGCGCGTATAAATAAGATGTATTATTATTATCATTATCAATGGTGTGTAATGCCTGTTTTCCCTGCAGGTATGTCCATCAGGTGGATGCTGTTCTCCTCTCCCACCCTGACCCCATTCACCTGGGAGCCCTGCCGTACGCTGTGGGGAAACTTGGTCTGAACTGTACGATCTATGCTACAATCCCCGTCTATAAGATGGGCCAAATGTTCATGTATGATCTCTATCAGGTGAGATGCTGTATATCCTGCATGTAAAGCTTGACTGCATGATTGCCTGTGCGTCTGAATAATCATATTTTTCTTCGTTTAGTCACGAAACAACAGCGAGGATTTCACTCTCTTCACCCTTGATGACGTGGACAGTGCTTTTGATAAAATCCAGCAGCTCAAATACTCTCAGATTGTAAACCTGAAAGGTAAGTTCATAGCAAACACCTTTTTTGATTGATTGATTGATTGAAGTTTATTTTGAGTATGCAAACCAAAAATATAAAAAATGAAACAAGAAAAGTAAGGCAAAACATTTAAACATAAAATATAGAAATACATGTTTGAAAAGGAGAGAGAAGAAGAACAACTTATGAACTCCCACCCCTTCCCTTTTAATAATAAGTACCCACACCAAGCTTCCTTGCAACTTGTTTAGATGTACCTGATACTTATATGAAAGGAGATGTAATCTACATTTATTGAGGTGTTTAATGTCTTACTTTCTTCCCAACAGGGAAAGGTCATGGTCTTTCCATAACGCCTCTTCCGGCTGGTCACATGATCGGCGGAACTATTTGGAAAATCGTGAAGGATGGGGAGGAGGAGATCGTATATGCCGTGGACTTCAACCATAAGAGAGAGATGTGAGTGCAGAAGAAGAAAACACTCCTCCTCCCAGGTTCTCGTTTGGCTCTGAGTTAATGATGTTATTCTCGTCTCTTTGTGTCTCATAGTCACCTCAATGGTTGCACGTTGGAGAGCATCAGTCGCCCTTCCTTACTGATAACAGACTCCTTCAACGCCAAATACGTACAACCACGTCGCAAACAAAGAGATGAGATGCTGCTGAGTAAGTCATTTATTGACTGATATTAAAAGATTTTTTGTTTATAAACCACAACAGATTCCTGCCTACCCCAACTTTAATGTTTATTCTCGTACGTTTAACTCACAGCCAACGTGATGGAGACTCTGCGTGGCGACGGTAACGTCCTCATCGCCGTGGATACAGCTGGGCGTGTCCTCGAGCTGGCTCAGCTGCTGGACCAGATTTGGAGGACTAAGGATGCTGGGCTGGGAGTTTACCCTCTAGCTCTGCTGAACAACGTCAGCTATAATGTGGTGGAGTTCTCCAAGTCTCAGGTCGGTGGATCATCGGCTGATTTAGTGCCGCTCACTCTCTGATGATTTAGTTTCATGGTTGTTTTAGGAAAAAGGATCTCTTGAATCTTCACAGCAGCTCAAGTTTTTACTGTAAGTCTGCCGTCTTCCTGTAGGTGGAGTGGATGAGCGACAAGCTCATGAGGTGTTTTGAAGACAAGAGGAATAACCCCTTCCAGTTCCGTCACCTGACGCTCTGTCACAGTCTGACAGATCTGGCGCGGGTGCCCAGTCCCAAAGTCGTTCTCTGCAGCCAGCCGGACTTGGAGTCCGGGTTTTCCAGAGAACTCTTCATCCAGTGGTGCCAAGACGCCAAAAACTCAGTCATCCTCACCTACCGCACCACACCTGGAACCCTCGCCCGCTACCTCATCGACAACCCCGGAGAGAAGATGCTGGATCTGGAGGTGAGTCCTGCGGTCTGTTTGTTGATTTCCTCTGACAACAGAGGGGTATTTTGATTTTCCTCTCGCCCCTCGGGACGCTCGTGTTCCTCACACTCCCAAAGACCCAGCTGGAGGAACAACAGAACGTGTCATTCTGTCATTTGCACCATATCTATCTTCTCTCTCTCCTCTTTGTGTCAGGTGAAAAAAAGAGTGAAGCTCGAAGGCAAAGAGCTGGAAGAATACCTGGAGAAGGATAAGATAAAGAAAGAAGCGGCTAAAAAACTGGAACAGGCAAAAGAGTAAGAAAACAGATGCTGCGTCTCTGCTCAAAGTCTCTTTTTAGAGACCTGCTGTTTAAAGTTAAATTCTTGTGTTTTCATGTTCTGTAAACAGCTTAGACAGCGAATTATGTGATAATTGCAAATAAATCCAAATGATGGTCTGAGTTTCACATAAAAAATCGCTCATTTCAAAGTGATTCTGTCGTACATCAGCTAAGCAGAAATCTCACATCTGTGCTGAGGAGAATAAACAATATCTGTTCTTGCAGGGTGGATGTAGACTCCAGCGACGAGAGCGACATGGACGACGATCTGGATCAGCCGGCTGCGGTCAAAACCAAACACCACGACCTGATGATGAAGTCGGAGGGGAGCCGCAAAGGCAGCTTCTTCAAACAAGCCAAGAAGTCGTACCCCATGTTCCCCACACACGAGGAGAGGATCAAATGGGACGAGTACGGGGAGATCATCAGGCTGGAGGAGTTCCTGGTCCCTGAGCTGCAGGCCACAGAGGAGGAGAAGAGCAAACTGGAGTCAGGTTTGACAAACGGGGACGAGCCCATGGACCAGGACCTGTCTGTCGTTCCCACTAAATGCATCTCCAGCATGGAAAACCTGGAAATCAGGTCAGCGATCCTTGAATTTGTCTTTCTCTTAAAAACTACTCAGAGCTGAACAGTGTTGTTTTCGTCAGGCAGGACGAAAACTTAAATGACGACGTCAGACCCCTTTTTTCCTTGACAAAAATGAGACTAAGACGAACGTCACCAAAGCTCTGTAAAGACTAAAATGTGACGAAAATTGTATTCATTTTCGTCAGACGAGAACGAGACGAAACTAAATTGTTATTAGGTGGACGAACAAAGTTTCAAAACATGCTTTTTTTTGTCCTAACAGTCACGCCCCCATCACACACGCACCAAAAGCCTCGCTCGCGCACAGCTGCGCGCACACACTCATGCACATACACAGAGCGGCAGGTGGACGCGGCGCGCACACACACACACCGTGGCGGCAGGCACAGCAGCGGTACCCGGTGGCCGAAAGAAGATACAGTCCAAGTGACAATAAAATAAAAGTGACAATAAAACACGGGACGGGGAGACGAGACAGACGACAGTTGTGGAGCCACAGCTTCCTCATGCTGCGGCTTCAAACTGTCGGGAAAGAACACCACGAACTTCCAAACGCACCTTTTCGTCGACTAAAACTAGACTAAAACCTTTTGAGTTTTCGTCGGACTAAAACTAGACGAAAACTATCAAGGATAGAAATGACTAAAATGGGACTAAAACGAAGAAGCATTTCGTCAAAATGACTAAGACTAAAACTAAATCTAAAATGCCTGCCAAAAACAACACTGGAGCTGAAAAGTGTCCAAATGTGCGAGGTTCAGTTTTGTGACCCGGTCTTGGGTGCGTTCCTCCGCAGAGCGAGAATATCGTACATCGACTACGAAGGTCGCTCTGACGGCGACTCCATCAAGAAGATTATTAATCAGATGAAGCCCAGACAACTGGTCATCGTTCACGGTCCGGCAGAAGCCAGTCTGGACCTGGCTGACTCCTGCAGGGCCTTCAGCAAGGACATCAAAGTGTACACCCCCAAACTCCAGGAGACAGTGGACGCCACCAGTGAAACACACATCTACCAGGTCAGACTTCATGTTGTTTCGATTCAAAGAAAACATGTCAGACATCTACGTCTCTTCAGGATCTCATCAGTCCTCGTCCCGTCTCTGTCTCTCGTTTTAAAGGTGCGGCTTAAAGACTCCCTGGTGAGCTCGCTGCAGTTCTGCAAGGCCAAAGACACCGAGCTGGCCTGGATCGACGGCGTGCTGGACATGCGTGTGGTGAAGGTGGACATGGGCGTGATGCTGGAGGAGGGGGCGAAGGAGGAAGCGGAGGAAGGGGATTCGGCCATGGAGGTGGCGCCGCCGGACCTGGGCATCGATCACAGCGCCGCGGCGGTGGCGGCACAGCGGGCGATGAAGAATCTTTTCGGGGAGGACGAGAAGGAGGTGTCCGAGGAGAGCGATGTGATCCCGACGCTGGAGCCTCTGCCGCCACATGAGGTCAGGCAGCGGAGAGATTTCAAAGAAAAATGATTAAACTCGTAATCTTAAAAAAGTCCAGGATGAATCTAGAAATATGGAAATGTCCTTTTTGTTTAACGAGTTAAGTGCTGCTGAGAAGACGTGTCATTTCTGCACATGTCGTGTGTGCACGCTAATGGCTGCGCACGTCTGTTGGCCGTTAAAGAGACCATGAAGCTATATCACAAATCACGTCTGTGCAAACACACTTTAGATTGAGATTCAAGGTCGTCTTGGAGAGAAAAGCTGCAGCAGATTAATGAGTGAACAGCCTTCGAGTTTCACACGTCAGTATCAGACACCGGGAGGACAGAAAGTTTTCTTTTCATGCCTCGAGTCTTTCCACTTTTTAATATTTCAAGTAGAAAGTCTCCACAAGGACGTACAAGCGATCAAGACAGCCCTCATCCTAACCAGAACCCTGTCCCCGCAGATCCCGGGCCATCAGTCGGTCTTCATCAACGAGCCGCGCCTGTCCGACTTCAAGCAGGTCCTGCTGAGAGAAGGCATCCAGGCCGAGTTCGTGGGAGGAGTGCTGGTGTGTAACAACATGGTGGCCGTCCGCAGGGTGAGTGTCCTTCCCACAGGGTCTGTGAGCGTGAAATTATCCATCAGTCCCGACAACGCAAAACCCTGACAGAGAGGAAAAGAGGACGACATATGGCACAGGCGTGTTTTTCTGCCAAAACCAAATCAAAGTTTCCCAAATTCCTTCATGTTCGAATGTTTGATTTGTGGCCAACGCTTTAAGGAACCAGAAAGAAAAGAGAAATAAAGGATCTGTGGAAGAAAAAACACATTAAAGGTCCAAACAAAGTCCTTTTAGAGGCTCTGAGCTCCACACTATTAATACACCCTCTCAAATCTGTACCCTTCAGAAAATATTAGACCTTAAAACCAGAGAAACAAGTGATTTATCAGGGCAGTAAAGAGGTACAGGCAGAGTACATTTCCAGTGACACGAGTATTTTATCGCCGAGGTTCAGACCGAGCCAGAAAAAGTGGAGAAAATTGTTCTCATAAGACGCTCTGAAGTTGTTGTGAACATTTCCCCTCATGCTTGATAACGGAGTTTACATCCTGAGGGAAGGAAGGAAACACACTGTAGACACAACTGCAGTTAAGATTTGAAGGATCAATAATAATACGTCTCTTTACGATTAAATGGTTACTCTGACGACTCGTTGAGGTTTATGTAATTAGGAGTAAAATCTAAAATAAACTATCTTGTGCACACACAAACTAGAGCACTGAAGACGAAGAGTAAACAAACCCAGCTTTCCTAAGTGGGATAAAAAACCCCAGTGGCGCACGAGAACATCTCACTTCAGAAGAAACACACGCAAAAAAAAATAAAGATGATAATAATAAAGGCAGAACTTAACAGAAGTAAGAGAAGAAGTGAGCCAGGACTCCGACAACAAAATGCATAATTGACAAGGACTTAAAATAGGCGCAACCCAGAAAGTGAAATCAAAGAGAAGGGAGACTTTTAAAGGAGTCTGAGTGTGTTTGAAGTCGATCGCTTCATTATTTAAATCTCAAATCTGTCGGAAAAGTCTGTTTCTGTTTCAAAGGTCAGAAGCTCCAAATGTCTGAAGGTGAATCCGTGTCGTACGAAGTGTAAATGAGTGTTATGTGTGGACCCGCCTGACCCCGACATCTTTGTACTCTGTGTCCAGACGGAGGCCGGACGCATTGGCCTGGAAGGCTGCCTGTGTGACGACTACTACAAGATCCGGGAGCTGCTGTATCAGCAGTACGCCGTGGTATAGCAGCAGCAGCAGCAGCAGCAGCAGCATCAGGAGGAGGAGGAGGAGGAGGAGGAGGAGGACACGCTGCAGAGAGCAAACCACAGCATTACAGAGACAATCCTCTGTGTGAGGACTTTACTCAGAGGAGAAGAGTGGTGCACACTCATCAGCAGAAGCCCGAGCTGTTTCCCTGCTCACATGTTGTACATTTCCTCTTTTGTAACTTTGTTCCAGGTCCTTTTTTATCGTTCGATTTACCGCTATAATGTGAGAGACAGCCGACCGACTCCTCTGTTCGAACAATCGTCCGACACCCTTCACTGTACAGCAGAATCCGAAATGATGTGTTTCCTCTCTGATCCTGATATTAAAACAGTTTCTTTTTTTGAAGAGTTTGTCCCAGAGATCTGGATGTTTAACTTTCTCAAGAGTCGATTAAAACGGCTCTTTTACCCACTTCTTACACCGGCTACATCTACAACTCTCCAACCTCACCTGCTTTCCTACCCAGCGAGTGATCAGAGATGTAACATCATGAGTCACTCTGCACTGAGCAGGACTTTTATGTACCACTGTGATCATTTAACAGGCGTACAAGTTCGCTCTCTTGGTTGGTTTGACTCTCACATGATGATCAGCTCCTGTCAGGGTCCAACAAATCCAAACTCAAACTCTAAAACCAGCTCTTGATTATATTTCCTACTTTACAGCTTTAACAGAATTCAAGCAACTTTTCCTGTTCATGAAATTCCCACAAATGCAATCTCTTACTCTCTTACTGTCTCCACACAAGTGAGTAAAATCATTCGCGCGAATGGATTACGTTAAGTCAATGTTAAAGGGATATTTCTTTATCTTTTCCTTGAAGTAATAATCACCATATTAATCATTTTCACTGCAGACGCTGTAGTTCTTCTGCTTTAGCGTCTCGGTCTGATTGTATTTCCATGAAGTAATGATCATAAATGTTCTTCCTTGAGCTGTGTCACCCCGCTGTAGTCCGTAATGGACTGTCCTGAGGTCTCCCTACAAACAAGCGTCTGCTGGTAGAGAGTAGGTGAGTTGTGTTTAGTCTCTTTGCTAAAGAAATTAGTCAAAGTTAAAAAGATGTTTGGTGTCTAGTACTATGTCTGTGACCCTATATGTCCTGTTGATGAAGTTAGGTGCTGTTCTGAGCATTATTTGTGGCTATAGAGTGGCGTTTTGGTTGAGGGCGTGGCTCTCTGTATTGCTATCATGCGGTCGTTACTGAAGTATTTTACGCCGGAATATCCCTATAAATTCCCACAAATGTAACCTCTTTCTGTCTCCACACACCAAGTCAGAGTAAAATCATTCGCGCGAATGAATTACATGTTAAGTCAATGCAAAGACCGTTGAAATTACCATTGATGCGCGAATGAAGCGAGTAAATACTATTCGTTTGTGCGAATTAGGCGAGTAAATAATATTCGTTAGCGCGAATTAGGAAAGTAAACAATATTCATTCGCGCGAATTAGGCGAGTAAATACTATTCGTTCGCGTGAATTAGGCAAGTAAACAATATTCATTCGCGCGAATTAGGCGAGTAAATACTATTCAATCGCGCGAATTAGGCGAGTAGATGATTTTATTTAGTGTGAGCCCCACATTAGACAGCTGAACCTGGACTCATCACCTGAATTAAATCATTACAGAAGTTTCCTTCATGTAGAAATCTACATGAGACGACTTCTCTTAAGGCTTAGTTGTATTATTGTAAAATAAGCAGAAGCCTCCTTTAACGCAGATGCATCTATCTATCAAACTAAGCTTTTCCAAATGTGCACAAACATCCCAAACGTTCCCATTTCTGTTGTTTCATGTGCTGTTTGTTCACTCCTCTCCTACTAGGTCAGCTGGTTACAGCGTTAACACCAGATGGAGACATTTTCAGCTGTATCTAAACCAGATGGAGTCAGGGTGCAGCAGGACCATCAGCACTGAGATAGATGAGAGTGTCCCTGAAGTCATAACTGAGATTGAATATTATTCAGCCCGGGATTTAAATCAATCACTTTATGTGTTTGTGACAGGGTAAAAAAAAACAGAAAAATCATGTAATGCTTGAGCAGTTTGTCGCCTTATCTGTTCCTTGCACACACGGATATACAGCTTCACCTTTGCTGTGCTCCACTGAGGTCTAACCGGGGTGTTAGAAAGTTGGGTGATAAGCGGGGATGTTGTTGTGGATGAAGGTGAGGTGAAGCGAGGTGGGTGGGGGTGTCATTGCCGGAGTGATGTGTCGACTGCAGCAGCCGTGGTGGCACATCGACTCGGTTGATTACATTTTCAGCGTTGTGTGAATCCCTGGTGTCGATCCTAAACACGGGCAGCTGCAGGATGCTACCTTTACATGGACACACCGACACTAACACGGCTCCTAAACTCTCTGTAGTGGGGGAAACTCCTCCCACACTGATAACCATAAGAGGGCACACACTCACACACACACAGGCAGAAGAGTAGGAGAGTGTGTGCATGTAAGGGGTTGATCATCATGCACATGGTTGGAGGAGTGAGACTTGAGCACGGATGGATGACTGGCTGACGTGCCGGCCTGTTTTTATACAGTTGCATAACATACAGTTTTGCACTTTAGAAACATTAAAATTTAAATGTTCTTCTTTAATCTGTGGCTCATAGAGATAGAAAGAGAAACACACGGACACACAGTGAAAACCCTCCTGTTCAGATCTGATGCCTTTATTTGATTCTCTTCCCCAGATCTGAGTAAACCTGTGATAGACAAGAGGAGTGTGAAAAGATGAGGAGTGAAGAGGAGGAGGAGAAGGAGGAGAGAGGAGCTCTTCTGTGCCACAGAGCATGCCAGCCCTGCCCAGTCACTGCTTTTCATTTTGATAATTGACCGCGAACGCCAGAAATGTCCATCAGCTAATCCTCTTAGCTTTCATAATGCTGACTCTGTCACAGAAGCCCCTGTTTTAATGTAACGAGCAGCTAAGCCCACAGCGCAGGGCCGAATCACCCGGGGGAGCAGAAGCAGCTCTGCCCCCTAGAGGCCGGAGACAGATTTACTCTTGTCTCAACAAGTGCCCCCGTTAATTTCCCCGAGTGTTTTATGTCAAAACATAAATTCACAACCTGACGACCCTCACTCTGCCCCTCGTCCTGGACTCATCGGCACAAACGCGGCGTCTTGGTGGTGTGTTTCCATTCATCTGTGTAGATTGGAGGATGAATGAGTTTAATCCCCGTTGAATTCCCACTAAGCAGACCACTTAATGCCAATGACATCAGTGTGATAACGTGAAAAAGGGGCCGATTTCTATGAAACCTCTGCGACATGATAACAAAACAGGAGGCACAAACGATCAGATGATCAGCGCTCATCACTCTGGAGTTTGATCGCTCCTGTTTGTAAATGGATCCACAGGAGTCTTTTGATATTAAAGGGATGTTCCGGTGTAAAATTAATTTAGGGTCAAACACACAGTAACACAGAGTTAGACACCCCCTCCAGAGATGAAAGTTGCCGACCGCTTGCTTCTCTAAATACCGACTTTAGTAACGACCGCATGATAGCAATACAGAGAGTTACGCGCTCAACCAAAACGCCACTCTATAGCCACAAATAATGCTCAGAACAGCACCTAACTTCATCAACAGGACATATAGGGTCACAGCCATAGTACTAGACACCAAACATCTTTTTAACTTTGACTCATTTCTTTAGCAAAGAGACTAAACACAACTCACCTACTCTCTTCCAGCAGCTGCTTGTTTGTAGCGAGACCTCAGGCCAGTCCATAACAGACTACAGCGGGGTGCCGCAGCTCAAAGAAGAACATTTATGATCATTTCTTTATCATTTCCTTGAAGTAATAATCATTTTACAGACGCTGTAGTTCTTCTGTCTTATCGTCTCGGTCTGATTGTATTTCCATGAAGAAATGATCATAAATGTTCTTCCTTGAGCTGCGGCACCCCACTGTAGTCTGTAATGGACTGGCCTGAGGTCTCGCTTCAAACAAGCAGCAAAATTTGCATCCTTTATTACTTTCCGGTCACATCCTTTGTTCTGGACTTTACATTCATGTCCCCAGACCTCCCCTGTCACCAGGTTGTAGAGGATATCAGGGTGTATTTTGTTTACTCTGATGACATCTTGGAGCACAACGTGGTTTGGCAGTTATATCGGATTAAACAGGGATATAATCACATGCATGTAAACGTGAACCTGACATTAGCCACCCTTTTGAAAACCAGTGTGACATTGTTCACCTGCAGACTCAGTGTCCCTGTGTTTATCCATAATAAATTAGGGTGACCGTACGTCCTCTTTTACCTGGACATGTCCTCTTTTTAGGGTTGTCCAGCCTTGTCCGGAGGAGTTTGTAAAATCCTTAAAAGTTTTGAGTTTGTGTTGTGTGGAATTAACTGAGTTAGAAGCACGTAAAAACACTCGATCTGCTCAAAAAAACTCTAAAAATTGACAATGTGCAACTCTGTGACTCCGCCCCATGTAGTAGTGTCCTCTTTTGGGGGATTCAGAATATGGTCATCCTAGCAAATCAGTACGACATATAATATTTCTGCTACCTGAGTGTTTTCTTACCTTCAGTAAGAAAATTAATTCCTTCAGAATATCCCCGTTATTAGATGCTCTTTCGTACTTAGCTCTTAGCTTTAGCTCATACAGCAGGATGAATGTTTCACCTTGCTGTTAGTTAAAGTTCAGTCATATCTAAATAAAGTCTAAATGAAATGAATGAATGTCAGTTTCCTTTTCCTGTGTTTTGATGAGTTGAACCTTTTTGTCTCCTCTTTCTGCTCTCTAATCTCTCTCTCCAGTTCACACATCGTAATTCTCCAGGTCCTCGCTCGCCCTCTCCTCCCTTCCCTAATTCCTGGCTCTGCGGGTAATCCCCGCGCGCCACCAACTCCCAGCCGTGATGGTCCTCGGGTTAAGAAACCACTTTTGCCCACCCACTCTTGAAGACACTCATTAGGCTGTGCTGAGCAGGAATCCTGATCTACACCATTACAGAGGTGATCCTCTTATGCAAACTGCTCTTCACACCCCGTCCACAAAGCGGGAATGCTCATGAGCTCAAATCCACGAAGGCGCTGGCTGCCAGATTATCCACAGCCCACAATGGTGCAGCTGCCGTTTCTCCCTTTTTGATGGAACAATGCGTTTTGTCGGGTGCATTCACGGCTGGGACTGATCCTGGCACAGACATGTGGATGACTTAGCGATCATGTGTATGTGAGTGGATATTTAGGACAGATCACATGAGATTGTTGTGCTTGGCTTGTATACAAACAGGACATTCTTCTCCTCCCGGAGCAAAAACAAACCTGACCGTTTGGTTGTTCGTAACTTGAGGCGCCGCCGGCCGTAGGATCAGGGAACACGCTCTTTGATGAGGGCAGTATCGGCCTCTTAGCAAACTGCATTCAGGCTGACATGTGGTTCCAGCCAGTCAGCAAAATGCAACCTGGCTGGCCTGCTCTTTCCGCTCAGCACATCAGAGGTAACCGGCCTTATCTGATGTGACACGGCTGACACTGCCCTGAGAGCTGCGAGGAGGAGACCCTGCCGATGATTAATTCAAGCTCGGGAAACATGATGAGGATTAGCTCGCTCTGTGTTTACCCCTGCAGACGTCTCTCCTAAACTCAGGACGAGTCTCTGGCATGACAAGGGGCTGTGTAATAAGGCTGAATCATCAGCGGAGAATGATGGCGATGGGAAAACTAGTCGAGGCCAGACCGAGGAGTGTGAATCCAGAGAAGTGACTCAGCAGCACTACCACTCTTTGTCTTTGTGCAGCTCGGTGTAGATGCCAGCTCTCGGAGTGGTGGCCTGCAGACCTCGGTCAGACAGAACGTCCAAATTATTCTGCTCGCTTTAACACCGTCATAAAGTAAGTGAGCGAGCTGCTTCAGACAACCTCGCTGTTCAATCGCAGGAAAGCGTCCGGACTCTCCCTCGTTCATTCACATAGTTCAGGGAGTTAACTTACTTTAGCTCATTCACAAAACAAAACACAACATCTATTTACCGTAATGGTTAAATTTAATCATCCCGATTTAGCCAAATATTAGATTAGTCTGAATCATTAATCGACCAATAAAGCCAAAGTGGAAATGCCGGAGAAAGTGAGTCAGGCATCATTAACTGTCCTGTATACAAATCTTTATTTTACAGTTACTGTCAGAGCCAAATATGTTGATATGATACATTTTGAATTTTCTGTTGACAATGTTTGACAATAAGAATAAACGTAATGAATGTTTAGCATGTAAACAGAAGATGAACTGATTAGACTAGATTAATAAACTAGATTAATGTTGTATCCTCTCTACAAGGCCGGCCTCTTGATTATGTAATGATGCAGATGTCACCATAAGACCCGTGTCACTACAGTTTGGCTTTAGTGCAGCAGTATCACAACAAATGTGCGTTTTATCAGACCGTCACAAACACTACATAAGGGTTCCTTGATCCCTCAGACTCCCTGGATTTGGACTAAAATGGTTAAATCTCAAGTCATGACTTTTTTTTAGTGGCGAAGGGAGGAGGGAAACATCATCACGACCACAGAGATCCACAGACTTCATCGGCTCGTTCAGGAGAAGTTATTCGGTCCTGAATATTGATGGAGTTTGACTCCCAAATAAAAACACTTGTGATGACTTCTCCATCAAAACACATTCCCGTCCTCGTGCCTGCTCATGAATAACAACACTATGACATTAACAACTCCTACTCATCCTCCTACGACGCTGTGCCTATAACTTTTGTGTCCAGTATGGAGGTGTGAACAAATCACACTGCAGGGAAATCTACTGGCTCATTGACTTTATTGCACACCCCTCCAGCTCCAGCTCCCAGTGAATGAAGACTTGTTTTCAGGGTACTGCTGCTGCTGCTGCCTCTGTTAATACACACTTTGTAGCTGTGCCTCTAAAACTCTGATTCTATCTTCTGGCTCCGTGTTTCTGCTGGGAAAAAAACCTCTGCAGTGGGACTCTCCGCTGATCTTCTATAAAGGGGAAAAGGTTGCTCTTTGCCTGTATAAGAATAATGAAGTTATTTGTGTGCAGCTCAAGTCTCTCTCAGATAGTCTTTTCCTCTAGTTATGCAGCTCCAAACACTGAAACCTTCATGCAGTTTCACTCAGGGCTGTTACTCATGCTCACAAGAATAAACTGTCTCCGGCCCAAGGGGATGAAGGTGATGAGGAGGTAAACAGTAACAGGAAGGAGCAGCTTAGGAACAATTAAAGGTCCTATATTATACTCCTTTTTCAGCAGGTTCACAAATGTCTCAGACGTCCCACAATAGTCCATTTGAAGTTTGTTGTCTAAAAATTGAGAACCATAATTTTGAACGGGTTGTTGCGCTCTCTCTGGCCGGGGAAGAGTGCACAATTGGTGGCCACACACCTCCAGAGCATCCCCCATTAATACTTAATATAGGAGCGAGCTTAATACACAAAGCGAGCTACTCTGTCACATCACCAGCTGGTTTCTGAAATCGATCGGTAGTTTAAATAAAGTTTTTAAGGTGAAAAAAATGTGCACTCGTGCAGTTTAGAAAGTGACAGGCGGACATGAAAATGAAATAGCAATTGCCCGTTTGGTTTTTCTTTTGAATTGTGTTACGAAATGTGCAGCTCAATGAGAAAATTTCAGAGTTAAATTACGAAGTTTTGGCTTTGAGACGAAAAAGCCTTACTGCAAATGCATTTGAATTTTCAGATGTGACATTTGAAATTAAATTTTGGTATATTTGTTGGGGCATATTTTGAAAATTAAATGAAATAAACAGAATGATCCAATCAGAAAAAGCAATTGCAGTTCGGATTATTTATTTTTAATTTTATTTATGAGTCAAAAAGTGCAGCTACATTCTAAAAATACAAATGCATTTCTATTTTAATTTGAATTATGACACTAATTTGCTTCCATAAGAAATCCCTTTTTTTTTCCTGGGCTTCAGTCAGACTGGAAACTCTTTTTAGCAAACACTCCTGAGAACAACGCGCTGTTTCTGTGTGCTGCGCCTGTCCACGCCTCCTTCAGCGCAAGCCACGCCCCTGTCTCGTTACTTGCGCTACGGTACCGTACGCTCATGTTTACACAGAGTGCTAACGCTAGTGCTAACTGTACCAGTTTGACTCAGAGTCTGACCAGAAGGAGAGGCTCCTGAAGAAACTCCAACTCTGTGTCTGCTGCAGGACGTTTCTGAACGGTGAGTTACAAATATTATGTGTCTCCATGTTTTTCTTTATACTTTGTTTGTGTGTTTGTACACAGTGACTTACATGTAGCTAGCTAACGGTCGCTCCCGCTAACGGTTATATCTCTGCTGTCTTCTCGTTACTTGGAGGTCTTTTGGTGAAAACGCAAAATCGTAAATTAGGTTATCTCTCGTGAAACAGACTTCTGTGCTGCCAACAACAGAGTAACTGCTGTGCCTCGCTCGAACCTTCTCGATTTCAAACCAGTGTTTGAGAAGGAGAAAAATAGTGTCTGAGTGAACATTTTCGGGGGTGTTAGAACACCAACCTGGAGGGGAGGAGTTATCGTCATGACGTCATGGAAGGCAACAGTTTCAATCCTCCCATTTGAGTAGACATTTTCTGAAAGGTGTGTCGCTACCTTATCTGTCCCGGGTGAGAATTTTGTTCTCACCTACAAAAAAATATCATGTCCCAGAAGCCCGATTTGTACTGCGCATGTGCGAAACGAACGTCACTTCCTCTCTTTTTATTCCAATGCATTTCATGGCAGTGAGTCTTGCTACCTACCCGATCCGTACTGCGCAAGTGCAGATACAAACTTTATTTAAACTGCTGATCGATTTCAAACACCAGCTGGCAATGTGACAGGCTAGCTAGCTGCAGTCTCCAGAGTTAACGCCGAGGCATTTGCCAGAGCTCCTGCCCAGCACGGTGAGACATTTTGGGCCAAAGAGAGCGCCGCCAACCAAAATTATGGTTCCCTGACTTTTCAAAGTATTGAGGGGGGATGCTCTGGAGGTGTATGATCACCAATTGTGCACCCTTCCCAGGCCAAAGAGATGGCTGTGGGGGGGGGTTATTTCATTCATTTTATAAATTAAATTTATTAACAAGAAGCATACACATTACGGACAATGAATTTCAGTGTTTGTATACAGTGTTTCAATTTCAACACTGAAATATTCACATTCACATATTACTGTTAGGAATCCATTCTAAAGTGAATTTTTGGTAATATGGGACCTTTACTATTATTGGGCTTAAATTAACATTTCTCATACAGCAGGGCGTGTAAATTAACACGAGCAACCAAGATTATAACACACAGAAACAAAATCTTCATCCATTTATAGGTGGCTCTTTAGTTAGTATGCTAACTCCTCTTTTTGCTGTTTGTTTCTAAGACCTGCAGGATATCTCTGATAGGATCTTTATGGAACTTTCTTTGAATGACTTTAGCAACACATGATCATAAAAATAGCAAACAGAAGAGTGAGTCCACTCATCGGGTGTTTGTGTGGAGTTTCTGGTCTGGGCCTGAGATTAGCTGGGGGGGTCATATGACTTATAAAGCATGGCTGTTGGTCTGAATTGATTTAGAATTAGTCACTACTGCTTAGATTCTGCTGTGCCTATAAGCTTCATATTCTGCACCTGTGTTAAAGCGACTTGACATTTTTACAGCGTGAATTTCAGACCATATATTTTGCATTACAGCTTTGAAATGTAGAAACACTATTTATAACCTATAAACTGCAAAACACTTCAGACAGGGACAAGTTTTCATCATATCTTGTACACTTGGTGTTGCAGCTGAAGACATTTTAAATGCATATCTCAGGTTGTTTTTATAACTTACATACTGTATAAGTGTATATGAAAGCATACTCTGTACAAAACCAGTTCAAATACAGCTCAGGGTTTTATGTGCACAAAACTCCCTCAGTGTCAGCGGCTTTATGTATAAAATTAGAAAATAGATCCACTTTTAAAACACCTCCATGCTTAACAATGTCATCTCTTCATTACCAGCCAATTGGAATTAAAAGGGGGCGGGGCTTCTGATATCAACTTTGATGGAGGAAAATCTAGAACCAGAAATTGAGGTTGTGAGTGCAGAATTAATGGACACAGTTTGAGTAGATTTTCAGCCTTATGTTCGTATCTGACCCAAAAATATAAATCCGACTTTTGCCTAAAAAACACAAATATTAAAGTCTTCAATCATTAAGTCCTGTCCAAGTTGTGTGCAGACCCGGAAAGATACCCAACTCCTGAGTGTGATTTAGCGATCTTGTATGCAGAATGAAACTCCTAAAATCATCATTCTGCTGGGTCTCCTTGTAGTTAAAGAATTAAAAGCATGATATCTATCATGATATTGGTTTCTGATGTCGGCTGTTTCTGGTCGGCTGGGTTGTCTCGTGTCATTAGCAGCTGTGCGAGTAATTTTTCATGTCCTGGAAGATAAAGAGAAAGCAGGAGATGCTGCTGCTCCCAGATTACACAGATTAGACTCCATGTTGCTCCGCTTTGCCCTGTTTACTCTTCACACCTGAGCAGGCATACAAATAAACCTGCAGTGCTGCTACAGAATACTCAACACTCGTAATTAATATTTTATTTATTCCCGCAGCTGACTGAGGAGCTTATGCAAGGAGTAAAATCAGCAGGTCTCCCGAGACGCTTCCTGTGCGTGTGCATGTAGACCGAGCTCCTCATACTGTACTGTCAGTACCAGCCGTTGGCTAAAATGAGCTCAGCAGAAGTTGGCAGATTGAGGGAAAAAAAGGGTTCAGAGCGTTTTCTCCCTCCATCTGTTTACCTGTTTGAGATAATTGGTAAAATATCAGCGACAATGCCAACAGTGCATTAACGGGCGGTGTCACACTTCCTCTTTGGCTGGGTGTCACCTTGTCGTCTCTATCCACCACAAACACCCGTCAGCAGAATCCGCCGCACTTATACCCGGGATATCCCAGGACTGTGGAGCCGCTGTGAAAGGACATACTGTATTCAATCCATCTGCCCTTTGTAAAAAAACGCAGAGAATTCAAAGCTTTCCCCCCCGAGTTAGTTATTTTTCAGATGTTTTTCAGTCACAAGGTTCTTCAAGGTTTTTCCTTTTTTTTCATATGATTCAAAAAAGACCAGATTCAAGAGCCTCGAGTTTTTATGAGGAGCAGTTCCTTCACCTTTAGCCACCTTTAAAGATCCTTCATTTTCTGCATCTCGTGTCTTCGCTCTTAAATATTCTCTTAAACTTGTCCATCTTCCTTTTTCTATACAGACATTATTTGAACACGCTCCACCTGATCGGGGTTCCAGCACTTCTCCAGGACCTCCTCCTCACCGACTCATCTGCTGCTACAAAGGTAACCATGACAGTCCAGAGAAGGGAGGCACACTGTCAGAAAACTAGGGCTGCACGATATATCGTATGTGTGCGCGACAGTCACACTGCAGAACTTGCGATGTAGGAGGCGAATGAACTCGTCTAATTTCAAGCGTAGCTGACTGAGATACGCTGCATGTGACTCTGAATGTGCTGTGCAGCGATCCACCAATCACATTCGTTTTTCAAGGTCCTTACACACCGGGAACGACGCAAATATACGACACGAAATTTTGAAATATTCAGAGGCGAATTTTGACGTGCGTGACTATACACATCAAGCGCAATGCTATTTTGCGACTTTCCGGGGGGAAAAAGATGCGTCCCGGGTGGAAGCGAGAAAATACATATGGTATGTTGTATCTGAACAGGTTAGCTTACGAGCTAAAGTTACTTAGCACAGATGAAAGTTAAAACAAAGACGTTTATCAAACTGTTAAAGCACACAAACCATCGTCATATGAGAAATCCGACGCTATGACTCTCCACAAGTCGTCCTTCAGGTCGTTATCTTTGTAATGTTTGTGTCTTTTATCAAAAATCACTCTGTTCTCCGACACGTAAACAATCAGCCAGTCGGCCATGTTGGATATACCGGTGAATCAGACGTCAGTATGCAAAAACTTTAGAAAAATCGACCGTGATGCGAAAAAAAAAAAGAAGCCACAATATCGCAGGACGGGAAACCGTCGCTGATGTGAACGCTTGTATTGACAGGATACAGGTTCTAAAAAAATTATTAATGTCCAAAATAATCACACGAAAAAAACGGTCCAATGTGAAAGGACCTTTTCTCAGTTGCCAATCAAACTACCCTTCCAGCCATCAATCAAAATCAGAGAGGAGGAAACCACGCCCCTGCACATGGAGTGAGTTGCTGGCGCTGCCGGTGTTGTGCCGAGAATTACTTTGGTAACATTACTTATCACTGTTTAGCCCAACAAATCAGAACTGTATGGGTTTTAAGTTGTACATTTCCGTGGACCACTCTACTATCAGCGGTCCATGAGGTGCATGCATTTCTCGGCACAACAACAACGAAGATTGTAAAATGAGCAACGAACAAGAGAAAACCCCCGAAAATGAGGACTTGTTTCCGAAAAGGAAAGTCAGTTATCTGGAATTATTTCTGTTACAAGAAGACTGATGTCGACCAAAACACGTGTTCTGTGTTCATCTGTTTCCACAATAACGTCTCAGCACAATAAAAGCTAAAAACATCTCTAAAACAGACAGAAGCCATTCTAACATTCACAAAAAGAGGTAAGATCAGAGCAGGTTAACTGTCCTCAAGATTTCAGCATAAAGTGATATTCTGGTCCTCTGGTGAAAATTCCTGTATTTTATAATATCTCAATCGATATCACAGGGTTGAAAAACATTGCAATGTTATTTTTTGTCCAATATCGTGCAGCCTTACGGTAAACACAAATCTCTGCGTGTTCATTTCTGCTCTGAAAAGTCATTGTTAAACACTGTCATGGTTTTTGTTGTGTGGATCTCTATCACTGCATTTAAACAGCGAATAAACCGAGTGAATCATCGCAGAAATAACGGCGTTAAAGCTGAAATGAACAACGCTGAGTCAAAACACTCACGGTTCATTGTTGACACCCTTGACTGGAGTCATTAGTGATCCGTGGTGCAAGGACATGACACATGCTTGGCATTTATATCAAACAACACATTTACATTACCCTGACTGCTCCTCATGACATCCTGCCCACATGAAAACACTCCTACAGAGCCCGTCTCTTCTGCCTCCCTGCAGCTAGAACCACATTTCACACTGGATATTATCTCTGCTGCAGACCGGCAGCCGTTCTCCGGGCTGTGCAGACGGCAAAGGAGGCCATGTGTGTATGTTTGACCAGGCCGGGGAGTGTACAGCACCGGCTAAATCTCTGTAAGCAGGCCCTGGCATTGCTCCCCAATTGCCTGCCTGCTGCGCGGGCAGGGGCCTGGAGGGGACTAATCCCTTGGCATGGGCATAGGTCACACATGTTGATGTCTATGTGTGTGTATGTGTGTGTTTTCATGCAGAAGACCCAAACTGCTGGTTAAAGACGAGACCCGGCGGCGGATTCCGAGTGCAATGACTAATAACCGAGAGCGCCGGCCTTCCCGCAAAGTCTTAAAAGCTCCGAAGAGAAAGCGGGTGATGTTTTCTGAGGTCTGTGTCGTACTGTACAGACAGGGACAGTCCTGATCTTACGTAACCCTCGTCTGCCAGAGATTGCGTCCGAGTGTTAGGCCTTTGACCCTCATATGTAGCTCGGTTTTTGCTTAAGTGGGCGGCGGTGGCGGCTGAGAAAGTTGACATGCTGCTTCAGCCTTGTCAGTCAGCACGCCGGCTCTGGGGGCGCGGCAGCTGTCTTTTCTGTTATCTTAGCAGGAAAGGTGACCTGCGAGCGGGGCTGGAGGCGGCGAGAGCAGCCGGCGCTCTGCAGCCTTTCACCCCCCACTGAGTCTGTAATTTCAAGGAAGGATTTCACTCAAGTGTTTGAGGTTAAAGTCGAAGATTTTAGGAAACTTTATTTAAATATTGATGAAATATTGATGCAACAGATTGAGCTAAGGCCTGCACACAGATGAAGAAGTAATATCGTATTTTTTGCACTTTTAGAGGTAAGAGAGAGCTCCGGAACGGCGGCGATTTTTACCTTCCACCAATTCCTAAAGAGATCTGTTTGTGAGGCGAATTTCGTGGTGGATTACAGACAGTTATTTTGAAAAGAAGCCGGATGTTTTATTTTGTGTCCGTGCCCGACTTCCTTTCCAGCACATGTTAATCTGTGCCGAATTTATCTGGCATGCTCTGGTGTCCAGAAAAAATTAGAACTCTTGCGATCCGCAGCAGAACGGAAAGAAGCCGGTGGAAATTGACACGTTAACTTGAATGGTTACGATCAGCTGTGATTGGTGGATACGGCCTCTTTGTAGCCATTCCAGATGGAAATTGGGGGTTAGATGTGCTCAAGCTGGCTTCCAGGACTACATCCAGCTAACAATCTCCTGACTCCAACGCCATTGTTGTATTTTTTCTGCTTCAGAGTCTCCAGTTTGGTGTTACTGGATTTTGGAGCCAGAAGGGAAAGAATTTGGAGAAGGAGGTACTCGCTAAGTTATTCCGTTTGTACAGTCACACAGTCTGGGCTCAAGTCTGCGAGCTGGACGCGTTGATAACCAGGGAAAGAGATAGTCTTTGTGGTCGCCGTTGGAGTCATTTATTCTTTCGATAAGAGAGTTAAAGGAAAGAAGATCATTCATCAGACCGCAGACAAACAAATCAAACCAAGTGTCTCACCACGACAGTCTTCTCGGTGATGAAACGCCAACAAGAATTGTGACTCCCAACCGTCGGCTGCAACGTATAAATCAAGAAGATAACAAGCTGGTGATGGCGAGCGCAGACATTAATTACCGCTAGTTTATCCATGGATCAAAACTCAGGGTGCTGATGGTGCAGCAGTCACTGGTTCCCCTGTTTTCTTCCGCCCACAGTTTCTCTCCCAGATTTCACTCACCTTCTCACAAACAGAAAAAAAAAAATGAAAAGGAAAATCCCCGAAATTCACAAACAATTTTAATTCAATGAATCCAAACAGCTTAAGTGACACCTAGCTGAGAGTTAGCAGCATTTACGTAACACTTGAACCCTCCTTTTTACAGTTTTTACCAAGATTGTTTTCATGTTTATGTGTAATGTAAAGATGGGATTTTAAAATGGACCTCTATGCGGGTTGACTCACTTTTGGAGCCTGCCTCAAGTGGCCAGTTAGGGAACTGCAATTATTGGCACCTTCAGTTAGATATAACTTTCTTTCCCTATAAATTTAAATCAATCATTTAAACCAAAAGTTGGAATAACTAGAGAAACAAGTAGTCGGCAACAGCTCTCGAGAGGATGTCTTAACAGTTTTACAGTGTGTTTGACCCTAAATTAATTTTACGCCTGAATATCCCTTTAAATTATCTGAAGTGACACCTAGCTGAGAGTTAGCGGCGTTTACCCGACACTCGAACCCTCCCCTTTACCGTTTTTATCAAGATTGTTGTCCTGTAAAGTTGGGGTTTTAAAATAGGCCTCTAAGGGGTTTACTCACTTTTGGAGCTTGCCTCAAGTGGCCAGTCAGGGAACTGCAATTATTAGATTTAACTTTCTTTTCCTATAAATTTAAATCGATCAATTAAGCCTCAAATATTTATAAACAAGTCTCAGTTTTTAATAGAGTCCTTACTTTCACATAAAACTTTAACCTGAAGCATTTAAGTATAATCACGTATTTTAATAATAAACTGAAAACAACAGTATTAACAGTTTTCTCACCCAGCCTTTAATATCTCTGTAGAAACCATCACCTGCTGTTAATTGAAAAGGCCAAATTATTAAGTAGATGATTTAATTTTCCCAGAATTGACTTGTAATGATCGGACCGTTAGTGAAAACAACGTTTTACCATTCGTGCTGAAAAATCTCACCTGTCTGCAAACAAACAGGTGTCCAGGGAGTAAAACTGACTGTTGTTTTCTGTGATACAGTATCAGTAACACCCTAAGGTGACACCATAACATATGACCTTCACCTTGCACATGGAGGAGCCCCCCCCCGAGGACCCTGTCAGGAGTCCTCAGATGGCCTACAAACGGGACACATTTGCAGGGCTGCCAAACAAACAATAATCATGAGTGTTAGCCGAGCTTAAATCACGTCACTCTACATTTATACTGAGAATTTATGACTTTGAAATGAAGTAATTGCCTCTCTGGATTTATAGCACAATTGATTTTTTGTTTGGGTCATTATGATCACTGACTGCAGGACATATTTTAGCCACACTTGATTTACTGCAGCCACGACTAACAGAAAGGTCCCCGCTCATTATACAGTAGTATGTATTGGCCGTCAAACAGCTGTGGTGTGAAAAACCATTAAAACCTGAACAATGAAAGCCTTTAGGGGCTGAGAGGAATTATTTCATGGTTGTAGATTTGAGCCTGGAGATCTGAAACCTCAATTATTCAGCTGGAGAGCAGGTGAGCTGTGGGTCAGTTATTAATCTGGAGCCAAGAAAGATATGAGATTTTGGTTTCATAACAGCAGTTGTTGTGGTGGCGGTGGGAGCGGGTGTTTGGAGAGGCATGACAAGACTCGCCTTGGCGCGTAAATCCTACCTTTGCACATGATTCCATGCTTATACGCCTTCTGCAAGATCATGAGGATGGACACGGTCCTGTGTTTGATGGTGTAATGATTCTTTTCTGCAACTTAACGTTTCAAAAATGAAACCATGATTCTTGATTTCCGGAAGAATCGACCTGCTACAGCTCAAACCTTTGTTATGGTAAAGCTGTAGAAATAGTCAGTCAGTACAAATACAGAGGTACCATCCTCAATGACAAACTGTCCTTTGAGACCAACTCAGATGCCATCTGCAAATCAGAGGAAATTTAGGTGTTTTAACGTTGACAAAAAGCTTCTTAAAATGTTTTTACTCTCCTTTTATTGTGTTTTCTGCTGTGTGCTTTCTTTCTGTGATGTGAGAATTGTGTGTCTTATCTTCTGCTGCAAACTAAATTGTATGGTGGCCGAGAACCGCCACTGCTTCACATAAAAAAAGAATGCAAAAAAAAAAAAAAAAAAAGAGGTCACAACGGAACTTTTATTTTCGCAGTAACTATATTTTTTCTTGCATCGCCACTTAATTTTTTGCATCATTAACTTCCGTTGTGGCTTTTTTTTGTGTCTGCACTGCCTCTCTTTTTATTTGCAGCTGGCTTCATTTTTTTTTTTTTTACCAGTCACTTCCGCTGTTGTTTCTTTTTTTTGCATCCTTTTTTATTTGCAGCAGTAGCGTTCCCTTTTTTTGCATTGCAGTAAGTAACTTTTTTTTTTTTTGCATTGCCACGTGTTTTTGCACCATTAACTTCCATTGTGATGTTTTTTTTTATCTGCATTGTTCCTTTTTTTATTTGCAGCAGGCTTTGTTTTGTTTTTTTATCAGTAACTTCTGTTGTTGTTTTTTTTTTTGCATTTTTCTATTTGCAGTAAGTGACTTTTTTTTTTCATTGCCACATTTTTTGCGTCATTGACTTCCATTGTGGTTTCTTTTTTTGCATCCTTTGCAGCAGTGGCATTCTTTTTTTTCTGCATTCTTTTTTATTTGCAGTGGCGGTTCTCGGCCACCGTACAATCGTCCTTAGGGGACATAAAGATTTTCAAATCAAATCAAATCAAATCTCGTGAATACCGTGAAAGATTCCCATCTATCTCGGGATTTCTCTGTAGACAGCATTAAGATAAAGAAGGGGAAATTAAAAACAGAAATTTGTTTCTGCTGTTTGCTCTTCTTGGGGAAAGTTAAAGATCCCGGTCTGACAGGAAGGGAAGCAGAGAGGAAGCTGATGGTCCTCTCTCTTTCTCTCTCTCTCTCTCTCTCCCTCTCTCTCTCTTTTTTTTTCTGGTATTCACGTGAAGGGGGAGGCGCCCGAGCGAGCCAGGCGAGCGGCACGACTGCTGCCCGAATCCAACAATTAACCTTGATGAGCACAGATTGGTTTCACTTATCAGGCGCAGGTGCGTGGATCCCGCGATACGGAGCAGCTGAGCCATCCCGTGTTTACGACAGGACACTGGCGCATTTGATGCCAAACACAGAAACTGGAGGATATTGCAGCTGATTTTCTCTTTTCTGGACATTGCAATGGGAGCCTGTCTTACACTCACCCTCAGTGAGAAGCGGTGAATTAATTCAGAGACATACAGAGGAATTTGACCGCCGTGTCATTGCTCAGCGCACCAGTTTTTCCTTCTTATCGGCGGAGACAAGAAGAAGAAGGAGGGAGGGAGAGAAACTGTCCGCTTCACTACTCTTCATCAGCGCCCTGGACGCCTTGAAATGAGGAGCACATCCAAAGCGGAGCGCCAGCTTCTCTGAATTTATCTCTTCTTCTTCTTCCAGCTCTCAAGGACGCAAAAAGAAAAAAAACAAAAGTGGCCGCCGGGCCGAGCTGCAGACATGGAGCGGGACGACACCGACACCGTGAGCGCGTCCAAAAAGACGATAATCGCCAAGATATTTAAAGTTCGCAAGAGGAGGGAGATGCTTTTCGTGCAGGTGTGCTTCATCTGCAGTGTCCTCTTCGTGGCGTGGAGCATGTCTGCGCTGTTAACCAAGACAGGTGAGTGTGGTGGAGGGTGGAGGGGGGAAGAGGGGGCTGAGATGCACCGGGGCACGGGGAGCTGAGAACCGAGCACAGATCTGCAGTCAAATCATGCACCAGCACGAGTGGGTAAATGAGGAGATTTAAAGGTATAGAGCTCAGAAACACGCGTGAGTGTCAAGGACATCGGATCAGCTGAACTCGGTTGTTTTCGTGTCCAGAGTCCTGTCCGAAAATGCGCGCACTGCCTCTGATCGTGTTGTCCTGTTATATCTGCATCCTAATATCGCTCATGTGGTTCTTTCTGACCCTTCATAGACCAGGACAGACGCACACACTAGAATCGGGTCAAAACACTCGGATCTGAAATCTTCATTTCAGGGGCACACGCGTGTTTGCCCGTCTATGCCGCAGTGTGCGCGCCGTGGCAGCGGCACGTTTTTAATTTGAGAGGCAGGCTCATAATCACGGCGCACGCACACCTCATGGCTCCTCCACATGCACGCAGTGACCGACCCAGTCTGCCTCTGCTGTCTTCGCCTTTCCTCCTAAATCCCTAAAAATGAAGCAGCAGGCGCATGATCGGGCACACCACAGCAACTCTGTGCACATCGTGCTCATCATGATCACTGCTGCACACACAAACACACACTCTGGATCACCTCAATCACACCCCGGGATCATCATCACGCGTGGCCATCGAGGGATGTTGATGTTTTTACGCAGAGGCCACGGACGGTTATTAAAAGAGGGGAGAGAGGTGGTGAAACGGGAGGGGAGGGGGTAAACATTGGGACGCTTTAGCTCCCTGAATGTTACAATATTCAGAGCTGGAGCCTGAGGTGTGTGTGTGTATGTGTGTGTGATCATGCATGAAGGCACACACAGATAACATGTATACACACACACTCTCTCTCTCACACACACGCATGCACGTCCAAACTCTTACCTCAGGCCCGTGCGAACACTGACACGCAGAGCATCCCACATCGCCTCACACTCGGTTATGTAATCCATCGAGCAACCTTGACATTTCTGCTGGTGAAGAATGATATCTGACACAGCAGCGGGGGTCAGAGGTTAACTAGACGAAACACCCCCTCAGGGACCAGATGTTTATGTGACGGGGACAATAAGACGATGTCAACAAGAGGTTTTGGAGCTGAGGAGACTTAAAGGGATATTCCAGCGTAGAATTAATTGAGGATCAACACCGAGTTAGACCCCCCCCTCCAGAGATGAATGTTGTCGACCGCTTGCTTCTCTAGTTATACCAACTTTAGTAACGACAGCACGATAGCAATAAACAAGCCATAAACAAACCTCAACCAAAACGCCACTCTATAGGTGGGTTTCTGTGCAATGTCATCGCAGGTATGCACGTGCAGCCTCGGGGCAGAAAGCGGGACATTTCTTATTTGTTTACTAGCGAAGTCAACGGAGAAAGAAAATGACAATCGGCAAAACAAACGATCGGCAAACATCACGACTCTGCTCCTGATGTTAAAAACATCGAAAACGACGTCACAACCTGGTAAATTGAGTGAAATACATGGATATTAAAGCGAGTTTTTTCTGACAAAGCGATTTTTCAATGAAATGGCATTTTATTGCAATTGTGTCAGGGAGAACTCGCAAACAATACAGCATCTTCATTGATATCACTTAACTTCGAAGCAGGCTTTTGCCCCATGGTTGCGCGCACACCTAGTATTGTTTGCACACGCTAAACCCATCAATAGCTACAAATAATGCTCAGAACAGCACCTAACTTCATCAACAGGACATATAGGGTCACAGACATAGTACTAGACACCAAACATCTTTTTAACTTTGACTCATTTCTTTAGCAAAGAGACTAAACACAACTCACCTACTCTCTTCCAGTCCATTACAGACTACAGCGGGGTGCCGCAGCTCAAGGAAGAACATTTATGATCAACTATATGGAAATACAATCAGACCGAGACGCTAAGGCAGAAGAACTACCGCGTCTGTAAAATGATTAATATGGTGATTATTACTTCAAGGAAATGATAAAGAAATTATCATAAATGTTCTTCCTTGAGCTGCGTCACCCCGCTGTAGTCCGTAATGGACTGGCCTGAGGTCTCGCTACAAACAAGCGGCTGCTGGAAGAGAGTAGGTGAGCTGTGTTTAGTCTCTATGCTAAAGAAATGAGTCAAAGTTAAAAAGATGTTTGGTGTCTAGTACTATGTCTGTGACCCTATATGTCCCGTTGATGAAGTTAGGTGCTGTTCTGAGCATTATTTGTGGCTATAGAGTGGCGTTTTGGTTGAGTGCGTGGCTTTCTGTATTGCTATCCTGCGGTCGTTACTAAAGTTGGTATAACTAGAGAAACAAGCGGTCTGCAACATTCATCTCTGGAGACCCCCCGTCTTTCTCGGTGTTGCAGTGCGTTTGACCCTAACTTAATTTTATGCCGGAATATCCCTTTAAGAAAGAGGACCGCTTCAGTTTTATCCTCCCTTCTTAAATCCTCTGACCCCAAACCCAGAGACCCAGACCCCTCTCTTGACCCGGTATCTCTCCATCTGCATCCACTTAGTCCCCAGAGCCAAATAATTCAGCCCAACTATACTGTCAGGCTGCCAATGCATGTATCTGGAGTTTTTATTAATTACATTAAAAACAACAAGAGGCTTAAAAGATTATTCTGGACTGATATCATACATGGAGTGCAAATCTGTTGTCTCTAAGGGCAGCCATTGGCAGCCAGAGTCCCACCCCCTCTCTCTCTCACACCCACCCACTCTAGGTTACTAATGGCTTCCCTTTTCCCCCTTTTATTTAATCAAGTTCGCCTGACTGAGGAAGTGATGGTCATGTGAGGGAATTTAGAAAGAAGCCGTTTCTCGTGAGTTTCAGCCCATGGTGGTTGTGACTGTGCGCGGTGTTTACGGCGGGATTTGAAGGTGACACACATGAGGAGAACATGAATCCATGAACCGGGATCAGACCTGCCTCTTTTACAGTAGCTGTGGCCTTCTCACCGCGGACAAGCATTTGTCACGTCACAGCGAAAGGAAAAAAAACTACGCCCCGTGCGCACCGCCGATTTGATTGATAGCAGTGTGGGGGTGTGTTGATGTGCTGAACGGCCCAGATGGATGGGATTTGATGTACTACTCCTGGGTTACATCTCCATAAAGAGGGGTGGGGCGCAACATGCTGTCGTGCATGCTGATCTGGCTCCGTGTGTGTGTGTGTGTGTGTGTGTGTGTGTGCAGTAAAACAGGTGTCTTTGAGAAGCAGGGTAGGGCTCTGACAGGTAGCTGCAGCAGGCTGAGGAGGAGGAAGAGAAGGAGGAGGAGCTAAAGATGTTATTGGCAGTAAAAAGGTGAATACAGTTGTGAAGAGAGCATGCTCAGTGCACAGTAGGATTGATGGACGCTCGTCCTTGGTCCTCCTCCCCCTGATGAGCGGACCAGGAGGATGGTGTTACTGCTGTGATTGTTTCTCTCACACCTCCTCCCTCCTTCTGCAGCTCAGTGAACTCTGATAGAGATGTACTCATGGACTTTTAACATCATTTGGTTTAGATTTTACTGTAATTATGTAATTTATTCAGCATATACAGCAAAAATACTGGCAAATGTAAATAACTTTGATGCCCAGATGCTTCAAACCTCATCGTCTCATACAGGCGGCACAGACAAGACGTTTTAGGTATTATTATTTTACATCAAATGAAGCAGATAATTTTCTTTAAATGTACATGCTATTTATTTTTACAGCCCTTTACAACAACCCTTTCAGTGAACCGAAACTGCTTTACAATACATAGTAAATAAAAAATGAATAAATAAAAACAATGAAAAACAGAAAACAATAAAAGCGATTTTAAAAAAGAACAAGATACAATGCAGTAAAATAAAGTTAAAGAGTCACCACGCTACTATGTGTGAAAGCCAGCATAATGGGTCCAGTGTCCTAGCGACCTTAACCGTAAGATAGAGACGTGCTAATGTCCTGACTCAAAACACACAAAGACATTCGCATCCAAATGTCATAATAATGATAAGATGAACTTCATATATCCCAGATTGGTCAGATTTCAACATTTGATCATTCAAAGCAGCTGGAAAAGTTCTTAAATGGTTGCGAAACAGACTGACCAATTTTCTCTGTTTTATTCGTAATCTCTAATCTAGTCTCCACAAACCGAGCGTTAGGTGTCAGTCACGTGAATTTACTTTAAAACACTGAAAAAGCTGTTTTTGACATTTTTATATCGGAGGAGATTCTCCGTCAGAAAACACTTCCGACTGCACAGGAGGAGGAAAAGGTCTCTATTGTTTACAGGGGGCGCCAAAGTCAACACAGAGTCGCTCACTGGAGCTTTAAAGAGACGACCTTATAAACATGAGGTTTATTACTCTGTGAATTAGCCGGACACATGGATTTGCAATATGTAAATATTTTGGCCATTATAAACACAGATATTTTACTGCATTTGACAAAATACTTAAAAATTCTTTCTGAACTACTCCATCCTTATTTCATTCAGATTGAAATCAAACATTCATGGTTATTTTCTTAATTTTTAATAAATATAGAAACAAAATATCAGCCTCCTGAGGGCAGATGACGATATGTTGAAACTTTATAATGAAAATTTACAGCCTGACTGAATTTATACTCTGAGAAATGTAGTGAAATACAAGATTTCAGTTAAAGTACTCATTGTAATTATTGATTAAAAACAGAAAAGTTCACAAAGCTGCTAAATTAAAACACAATAAGTGATTTTTTTCACCCCCATTTTACAAACTGAGTGTTTTTAAGTGTGTGTGAGGAGGAAAAACCTCAAAATACAAAGACAGAAATGATCATGTCGACCTTTTTTCTCTACGCTTTAGAAATGATCGTCTTCTAGTCGCACCAATCCACATGATAAAGACTCTATTATTTATCTATATCTATGATCTGGGTATTTTCCCTCCTTACTCTGTATCAAATCAAAAAGATCCATTCAGCTCCTTAAAAAAAACCAGCCTCACAATCATTACGCTGCAGAATCACACGATTCTTGGCGAGTTTTCACCCACAAAACTCCCTGATAATCGTTCACATGAGAGATTTCCCGCTGATAAACAAACGAGGATGGATCAGGGCTAATCAAAAACATCTAAATTCATCGTGACCCCGAAACACTGCGGTCACTGAACACGGAGAACGAGATGCTTAATCAAAGTGAGTCACGCCCTCAGAAGACTGCTTCCTAATTTCACCCCCAGCCTGCCTGGAAGAGTCCTGACAGAATCACGTCCTCATTGTTTTTCCTCTTCACATGGTTAGCAGAGGGGAGAGCGCGCCCGGTCTGTGCAGAAACAAACGCACACGTGTCGTCTTTGTGTGTTTGGTTGTCCGGGGAAATATCGCAGATTTCGTATCCGGGAGGTGGTCGAATGATTCCTCACATAACTGGCTGTAGAAATTCACTTTAGATTTGGCTCTTGGATTAGATTTTTTTACATAAGTCATCAACTGTTTACCAGAAAATTAAAATAATCCGCTCTGTCTAAACCAGTTTGTCGTGTTAATTTGAAATACAAGCGTCTGTGCCCAACACATGACTCTCTGACTGCAGTGTGTGACCACAGCCATCATCTCTTGGCACAGAGTGTTCATGTTTGTGATTGTAAAACGTGATTATCCGTGTCCTTCCCTTTCTATTAAACTGGGCGGTGATTAATCGTGAGCGTTGCTGGATGGAGAAGACCAGAGGACGCAGAGGAGTAAAAAGGGGGAGCCGGTTAGTAGAGAGGGGGGACGGGTTGGAGTGATGGCTGCAGGGTTGGGTTTCTTGGATGGGGGAGCTGAGGGAAGCAGCTGCAGTCTCAGCCTGTTGGTGTGGAGCCTGCTGATCGTCAGGCTGTCCATCTGAGCAGGATTGAAAAGCATTTAATGAAGACGTTTCTGTGCTGGCGCACCAGAAGTACCGTCAGGTTGAGGTAGACGACTCCAGGAGACCACAAGAAGTTAAAAAAGATCAACAGTGCCAGAAAAAAGTTCAGTTTGGAAGAGTCTGATGTCTGCCAAGTTTACCGTCTAAAACACTGCGAATGAAGACTCTCCTCCACACTTCAACTTCTCTCTTCCTCATCGTCCAATCAGTGTTAACCTCAGTTTAAGACACCCTCTCCTATATGTAAACAGTACTGTACCTTTAAGGGGGCTGTGACGAGTTTATTTCATGATATATAATTAATCACTGAAGTCGGAAAACAGTTGTTGGTCACAACCAAACTTAAAAAATGTCAATTATTAGTCAAGATCTTTTACATTCGTTACACATTAAAGTCTGTGAAATGCATAGATGTGTTTTCTATGATTTACACTTGATACAGCCAACTGCGTAGCTCGCGAAACGAACGTCGGCATCTCAGCGATTCTTTGCCCCTCACGGTTTTCGACAGGTTCGACATTTGTTCGGCAGCTTCAGCATTATTAGTGAGCTCACTTCAGTTGGATTGGATGCTTCAGTTTATCACCAGTAACACACTTTTCTCCCCCGACTGAAGCAGAGCGCCGGAATGTCAAGAGAATGGCGCCCAGTTTTACGATTTAAATTCTAAAAGGCTTAAATGAATGTGAATATTTCAGTGTGGAAATTGAAACGCTGTAAAGAAACGCTGGAATTCCTGTAAGCTAGCCTGTCACATCGCCATCTTGTTTCTGAATCGATCGGTTGTTTAAATAAAGTTTTTACGTAAATTTGCACTTGCGCAGTTCGGATCGGGTAGGTGGCGACTAACTGCCGTAAAATACATTGAAATGTCAAGAGAGGAAGTGACGTACATTTCACACATGCGCAGTAAAAAATCAGGCTTTCGGGACGTGATATTTTTTTTGTAGGATGGTAGGGGAAAGTCCTGCCCCCTTCGCCTCTGATTGGCTAGAAAAGCTGGAAACGTCATAGCACGCGCAGGCCAAATGCGGACTGTCGGCTCTGTACATCGAACATCGAATGATCTCACTTCTGAATTTCCTAACCCTAACCCGACAGACGATAACGTTTCACAGCCATAAGGAATAACCAATCGGAGCCCAGAACTTCTAGCCAATCAGAGGCGAAGGAGGCGGGACCTTCCCCTACCATCCTACAAAAAGAAAGTTTGCTTCTGGGATGGATTGGGTAGCGACACGTACAATGATACTGCGCAAGTGGTGGTTCAGGAAGTGGAGAAACTCCAAACTGAGAGCACTTCGGTTTCAAATTCGTATAATGACGATAGGCAGAACCAAGTTGTCCATAAGGTATACAGTCTATAGTTACAGCTTAACTTAAAATCCTCAATAAGTGTGAATTATTAGTCAAGATCTTTTACATTTGTTACACATTTGATCATAGCAGGCTTTCCTAAAAGTCAGTAAACTGTCTTCAAATTAGCATTTCAGGCCGAGTTTTCCCGTTTGTAACCCTCTCTGGTTTTCCCCCGTCCGTGTTGAGCGTCACTTCCTCAAAGTTGTCACCAGAGTTGTGAGTGATCCTCCAGAGACGCTCACATGGTGGAGAGGGGAACCGTTACTCAACAACACTGACATCATGTGAGTCAACTGCTGCTCTGAAGTCTTCCACCACCGTTATGTAAGATTGAGAAGCTAGACGGAGTTCGGCTGCTGATGAGCACGACCGTCTCTGAAGCCCCAGACCGCTTCCAAACACCGACATTTTATGAAAAACTGCGAGTGCACAGAGGTTCTCAGTGATTTTATGTAACTGATTTTGGAGTCGAGTTTTTGATGTCCTCATTACAGCGGCTTAAGAGCAGCCAAATGAAAAAATGAATCACTCCCACCCTGAAACATGCTGCTGCTCCAACAGCTGCAGCGTGATGGTGTGCTGATGAAATGTGATATCTGCATTTAAATGAGAGCTTATCAAGAGTTAAAGTGATGGACGCTTATGTAGATTAATCACAGGGGTCTTAATTGATGTTTTGAGTATGGGGGTGTCCATATTTGCTGCTTTCAAATGCTTTTAGTTTTTGCTCGAGGTGATTTTACGTATTTTAAATCTGAATCTTCATGATAGTTTTATTCATGATGAGTGGACGGTCAGTGAAGTCGGTGTGTTTCTGTCGCAGGTCATGGGATGCTCGTAGAGGGACATTCGAACGCCGAGCACTGGGGGAGACGGCTCATGGCGTCGGCGATGGAGAACGAAACGGAGCCGAAGAACTGTTCATCGCCAGGTATGCTAATCTGCAACCTCAAAGACCTTTTAAACACACCACGCTTAAAATGACAGCAGTATAAAAGCTAATGAAACTGAATTATAGTGACAGAGTTATAAACCTGCAGCTAAGACCAGATTTAGAGGGTATTTAAGTCTCTTTTTAAGACCATTTTAAGTCCTTTCAAGCTGATTTTCTTTCACTCTTGCTGTTTTCAATCGTCGTACCACCACAAAAATAATAAAAACTTAATTTTCTATCAGAGTTACCTTTTAAAGAATCACTGAATGTACTTGGCAGCATAACCAAGAGGGGCTGAATAACTGTTCAGCGTCAGGTATGCTAATCTGCAAACTCAAAAACCTTTAAAAAACTTTTAAACAAAGGACGCTTAAAATGACTGCAGTATGAAAGCTAATGCAACTTATTTATAAGGACAGTTACAAACTAGCAGCTAAAACCAGATTAAGATGGTGTTTAAGTCTCTTTTAAGACCATTGTAAGTCTTTTTAAACAGATTTTATTTCACTTTTGCTGTTTTCAGTCGTCGCACCACCACAAAAAAAATTTTCTCTTTGTTGAACACATGAATACACAAAAAAATCAAATTAACATTATATAAATAAAATAAAGCCCCAAGAAATAAAATATATTCACAAGAGACAAAAAAATACGTACTTCCCGGTATGATCGCTTTTATTTTGAAAAGCTTCAAATCAACCGGAAGTTGACTGTGTTTGGATAACTTGTCTTTAACCGCTGTCAGCCACAACAACCTGAAACCATAACAGAGCCTCATGTGGGTGAAAATTGAATAAACTCTTAATTAATTGAGTTGTTTCCTATTAAGTCTATTATTGAAATCTTGTTAAATAATCAATAACAGTGAGGGCGGATGTGATTTCAGAGCCTTTAAAGGTTCAATTATTGTGATCAGTCTGCTAATGAATGCACAACTACAGTCTGAGGATCAATAGATGATCTCTCAGTTATAATACAGAAGGAGCTCAAAGTTCGATCCATTAGTTTGGGTTTTAATTGAAGCGTCTTTAATTAACTCCTGAGTCCGGCTCTATTGTTCTGACTCAGTTTGGATCACTTCTCTGTAATAAGCACTGAGAGGGCTATTAAAAGGCTCCGTTATTGATTAGGTTACAGCATCCGAAAGGAAAGCAGACTTCTCTATAATTAGTTATTCTGGACCGTATGCTGACGGATCCACTCACTCTGCTTACGTCTGCAGCTGCTGTGGGAAACATCACCGCTGAAGTTTCTCATGACAGGATTGTTGTTGTTGAGAAGGTGCAGAAATCATTTGTTTTTTCATTTCCATGTGATTTGAATATCCTCCGACCTGACTTGAGCTGTGTGCGTGACCCTGTTAGGAGAGTCTAAGCAGATGGGTTAGAGGAGCAGGAAACATAATCGACTTCTTTGATTTGTTGAATTTGGTTCAAGCAAAAAATACACACAGTTAGAAGTCAAACGTTGATTTTAAGATATTTCCCTGTCAGGGGAAGCAACAAGAGAACGATTTAGGAAAGAAATGGTTGTACGTGGTTTCCCTCTGCAGACTGCCTCAAGTGGACACTCAAGGAACTGCAGTGTTTAGCTCTGCCGCTTCAGCTTCATTTCTCAAGCACGGGGTTGCTGCTTGATATTGACGCCATCGGTCAAGATCGAACCCAGGCCGCCTGCATGAGGTAGCTGAGTGAACAACGTGAACTGAATCACTCCGAGACCTGATTCGTTCCTTTCTCAGTTCAGCTGAGCTCAGCCGCGAGTCTGGCGTGTCAGTGGGGAGTGGATCTGCCACTGTTGGCTCTTTTGTGAACGACACACAGTCAGCGAGCGAGTGAGCGGGCAGGTGGAGTCTCGTGATTTGCTCACAGCGAATGAACTGTAAGGATTTAATTTCAGCCGATTTAAAAAAATACTCTGATATCTTTAAATGTAGCAGACAACGACTCGCGCTCCTTTAGCGGTGTGCTGCTCGCTGCTGTGTTGTTTCCACCGACGGTGACACACAGAGAGGTGAGTTTTTCAGGGCTGGGGAGTGATCCTTACTTCAGGACTTGGCGAATGAACGACATGTGTCACCCAGTGAACGACGCTGTGACTTCAGCAGCAGGGGAGGGAAGGGGCTCTGAAGCACTGACTGATTCAGTGAACGAATCTTTTGAACAAATCCTTTTAACGAACTGATTCTAAAGATTCAGTTCAGTTAAAAGAACTGATCTTCCCATCACTAGCATAAAGCAGGACTACTTTGACCTTGAGGCCAGGGGGACTCCACCCTTTGAAGGTCATTTAAAGGACGTGGTCGAGGCCTGGTTAACACTCTGTGATTGATTACCGCGATGACTCATCAACATGCAACAACTCTACTTTGGCATATTACTGCTGATTAGTTCATATCATCATGTATTTAAGTCGTCAACTTCACTGTCAAGCAGACGCACAAGTCTGGGAACTTGTGCCGACATTGCGAGCACGTCGTTAGATCCGTCTGACTGGTCGGCAGCAGCTGATCGGCGAGTGATTGGCCCTTGTGCCACCCCGAATGACGAGTAATCGAGTCAAATTCAGCCTGACTTCACAATCAGTCATGACTCAAACACCGAGCCAGAATCATCTTTAATTTTCAGAGTTTGTACCCAGAGTATGTCTGAGTTTAAAGTCGTAAAGCGTAAATGTTTCTGACCTGAAAACTTAATTTGACTCTGAGAATGATTACCCGAGTAAATGGAGGCAGTTGTATATTAGATTTGAAGGCAGGAGGAAGATAATTTAGAAAGTAATTATATTAGTTTTTATTTTTATTTTTTGGCAGCCTCAGAAGTGACCCAGTAAGGACTAACTGGCTGTAACTTTATTCCTGGTTTATTACTGACTCATCTCCTTCAGAATCGGCCAAACAAAGATTTATTGTTCAGCTGTAAGGAGGTGTTTTTTTTCTTAATGTGAGTTTATTCAGAGCGTCGGTTCGGTTCCTTTTGAAATGAGCGCCAAATGACGAGATTACTCGCTGGAAGTTTTCCCGTAATCTTCCAGGATTACCTTCTTTCTTTTTTTCCATTCAGATGTCGTCGTCAGCTGAGCTCCACTTTCAACACATTCCTCATCAGCTGGTCCTCCTCTCCTTTGTCTCCCCCCCTCCTCCTCTCTTCCTGCTGGTCAGTGGGAGGTGGTCATATGACTCTTTAGTTGTCGGGTCTCGTGAATAATCCTGTTGTAGTTTCAGACTTCAGACACGTCAGCTGACACTGGCGCCGATTCAAGATAGTCATGAAGAGGCAAAGTTTTTTTTTTTTTGTCTCTTTTCACATTAACAGTTTTTGTTTTTCACATTTCAGTTTGACTCTAAATTATCTAAATTATCTTTATTTGGTGTAAAAACAGGACAGAAATTTTAGGACTAACGGACGTGTTTGAGGAGTTTGGGTCATATGAGAGATCACCCAGAAGGTTTTAATAATATCAAGAAAATGAGATTATTCCCTGATTATTCTTGGTTAGTTAAAAATCACACAAAGAGCTTTATTTGTCACATGCTTCACGGACTTGATTCGTAGAAAATCTCGTCTTTGTTTTGAAAACTTTCTAAATGTTACTCCGGATTTTCTGTCACTGACTCTATTAAAGCAAAACAATCCGATTATTCGACTGTCTGTCTGTCTGTCTGTCTGTCGGTGTAGAAAACTCTTATCTAGATGTTTCTCGTCGTTAGTGTCAGAGAGATCCGCTCGGCGTCTGCTTCATCTGTTCTCGCCGTCACGTGGTTTTCTGGATATTCAGAAAAGTTTGTTTCTTACTGAAAAACTTGCAGTGAAAACTGAGACAACATAGAAGTCTTATAGAGTGGAGAGGCTGGATGTTAAATATGTAAGGGGTGTAAGTAGGGCTGGGCGACAGGGGAAAAAGTTTATGATGATTATATTTTTTTTCATGTATCAGTCGATATCGATATAGATCACGATATGAAAATCTTAAATGTTCCCTGTTACTCTTAAATGAATGCAACATAAAACAGTTTCAAACACAACTACAAATAAATTTTAAAAAGATTAATTTGAAAACTAAAATCTCGTCTCTTTGACGTTTTGTCGTAAGGCGTTGCGCTCGAGAAAGACTGAATGGTCGCCGTGGGCTGCTTCGCACTTTCTCTGCTTTGTGGTTCGTAACCTTTTGCAATTTTGCATGCTCTGCCACATGGCGCTGCTTCAGTTGGTGAAAAAGATTTGAGGTATTCCCCGACTTTGCAGGAACATGAACTCAACATAATTTACTTGGGTGGGAGAAAAAATCGATTCACATAAGTATCGCGATTTTTTATTTTACAATCTTTAAATCGATTTTTTATTTTTTGTTCAAATTTTAGAATAAATCTAAAAAACTGACTTATATGTGACGTGTATTTTCGTGGAAATATTGTTCCTGGAGTAGTTCAGTAGACAATCATAATCATTCAACTGTTTCACTGGAGGTAAAAATGCAGACAAAGAATCGGGAAAATCGACAATACCGTAAAATCGCGATTTAAATCAAATCGGCATTCAAAAAATCGTAGAAGAATCAAATCGGAAGAAAAGCATATCATCCCAGCCATCGTAACCCCAGTTATTTTCAGTAGTATAGAAAATTCCGACGCTTCTGAATGCAACATCAGAATACTTTTGAGAGTTGCTGAGAGACGCAGCAGACCTTCGCGTGGATAACAAAACGTTCAGCTGTCGTAAATTTGCATCCATGCCAAATTGAAGCTGTGACTCAGATTGTCCTTTTCCTCTAAGACCTGTGGTGAGTTTGAAAACTTGTTTGCGTGTTTAACCCCTTGATTGTAACTATATGCAAGGGGGCGTTAGTTGGTTACATGAAATAAATCTACATATTTTATAGTAGCCATACCAAAAGTAAAATCAATTATAATCATCATCTCAAAGTCACTTTTGCTCGTAGCCGTCCCCCTTTTCAAAACAAACTGACACCCTTGTATATTTAATTATCGTTTTATCGCCCAGCCCTAGGTGTAAGTAAAAATTTGAGACAGAAATGAAGCAGATATGTGATTCTTTGAGATGGGGGACACTCAAAGTGTGTCAAATGGTCCAGATCAGCTCGACTTGATCCACTTTGTTAAGAATCAACCAGAACCTTTAATCAGAAACCAAACTGTCTGCTCTTTTTATCTGTGAGAGTCTCATGAACTCAGACAGAAGTCGTCCCGGCTGATGCAGAGGGGTCGAAAAGCCCCTCAGTGCGCAGGAGTCATTGTTTGTGTCCTGATGATCCACCAGTGATGCGTGACCCCCCTCCGCTCCTTCAGGGTGAATCACCCGGCATGGATGGACCTGCACTTGATTGGATAAGAATTATTATTTGGGGCTTTTGTTTTGTTTTTTTCTGCTGAGTGAGGACAGCAGCGTCCGTTTAATGAAGCCGCCACCGCCACTGCTGATGTTTGTGTCGGCTGCGTAGATCACACTCAGCCAGCTCCGGTCTCCCCGCCTTCTCCTCATCATTATTTCTCCAATCAGCGAGGGAGCCCTTCTCAGGATTTCACGGGGCACTAATGTTGTTTTGCTTGTCCTGCTGCTCCGGCTTCACATTCACATTCATCACAGATGCCTCTTTTATTGGCCGTAACTCCCGGGAAGCACAAGGTGCTGTCCAAACTGTTTTTTATGCCCTCTGCTACCCTATAATACGTGCTTGTAATTTAGACAAGAGGCTGATATAACCTCTGATTATTCCTTTTTCAACAGTCACATGCACTCTTTGAGTCACAACACCCCTGAGACGCTTCCCTCCTGCAGCGGTCCCATGACGGATGACACATGTGCCCCAAATTAGCGCCTCGATTCGACAAGTTGCAAAAACCTCTGTTTCTATTTCGGCGCTCGGATGTTTTGTGAGTCTTTTCGCCCCGGCTGAGTGAGGGGATGCGTGTCTGCTGAGAAAAGACTCGAGGTTTACTCAGGGACACAGAATATTAGATTATGTTCTCTCATATGTTACCCCTCCCCATGTGGGACAAACCGATGCCAACTATGCAGCACAGAAAATTGGAGAGGGGGCAGAGCGGCACGGTGGCGGTGGCTAATGTCCTGTAGGAGGAATAATGTGCTTTTAATAAAGATGCAGCTAATGCTTTAGATCGAGAACTCCTACTTGGGCGGCCTAATTGGCCTGGTGCGTGCAGACAACAGTCGAGAGCACAAACGAACGACAAAAGAGCGGTTTTAACGCCGTTTCTACGATGAGTTAATCTGACAGGATTTGATTATAATGGTGTTAGATAAGGACCCTAATCTGCCCAGAAGCAGGGCGTGAAGGAACCGCGGGTTATCTTAGAAATGCCGCAGCGCTGATCTGGTGTCAGTGTTTTCAGACAAGTTCAGACAAAAGGCAGAAATTGGAGCAAAGAGGAGATGAACTATTCCGGGTGGGGTTTTTTTGTTTTTGTTTTTGGCTGCAGTACGAAGACGAAATCTGCCAACGCGTAGAAGCCGGTCCAAGTTGGAATGCAGGTTGGTCAACTCCAGGGAAACACCAGAAGGAGCCTATTTTAAAAAGGAATTACACAAGCAGGGATTAGGCTGCTGTGCATAATGGAAACTGACCTCGCTCTGCTTCCCGCTCGCATGCCAATGTGGGAACAATGCAGCGGCGGAGAGAGAGAGAGAGAGAGAGAGGAGAGCGGGCGAGGAGGCACCTGAATAGGAAACAGTCTCTGTGTGCAGTTCAGCTCCGAGACACTTGACCTCTTTAAGTTCATGAATTCACAGGATCTTTGTTTATCTGTGCCGTCTTCCTGTCATCATGAATTACTGCAGTGTTGGCGCAAAGACTAAAAACATTTATAGATGTTTGTGGTTAAATACTACGACAGAGTATTAGGGCAGGGGTGGGCAACCATGTGCCATGGAGAGCCGAGAGGCCAAAACTCCACCAGGTGATTTCACTGATTAGTCTCTGCTCTCTGCTCGGAGGTAATCAGTGAAATCACCTGGTGGAGTTTGGGTTGGAAAGTAAACCTGCAGCCTGGTTGCCCACCCCTGTATTAGAACCACATTAAGAAAAAAAATGATGACTTCGAGATTAAAGTCATTACTAACGAGAATCAAGTCGTAATACAATCATTATTTACAAGAATTAAATCATAATAAAATCATTTTTTACGAGAATTAAGTCGTAAAGTAAATTTCGTCTTAAATCTGCTTTTGTGGAGTAAATGTCTGAGCTGGTCGACTGCAGAGTTATCTGTTGGTGCATCAGTTGGTCATTCAGAGAGTTTTTGTGGTTTCTGAAGAAACAATCCAACTGATGATCAACATTTGAGATTCACAGGGAGTCGAGCTTCGACAAGCACGTCCTGTAGCAACCTCCACCTGCAGAGGCACCAACACCTTATGGCAAATAGATTCATACGATAAACTAAAGACATATGAAATTGTTGTTCTAAACGGCTGCATTGAGGGATTTAACCTCGGCACAGACACTTCCAGACATTTCCCCCTCTTCAAAAACAGCGATTCCCTACAAGTCTGCCTGGTTCTTTCAGAAAAAAGATGAATTTCTTTCATATGTTCTGATACTTCCGAGGATGTGATGCTGAAATGCCAAAGGATTCAGTATCTTCTTGTTTGTGAAACCGAACTACTGAAGTTCAATTCATCTAAATGCTCCACAACACTCATTTAAACAATTAACAACAGGTTAGGATAGACATTAGCTATTAGCTACGACTTTTTTTCTCGTAAGAAATTACTTTATTATGACTTTATTCTCATAAGTAATGATTTTATTACGACTTTATTCTCGTAACTAATTACTTTATTACGACTTTATTTCATAAGTAATTACGTCTTTATTCTAATAAATAATGATTTTATTACAAATTTATTCTCGTAAGTAATTACGTTATCAATCCTCGTCTTAAATTTATTTTTCTTAATGTGGTCCTAACACTCCGTCGTAGAATACACGTGGAAATTCAGTGATTATATTTTGCAGATTTTCTGAACAGCATCAACAAAGGCGCTCCAGACTGTATTTCTTCTTCTTCTTCTTTTCTCCAGACTCTTCGGTCTCTCTCTCTCTAATGTGTTTTTCTTTTCATCATAACCAAAGCCATTAAGGACATTTCCCGGGTTTGAAAGGTGGACCGTCACGGCGCTGAGGTCGCTCCGCTCTCTCTTTGTTGTTGCAGATCCGTTCCTCACCCCGAGGGACTTGTTTACCTATTCCCGGACACAGCTGAATGCATACATTTCACAGCGGTGTCCCCTTCAGGTTATTGAACCAGGACTCTTCTGGTCCACCTGCTTTGGCCTCCCCCTCACACACACACACACACACACACATAAACACACACACACACACACTCTCACTGCATTAAAGCTGAGGGGAATTCATGCTAAAAGTAGACGTGTAGTAGGTATGCGAGTGTGCTCATGCAGGTGAAATTGCATGCGTTAAAGTGTTAACACGACCACGTGAGTGCGCTTGTACATGTGAGGTTTAAGCATGTGTGAGTATTGACCCAACAAGAGGATCATGTATTTTGTTTTTCATGCATTTGTCGTGCAGATTTTCCCACAAGGCGACTCGTGACGATGTTGTCATGTTTGTAAGAGCGGCTGAGTCGCAGTCGTCGAGTCATGCTGCGCTCACTGATGTGTGCCGGAGCGAGCTAATTATCTAATGGACTAATAATGACCTGGAGGGATCCTTCTCCTCTGAGGAGTCTCTTGACTACTGTACCGGCATGTCAAACCTTATCCCGTTAATGACCTGGCAGGTCCGTGGGTCTGTGTGCGGCCTGTGACAGAAGGTAGCGCCAGGCACTCGGCCAAAACATCTTGCTCACATCGTAGTATTATTATTTGGCAGATTAAAACACGATGGCGTTGTGTCAGAGCGATCTATTTTAAGATTGGAGGGATTTTTTCATTGCTCCATCTCAGCCTGGATATCTAATAATGTGTGCTGCAGTGTCCCGTCAAACTCCCATCGCTGGTGTAACAGACGGCGCCCAATACTGAGCTGCATTATGTAACAACGCCACCATCATATCTGGAATATTACCAGATTATGGAATTAAAACGGCACAAATGTAAAGAGGAGCTGGCGTGCTCTGCCTTTAAAACGTCAATAAATTAAAGTTGTCTGAGAGGATTTTCATATTTAGCACGAGACATCTGAAAGGACAATAAACAAGGATGTTTTGTTGGTTTATTCTCGGTCGTGCGGGTCTGAAGTAATAACATGTGAATCTACAACAATATAAAAGAACTGAAGGATTATATATTAGGATAAAAGACAGAACAATCGAGTCCCACACCTCTTCTTGTTGGTCCAATCTGGTTTATTTTTAGATCAGAAATCACAAACGGTTCAATAATCTGCGTCAAACACACCAAGGGAGCTGAAGAGGTTCATTTTAAATCAACAATAAATTAATTATGTGAGTCAATGTTCAGTGAACAGGTGGTATTAAATATTTAACACACGTTTCAAAACAAAACACTGAAAATGTTGTGTAATGCTTAAAAGAACCAGTTAATGTGTTATCATTATTAGATTTAAAACTAGTATTTTAAAGAGGCCGAATCTTTCACAGGTAAAACTGTTTAACAATGTCATATATAGGTTTTCATCAGCAGCAATTCACATCAATAAATCTCTGGTTACTAGGGAGACGAAGACCTCTCCTCAGTCTGCACTGCAGTAAATGGGGACACATAGGGCTGGGCGGTAAACTGAAAATTTACAGATACCAAAATTTACGACAATAACTGACGTCATTTTGCCCATACCTTCATATTTCATGATCACATGGCGTCGTAGTTAAAGTCTAAACTAGTGTGCGCTAACAGAAAACATACAGGACTTCATCATTTCACTTAGAGATGCATCGATCTATTTTTTTCCGATCCAATCGAAAATCAATACCTGGGCTGAGCATATCGGCCGATATCCGATACAGATCCAATACTATTGTTAAATGAATGAACTGTATACCTTACCCTAAACATTTAATGCAAAAGGATGGACAGACATAGAATATAGAGCGAACAGAATCGCTGTGTTTGATATTAATTAAAAGAAAAAAAAGACAGGATCGGAACGCTGGATCGGCGTCATTCATCAGATATCTGATCCAGTTAATTTGTCAATATCGGAGCCGATATCTGATCTATATGTTGGATCAGTGCCTCACTAATTTCACTGCTCTCCTCAGTTCCCAAATCTCCACAATTATCCTGACAATAGTAAACACTTCTCATTGTTTTTTGACTAAATATGAATAAATATCAAATTCTTTCAAACAGTTGGCGCGTCACCCAAACTCTGCGTGAATCTGGGTTTTCAAAATGAATCTAGGTCATGCATGAAAATAATACCTCTCCTGATTTAACCCCCAAAACTCTGACTCCTCCTCTCCTCTCTTTCCTGCATCCTGATGATTCCCACGCCATCCCTAACTGACCAGAATTTAAGCTGTTCGTGAATAAGATCACCTGACACGTCTTACAGGGACTCAGACTTTAAAACGACGCCTGGGAGGATTGATGAGCGAAGGAGGAGGAGGAGGAGGAGGAACAAAAGTGTTGCCAGTAATTTCTTGCATAAGCGCCGCAGTCAGGTGTCCAAACAGAGAATCCGGAGTTTATTTATAGATTTGAAGCTCAGACATCTGAAGGGGACTGTTTTTTTTTTCCCCTCATGCCTGCCGCACCAGCGCAGACGTTCCCCGTGTGTGTGAACTCGCTGTGTCGTTTCCCTCAGAAGAAGAAGAAGAAGAAGAAGAAAGCCTCCACATGTAAGGAGAGCGAACCTGCTCTCTCCCAGATCAGAGAAAACGAACTTCTTTACTTTAGTTTGTACAACAGATGGTATTTTAAAGGCCTCATTCCTCAGTATTTGGTCTATTTACCTGAACATCTAGAATAAGTACATATTTAGATAAAGATGTCTGCATGAGAGCTGTACTGGATGATAAATGAGGACTTTAAGTTGTACTTTAAATGTCAGATTGTACTTTAGGATTATCTATAATTCATGCATAAGTGAGATGATCTATAAGACAACCTTTCTAATAATTCGCTGCCTCTTATATATTTTTCCCCGTGCGTGCAAAAACGACGTTTTGATGATCAATCCAGCCGAGCCGCACATTATTTATGCTTCTATTTATGGACCCTCATTTGAGATGCATCACAGGAGCAGATCTGTGCGTCGGTCGGTCGGTCTCCTGTGCGTACATCCTGTCCCGTCCTTGTGTGGAAATCGGCTGTGGAAGCATGTCCGTGTGACCTCCACAGGGAGGAGGAGACGCCCACAAACCACCGTAGATGATGTCTGGTCGGACGTTTACATCGACAGGAGGGTGACCCCCTGCCCGCTCATCGCCGCCGCGCCTGTGCCCTCTAAAAAACCTTGGGGTGATCGCCTATTTTTAACCAGATCTGGAATAAATGTACACGGCGGTGAAGGGGTAACCAAAGATCAGGGGCGGTGAAGGTGTTTAATTATTGATCAATCTCAAACCCGCAGATTTGGGAGCCGAGTAGAGACGCAGCCTTGAACGACAACGACGATGACGGGACACTTCAGCCTTCAACGGCGAGTTTAATATATGGACGCCTGACTGTTATATGAGGAACCGGCTGGACTTCAGCCTTCAGGAGTTTGTCGTCTGTCACCTCTGAGGGCAAGGCTGACAAATCCTCTGACTGATTGTGCTTTTCCCAGCTTTCCACTTCAGCATATAAAGCTGTCAGAAATCGAATAAGCTGCAGTTTAATACGGCGATGAGCATCCAGGTGTCATCCAGGTGTTCGCCAGTTTCTCTTTACTTTTTAAGGTCATCGTCGTCATCACTCACAGACTCAGCGGGTCGTTATTCTGTCCTGTCACCGCCTCACAAAGAGAGTTTCTTTATTCTACCAGGTTAATATGTTCGATGACATGTGGAGATATAAAAATCCAGCTCGTCTCCGTGTGATGTAATTCGCTGAAATCCAGGATGCGTGCGGCTGATTGAGCGGGCTCAGACTCCATACTGTGTGAATATGTGATTTGCCTGTTCAGTGCTCCAAACGCAGCAGCAGCAGCGAATCAGTCATGTGGATTTCATAGACAGGCAGCGGTGAGGTCGGGACAGATGCAGAGAGAAGTCTCAGGTGAGCGCTGTTCCACTTCGCGAGTCCATATGTGACAAATCTTCTCTTGACGTAAACAGCAGCGGTCTCCTGACTCAGTCAGACGGATTTTGTCCTCAAATCTCGTGTTTTTTTTTCTTTTTTCTACGATAACAAAACAGACACACAAACATGCTTGATAATTGTAGATTAAAAATGTTGTATTAGCGCTTTAACAGCATTTTGAAATCTAGACCCAAGTATCAACACTGACTCAATTTAAAGGTACTGTGAGGAACTTTTGGTTTGTGTCAATTTCAGCACCCCCTTGTGGACAAACCTGGCTTTGCATTTGTCCCTTAAACAGGCCGACACCTACTTTTCTTTTCTGGCATTTAAAATAATACAGGTTTCCTACACAGTCAGAATTTCCAGAATTTTCCATACCCTACTTTTTAGAATTATTTTTTGAAATACAGACTTTTTCACTGTGGTAATAGTCTGTAAACTTAAATATTTTTCCATACTTTATTTTCATTTACCACACTTTTTAAGACCTGGAAACTGATCAAATTACTTCCATACGTTTTCATATGTTTCCATACTTACGTAGGAATCCTGAAAACAGGATATAAAAATCTTCAATCCTGTCCCTGATAGTCTTGCTGCCTTTGAATAACATAAAAAGACGTTAATATGAATGTCAGTCATTTTCATTAACAATAAAAATCAACACAGGATCTTTTAAAAACAAACAAAAAAAAAACACATAAAACAATACCTAGATTAATTATTTTTAGGGGATTAGAGCCACATGAAGAGAGATTAAAGTCGAAATTTCCTGATTAAAGCCAAAATTTTGAAATTGAAAGAATCAAAACTATTGAAACTATGTCGGAATTCTGAGATTAAAGTTGAAATGTCGTGAATAGCGTGAAAATATGAAATTAAAAATATTAAAATGTTGAGATTAAAGTCGAAATTTCGAGATTAAAGTCGACATGAATAAAGTTGAAATTTTGACTTTAAACTCTAAATGTAAATTTAAAAAATATCCCACCTGTGGTTATTTTTTTTCTGCTCTTGTGGCCCTGATCCTTTTTCATAAGTGCCAATTTTCATATTTTAGCTCCATCCAGCCCCCTTTGTCCCCAAAATGTAGTAGGAACCGAGGTTAAGGTGGTTTCAGACACAAACATGAACACAGTACAAAGACACTTCAATCTCATAACTTTGAAACTACTTTAAAAACTTTCTATCAGGCTGTAACTTTTAAGGACTGTTTAAAATCCTGCAGGCTCGGTACAAGAAGAGACAGAATGTGAGTTTGCAGCTCCGTCCAAACAGAACCGGGTCAGTCAGGGGCCGCTCTCCACAGATGCTGGGTCTTCTCAGGAAGACAGCCAGCTAGTGTCCCCCAACCAGGTGCACCGTGGAGCGTTTGTGCTCCCGGAGACGTGAGCCGTATGGCGGTTACCATGATCACACTGCGCTCCAGCTGGAGCTCTGGATGACGGATGACGAGTCCTCAGCATGGGAGCGTTTTCTGCCGGTCCGCCTTAATTCTGTATGACTTCAGACGCTTAATATAGACCCAGCTTTTACATCCGCTCAGAGGAGACGGTTCTGGTTTGCTTCATTTTTCTCTGAAGAGGTTTTGAGTGACGTGACGGACTGCAGATAGAAACTGGTTTCAAAGCTTCAAAGGTCTCCGTGTTGTTGTTTTCTTCAGGTTGTTTTCATGATGATCTCAGGCTGCTGTTAGATTTGCATACAGCCTCCTCTGGTCGTGGTTCCACAATTTAGTCAAATAAGATAATTCAGATGAAACAAGATGAGAGGAAACATCAGCCTTTGAATACGACAAACAAGCTTTTGTAGTTTGAGGACAATAAGAGGCTCTTCTCTGAGAGCGACACCTTTCTGTAAGTCGAACACGAACCTCGCTGTCATGTTACTGATGTGTGACCGTGACATTTTCTCTCTCCTCAGCAATACACGAGTTCCCCGATGACCTTTTCACCAGCCAAGAACGAAAGAGTGGTGCTGTTATGCTGCACATTGTGGCGGTAAGAGGACTTTTTTTTTCTCCCCCTCCTTCAGCCTCTCATCTTGGATCGTATCAGCCTCTCTAGTGCGCACTGGGCTCAGCTGTTTGCAGGTGGATTTGGACGTTTTTCATAAAGCAGTTATTACGACCGCTGAGGCTCTAAAAGCTCAAAAGTAGCACAGTGGGGTAATGGCTGCAGTTTTGTTTTTTTCCAGTGAACCATTAAGTGACGCAGAGTTCTGTGCATTTGTACCAAAACAAAGAAAAAAGAAGGGCATCGACTAAATTTGAGTCTGGGGGTTTGTTTTGTCCCTGATTGAACAAATAAAAGTATTTAAATGAAAATAAAATCAGTTACTTTAATTAACTCGTCTAGAAGTGGGTTTGAAATGGGCGTGGTTAAGATTAAAGCTCCTGTGAGGAATTTTCTGCCTATATTGACTGTGGCGCCCCCCTGTGGACAAAGAGGTAACCCTTGTTTCATTCAACAGTCCCCCTGTTTTCATTTTACTGTTAAATTAATCACTCAGTGAAAATTCGACATGGAGAAGGTGAAAAAAAACAACATACATTTAGTGTTGTTGCTCTCTAAGGCTGGGCGATAAACCGAAAATTTACCAATACTGAAATTTACAACAATAACCAACATCATTTTGGCCATATCGGTATATTCAGTGTCAGACAAATAAACAAATCAAAGTTGTTTTTGGAAATTAACATTAGTGAATGAGATATGTCTTTATGACCCGTACGCGTTCGATGCAGGTGAGTGGATAAATGACGAGAAAAAACAGACTTTAGTGGGCAGACATCCGTTCGTACCTGACAGGACATCAAGTCTCTATTAAGAAAAAAAGAAAAACAGTCAACATACAGCCCTGAAGGAGGACAGTAGTTAGGGCTGGGCGATAAACCGATAATTTACCGATACAGAAATGTAAGACTATAACCGATGTCATTTGTCCGTATCGGTATATTCTGGGTCTAAATCAGTAAGTGTTGGTTTTGGATGTGTGTAGGTAGGCTATGGTTTCATGTCCCTTTAAGACACTGTCCTACATCAGAGATGTAGAGGGAAAGACAGGTGAGGAGATGGAGGACGGTTCAAAAGTTGGAGCAGCTGAAGTAGACGAAGTTAATGTGGGAGGGGGTGAGCAGCTTGTGGAGTAGTTATCGTCCATTTATCGTTATCGAGGTGAACTGATCAATATATGGTGATATTGATTCATGATATATCGCCCAGCCCTAGAGTCTTTTCTCTTCTTGTCTTGCAAATGTCTGTTTCTTCTTGTACCAAACAGTTTATCTGCGTCGTCAGAGGTCACCATCTTTAAAATCCACTTTAGAAGTTCCAGATCTTTTCCCTGATGGTCTTGTTTTTATTTTTCAGGTCATTAAGAAACATCAGGATTAGTTTGAGTCCATTTGTTTACTCACAGGAGCTTTAATCGGCAACAAATTAAGTGATTAAGTGAGTGCTGTTAAATAAAAATGCAAGGACCATGTCATTCATAACTCCGAGGAAGCACTAAAGCTGATATTTGACATGCATGATAACAGAAAACCAAAGACGTCATTTCTTTTATGTGGATCTGATCGGTGTAGAGATGACGAGCTCTGTGTCACAGTTTAAACTTGATCATGATTCATTTAACAGAAGAGACCAGAGTCCATTATTTAGACAGCATGAGATCACTCTCCACGTGGAAATCCCTCCTCGTCCACGTTCGGTCCCGCTAAGCTCCGCAGACTTGTTGTCCCAGAGACTCGAACCACCTATGGAGTCGTTCAGTATTGTCGAAGTGCTGCTCTTCATGCTGGATTTAACTGGCTTTAAAAATGTTTAATCTAATCCGGGGCTCTAACCAGGATTTCAGAAAAACGAAGGTCAGTATCTGCCCCTTTAAAGAGACTCTCTTCATCCTGAATCCTCGTTTTTTTTCAAAGAGCCAAAAACACACGAGAGCCGGTGGATCTTCTTTCCTAGAATGAAATACAGTTTGGAAACAGTTTTGATTCAGCGACGGATACTTTTAATAATTAATTTTAAGGGGTTCAAGTATAAGTTAAAGTCTGTCCTAAAGCCTTCACATTTCAGAGACGAGGGGCTGCAGCTTCACTCTGAATTTGTCAACATACAGTTTTGAGTTTTGTGGATAAATTCAAACAAGAAAAGAGGATGTTGGAGAAGATTGAAACATCGGAAACGTCCACCACAAACCAGTCACATAATTTGATTTTTAAGGGTTCACCCACGGGGTTGGGGTTAGTGCAAAACGGGTGAGAGAAAAGAGGGTGAGACAAAAATAACAAAACAACCACAGAAGGAGAGAAGAACATGTGATAGAGCTCTGATGTTTGCAGGTACATACAGGTGCGTTTAGATGAAGTCTCCCCCCATGATCAGGATCTGAACCGTCCTGTCTCCACTGCTGAGAGGAGAATGTAAAGAGTGTGAATGTGTGTGTGTGTGTGTGATCATACTGCAGTCCTGCACTGCCCCCTGTGGATAGCATAGAGCAGAGCAGGGCTCCTGGAGCTGACGTCAGAGCTGATCTATAATTTATAGATCTGGCCTCGGCTGCTGTGGATTTTTCAAACCGTGAGTGAAAACGTCTCCTCGCCGGATTGATGTTTGGATTCAAAGCAGGTCATGTTTTAATTGGCTGCTGCGCTCTGAGATTCCCCCTTCGCCCGCCCCTCTGCTCAGCTCATTTCTGCTGATTTAGGATGTATCCACACACTCACAGACACACACAAACATCTACTCACACACACACTGTACCTCTCACTCTCCTCTCTCTGCCCACAGACGCTCTACATGTTTCTGGCCCTGGCAATAACGTGCGATGAATACTTTGTGACATCGCTGGAGAAGATCTGTGAGGTACGCAGGAGGAGTCGGGGTCCTCGGAGTCCTCGGAGTCCCCAGTCTTTGAGTCTTGAGCAGGTCCAGGAGGATTTCTGAGTCTGTTTGAACAACCTGCTCTGATTTGTCTCTGCAGAAATTGGACCTGAGTGAAGATGTTGCAGGAGCCACCTTCATGGCAGCTGGCAGCTCTGCACCAGAGCTTTTTGCTTCTATTATTGGTAGACAAACACACACTTACACACACACACACACACACACTTAGACACACACACTCCTATGAACAGTTTGTGCATACACACAGATGGTTGGTGTCACCGCTGATCCTGATTGGCTGCCTCTCTCCCCGTGTGCAGGTGTCTTCATCACCCACGGCGACGTGGGGGTGGGGACCATCGTCGGCTCAGCGGTCTTCAACATCCTCTGCATCATCGGCGTCTGCGGGATCTTCGCCGGACAGGTGTGTGGTTAAGTGTGTGTCTTTGTGTGTGTGTGTGTGAGGGTGACTTCCTGCTGCACTCTATTTATTTATACACTGCAGAGAAACACGTGTGTGTGTGTGTGTGTGTGTGTGTGTGTGTGTGTGTGTGTGTGTGTGTGTGAGCGCCTGAGTTTTTAATGCGGAGGGAACACAAAGCCATCTGCTCCACTCGGTGTGGTTTTTTCTCACAACTGGTTGTTGTGGAAGTGGAGAGTTGAACTCTGGAGGAGGTGGAGATCATGAATCTGTTTCATCTTCAGGAAGTGTCTTTAGAGAAATGAGCAGAAAAAGTCCCAAACAGAAGCAGTTAAAGAAACATCTCAGAAACTACATTTGTGTGTTTTTCTCTGTGAAATCTCAGGTGGTGATTCTGACCTGGTGGGCCGTCTTCAGGGATTCTCTCTACTACATCTTCGCTGTCCTGGCGCTGATCGCAGTAAGTTTGTCATGATTTTATCACAGATGTTCATACAAAGTTCGGCTTTTATTCTTCTATTCTAAGAGAAATGTCTTTCTTTGTTTTTCAGTTCATTTACGACGAAAAGATAGTTTGGTAAGTTTCTCACTCAGCCTGTTTATGAACAGATTTGCTGTATTACTATTTTTCAAACATCAATCAGTCTTTATTTATTTTGCACTTTTCATCCAAAAAAGATGTAGCAGAAAGTTTTTTACACAGCAGAGGAATAAAAGAAACAAAGAAAACCTGAATGTAACCTTAACGAAATGAAGCTCAAAGATCTTATATTATCTTTCATTATTAAAGTGTATTATCCCTTTAAATGAGTGGAAACTTGAGTTTAAAAATACATTTTATTTATAAGCGCCTTTTTGGACATTCAAGGAAACTTATATAAAATAATAATAAATAATATATAATATATTAAAATAATATAATAAAAACAGCAGGATAAAAGCGAGAGAGAAAACAAAACAAACAAAAAATATATATATATGTATGTATGTATGTATGTATAATTGACGAACAAAAACTTTAGTTTATTATCGTTCTGATGTTAATCTTGTTTTCTTCTCTTCATCAGGTGGGAGAGTTTGGTGCTGGTGGTCATGTATGCTGGATATATTCTTGTCATGAAGTAAGTTCTTCCTCTTTTACACGATTTTCACCGCGTTATTATTCAACCCCCAAAAGACCCCCTTTTTTTTCAGAGTGTTGGTTTAATTAAAGTGGAGTTTTTAACAGGAAGTACCTCAAAGTTTGACTGATAAGCGCTCTTTGTTCCCGTCGGTCGCCCTGCAGCGGTCTGAGCGTGTGCAGAATGGTTAAACTCTCCCACACCTGGTTCCTGTGGGCTGATTAATATGACCGACTGTGGGCTCGGCAGCTTCACAGAGAGAGGGGTGGGTTTCCAGCTGGAGGGGAGGGTCTCAGTCATGTCCCCTCACCAGATGTTAGCTGAAGATTCGGCCCAGAAGCTGCAAATATTGCTCCCATAATGCAAATTAATGACGCAGTTTCACTCGGCTCGGACACAAGTTTTGTTGTTTGCAGAAATGTGCGATTGTTGACTGGATGCAGAGATGTGAATGAATGCATATTTTAGATTTATTTTCTTCACCATGTCCTGAAAACTCCTCGTCTATTCTTCATTATGCACAGAAATATAGATTTAAATCTGCCATATTTGTGTCTTTACAGTCCAAACTGCATAATACCACCCACACGGTCGTGCTCCTCTGTCTCTGTCCAGCTGGTAATCTGTGTAACACTCAGCAGCAGCAGCAGCAGTCTGCTCGCTCTCTGCCATAAGAGTTTAATCTTTCTCCCTCTGCAGCGGCTAAGAGCACCGGCTTAACCAGATCACTCCTCTCCTTTCTCATTTGGAGGAAAGAAGTGCTTACTGTAGGATATGCTGTCATATGTCTCCCCTTTCCCAAAATACCCGCTGACAATTTTAGGCCTGTTCCAGTCAAAATGCAGCAGAGTGGGTTTTAAATAGAGCGATCAGTGCTCTCTGGGGCGACCTCCTTTGGCCCTGCTGAGACGATTTTTCCCTCCTAAAATAGCACACATGCTCCTTTATGTAAAATAAATCAAACCACAGTGAAAATATGAGAATATAACGGCTGAAAATATCAGAATAAAACTGAAGAAGTAAAACATGAGCATTTTCTAACAGGAGTCAAATATACTTGATGCAAAAATGGACATAACTCACCGAGCATTGTTCAGTCAAAGACATTCAATAGACATCTGGGCTAAAATGGGTCTGCCACTTGTCTAAAAATGAACGACTTTTAGCCGTCTAATAGACTAAACTACACTGTAAATTGATCAATGACTGATAAAAATGTTTTAATCCAACATTTAGCCATGATTTATACAACTTACAATTGTTTTTTTATTTAATATTTGATAATTAATGGATTAAATTCTATCATCTAGATTCAGGCTAAAATAGAGACAGATTATAGACGGTGAATTTCTGTCTAAAATAAGATGAGATGTCTAATAGACATATAAGGTTCAGTGGAAATGTGGTGTTAAAACCTGTAAGATCACACCCACTACCATCCTCATCTTCAACCAGATGAGTGAAACACTTTACAGCATTTATCGAGTTACAGTGGAGAGGAAGAACTTCATTTAACAGGCAGAAACCTCGAGCAGAACCAGACTGATGTTAGACAGTCATCTGTCTGAGATTGAGAGAGAAAAAGAAAGAGGGAGAGATGGACAGAGGTGAGACTGCAGGTAGATTATCAACACAAGCACAGACTCTCTGATGTTGTTTTTATGAGTAAAGTAGGGCTGCACGATCTTGGCCAAAAATGAAATCCAGATTTTTCATTCAGTGACAACTTCACCAAACTTTACTTCAATAATAAAAAGTTTTTCTATCGTCTCTCAAAATGAAACCGCTGAAAATAATGTAGTTCATATGCCAAGCCAGTAAGTGGCGCTGTAACGCTGCACAGGAAATGCACAAAAGACAGAAGAAGAGAACAGAGCATGTGTATAAAGGTCGTTTTGGCGCCATAAAAGAGTTACTCTGTGTGTCACATGATCGTTTCCAGAGATGCAGATAGACATCCACACGGAGATGAAATGGTCGTCGTTTACAGATTTATTCACTCTCTGACCCGTTTTCAAAACGTACCATTTACAGTCACCTGAAACACCGCTACGACAAAAAACTTTAGCGTTTCCTCCTGAATTCGTTTCCGTGGTGACGGGTTGATACCGCCTTCAGACAGACTTTACAGCAGGCAGTGGTTTGCTCTTCATTTGAAACTGTGAAGTTGTACCAATTCAACACGACTGACTCGCTCTTGTCCTATTTAACCACAAAATTATCGCCTTCTTTTGCAAACGCCATGTTTGTTTACACTGGTGTTTGTGGGAACTGGTGTGTGCTCCCGCAGGAAGGGTGAGCCTACGGTGGCCTGGAGAGGAAAATCGATTTGAGGACTTTAAATTTTTTAACATCAACATTGGGATTAAAAATCGATGAATCGTGCAGCCCTAGAGGAAAGTAATCTCCAGCTCAGCTAAAGCTAACTGTTGCGTATTATAAATTAAAGTGATGAACTCTAACAGGTGTACTGCTGCTGTCTGAAAGAGTGTATGTCCAGAAATGACCTGCAAACATTAACTGTGCATAAATATGGATGACACACCTCCACCTCCTTCTGTAAAAGCAAAACCAAAATTAGATCAAGGTCATGATCACTGGAACTGTCTTCATTTCTTTTTAATTAGAATTAACATTTACAACTACATGTAGTCAAACACAAGAGTGAGAAATTCTAAGTATTGGAACCAGAGGGCTGATGGGAAGGCGAAGTCAACACACTCAAACACTTTCAAAATGAGACGCCGTGATTTTCTGTAAACTACCCGACGGTTCGAGAGTTAATGTTAGCTTTGAAGGAAACAGCCGAGTCTCCTCTGCGCTCGTTTGGTTCAAAGGAAGCAGGAGTCGGGATCCGTTTTCATGTAATGGCGCTCAGATTGTCTCAGCGAAGGTCTTATCAAACGATGAAAGCGCTCTGATGGGCTTCTCTGGGAGTTTCTTTCATTATCATTTCTAAAATAGAGCTGCTGCATATTTCAGCCGTTCTCCTCCTGCATAATGCTGATGCCATCCTCTCAAACTGGGTCACCTTAAACATCATGTGCTTTCTATAGAGGTGTACAGAGAGAGAGAGACGCAGCGTTTTGAACCCGCTGAACCCTGAACGTCCGACCTCTAATTCAGATGTTCTGGATCTTCTCAGGTTCAACTCCAGCATGCAGAGATTTTTCATGGGGAAGTCGAAGAAGAAGAACGTGGCCAACGGTAACGCCGCAGCCAGCAGTGAGATGGAGGACGGTAATACTAGTTATGACTATGTTTCTGATGACGACCCGTCATCGCCTTTACTCGCCAAAGGTAAGGTTAATCAGACAGGCTGGACACACACAAGATTCTGTCGTGTAGGGGTGATCTAACCGCGTGTGATTCTCTTCTGTTAGCTGGTCTGCTGCGGCTTTAACCTTCGCTTCTGTCTAACTATCGAACTGTCTGATTCGCTTCAGCTTCTACTTTCCTCAAAATTCACAAAATTCACAAAAACACGAGAACACTGATACCAGACGACAAAAGTTGGACTGCACCACCCGGAGGAAGACGGTTTGTCAAGTTTCTGTCATATTTCTAAAGTCATTCAGTCGTGTTCCTCCGTTTATTGTGGCCACTTTTAGACGGAAACGGTCTCCATAGAAAACAGAAAAATGTAGTTTGGTTTAGGGGGGTCCGTTTAGACGGCAACAAAGTGAAAACCCCCTCCAGAGTGGAAATGTTGTAAACGCTCTGCTCGTCCCGCTTTCGTCCAAAGTACAAAAACGCTGAAAACAGTCGAACCTGTGACGTCCTGGCTCACGTCGGCTCACGCTTTTGACATCATAGCCTTGAAAATAACAACAACAGCCATGCTCGACACTCAAGTCGCGCTGTCGTTATTATTGAACGGGCAGGAGCTCAACTTTGACCCGTACAGAATCCTCACGGATCATACTGCTCAGCAGAGGAGGCGTCTGAATTATTTGTATCAAATATTAATGTATTAATTAATGTAGAACAGAAGTTGTTCTACGTTTGCGTTGTTGGTCTATATGGGAGCGCGGTCACACCGACGCGCCACCTAGCGACCTGGCATGCACATTACAGCGTTTTCAACCACATTCGGTTTTTGTGTAAACGCAGCATAAAAACTGAAAATTAAACGGCAATTTTCCGTTTTCTATGGAGACCGTTTCCGTCTAAAAGTGGCCTTGGTCGCCTCGCTGACTCTGAGTCTAAGTTTATGTGTGATGAAGAAAACCGGAGCTTCTCGAGGCTGAATGAAGATCGGCTTTAATCTGCTCTCAGTGAAGCAGTTTAATGTCAGCGGACTTTGTTGTCTGAGGTTTTTAAACTTCAGATTGTCCAGATAAAATCTTGAACGTCATGTTTGGATGAGATTTCATGACTCTTCCTCTTTTTCCTTCTTTACGATCTTTCTAAAACCTCTTCTTCAGTGACATCTAACCCCTCAGAGATATTTAACCTTTCCCACTTTGGCTGCATCCGTGTTAACCCGCCTGTCTGTTTAGCCTTACTAAACTGACTCTCGCTTGTTTTGTGCTGCTGTGTGTTTCTGTTCTCTCTGCTTGCAAACTACTTCTCTCCCTCTGCCGGTCTCTGGGGCGCAGACCCACTCACTTCTGAAGTGGTAATGAATTTCACAAGAGGAAACGTCTGTTTACGCTCTTAATTTATGTGCATTCTGGCATGCATAATTAGTCAAATTAATCCAGAGTTAAACCAATACTTTTTCAAATCCTCACATGCTAATTGTAAGCGCTGGGGAAATGAGGATTACAGGTTCTCAATAAAACATGTTTGTGTTTTTAGTTTTATTGTCCGGGAGTTTTTTATCCTCCATGTTTCAGGTTTTGAAAAGTAAATCCTAGTCCAGCTCTTATACATATTCACGAGCGGTCGGCAGACTTCAAAGCTGCACCCGGCGATCTGAGGGAGCCGTTTGAAGTCCAGAACCAGAACCGGTGTTGCATCAGTAACCGCACTTAATACGGTCGAGCTTACACAGCAGGAGTGTGATGTTTTAGAGCGAGGAGACGAGAGGGGGAATGTGAGACGAAGAAATGACACGACAGAGCGGGAGTTATTTTTGGACGAGAGTCGAGTAAATTAAGACTGATTCATTAACATTTATATCATGAATCATGCAAATAAACGAGAGGTTCATTAGGTTTAATGTGTTTAGAGATAAATAAAATACTTAAGGATCTGAGTTAGTTCCAGTTTTTAGGAGAAATCTTGAGTGTAAACTCTACCCCCTCCCAACCAGTAGGGGTCAGTGATACAGTATGATTTTTTATATTTCTGCATTTCAGCTCTGTATGATAAACACCAAATAATAACAGGGTTTCTACTGAGTCTTAAAAAGTCTTTAAAATGTCTAAAATTCTCTTGAAACCTCATAAAATGTCTTAAATTCAAATTTGAATATTGATGTTATTTAAGATTGATTTTAAGTTAGTTTGAAATGTTCCAATATCCCTTTATGTCTTTTGCACTTTTTTGCCAGTATGGATATGGATATAAAATGGATCTTAAATTATATCTGTTATGGTCTTAAAAAGTCTTAAAAAGTCTTTAAAATGTCTTAAAATGTCTAATAAATCCAATTATTTGAACGAAGGGCCTTTTAAAATGTCTAAAATTCTCTTAAAACTTGAAAAAATGTCTTAAAATACAAATCTTAATGGTCATAAAAATGATTCGCTGTTACTTACAAATAAAGATTGATTTTAAGTTATTTTTAAATGTTCCAATTTCCCTTCATGTCTTTTGTACTTTTTTCCAGTATGGATGTAAAACAGATCTTAGATTGTTTTCATTATCATCTTACAGTCTTAAAAACTCAAATAATTTGAATTCAAGGTCTTTAAAATGTCTAAAATTCTCTTAAAACGTCATAAAATGTCTTAAATACAAATTTGAATATTGATATACTTACCAATAAAGATTGATTTAAAGTTGGTTTAAAATGTTCCCATTTCCCTTCATGTCTTATGCCAGTATTGATGTAAATGGATCTCAAATTGCATTGATTTAAGGTCTTAAAAAGTCTTAAAAAGTCTTAAATTTGACTTGTTGAAACCTGCAGAGACCCTGAATAAGGTAAACATGTCCTGTGGACCAGAAACAGTGTTGTTTGAGGTTCTAGATTACATGACCCTGTCTGCTTACCAAGCCTCCTGTTCTTACCTGCAGTTTTGAGCTGAGCTGACTGAAATCCATCGACGTTAAACTCAAACAGCCTCACCTCAAAAATACTGAAATTTTCCTTTTTAAGTCCGTCAGGTTGAGTGGCAGGAGGAATATTTTACTGTTGCTTTGGGAAACACTCGTCTGTCTGAGACGAGGAGTTCAGACTTTTGTTTTCAATCACATTAAAATGTCACTTCACTCAGATTCTGGTTCGAGGGAAAAATGGACGTTGTCGTCGAAGAATTGCCTGGTGCAGCTTTAAATCTGACTCAGCCGCCCTGTTGTGTTAACTCTGGAGACATTTTAGTGAAATAAGGACCTCCTGATGCTGAAACCTGTCTTTAAATCATCTCTGCACTTTAGAGGTGAATAATTATGATTTTCTGTCCTTCTTCACATCATCCCATCCTCCAGTCAAGCCCAGCAAAGCGTACAGCCGCGGCTCGGTGGTGATGGTGGACGAGATCATGAACGCCAGCCCTTCAAAGTTCCGGTTCCCTGAAGCCGGCCTCCGCGTCATGGTCACCAGCCATTTTGGACCCAAGACCCGTCTGCGCATGGCCAGCCGCCTCATCATAACTGAGGTACAGCGGGGCGTTGATGCTCCAGTAGGAAGATTTAGTTTCTTCAGAGAAGTTCTCAAGAGTCTCCTTATCTCGCTCAGACAGCTTAGATGTGTTTGTTCTTTTCATATCCGACTGCAGAAGCATGAATTATAAAAAGGAAAATGATTGAAGCGGAGCAGTTTAAGTAGAAACGTGTCTCCTCATGTGCTCTATGACTTAGTGCCTTTTTTCTAAAAGCGACAGAAGTTGGTCCAAGCTGCGAATGGAGTGGAGACACAAGTGATTGATGGGAAGGTTGAAATCGAGAACGGGAACGTGCCGGAGGACAAACCGACCGAGCCGGAGGAAAACGAGACCATCTCACCGTTTCATATTCCAAGTACGCAACTCACGAGTTCAAAAGAAGTCACTGGTTTTAGATGAGATCAAAACAAACCGGATCTGTGACGTGTGTTTCTACCTCAGGAGGCATCGGCAGTAAGCTGAAGTGGCTCATCTCGTGGCCTCTCCTCCTGTTGCTGTTTTTCACCGTCCCGAACTGTGCCAAGCCCCGCTGGGAGAAATACTTCATGCTCTCCTTCGCCCTCTCCACCGTCTGGATCGCCGTCTTCTCCTACTTGATGGTCTGGATGGTGAGTGTGTGATACTTCTGTGGGAGGAAGTAACTCAGAGGAGTGTCTGACCATCAAACTTTCGGGGTATAACTTTTATAACCGTTTCTGAGTTTTGACGGTTTATTTCTCTCAGGTGACGATAATCGGTTACACTCTGGGGATCCCTGACGTCATCATGGGCATCACTTTCCTGGCAGCGGGCACCAGCGTCCCCGACTGCATAGCCAGTCTTATTGTGGCGCGGCAAGGTACGAGAGCTTTTCTTCTATCGCATTAGTAAGAGTGGGTAGTCACTGAAATCTGACCAAACATGAACGCTGTCAGGATCTCTGTCTTCAGCAGATGGAGTTTACATGTACCAAAGCCGAGAGCGGCCATGGATTTTTATTTTTTTATGCACTGTTATCTTGTGATTATTATCTTGATCTTGTGATTATTATCTCAGTATATCAGTTCGTTTTCTCAACATATTTCTTTTCATAATCTCAATATAACAAAGTGTGTTTTGTCAACTTTTTTTTGTTATCTTAATGTAACAAAGTTTGTTATCTCGACTTATTTTTGTCATCTCAATATAGCAGTTTGTTTTCTCAACTTTTTTCATCATCTCTCTATAACAAAGTTCATTTTCTCGACCTATTTTTTTGATTATTTCAGTATAACATAGTTTGTTTTCTCGACTTATTTTTTTCTTCGTTATCTCGATACAAAAAAGTTCATTTTCTCGACTTATTTTTTTTGTTATCTCAATAAAAAAGTTCATTTTCTTAACTTTTTTTTTTCGTTATCTCGATATGACAAAGTTTATTTTCTCATGATAACGGGAGCGGTGTTTTAGCTGACCTCAACGGTTACTTTTAAAAACGCCCAGCCGCCGGTCTGCTGTCAACAGCAAGTCAAGTTTTCCCTTAAAACACTCACAGCACACTCCATTTTCTGCATGTACATTACACTTCCAACGAATCGTGCATGGCAGATAAATGTTCCTACGCTGAAAGTGTAATGCTTATGCGCAAAATGTAGAGTGCCTTTAGTGTTTTCATTGAAAACTTGACTTACTGTTGCCAACGGTGGCTGCTGCGTTTCAGAAATATCCTAATCTAGAGGGCGCTTTTAAAAGTAACCGTTGAGGTCGGCCTTAATGCAATTTCTATTATCATGAGAAACTAACTTTGTTATATCGAGACAATTAAAAAAAATAACTTGAGAAAATGAACTTTGTTATAATGAGATAATGAGATAAGTTGTTATCCCGAGATAACAGTGCATAAAGAAAATAAAAATCCATCACCATTCCTGGCTTCCATAAATGTTCTTATTTTAAACATTTTTAAAACCAAAGTCTCTAAAAATATGTTTTCCTCTTTATTCGATCAAAAATATTTTAACAACTTCATGTGTTTTTGTTTTTTTTATTTTAGGATTGGGTGACATGGCGGTGTCCAACACGATTGGCAGTAATGTGTTTGATATTCTGGTGGGACTGGGGGTTCCCTGGGCGATACAGACCATATGTGTCAGCTATGGATCAGAGGTAAGAAGCTGTAATCATTAAAAGAGCTTAAACTCGGTTAAAACTGTGATACTGTTCACTTTAGTGGAAGAAACACACAAAACAAGCGAGTCTGGATCCCTTTAGTTGTTGATTTGTCTCTGTGTTTGTTTTAGGTGATGATCAACAGTCGGGGTCTGGTCTACTCTGTGGTGCTGCTGCTGGGATCTGTCGCCCTCACGGTGAGATATAGACGATGTTTTATGAAACAGAGGTTGATAACGGCGCCGTCATTACCGCTCGAGTTCCTGTTTGGCGTCTCTCATCGGTGACTGGTTCACTGTTACGCAACAGTGACTTAACCAAGTTATGTAATTGGTTCATGAAAATGTTAAAATTCAGATTTGTAAACATTCGGAGTCTTCACACGAAAATCTTCTGGCACAAATGAAGTGATGAATTTTTAATTTCTGAATAAGTAGGACAAGATTTTTTGTCGTAATAATTAATAGGAACCTTTTATCGCTCCTCCGGTCAGAGTTGAAAAAGTCAAGATCGAAATTTATTCACAATCTTCATCAATAAATAAATTAAAGTTGATTCTTCAGCTTTAAAGTCAGTGCTCGGATATTTTCAGACTTGATTCTGAAAAGTTCTCCTGAATCCTCTCTGACGATTCTCTGTGTCTCCAGGTTTTGGGGATCCACCTGAACAAATGGCGGCTGGACCCGAAGCTGGGCGCGTACGTCCTCATCCTGTACGCCGTCTTCCTCTGCTTCTCCATCATGATCGAGTACAACGTCTTCACCTTCGTCAACCTGCCCATGTGCATGGAGGAGTAGAGCACAGCAGCATGCCTCGGATACCAAAACCTCAACTCCCTCGTAGGAAAAAAAAAAACCTAAATGTTTTTCTTTTTTTTCCGACCGGACCTACCGGGAGACTCTTCGTCTCCTCCCTTCGCTCTCGTCCTTGTGATCCTCTCAGTCCCGAGTTTGACTCTCATCTCCTCAAGAGGCAGTTCAAAGCTGCAAGAGTGGACTCTGTTCTGCGTCTCCAAGTCGTCCTCTTGTCACACAGTGCCAGTCCTTGATGCCCGTTGTTTGGGCATCGCCTGTTATTGCAGTAATGTCTTTATTTCCTCTGTGGGCCTGTTAACTTTCTACCCATCTAGCATGCCTTTAGATGTCGGGGACCTCCACGATCATAAGTGCCCCTGTTGAGTGGTGGTGTGTGTTTTCACTGTTTTCATATTGTAGATTTCCACGCACCGTTTTTTTTTTTTTTTTCTTCCAAAAACCAAACAGAAAGTAATCCCAACACCTCCTTAAAATCATCCCCCAGCACCCAAAGAGAGAAAAAAAAATCACTCTTTTGAGTTTTTTTGGAGGAGGGTTTTGTCCTCGGCAGCTCCCCTCCTCCAGCCTGGACCCAACTCCCCCCCTGGCATGGCCTTTGGCATCAGGGGGGGGCAGATACTGTTAGCGCTTCTCCTCCTCACCCTCCTCACCCTCTTTAACTCCCCCCAGTCCTCGTCTGCTCGATCAAATCTGCTTTGTTTTCTAAAAAAAAAAAGACTTTTTGTGGCACTCGGTGTCAAAAACGATCACAGTCCGGATCAGTCGACTGTGAGAGTGTTATGCATATGCAGCACGGCACGGCACAATGTAAACTTGTACACACTTCTTCTTCTGGTTCTTTATTTTGTATTTATTTTTTCAAGGTTTCGTCTGCTGTGAATCGTGGAGGAGAGCTTGTTGCAAATGTAGGACATTGCCTGTTTTTGTTTTTTTTGTTGTTTTTCACTGAAACAAATTGCACATGGAAACGCTTTTTCTTGCTTTGTGCTGTAAGGAGATTCGACCACTCAGAGAGGCGTCTGGCTGGTTGTGGAGACGTCCACTTTAAAAGCGTTTTTTTTGTCGTTTTTCAGTCAGTGACGGGTCAGTCCACTTCTCCCTTCGCACAACTTCAGAAAAACAAACTGGCTCCGGATCTGTCGAACACATCGGAGTTCTCGTCATCGTCGCGGTGTGTGTCGGCTCGTTCTCGTCTTGAGACGGCTCACAGAACGGAGCGAAAAAAGAAAGCGGACGGTTCTCCTCACTGACCGTCTGCTACAGCGCCCTGTGGCCAGTAGGGGGCGCCGCAGCCTTTCTACCCGGGTCAGGGGCGCCAACCACAGCCGTCGGTTATCAGGGAAACTCGGAGATGGACAAGTCCAGGAGGTGTGGATGGAGATGGTCTCTTGATTCTGAGTTACATGTAGATATTGCACTTTAACAGCCGTCCTCTCATTCTGAATCAACTAGTGCTTCCTTCTGTGCGTGTGTATTTTCAGTGTGTATGTGTGTGTGCGTGCGTGCGCGTGAGAGACATACCATTGTACGTGTGTGTGCGTGCTCAGTGTGGGCTCACGTTCAGTTTTTTTCTCACTCCGGGCTCTCCGAAAAAAACAGGCTGGAACCTCGTTAACACCATGAGCACACCCCCGCCTCTGTCTGCAGTGCATGCTGGGACTTTTAAAAACGCAGCTCCCTCTACAGCACAGCGAGAAAAAAACAGAAAAAAAAAAAAAGCTGAGGGCTCCTGGGGGCGTCTCTGTCGAAACGGCCCCCCCGGCCCACTTTTACAAAAATCGGCAGCTACGAGCTACACTGCAATCCAGACGTTTGACATCATGCAAAAACGCCTGCGAGGAGTTCCAGGAGCGAGGCGGCGAGGACCGACGAAACATTCGAGTGGGACGTGTTTTACGTGGTTGTCGACAAAAAACCCCTCTGCCACGCCGCTGGCAGCAGGCTCTTGTATATGCAATCTCAATTTAAAGAATTCTATGTGACAGTCTGAAGGCCCCCCTCCGCAAGGTCGCCATAAAAAGACGGGGGGGGATCCTCCCGCGGAGATGTGATGTTGATTTGTCTAGTAGTACTCGATGTACTTGATGTGTGAGCTCACAGGTGTGCGTTTGTGACGGCCCCAGAGGAAGGACTTTTTCTGGAACAGCAGCAGCAGCGGCTTCGAGGGAAGTCTTGATCCACACACACACACTCCTCTCTCTCTCTCTCTCTCTCTCCTCTTTTTTCTTCTACTCTCGTCCTCCCTCTCTCTCGCACAAGGGCATTAACTCTCCACCAACCTGAGCCGAGGGAGCAGAGGGGCAGCAGGGACCTCACGGATGGATGGAGGGGTGGTTTTCGTTCGTCGCCCTCGGGGACGTTGTTACTTCTGCTGAAGGACCCGGATGAGAGCAGACTTCAAGGATTTTAGAAAAAGGACCCCCTTAAGCTGCTTCTCTCCTGGGGTTTGTGTTTAGCGGACGGAGGTGACCACACAGGGACACGCCTCAGTACGCCACCCCTTCCTCCCCTTGAACCTTTTCAGCAGGTCTCCACAGGACCTCATTTTTGATGCTTTTTACGGAGGAAGGCAGGTCTGTGCTTTTCCTGAGTTGATTCAGAATGTGTCGTTTTGTCGTTTTCTTCGTCGTCGCTCTGTGTGGTCATGTCCCGGGTTGCCAGGTTTGACAGGAAAAACACCACAGCAGGGGGGGAAAAAAAATCAACCGCTCCTCTTTTTTCTCGTCCTCATCCTGAAATACTTTCTCGACGGTTGTCTGACGACTCGCATCTTTGTTACCAAGGAGAAGAAAAAAAGAAAACGCCATACTTGTCGTAGCGCTGCGTTGTTCAGATTGTATGGGAAATCCTGTGTACAAAAGAAGCGCACACACTTAAAAAAAACACACACACACACTTTAGAGAGGTGGCGACTGAACACGAGGAAAGCGGTATGTGGTATTTCTCGACTGAATGCGACCTGATGCACTGTGAGCTCAATGTGACGTGGGAGTTGTTTGTCATGAATAATAAATGATTAAAAAATATATTTAATGTAAAGTTAGTTACTATAAAAACATTACTGAGGACATCTGTATAACTTATATGAATGTATTGTCTTGCTATACTGGACATATCCAACCAATGCATTTTACTGTAAAGCAATAATGTGAAGAAAAAAAAATAAAATGGCAAAATAATTCCTGTACCTTTTGGCTCGGAGATTCTTGGACTGTTTGTGAAACACGAATTAAATGAAGCCATTTGTACATGTATCTGTTACTCATGCAGTTTTCTTTTTCCACAGTATATATTAATGTTTAAAAGTCATTAAAGGGATTTTATTTTTATTTTTATTGCTTATAAAGTGCAGAAACTGTTAGTATCTACTTCATAGTTTGAATTTAGTTGGCAGACATACAGAGTCACAAACATATAAACTATCACAACTTTTTCATGGGCACATCCCACAAACTTCGCTCTGCTACTCATCCCTTAAATGCACGCTCCTCACAAATGTGGCGCCATCTAAACAGGAAATAAACAACAGGAGTTTTCCAACAGGGTAAGATTTCTAAGAAGTATGATTACAACAAAGAAATAACCTACCAAACACAAATTTATTGTCCTTTGGTGCTAAGTTTAGATTAAAATTCAGTAGAGCTGTTTGTAAAGTCATCTGAAGTGAAGTGTGTAGATAACAGTATCATCAGCGTAGAGGTATATTTTAGCTTTTATGTCCTTACCCAGGTCATTTATGAAAAAGGAGAACAGAACGGGTCTGAAAATAAAACCCTGTAGGACACCTTTAGTATTACGAGCAGTAGAAGAAAAGGAGAGACACTAAACTGAGGCTGTGTCTCATTTCAGAGACCGCATCGAGGTAAGTGCACTTCTGCACCGTCGAACGGTGCATTTGAAGCGTGCATGACGTCCCATTTGGCACGAGATGCCATCGGTATCCCAGAATGCTTTGCGTGCCGCTGCACAGCTGTGCATTTCAGGTGAGAGGCTGGACTCGCTTGGAGACGCAGCGCGTCTTCAAAGAAAATACAAGAAATCCACAAACAGCAGACGGTCAGCTCAGGCTGTATGAGAGCATGATCTCTGAACTCACTAAAATCTGTTAACCAAACATTATAGATTTAGAGACGAACTGATCCGCTCTGCTTCAACTATCAAAAACATTAGAAATAAGAAAGCTGACAAAACTACAGCAGAGGATCAGGACAACATTGAGTTTTTTTTTTAAGATTTAGAGATTAAAGTTGTAAATTTAGGAGAATAAAGTCATAAAGTAAATAAAGTCATAAAGCTGCTTTTGTGGAGGGGGAAATGACTGAAGCTGGTCATCTGCAGGGTTATCTGTGGATGTATCAGCGGGTCATTCAGAGAGATTTTGTGGTTTCTGAAGAAACAATCAAACTGATGATGTTCAACATTTGTGATCCAGAGGGAGTCGAGTTCAGACGAGCACCATGTCTCTGACACCGGCGGTAACCTACACCTGCAGAGACACCAACACCTTATTATGGCATATAATAATAACCCCCCGCCATCTTCATGCTGTGATTTATAAGGTTTCCTGACAGGCGTCACACTTGGTTTTGCAGTATGAAGTTATTCTTTGTCTTTGTTTTTGGACTCAGATGTGGTTTCAGAGCAGCAGAGATCGACTCCCTTTTTCCTGCTAAATAAATCAACGAGAGACTTTTGTACTGGGTCAGGTATACGACCTCCATTTGAGCCATTTTCACTCATGCATTTTTGGGCACCCCTTCTGAGATGATGTGATACACCCTGAAGAATGTGTGTACCAAATTTGGTGCTTTTATCCACCGCATAACAATTTGGCCATTTTTTCAAGTGAACAGACCCTACTATGAGGTGGTGTGTTCAAGCCTTTTTCGGGACAAGGTGAATTTTGAAGTCTAGTGTCTAGACAGGAAATTGAAAGAGGAAACAAATGGTATAATCCTGTGTGTCCAAGTGGCTCAGAGGATTAGACCACTGACTGGGATTCCTGAGGTCATAGGTTCGAGTCCAACCTTGCCCAGTTCTAAGTGAATTTTGAAATCTAGTGTCCACAAAGTACAGTGATATATGAAAAAAAAACACAATTCTCTTGTGTGTCCACATGGCTCACAGGATAAGGAGACTGACCGGTACTCCTAAGATCGTGGGTTCAAGTCTTACCCTGTCCAGTTCTAGGAGAATTTTAAAGTCTCGAGTCCACAAAGGACAGCGATATGTGAAAAAAGAACAGTTTTCAACATCGGGATTGCTCGGTAATCTTCATGTGTCGAGTAGGCTAATTTTTTTGAGTTTTTCTACATTTATTATTTAAGGCACGTCCTGAAACTACTCTGTTTTCTGTTTTTAATCTGTTTTTGAAATATTCACGACAAAAGCTTCAAACTAATCCTTCTTTTATTCCCTCTCTGGATCTGAACTTTCATGCATGGTCCCGAATCATCTGAATTTCCAAGTTCAATATCAGCCTGAATATTCATACCCGGTTTTGTTTGACTTTCAAAGTAACATGGGCTTCAATAATCAGTGAAGCTTTATTCATACAACACTTTTATACTAATCAAGAAACCCAGAGCCAAACCAAACTGATGTAGATATTAATGAAAAAGACTAAGTATTAGGAGTCAAAATAAACATTTTTTTAAGAAGTCGGACATGTCGGTTTAGTATATAGAACTTAGCAAATATTATATTTAAGATACAGGCTTTCTGATTTTCTTTAGATATAAGCCATAATCATCAAAATAAGAAAGAGCCTTCTAAATTAAAGCTCCTATGAGGAACTTTCTGTCAGTGTTCACTTTGGCGCCCCCCTGTGGACAAAGCAGTAACCGTTTTTACTGTTACCTCCTTCCTCACAGCAGTTAGAGAAGTGAAAAGAGTCCATTTGGTTGAAAATGGTCTCATTTGATTCTTTAAATCATAGAAATTTTTAAAGATATTCATATTCTCTGAGATGCTTTTGTGTGACTGCATCTCAATTAAGCAGAAGGAGGTTAAGGGTTTGGGTCAGGATCTGATGGCTTGGAGGGTACGATTAGTTTTGGTTTGGGGGGAATTTGGATTGTATAAAGGATCCTGGAGGGGGTGAAGGGTCATGGTTAGGCTTTCAGGTTAGGGTGACCGTATTCTGAACCCCCAAAAAGATGACACGACTATGCGAGGGCGGGGCGTGTAGTTAAATTTGACGGTCTTTCAGGTCGGATCAAGTGTTTTTTATGCGCTTCTAACTCAGTAAGTCAACATGATACAAACTCAAAACTTTCATACAAAACCCCGGACATTTGAAGGATTTATAAACTCCCCCGGACAAGGCCGGACAGCCCCCCAAAAAAGAGGGCGTATGGTCGCCCTACTTGAAAGTGAAGTCTTATGTAAGGTTCGGATCCAAAGATAAAGTACGGTTTTGAAGGTAGGGTTGGTGCAGGGTAAGGTCAGGAGATCAGGGCAGGGGCAGATTCAGAGGGGTGGCCAATGGTGGCACAGGCCCCTATATTCTGAACTTTCATTAGTTATTTGTGGATTAGGAATAATAAGTGGAGTTAAAAAGGACAGATAAATGTTATAAATACAGTCATCCTTTGAGTCACCTCAGCATGAGTCTATTCTACTCTGATTCAGGGTTGAGTTTCAGTCAGGGTCAGGGTCAGGCTAAAGTTCACAGTTAGAGGCAGTTCAAACTTCAATACAAAGAATAAATTAACATGAATTATCTTCCACAAATACTCTGCTCTAAAAATGGTCTTATCTGTAATTTATTCAAATTCATTACTGTCAGATTTAATTAACAGAAAGTAAAACACTAGAGGACAAATTCAGACTTGCTGACTCCGAGTGTTTTCGTTCCTTTAAGCAGAAGCCGAATGACACAGTGCTGCTTTAACAGTTTTGATATGAGAAGTTTAAGATCTGTAATAAATCTTTCCTGGTGAAATGACCCTTAAGGTAAAGTTAATGAGTTTGATGTCGTCCCCGAGGCGTCGAAGTTGCATCTGCAGTGAGTGAAGCCAGTCCATGCAAAGTAGTTTATCTCCTCGAAGAACTCTCAAGTATACAGAATCACAGCGGCGTTATTCTTACTTTACTGCGTCCTCTCTGTTCCAGTTTAACCCGAATTTACTGTTTTTTTAATTAAAGTTTCTTTATCATCTGACTCATTAACGCTCAGAGAGATACGGCGCAACAATACTTTTAATTCAAGAGATATGAGTTAAATTAGATTGTAAATAAATCATCTGCTATTTAACTGAAGCACGCTCTGAAAAAAAGAAATCTAAATGAATGAGTCCCACTTGTGATTCTGGTATAACAGCGTCTATGTTCCCCTCAGGGAGTGATGAATGATGATTTACTGATCCTTAATGGAAACTTGTCTCGTTAGATAATCAAGCTGGAGAGCGTTGTAAGCTTCTTATTGAGACGGGATGATTGCAAACAATTTGTTATTTATGGCGACGGCTGGCAACATGTGAAGAGTCCATCAAAGGGAGGAGAGAGGGTTTGGACAATGCATGCTGTGATTGCATGTCGTAGCCTTGAGGAGCCAGCAGGGGGCAATGTTGCATCAGGATTCAAATCCGAGTGTCAGAGACAAACTTTATTACAGCTCAGGATGAAATGAAAATGGAGCTCCTTTACCCATGTGAATAAGACTCTGGCAGTGTGTGATTTAAAGTTTTAAACATCAGACTGTGACAGAGTCAAACCAGGACAGGAATAAACGCTTTCTATAACACCCCTGCGCCAAAAAATAAACCAAACAACAACAACAACAGCACTCAGCACATGATTTGTTAATGATGGATGTCCATATTCTTCATCAGACGGCAGACAGGAAGCCATCTGGTGAGACCAGCACGGCCCGTGCGAGCTACTGGTTCTTCTCTCTAATGAGCCACCCTCTTGGCTGTCGTGCACCAGTTAACAAGCTCCTCTGTCAGCCGTGATCTTGCGCATTGATGAGTCCTTTCTCTGCCCCCCTAACAAGCCCGTATGGGCAGCCACTGCAGGTCTCTCGTGAACGCCGGCTTAGCTTCTTCTCCTCTGTTTGTTGTGCCACATTTAGAGACAAGGCCCACGCATCCTGGCCTCGACAAACACAGCACCGTAATCCCGCTTTGAGAAGTTGTTTATCTGTTCACCCTACCACCCCCGCAGATGCAGTTTGGGGACATTTTCTTTCCTAGTTTGTGCCTTTGCAGTAAATTGCTACAGTGCAGTGATGGATGGTGAGGAAACTGGGTTGCTGCTGCTGTTTGGTGCTCCTCTCCACGAGGGCATCCTGTGCTGCTGAACATGAGGTGCGAGGGTCGCCCCCTTTCCTCTTTAACTACTGGGTTTGGACCGGCTTTAGCAGCACTCTGGCATTATCAGGTGAACTTTGACCCCACTTCTTTGTTCGCTCTGGAGAAAGGTTTCCTGTTCTCTCCTTTTGTGTTTTTTATTTTCTTCTTTTGTTTTGAGATTTCAGACTGAGAGCTTCTTCTCTCCCTGAGACAGAAACTATAAAACAGAAAAGGTAAAAATACTGAATATACATGTTTACAAAAGTGTTTTTATCCACAGGAATTATCTGCCTCTTTAAGTAATGACCACTTTTAGGGAGATAATGAGAGTAAAGACCCAGGGGACGTCTTCTACACTGGAAGAAAACCCCAGTATCAGCATCTTAACACATCTGCTGTTTCTCTGTGTGGTTGTTTGTGTCTCTTTACAGTCAGTCTGTGTCTCTTTGAGACCAGTTTGTGTCTTTTTGAAGTTTTGATTGTTTATATTTTTCAGTCTGTGTCTTTTTAAAGTCAGTTTGTGTCTGTTTTAAGTTTTGTTTGTTTATATTTTTCATCTTTTGTTTTTTGAACCTTTTAACTTTCTGATTTGTTTGTTTTTGGGTGTTTTCAGTATCTTCTGATGTGTTGTGTATTTCTTTCTAGTGTATTTGTTTGTTTTGTCTTTTTTGTTGTTTTTCTTTTTATACTTGGGCTCCATTGTTTCATAAATCTTTTGTTTGTATTGGATTGTAGTTGTTTGTGTCTTTAAGTGGTCTGTTTTGTAAATCATTTATATTTTGTGCTTCTTTGTTGTTATTCTGTGTCTCTATATTCCGATGTTTGAGCTTGTTTCTGTTCTTTTTGTTTGTTCTGTGGTTGTTTTGGTACCTTTATACTTTTTATGTGCTTTGTAGACAATATTTATCTCTATGTGGTTATTTCATTTCATTTTTTGCCATTTTCTGTCTGTTTTGTCAGTGTTTGTGGTTGTTTTTTGTAACTTGAAAGTTGTTTTCTGTCCCTTTGTTGTTATGATGTGAATCTTTGTCGTTTATTTGAGCTTCTCCTCTTGATTTTTTTGTCGATAGTGCTTCTTTTATTTTGGACTTGTTTGGTATTTTGTTGATTTTCTTGTCAGTTGTTTGAGTTTATTGAGTTTGTTTCTCTGTGTACTCATTCTGGATCTATTCAGGGTTGTTTTTGTTCATGTTTCACTTTATTTCATGTAACTTTTTTAGATATTTGTGTCTTTGTGCACTTTGGCTCTTTTTAGGTTGTTTTATCATATTTTTCACAAGAAAGTTTAAGTTACTCAGAGCTGAGTTTATGATCCATCCATGAGACTTTTTATAGAATTTTTTTACTGTAAAAACTGTAAAACCGCTGTTAGAAAAATTAATATTTTTTCTCTTAAATTGCTGCAATCTGTCATGTCTCTTTCTGGCGTCATGTTGCAGCAGCTCGGTGCTTCGCTGGCCTCCGTCTGTTGAGATGGCGACATGCTAATCACTGAGGTTCAGGGGTTTATGGGTAATAGTGTCTGTTAAAGCAGGAGAGCCAAATGATTTTGGCATGGATGCAGGTTCTTTCCACCCCTTAGTGCAGACTGAAAAAGTCTAGAGACATTATCGTCGTTTTTCATTGTTGGAATATTTTTTTTAGTCTGAGTTATATCATTATGAGAATATCACCGGGACCTTGAGCAAGGTCAGTCATCCTGAAGAAAACCTACGCAGCAGATGGTGAAAGAGCTGTGTCCGTCTTCGTCTGTATTAAAAACCAAACTTTTATAACTCCACTCCTCACACATCTCTTTGTCGTGTTACTCTCTTTTATTTGTTTTGGATTGGTTCTCTTCTTAATTTGTGTCTCACCTGTCTTTTTAATTCAGCAGCCAAGAAGCTAACAACCCGCTGACCGGCTTCATTTGGAGTCTCTCACTTAACAGTTCAAAGTCTTAAGTAGTATACTATGACCTTTTCTTGGTATTTAAAGCCTCTGCAAATTCTTATAACTCGATGAAATTAAAATGAGCTGAATAATGATGAGGACGGTGACATTATCAGAGCTGGTACCTGAGGTCACCGCCTGTTTTGGGCCCTTTTTTTTTAGTGCCTCAGGCTGTATTGAAGCCTTTTTAATAATAGCACAGGGATTAAACATGAAACTTAGAGGACCGTCAGCTGTTTCCTCATCGAAACAGAGCGGCTTTTTCGCACGGTGCACGCTCAGCTTTCATTAAAACTCATAAGTTTATGACAGTCAGCTCCCCTGTGCATTGTGGCTCTGCAATTAATCCATTCTGTGCACGCCGTCCGGCTCGTGAAGGTAACACAACACCTTCTTATCTTCTGTCGTGTATGTATGAATATTAAGCAGTCGGCCCCGGTGAAGCTGGCGGAGAGCAGCAGAGACAGACTGATAGTCCTGATTACTGAGTCACGCGTTGGGCCCTTAGAGCGGGGTTAGGTGTGTTATACGCCTCAGATCACTGACTGCTGTGTTGACGTTTGTTGGGCTGGTCCTCAGACATTCATCTTTACAAGAAGGAACACATTAGTGCTGGCGACGGCCCAAGGTTTGCATTTATTACAGCCTGAAATAAAGATCTGCGCTTCGAATCAGATCTAATTTTATAGTAAATCGGCAGAGCTAACTCGGACACGCCGCTCCGGTTTCCTGTCATGGTCATAATTCATCGTACCGTTACTCATGATTAAAACGACATACATCCTGCTTGATAAATGAAGCCTATTAAGCTAAACCCGGTAAATGATTTAATATCGAGTCAATGCTACTCAAGGACACAGTCTGTACGTAGGCTACCGTTTATAATTTTTTTTTTTTTGCATTTTTTGTCCTTCTTCTTTGGTTCATATTTCAGAGTTTTCTCTTAACTTGCTCTGTATTTGTTTGAGCATTTTCTGCACCCAACATGATATTACACTAAGAATTCTTTGATAACTTTTATTTGTACTCTGTTGTTCGAAACTTGGGCAATTTTTCTTTGGCAACTAGGGGGCACCAAACTAGCTCGGTAAAGATGAAGTATGCAGGAAATTACTAACTCAAGTCCAAATATCTGATAAATTGGCAGTTTATGAGCATCCCTAACAAAAGGTTGTGGCGTCATGAAAAAATTAGCATCAGTGGCTATTTCTAGTAAAATACGACCGACACGCACATAGAGAGGTTTTCATAAGTCTTGTTGATTAAAGGTGTTGTAGTCAGGATCTGAGTTAGTACCAGTTTTTAGGAGAAATCTTGAATGTAAACTCTACCCCTCCCAACCAGTTTTCCCCTCAGCTCCTCCTCTCCCCTCAAGCCCCACCCACAAACAGACGCTCCTGCTCGCTCGTATCGTTCCAGTTAAATTCAGATATAATGCAGATAAATACTTCAGATCATTACAAATGGGGCCCAGTCAAGGTGAAAGTCAAAAGCATTGGTGCTACTGTAGATGCCAACAGACTACCAGCAAACGCAATGTTTGCAGGACTTCTACAACGAGGATAAAGTGACATAGTCCAGGACCCGAGGGAGGACAGTTTAGCGATGGCGCTACAACACTCTACAGCAGGTCCGTTTGACAAGAAACACTTCTGTTACAGACACTTGTCTTACTTTGTTAAAGCGGTTTACCTGTCCAGCAGAAAGGTTACAGGGTCACCAAGATCCCCAAGCGTCCCCCATCGTTTATGTTGACCCGGCTTTTTAGCTCTTGTCCGGTCTACCTCCGTTTTAAGCGCCCGTTATTCCTCCAGAGTCTCCGGTATTTACTTTGTTTTCTTGCTTGTGTTTCAGGTTGGTTTCTACTGTCCAATGTTGTAGCACCCTAATGTTGTCTGGACTCGTGAACGTTATTGTAGCTATTGACTGATATTAATAGTTTTTTGTAAATACACCACAAAAAAAAGATGCTTCTTTAACAGAATCCTGCCTACCCCAATCTTTAACCTCTGAACAGGTTGTAAAAGACGAGGCTAAGAGGTGTGTCAGCTGTGCTATATGTCCTTTCTCACATCATTAGGTTGTATTGTTAAACAAACTTCTGCACATTACGCTGTATTTCTTTAGAAAAATGCAGCTAAATTCTACACAATGTACCTTTAAAGCGACTGTAACATTGAAGTCAGAAGTCTTTTCTAGCTCATTCAGTGTACTTTTGATGCCAAAGTGGAAAAACGTGGGATAAAATGAAATGTAGCAGCACCTGTTTGTTGTGCTACCTCTGCCCTAAAGTAATCGTCGTGATAAACTATGAAAGAGGAAATATCTGGCAGCAGAAATGTGACTTTTCTCTGACCAAGGGTTACTGTTTCTTAACCAGGCCTGCAGTGAAGAACAAACGAGTTTCAGTTTTTTGATAGACGCTCAGTCAAAGAGTGATTTCCATATAGATTACTGCGCGCGGTGGGAAGTACAGTTGAAATGGTGTGTAGCCAACAATGTGATTACAGCCGGAGAACAGAGACATTTACAAACAAGTGTGAAACAGAGAGAGTGAGCGAGCAGACACGCTCTTACAAGTCAGCAAATCTCAAATGTGAGCAAAAGGGAGTCTGTAAGAGTGGGAACACCACCTTCATTTTATAGTTTGTGATTTAATTATGCTTAGACTAAGTGCTTCAGGAAGTCCCGGTTAAATAGGAGGCGAGAAGAAAACACTTTTACTGACTTATTTCATAGCAGGGAGCACAATTACCCTCCTGATCCACATTTACGTTGATTTATGGATGAATCCTTTGCTCGCAGGGTCTCAGAAAGGTGATCTGTTGCATCGACAGCCACAGGTCATTTATTCTATTCCCAAGTTTGCCATTTAGTCCTCCTTTTTCAACCACTTGGGCCGGCGAGATTTATTCAGAGAGAGGAGGCTACTGCTGCAAGCCCAACAATGAGCTGTGATCCAGACTACAACAGGGATTCGGTCCCAGACTCAGCCATCGAGGTTTTAAAGAATACCTTGGACTAGTTTTGTGGCTCTTACTCATACAAGGGGGGATATTTAATTAAATGTTGGATCTCTATTCATTTTCACTGGAAAAATAAATTCTGCTGAGTGCTCTGTTTGGACGGCATAAGAGAGATTTAATAATGTGAGTCGCAGCGGAGAGCCAGCGGGCCGTTAGCTGTCAACACAGGCTCCAAATACTCATATTCTGTCACATCACAATGCCGCCTCAATGGTTTTTGTTAGAGTAATGTGCAACACCAAGTGTCATTTTAAAATTAAGAGTTATTGCCTAT